AAGGGGGTGGAGGGGAATGGGGGGAGGGCGTGGAGGGGCAGGTGGGCCGAGATATGGAGATGGAGAGTTCCACAAACAAGTGCGCCAGGTTATTTTGCTGTTAATTAGTCTTACGTGATGAAACTTCATAGCTGATGGGTGGTGCCCACAAATGGCGACTGTCCATCTCTTTCTACTGGCCCCAGTGTCTCTCTTTTTCTTTCTCTATCTTTCACATCATGCCCTCTCCTTCTGCGGTTTATTTAACCCCAACAACGAAAAATAAAAATAATAATTTTTCACTGCTAAATTTAAAGGAATATAAAAGGGAAAACGTATATTTAAAAAATTAAATAAAATAGGTCATACTTGTACAGATTTAATTCAAACAAAATAACAGGACTTAAATATTCATTTAAACTAAAAACTTTTTAAAAAACCTTTCAAAATTAATATTCAAAATATCCAATTTATATTAAAATGATTTTAACATTCTTTAAATTCACTCAATGATTATATAATTTTAATATATACATTACATTTCATATTTTTAAAGTTATTTTTTTAATAAGTTTAAAGCTTACTGTATTTTATCATATTTTATTTTGTAAAACCAGACGTATTTAGGCAAAGGTACTATATCTATAGATCCAGTCTCCCTGACCCTAAATACACCCTCTCATTTTTCTCTATTATATGAACGTGTTTGTAACAAATTGTGCACAATTTTCACCAATTTACAATTTTATGATGCGCAATTGCTGCAACCCGAAAAGAAAGAAATACAACAGCAGAAAAAAAACTTCATTAAAGCAAATATTGCGAATAAAATTTATGTTGCCAATTTAAATACATCGAAACAACAACACCATCGATGAAGGGGGAAAAAATAGGAAAATAATAAAAGAAGGTGTAAAGACTAAAAGGCTGTAACCTAGCCGGCAACAACAACTAATCGAGCTGGTCATCAATTGACCAAAGCCAGGTAATGGTCGGTCACAGACTTTTATTTTGTTTTTTTTTTTCTACCAGCCAGTCTTTTTAGAGACCCGAGCCATCGACGATCGATCGAAACGACAACGCGCCCATATAGACGAACTGAAAAACTGAAAAGAGGAAGGCCCAGAGGAGCTGAGCAGCAGGAATTGGGAGGAGGACGATCGATCTTGGCAGCCGCCGCTGCGTTAGATGATGCAGCAGTCGATCCAGCCAACAAAAACAAAAAAAAAAATAAAGAAAAACAGCACCCGTCGAGGAGTCACCCGAAGATCCCCCAACTCAGACTGGGGAAAACCGAGGAAAAAAATAAATAAAGGCAAAGTGGGTGAAGCGAGGCAGGAGTCGAAGGCGGGTGGCCGAAACAAACACAGCCACACACACGCAGGCTGACAAAAAATCAAAGACAGTGGAACTTAACGGGGGAAATCTTGATTAAATCTGGTTTAAGGTAAAAATAATAATATTTAAAAATAAATGAATTCGTCCCAACTTCAATTGATAACAGAAGCAAACCACATTTTTTAAGGCCCACAATTTGTATGCCATACTTATGCCTGATGGTTTTACTATAAGCGTTCCGAACATTTTTATAGATTTTATATATTTCATAATATAAAAAAAAAAAACATTTAACAGTATTTTTTTTAAATTGTGTTGGCATCTTGCCTTTGTGAGAATTTTGTGTGACTTCTTGGTCAGACTGTCTTTAGAGATTTTAAATATTAAATATTATTCTATAAGCTATGACTTTAAATTAAAAAAAATATACATATATACCCATTATCCATTAAGAGAAATAATTTAAATACTATTTAAGCAAAGATAAGCCCACTGTGCTGTCGATTTGCCTCGCCCGCCGCCATCGACATCATTTGGCACATGTGAACACCGAAAAAGATGTGCCCACCGACCGTCGACCGTCGACCATCGAGCATCTACCGTCCACCGTCCACCGTTGACCACTCCCGATCCCGATCCCGTCTCGCAGCGATCTCTTTTGGCCAGAAGAAGAGTCGAGCCGAGGTGAGTTGGGCCGAGTTTGGAGCACTCGAGTCCGCTTGACCGACCGTCTGTCGAAGATCCCCGTATGGGGCGAGTCGACGGGCGGCCGATTCACCTGTCGCGTCGTTTTGTTTGCCTTACGCAAAAGGTGGGGAAAAACAGTTGGGGAAATGAAAGGGGGGGAAATGGAAGGGGCGGGTAGAAGGGGGGCCGAAATGCTGCTTGGTCCGCAGCTTTATGCGAAAATTCCATGAATTTGATCATTTCGGTGGAAGCGTATTAGATATTTGGCATTTCGGCTTTCCACTGACTGACGTACAATGCCGGCAAATGGCAAGATGGAAAAATGACCAAATGGCCAAATGGAAAACTGGCGGAGGTCAGCGCACACACGTGACCCCAAATGATCGATGGAATTGCCGGCAGAGGAGTCTGCGGAAATTAAATGGATTATAATTATTATGCATGGCACGGAGCTTGGCTCGCTTTTATTGTCAACCAATAAGCCCGGCCAAGAGGCCAAAGTTGTCAGCGTTTTGCATTCGGCGAGTGCGGCGGACAGGCCAACATGTTGGGCCTGGAATTGATTTGGCCCGCAGCCACTATTAACAGCAACAATGCCGCGGATTCATCTTTGGCCAGAGAGCCAAGCAAGTAACCCTAAAGCCGATTTCGTTGATCGCTGGCTGCAGGCGCAGTGGATGACATCAGGTGCAGCCACAGTGGGCACTGCATAAGGGAAACTACACTCAGCAAAACTTTCGAGCTGGAATTCTTTTATTTTATCTAACCCAATTTAAACATTAAATACTTATAAAAAAATGTTGGTTGAACTTTCAACTTAAAAAAAAACTTAAAAATTTTAATTTTTTATTTTATGAAAACAATCATTATTTATAGTACTTAAATTCGAAAATATAAATTTTTGTAAAAATATTTTAATACGCAGAATATTATACACATATTTTTTGAAAATAGCTATTCGAGATTTATAATTATTTTAATTATTGTTTTACAACAACGCACTTTTTTTTCTTTTTTGTAGTTTGTTGTTTCTGTGTAAATCAAGACAAAAGTTGTCAGAGTCATTTTAGTCTTTAAGGTACCCTTTGATAGGTGATTTCTTGACACAAATCGAATTAATAGAGATTTGTGTGACACCCCCGAATATTTCTTTTGGTGCAGACAACCGCATAAGCTCAACAGTGTGGTTTTGGCGAATTCCAGCGGACATTTTTGCTGAGCTAAAAAGACACAGACAACGAGGCATGTAACAACATAAACAACAGAATACTATTTGGCCTTTTGCACCTTTTTGGCATGAACAACTTTTGGTAGTGGGATGGCGGGAAGGAGGAGGAATCTCCCCGGGATGAGCTGTGTGCGCCGCGAGAGATCTTTATTTCGGGTCGAGGCGGCGGCCGATCGACCAAGACGACAACGCCCCGAAAGGCACAATTAAAATTTCACGCTTTCCATTCTGGACGTGAGAGGGGAGCGGGCCTGTGGCCAGCAGGACCAAAAAAAGCCACCACCTAGGAATCGAAAAGACAACAAAAAACACACATTGACCATTTTTGGGCTTACATTTTGGCCAGCGAACGAAAAGAGTGCGGCGGCATTTTCGCTTTGAGGCAAACCCAGGAGCAATCTTTCAGTGGCGGTGCACTTGAAACAAAGGTTGGCCCACAAACTTGGCAATTGTTAGCCTTGCAACAACCAAAAGTATTTGGCATCTCTATTAAACACAAGTTAATTAACTATCATAATAAAAAGTAGTAATCAAAATGCTTGCAGATAAAATTAAAATATACTAAACGCCATTTAAAACTATTTTAATTATAGTTACAAATAAAACAAAAAAATCATTGTAATAATATATTTATAACTGCGGTATGTTCAGAATTGCATTAAGCATTGTTATTTCATTTAACAATATCAATTTATTGTGTATAAAAAGTTTTTAAAACTTTAATACTACATTAATTTACTTATTTAATTTAAAATAGCTTAGTTCAATTAAAGGATTAATAACTTTTTTGCAGCTTGCAAGATGCTTCCAAAAGACGACAAGGTGGATCTTCAACATTATTTTCACAAAGCAAACACCCCTTTTAAAGCATAACCAATTTTTTTTATAAAAGTATACATTTGTATCCAATACAAGAATACTGCTACTGCTGCAGCTTAAGCTAGTTGTAAACTAATTTTTAAAATGTTTATATCAACATAACCCCCATAGTTGTGCTACAAAAACCGTTGGCAATCTGACAGAGTTGCCAGATTGGTGAAACTTTACCATGTACTTAGCTGCTAGGTGGCATTTGTTTTCTATTCAGCAGTATGGTAGCTCTGGTGTATTTCAGTAATGCACAACACTTAAAGGCACAGCTGATTGCGACAATCGATATTTACCACAATTTACGAAACATCGCGTATACGCACTTGTGTTTATTTGTTTGCATATTAAGCATACGTACAGTGGTGCAAACTGTAAGTTTAACAAAAACTATTTGCACTTTAGAAATCCTAAATAATAAAACACCTTACCAAATCATACACAAAACAGTGATTTTTAATGCAAATATATATTTTAATTCTTAAAAAAGTAGAGAACAAATATAATGCATTCAAAAAATATGTATTAAAATATTGTTGATATGTGAGGTTCTTAAATCATAATGCTTACATATTATTTTAAAAAGTTGAGTGACATAGAATATGTATTAACCACATTTAACAATGATTGGTTTTCTTTATTGAAATTTTTTTTTAGATATATAGTAGTTATAAAAATCTGATTCGCAAAAAGAGTGGGTTTAAATAAATAATCGATGCTTTGCCCTTTTGTAATTACGCATTTAGCCAGATTTATTTACCAACCGCACACAAAACAAAAAAAAACACAAACAAGATCAGAAGAGCATTTAAGAGCAATATGCTCTCTTAATGTATCACTCAATGCGGGAAAAAACGAAACCGCTGGATTTGGCAAACACCTTTTCAGTCCGCTGAGAACCTCCATTGAAATCGGTTGTGTGCTGCGCGCCAGTGAAAAATCCCCAAAGCAATATATTATCACCGCAAAAAGCGGCTACCCAAACAAAACAAAAACACAGAGCATTGCCAAATAAAAACAACAGAGACACAGACAAAATGGACAGACAAACCGTCAATTGAAAACAAATAGTACAATGAAGTTTTATTTTTGGATCAGTTGGACTCTCGGCAAGTAAAGGTAAAGCCAAATCAAGTCCAAATATATTCGTAATCTGCGTAGGCCAAGCGACCTAATTTCGACGCTAAGTATTTCCCCTGGCTTTATGCCTTTTTTTTTTGTTTTTTGCGATCTCGTTTTTTTTTTTTTTTTGCTGGCCAATATGAGCAATTTGTGCTGCAAGTGCGAAAGATGGAATTTCATTCGCTGCTTCCTTTTATGGTAAGAGTTGATAAACTGACAACTCTGAGGGTTCTGCGCATGAGCTTTAGCTTTAGCTTTAGCTGTGTGATATAACTGGCGAATCGGTCAAATGCACTTGCATAAATGCACGTGTCGGCGGATTTTTTGTCGCTTTTGCCGTTGTTATTTTTTGCCAAATAATGGAAAAATCTGATTTCCTTTGCGGCCGACGTCTGAACGCGTCGTTTACCTAACAGCTTTCCATTCTGACGCCCACGGGCAAATTTAATTACTATATGTCTGCATTTAGTTGCCCAGACCGATAGTTCATTCGCTTGCACCGAAGTACAGATATGAACAGCTCGATAGTGGTTGTAACTAAGTTTATTTAACTGCTGAAAATTCTTAACCCCTTCAGTTGACCTTAAAGATTTAATTTTTGGTACCTTATTATGTTAATTTTATTATTGATTTAATAAAATCAACAGTGAACACTTCTAGAATACACAAACAAACATGTTATTTAATTTAATTAATGCAATGATTCTCTTAACACTCAAAACAAAACCGCTTTCACATGAGCAAACAGTTTACAACATAGTAAAAACGAAAAGCATTGCGATAAAATCGCGTTAAATAAAAATATATTTCACAAGCGTTGTAAAGCGCTGAAACGCAGAAAGGCAAACTACACACCTGCCAATTCAGCATTATTATTTTGGCCCAAAATGTGTGCATCGGCTGGCGGCTCTCCATGTGCCTTTCCATGTTTCCTTGTGTGTGGTATCAAAAGTGAAGAGTTATCAGGCAATCAGTTTTGGCATATGTTATAACACACTTATCGTGCGAATCGAAGAAAATAACGCAGGTAGCGTGTTTGGGCGGTAATCAGAGTGTACTTGGCAACTTGGTTACAACTTCGGCTACAAGCCAAAAAAATCTCTGATAGAAATCATTTTGGCAGACAAATAGACCAGATTTCAAATGGAACGAGGTCGCTATTACTTTTGTCAAAAATACCAAGGTAAATAAGATAAGATAAAAGTGCATATCAGGGCCAAAACCACAAAGTGTCTGCGTGCAATTCATTTCGACTGCTGTCCAAATGCACTTTCAATTATTTAAAGAAGAATAAAACTATCACCTGTGTATGTTAAATATATCTAATTAGATTAGATAAGAGTGCATCTCCATGGCAAAAATTATTTAAGGGGATTCACGCCGTAAGCGAGTTCAGTTTGTTTAAGACCATTGTGCTCGTAAGTTATTCCGTAACGGAAGTATTATAAATTGCTTTTTTCCTGGAATTGCCAAATTAGGGAAACTATAAATAAAGGTGCATTTAAAGATAACTTATAAATAAATGAAGGTTCTTTAAATATACCTTATCAATATTGAAACAATTTCTACATTTTTTATTTATTTTTAACTTTCCAGAGATTTTGTGCGCCCCAACTAAACTGTGAAAAGGAAAACAGTTTCCCACAAGTTTAACAACAAATTAAAGATATATATACTCTGATATATATTTAATAAATTTTTGGACTTTGATCGAAGTGCTCACGTGAGATGGCCAAGTTAATATTATTGTTATTATGCTGCTCCCGTTGGATTCTCAACTCAAGTGGTGAGTAAATAGTGCCAAAATTAGTTCATTAATCGTGAATCACTCATCGGATAATTCAGATGTTTCGGATTTGTTTACTTTTAACCCTGTTCCCATACTTTCCATTAAAAAATTAAAACATGAAGCCTACGTCACAGCGACGGCATCATGGGTCTATATATATCGCGTAAATCTTTCCCATGACGTGTTGGAAACTATCTATAGCGTCGATTTTTGGCCATATGCCATGCGGATCTCCCCCTCTTCTTCATTCTCTGCATACCGATTTTTTGTTTTTCTTATTTCTTTATTTGTTGTTGTTTTTCTACCCAAAAGCACATGTTGCTGCGCCGATTTTGTTGTTTGTGGTTTGTGCTTTTGTTCTTTTCTGTTTTGTTTGTGAATTTCATTGATAATTCAAATGGCATCGTATCATCGGAGTGTTTGTGTTTTCGGTTGTATTTTTATACCCGTTACTCGTAGCGTAAAAAAGGCATGTTGTATTTGAAATAAATTATTTAATTATATAATATTAAACTCTAAATAGTATTTGTGATCAGAAGCATTAGCGGAATTATAACCTTGAAAGTAAAGATTTGTGGGTTTATTAACAGATATCACAAAGTCGGGCAAATATAACGTTCTCTTTTGTTTTTTTATTTGATTTCGTGTTTTTGGGGCATTTCTCAATATATTGTTTATTTTCATTCGATTCGTTTTTGTTTGGCTTTCGCTGGCGTATGTTTTTCTATGAACCAAACTGACCTTGATAGTGGATCTCGAAGGGCATGGACAAGCTTTTGTTTAAATTAACTACCTGAAGTGCGTCACAAAATCTTTGTGGGGGAATCCAAAATGTGAAAATGTTTTGACCCCCGATAAATAAAGATTAAATTCCGCCATATGTAGAGTTAATATAAACAAAGGAGTTTAAAGGAAAAACAAGAATTTACCTTTTAAAGCAATTAATGAACTGCTTTACTTTGCCTAAGACAACGATTTTCGTATTGTATCCAATTTTGAAAACATTGTTCGTTATCTACAATTAGGGAATTTCCGATTCCCAACACATATCTTTTAATAAACCAACTTTTGACAATTATTTTTTACAAGTGCACATTGATCGTTATAAACCGTATAAATATCAATAATAAATGGACATGGTGAGATTACTTTTTGCAAATAGAATTCTGCAAATACGCAAAAGCAAAAGATAACATATCGCCCGAACCAAAATAATTTCTAAGTGAGGCCCAACATTTTTTCCTTTGGCTGTTGACTTTGTGATTAATGCTGAAAATAGTTCAAATGCATTTTCCGCTTATTCATCCGATATATAGCGATTCCCCGATCCCCCGATCCACCGTAGATATCTGCGGAAACATGTGTTGATCTACAAAAACTAATGAACTTAACCTTGAGTTTGGAGTGGAGTCTTGATTTTTATGGAAAGGCCAGGAGTGTGTGGAATTCCATCTTAATCTGCGGCGTTCTTATCGAAGCGGTGCGAATGGGTGACAAACGACAGATAGTCTGTTATACAGCGTGTTTGTTACGTATATAAGGTTGATAAACACACAGTCTTGTACAGTCCAACTGGCAGTTGTTGTTGCCGTGTTTGCCCAACAAATTCCAACCAGATGAATACGATAAGTGAACTTAGAACGGCCAAAACAAAGGAATATAGCCACTGGGTTTCAGCCGCTTTTCACCCACTCGCTGGCGGGGCAATAAAGAAAAATAACTTTCCACGGCTGGCCAGCCACCCGGAATAGTTTTCCATTACCTGATGAAATTATAATCTGATATTCGTGCAAGGAATTTCTACGGAAAGGTTGCCTTGTAGATTGAGTTATTATAGTTAAGTGGATTTGTTTTCTACAAGATTTAGTTAAGTAAAAAAAAAGGAATAAAATATTGAATAAAGTAAATATAATTCCTTGAAATTAAAAATCACAAATAGTGCATTCTAACAAAACCTTAAATTCAGAATTCATTTCCCCTTTTCATAAACTTTTTTCCATTGAAGAATTTGTTCTGAGTGCATTGACTTTTCGGCTAACCTCTCAGAAAAATGCTTGCTGACTAACCCGCTAAGTGAGCCATTTAGACCTGACTCCCCTCATTCAGTTACTAGGGGTGGCTGTTATATTTTGGCCTAGAATTCCCCGACCTAAATGGCTTTTGGGTTATGTCACCGTACTCCCACCACTCCAGACTTTGTTGTGGCAAATGCAAATGCGAATGGATATGGAAATGGGACAGGGAAATGACTGACCCAAAACACTTTCTTTTTTATTTTATGGCTGGCCTTGACGAAGGTTTTCCTTCTGACTAAGTCAATACAAATTTGACTAGAGTTTCTTTCGATGGTGAAAATATTGATGACGAATTCGGACGTCAATAAATGATAAGTAGACTTTGCTCACTTGACTTTTCGCGGTGCGAGAAGGAATTCACCAGGGGCAATTCTCAAAAGAAAGAATTGGGAATGCGAACGAGATTCTGTGGCCATGACATTGCAGACTTTCGGGCAAAAGGCGGGTGTTTTTATTTTTTCTTTCTTTTTCACTTGGCTCTCGATAAACGCTGTTCTATTTATGCTCTGCTAAATATCTTTTGTGGGCAGACTCACGTCATTTCTTAATTTGATTGGCCGGCACTCGAAAAGGGGCCTGAGCTCTCTTAATCTATTATTTTCTGCACTCGCATTATCAGCAAGTCAGTCTGTTTATAATATACAAAAGAGTTTGCGAATTGGATTGTTCACACTCTGTAATCTTTTGCTATTTTGTTTATTTGTTTTTTTCTTTTCATTTAAATAAGTAGGAGGTTATTTACACTTATTTCTTATCTACTTGGAATGCAGCTAGCTAATAAACCAGGGTAAAAAATTAACTACTTTTGTATTGGGATTTCTAAATCTTTAAATTATGGTTTTACCCAATCGGTATTTATGTATTTTTAATTATCAATGAAGTGCAGAATTCAGTAAGTCCCTCGAAACTGTGTTCAACCATATTTACATATGTATTTATTTTATCTGATTTCAACTACAAGCTAAATCTCATAAATTATGGATAGTTTAATTAACAGTGAAGTGCAGAAATCAGTCAACCAGTTTGATGCCAAATTCCACACTCGTGAATCATCGAGTTATTTGGAAATGTGGAGCAAAAAAAAATTTGAAAGTCATGGATGGCAGTGAAATTTTTTCGGGGGAAACAACATCGTATCGTAGGGTTCAATGATAAATATAGATATTCCTTTTTGATATCCACAAGGCATATCCACCTTAAAGCGAATGGCCCAGATAGGCGTCTAATCTGAATTTGTAGCAGGCATAAATCCCATGCCAAAGTTATTAGTCATTGCCGCCGACTATTAGTCATGGAAACGCATAAATATAGTAAAGTATTTGCCCCTGGTTAATGTACTTTTCGGTGTGCTTTATTTGAAATATTTCTCTCTTTACGATCGTCTCATCACCTCGGCATCCACGCTGGCTTTGATCAGGCCAATGTTCCTGCTCAGCTGGAAGACCAATTTCGTGTTGAACTTCATGTCTGGCATTAAGGCCGGAAAGTGATCCGGATTGAGGGCGAAACGCGTGGACGTATAGTTGACATTCTGCGGATGGAGAGACCAGAACCAGAGAACCTGTTAGCGAATGAAAATGATATTTTTCGAAGCGATTTGGGTTTCATTCAGACTTTCGTTTCGTTTCGTCGGAATCGTCGCTCTGGTTTTTCCTTCAATGCGCAATTAATTTTGTTTATGCATACCATTTGTTTATTTTCCCGTTTTTTAATGATAGCGGTGTATTTTTGAACAATCGTATAGATAGCTCTGTTTATTTGCGAGAACATTTGACTAATTTGTTGCTCTATTTACGCGCAGCTCGTAAAGATAAAGATTACGGGAAATTTTCATCAGATTTTGACTTTGAGTAGGTCAGAAATTGTTTGGCTGCTAAGTATTCAATGTGTAATCAGGTGCTTCAGTTTTTTTGGGTTTGACTGTTTTCTTTTTAAGTTAGGAAAAATAAACTAAGTAAAAAAAGTATAAAGAACATTATAATTGTATTTGCTCAAGTGTTTTTTTATAGTCTGATAAAATTGAACCATGAAATCATATAAATATTGACACATTTAATTTATTTCCGTATTAATAAAACAAATTTAACATGTTTTTAGCATGTTGAGCCATTTATTTGAATTGAACCTTAAAAAAGACACAATTAAATCGTTACATTTGTGAACATATTATTGTTTAAGGTCAGAAAAACCAGTTTAAGTTAAGTAAAAACACAAGTCATGAACAGATTGCGTTTGAAATGCATCGCCCAAAAATCGCTTTTCTGGAAACAATCACAAATTTGCATACTGCAATGCTACGTGATTTGATTTACCAATTATGATGGATTGATATATGTAAGAGATTCGAGGAATATATGAACTTACCGCCAATAGGGGACAGGCATCTGGATAGTTCCCCGATTGCAGTAGCTTCTTGAGAACGGCATTCAGAATTCTGTTCGTGCTCTGAAACCCAATTAGGTGACAGCCATCCACACGAATTTTTAGGACATGCTGGAGAAGTCGATCCTTCCTGTTGGCGATCTGACCCACACTCAGTTCCACCCACATCTTGTGGACAGGACGACGCAGCAGGAGCAGGGTGTTCAGGAAATTTCCCCGCCTCTTCGGCATTTCCACAATTTCGCATTTGAAGATTTCCGCCGTTGCGGGATCAACGACCGAACAGTTGATGTCCCGCCAGCGAATCTCGAAATCGCGCTACAAGTGGGTGAGCCCATTAAATAAATGCGCATCATATGCTGAATTTATAAACCTATGGTCTTAGTCACGGTAGCTACTTTCAGAAGAGAATAGCGAAAATTGCATCTCATTCTCTTTGTTTGAGCATTTTTATATTTAAGTGCATCTTTCGGTTCTTGGGAAACAACTTATTAAAAGTTGGATATATCCTCTTTTGACAAATTTATTTTGGCAGGAGGTTTATTAGAATTAAATTTTGTTTTCGAATGTGTTTGCTTGAGGCTTGTGCTAATTAATGACTAATTAAAACGTCACGTACAAGCCAAAAGACATTGTAAATAAAATATGGTCAGTGGTAAACAAAATGTTGAATATATGATAAAATATAATGTGCACACAATTCTTTTTTCTGTCACGCTGTTCTTACAAAGTTGAATGGGTTATTTAATAATTTATGTATTGAAAATAATTTTTAAATAATTATGTTTAGGAGGTATTGTACATACGGTTGCCAATGATGGCTGCCATAGAACAGGCAGTACAGCAGTACAGCATAATAATCCCAGCAGAATGGCGTCAGTCATCGTACTAACGATGCCCATTGAAAGACAACACATTGCGGCCCCAGTGCAGTAATTATTAAAAAATAATTATTATTATTTTGTGTACACAACATATAAATTGAATATCGGCGCACATCTGTTTGCCTGCTCTCGTTTCTCCTTTTTGATTTTTTTTTTATTTTTGGATAGCGAGGGGATCGGAAATACGGGGTGGTTGTCATTAATCAGGCATTTTACGCCGTGCCGTATAATTTAATTGTAATTGTGCAATTTGTACAAAATAATGCGAAATAATCACCGGGGGACACCCATCCCACCATCGAAATTCATGGCTTTTTTTTATTTTTATTTTTGCATATGAAATAATTCGCGATGTCGTGTTGCGGTTATATTGCCACATTTGCTTGTTTGCCAGAAAGAGAAACGCGAATTTGATTATTTTAGAATATTTATTGAATTGCTAACACGTATATGGATTATTTCAGCTAATGTCCAAGTGATGTATATGATTGTTAAAGAAATATGCATTTATAATTGCTTGTGGTTGTATTGTTTGATTTTTGAAATTCCCGAAATTCTTTCCTTTGCTTTATTTGCATAAATATTCTTTTAAGTCGCAGTCTCTATTATAATAGCTCTAACTAATTAGTTAATAACCTTCGATATACGTAGAAGAGAAGCCAAATGAATCGAGTAGCGACACGCATTAGTTAATTTTCTGTGCCATTTGCAGCGCTTACCTTTCGCATATGGCTGACTTCAGTTTGCACTTATAATTAATGATGTGCGCTCGAATATATATTTGCCGAGTGTGTATGGTAGCCCCTCTACTATAATTGATCTATAATTAAGATAAGGTTTACTACGCCTGTCGCCGCCGGCTTAAACGGGGCCAAAAAAAAAGTAAAAAATAGAAAGCGTTGAGCGTACGAAAATGTTTTGTTTACGCAATTCTAACGAATTAGTTGGCCACTTATAGACTCTGCTCTCCAGCTGTTGCTCAGTTGGTAATATCAAAAGGTATGGTAGGAAGTATTGGCAAAAGGAGAAGGAACGTTAATGTGGCCGGCCGGCTAATAGCTAATGGCTAATGGGTAATGCCAACCGTGAAGCGAACTGAACAATCGGTGAACTCTCTTAATTGGTAGCCATGCGGAAGGCAACCAAATCTGGAGTGACGAACGATTATTTGCTCTACATGCTGGCGATTAAAATAAATCGCATAAATTACGCTTACTTAGGACGTGTGAGTGAGGTCCGCAGAAAAGATTGATTACTTCTGTTCTGTTAGAATGGAACAAATTCACAAAATACTATATATGTAGTACGTACTGATTACCGCAGGTCTGATGTCACATTTTTCGGCATGCTACACTTGGATTATATCGCCGTTTAATTTGCGTGTGATTAAATCACATCTGTCATAGTTTATTTTAATTTTGAAAGCTGTTGTTTACGATCGCCGAACTCAATGGGAGTGCTCACCATACAGTTCAGTTAATAAAATAATCAACACTAGAGTAAGCTGTATTTAAATGGGAATTATTTTAGTTAATTCATCATGCATGGTTGGTTGACTCTATTTAATTGGAAATGATGATAGGTGTATCCACATTTATTAAACTAATTTGGTCTCTTAAATATACATTAATCATTTTTACAAGTTATGTATTTATAATTAATAAAATTAAAGGGATTTTTATTTATTTAATCATACTTCAAAGTTTAGTTAACCTTTCACCTTCTTATTCCAGATTAAGTCACTACTTTTCTATGACTCATCTCCTTTTAAATCACTGTGATTCATCGCTTGTAAATCACTGTTTAACTAATAGTTGTCTTCCTGGTTTTCGGGTCACTAAAGTCACCGTTTTATGACCGCCTTAATGACCGAAAGTTCGCTTAAAATGTCATAAAATGTACAAAAATATGATAATTCCCGACAGAAAATTAGATTCGCCATCAGCAAATTATCAAAGAGACACTTTTTCAATGTTCACGGTGATTGACGTGAATGGGCAAAGCAGAAATAAGCAGCCAAATGGCAAAAGTAAATAGTTTCTCGTTTTGTTTTCGGCTTGAAGCGAACTTGAACGGTCTCTAATTACTCCATCAACTATTTGGCCGTTTTGTCGCTTGTAACGGCTAACATCTTGGGGAACTTACTATATGGTATATACACCCCTTCCCTCCTCCCAAAAAGACGACCTTTTAGATAGTAGTTAAAAGTAGACGTCGACCTCCTCCCCTTGATTTTTGCTTTTGTTTTTGTTTTTAGTATTTTGTCGTGTAATGTTCGTTTTGTTTGGTTTAAGTAACTTTGCATGTCAACTAGCGTGTCAGGAGGGGAAAAATAAATGCGAAACAAAAATAAGCGACTGCTAATTGTGCTGGAATTTATTTTCGTCGTATCTGTATCTGGTTTTTGTGAGCTGCTCCTCGGCTCCTCACTGACTGAATTGCATTTTTGCATGCCGGCCTTCGGCTGTAGATCAATCAAAGAGAAATATGGATCGCCTCGTTCGCAGCTTCAAAGTATCCGTATCTCGGCATCTCAGTGTCCGTGTATTCGTATCTGTATCTGTGTATCTGTGTTTATCTGCAGCTGTATGGGTGGCCAGACCGGTGACGTAAGTGGGCAGTAGCACTTCTGCCGGTGCTCCCCTATACTCGCACTCGTACAATCATCATAATCGCAACCATAATGATCATCGACGGTCGCCAGAGATCTCCGCTAATGAGCCCCGACCCATTTATAAGGCGGATATGTGCTTAGGTAATTTGCATTGAATTTTTGTAACCTTTGGAACTTGAAAACCCCCCATTCCCCTCCCCCATTCCAACGCCCCACCACCGTCTCATGTCTCTTTTTTATATTCCCGTTTTATTTATTTTCTGCTGACCCAAAGGCGATAAAAAATTACCACTATCCGTTTGGGTCAATAAACCCGCAGTGCAAAACGAAAAAAAAAAAACTGAATTATAACAAATAAATGAATAACGAGAGAAAAGATAGCAATATACCTTGCACACTGGCATTTTATTGTCGAGCGAAGCATTTAATTATAAACGTTTATGTTTCAGTAAAAAACCCATTTCTCCAGAAACTAGATTCAGAATGAAATTGTTTTTCGGTTGTAGACCAGGTTTTGTTGTTTCGGTTAAATGGTGTAAAGTTATTACAAGGAAAAACGAAGAGAACGATCTAGTTATAAAACTATGTATTAAAAATATTAAAATTAGTAAAGAAGGTATTCATCCAAAGGATCATGTAATCTTCACTTTTGCTTATGAACTAAGACGTACTTTCTGTTGATAAATAGTTTTCAAAAATATACTATGAAAATATTATGATCTCTTCTTGTTTGTCAACAACGCTGGATACTTATAAATAGACGACAAACAAGTAAAGAGATGTCAAGGTATTCCAAAAATTTTTATTGATCCCAGCACGCAGAGTTCCCTGACATTTTCAGCGCCCTTCTATGCGCTTCTCAGAGAATCGAGTATTGTCACGCACACATGACCATACACATGAATAATTGCCCCGTCTGCTGGCTGTCATATAGAAAGATCGCTCCGACCTGATAGCCAAAGAATAAAGCCACAACAACGAAAGCAACAACTTATATCTATTTTAAATTACGTTCAATTAAATGCGCTTCACCTACAAAGTCTGCGACAGTGACGTCAATATCGAAAATAATTGATAACCTTCGATCACGATCGGGAAGAGTTTGTAACGAGTTCTGATGCGACGCATATTTGTAACAAAACTTTACCACGCTAAATTAATAACACAACACCACCAGCACAATTGGGTCTATATTGACTCAATGAAACGATCGATCCAATATAAGGCAGGGCTCCAAATCTTTTGGGCTTTTTGTTTGGCCGTGCAATTGTATAGATAGCTTTTCGTCTTCGCACTGTTATTGTACTTTGCCATTCCCATTTTTATCGCTCTGGCGCCTTCTTCCCCCTTTTATACATAATTCAATGATAAAATGTCAAAAATCAATAACAATAAATAAATGATAAACGAGAGTGTGACTCCCAGTACTTTGTATTCAGGCAAATACCAAATTTCATTCTGTTTGTTTTGATTGTGCTTCAGCTTTCTTTTGAGAAATTTCCTAAGAGTGTGCCTAATCAAATTGCCATTTTTATAAATTTACCTCTAGATTTATTGAATAAATCAGGGGCTATATGGTTAGCGGTGTGGAATGCGATTTTCAAGATCGATCGATATGCTAATATTGAGCTTGAAGGGCATTTAAATCAGATCGGAATTTGTAGGGTCTCCGTGGAGTATCGAATTTCTGTTCTGTGAAGAACATTGTTGATATTAATGCTAATTCATCGATTTACAATTTCAATATTTGATCGTCTTGTGTGGTAAAAATAGGCTTGTAATTCAAAGGGAGACACTTAAATGTAAATGGGAATTTATGGAGCTTTTAATATTTAAAATTAAAGTAGAAATTTTAAACCCCTCTCTTATTTTAGAATTGCCATAGCTCATCTTCTACTTCTTAAGATATAAATGTATCTCTTTATACTTCGTTTATTCCCAATTAAAATATAATATTTTCTTTATTTTTAGCTCTACCCATTATCGATCCTGATGAACAGAATGAAGCTCTGGTTGAGCTGTGTCCACCGGACAGTCACCGGGATTTCCTGGGAGATTTCCTGGGAGATTGCCAGTGTCTGCCTTGCGAGAAGGATTTCCCTGTTTGCGACAAAGTCTTGGTGGAGGTGGACAAGGGAAATGGACTGCCCGGAAGCTGTTGTCCTCGATACGAATGTCGAGATGTAGAACCCATCTGCGATGATGCAAAAATGAGGTTCTATAAAAACAAGTGCACCGTGTGCGATCCGTGCGAACCTCATATTGTGCAATGCAAGGAAATCTGTCAATTGGAGGAACACTTAACCAATTGTTTAACCGATGATGGAGATTTCAAAGAACTTTACGAAGTCTGGACCGAGAATAATGGATGCAAAACGTGCACTTGTCTGGGTGATAATGATACATCCTGTCAAACGCATCAATGCGCTCAAGTTTCGTGCACCAATCCCATTTCGGTGGAGGGTCAATGCTGTTTAATTTGCCCGGAGGAACTGGATGAGAATGGCTTTTATTATGGCCACTTGCCGATGGGTGGCACCACCAAGGGTCCTCAAATTATGGAGGGAGATTCAAGTGCCGAGGAGGAAACTACAGCAACAGAAAATACGACTCTCATTTCGACTACGAGCGAAACCTCCACTGCATCCACTGAAAGTTCCACATCCACTTCGGTTTCAAGCGATTTATCCAGTAAAGCTACTAACTCTACTTCATCAGTGGAGGTTTCCTCGCCAATTCCGGCTACAACGGAATCCTCAAGTTCAGCTAAGACGAATGTGGAATCCACTACTGAACCTGTCGTAATAATAGTTACTTCGGAATCGCCGGATCTCAAAGATCTCACAGAAATCGATGTGGAAACTTCAAGTTCCGATTCTACAATAGAAACTACAACAAATCTAACCACAACCAACGAATCAGATTCAGAAACTACCACAGATTCAAGCACACCAATCGAACCCGTAACTTCCACAGAGGATCATATTACCGAAACTGATTTTATTTCTGAGACCACCAATGACAAAAAGATTGAGAAACCCACTGAGGACGAGCGAAATGCAGTGAACTATTCAGTGGTAACCGATTATCCGATTACCCATCAGCCAGCCGCTGTTGCTCCCGAATCCACCAGCCAGGTCAAGGATCTCGACGATAGCGAAGACCTCTACAACAAATCTGCCTTCAAAAATGATATAGAAGTGCCGCAGGAACAAATCAAAACCGATTTCACCTGGGTTTACTTACTGTCTGGATGTATCCTAGTGTTTGTTTTCTTTTTAATTATCTGGGCATATAGGAACTATTTCGAGAGCAAAAAAATCAAATACGACGCGGACTCCACAACCACTGTAACCAAACAGCCCCGTGAGAGTGTTGCACTCCTCAATCCGGTTCGAAAGTGAAATGATACGAGTGAAAACGAAGCATTAGTTGTGATTCCTGCACAGAGAAAATCATAGTATCAGTTTCAGGTTGCCATCTCAGTTTATCATAATATTTAAAAAACAAACGAAAACAAAATCATAACATTTTTGACATGCCACAGATAGAAACTATTTGAATACAAAAAGATATTTTTTCTCTGTGTGATTTCCACCCTCCCGCAGACTGATTTTTGATCTTGAAATGCTTTCGCCTAGCTTCAGCTAGGGAAAATTATACCAAAATAGTGGAAGAAGTCTGCATGTTAATAATACTTAGTAAAAAGAAAACTAAATTCGGTGTCAGTCAAGAGAGCAGAGTCAATTGATATCACAGAATTTAGGGACAATCCACAGACATTGAATGAAGCCGAGCCGATCGATCAATGACGACCCTTGCTAGCTATTTAGATTTACGTTATGCTCAAATCATTAAGTAAGGCGATTAGGTCAAGCGTTAAGACAAACTACGTTAATGTGATAGTTTTAAATAGCTAAAGTGAGTAAATCATTTTAGGAACACAAATGTTAATGTAATTGGAAAGTATTAGTAGGAAACTCTTTAGTTTGATTGTAAATTATGATTACCGATTACCGTACGACCAGGATTTTAGCATTAGAGTGATTATATATCAGACGCGCACTCATTTTATAAATTATTATACGGACCTATCTAGTTAGTTCCCCCAAAACGCATCAACTACATTCATTCCTTTATAACCGTTTTATTATTATATTTAAGACATTGAAAACAAGAAAAATAAAGAAACCAAAGTTAAACAAAAACAAAAAGTTGTTAAGAACTTGATTGTGGAGTTGGATATGTAAACAATTTGGGTTTTCTTTCTTTGAAAGAGTTTGTATATTCAAATAAGAATGGGTTTTCAGGTTTGGGTTTTGGGGTTTTCATTTTCAGACTAAAATTGTTGTCTTCAATATTTAGGATTTATTTTTAGGATTTTCCTTGGTTATATTTAGGTTACCGTAATCGATTTAACTTTATCAACAATATTTTTTAACACCTCCGCCGTGCTGGAGTCGGGTAGCTCGTCCAATACGGATGTCGTGCTGCCCGCCAAAACTCCTACACGTGGATCAATGGGCAGCGTTCCCAAATGCTGTACTTGGGCGTATCTGGCCAATTCAGCACCGCCATTTGAGGAGAAGATGTTAGTGCAGGTGGTGCAATGGGGACACACGAATCTGGTGAAATTAAATAAAAGATAGTTTAGTCAAAAACGAGGACAGCCTTATGACATATAAAATCCTGGTAGTCACTCACCCGCTCATGTTCTCGACAATGCCCATGATCTTGATGCCGGTTTTCTTGCAGAAAGTTATCTCTTTGCGGACGTCATCCAACGCCACCTCCTGCGGAGTGGTCACAATAATTGCTCCATGGCATTCAATCTCTTTGAGGCACTCCATTACGGTGATGTGCTCATCTGAAGTTCCGGGCGGTGTGTCGATGATCAAATAATCCAAATCATCCCACCTAACATCGTTGATAAATTGCCGGATCATCATGGTCTTCTTGGGACCTCGCCAAATAACAGGATCCTCGCGATTCTTCAACAGAAATCCAATGGACATCACGGCCAGCGTTTGGCTTTCGTCCGAATAGATTGGAACCCATCCCTCGTCGCACTGGTATATATCCCGTCCTTCTAGCCCTAATAGATATGGCACACTGGGTCCACATAGATCTATATCCAGCAAACCAATCTTGTTAAATAAAGAACTTTTTTAAAGTTACTGTGTCATGTTTTGTGGTGAAATTGTATGGCCTACCTTAAGTCCTTCTCTTCGCAGTGCCAGTGCAAGTTGAGTGCTTACTGTGGATTTTCCAACACCGCCTTTTCCGGAGAGCACTACGATAACGTTTTTCACCTTATCCAGCATTTTAGTGCGCTTTTTTAGGAGAAATCCGAGAAAACAATACAATATCGTGGTTTGCTTATTGGTCAACAAGTCAAATCAGCTGTTCCAGGGATGAATTAATTCGGAGGTGGTTGTTCCGGGTTTTTTTAATAAATAATCATAAAAGTCTTTTAAAATAACAAATTTAGTTTCAAAAATATAGAAAAAAATATATTTTGATATGTATTAAATGTAAATAAAGTCTGATAAAGCAACAACACAAATATTTTGTAATAAAATTAAAGTAATTTCTCATTTATTAAAAATCAAAGCTCAATCTCGGAACACCTTTATCGTTCAGCAATTCGTCTGGCAACTTTCCTGTTATCAAGTCGACAGTCCCGTCAGTCTGGCAACGCTACTGCCGGCTAGTGTCGATTTTTATTGGTCCGAGTCGCGCGCAGCATGTTAATTGACAACAACGGACGGTAGCTGGCGAATGATAAAATAAACGTGCGCCGATCGAAGCAGAATCGAGGATCCAGGACCCGCCCGCTCTCAATAGCAACCGAGGATTCCCGATACGGAAGCCAAAGAAACGGCGAGGAACCGAAAAACAGTGGGGGCCTTGGAATTAATCGAATGTTGCGCAACCTTCTGTCCCCGCATGTACTTAGCCACCGAACCGATTCCGATTCCGTACCAGCAACCACCTAACAACAACCACATCACGCCATCCATTCACTTACATCTGATAATCGAATTTAGTTAGGCGATGAAGAAACGCTCCAATTCACGTGGCACCCCGCCGAAGGGCGATGTGGTCACCTCCTCCTCATCCTCCGCCGCCGGCGATGCCGAGGGGGATCATCCTGCCTACAAATCCGGTGCGGCCAGTGCCCCGGCCACGCCCACAAAGCGACGGGATGGCAGCGATGGGAGTGGCAGCAGTGCGGGCGCCAGGCGGAAACGCAAGGAGGAGATCGCTCAGACTTTTGTGATCGTTAACGAACGTCCCGTGGACGACATTTCACTGGACTTCTTCTACAAACCCCATACCATCACCCTGCTGGCTGTATCAGTGCTCGCCGTTATGTACTTCGCATTCGTCAGGTAAGATATGAGTCCCAAATCGAAAAATCCGCTTGGATATCACGCCACAAATCTTCTGAAAGAATAAATAGATCTCTAGAACATATTTTTATCATTAGATATCATTATATCCAAGTATTTAAGTTAACGATTAATTAACCCCAAATAGAAAATGTCCCAATTTATATTTCATAACGAGCAGTGCTTTTTGCAAATTTATATTTATTTTGACCTTACGTACTTTGCTTCGTCAAGTGAAATAGCAGTGAAAAATCGGTTATTTCTATATGTCTGTTAGTTAACCCTAGAAAACCATATGAGGTGTCAACTTTTTAACGGAAAATTTTCGAAAGGCTTTTGCTGTCAATTCCGATTAGCACTTTTTTCTATGATGGGCATATTAAGCTTATTAACAATAGTTTCCCTCTTATCAGTATCAAGTTCAATAATTGTTTAATAAAATATAATATAAACAAATTTTGGCATGTTAAAAAATCCCATGGTAACATGGTATCATAGGCGTTCATAGAAACTTAATTGTATATTTTCAAAAGCTACAGTAACTTAGAAGTAAATGTATCCTTATATTCAACGGAACTTCCACCTGCTCTCATTTTCATCGAAATCTGTTCTTTGTTTTCTTATCTTGAAAAAACTTTCAAGCATATCATTACATTAAATCAAAAATCTGCTCCACGTGCCTTCTTAGTACACAGATTAGTTGTTGTGCAGCGGTTTAACGCTTAAAAATATCACACATACTCTGCCAAAAGTGTCAAGTCAGACAGCTGAAGGCTCAAAAACCAAAAAAAAAAATATATATATATATGCGCAATACTCGCGTACACTATATAGTAGAAACAACTAAGACACCGACGTAATGCTCTTGACGTTCACTTCACCGTGTCATTGACCCCCAAAACCCCATCGAAAAACGTGCTATGCTGATAAGGAATACTATGACTGAAATAGTAGCGTCAATGGAATCCAAGATCATCTACTTAGCAATGCAATATCGTTACAGAAACGAGGCGAACGTGGATGAGAATCTCTGGGCCGGCCTTCTTTGCATTGTGTTCTTCTTTTTGATTATTTCGGTGATTGCATTTCCCAATGGACCCTTCACGCGTCCCCATCCCGCCGTCTGGCGGATTCTATTCGGATGCTCTGTGCTGTATCTGCTGACGCTGCAATTCCTTATGTTCCAAAATTATCCGACTATCAGGAGCATATTTTACTGGATCGATCCGAAGTTGAAAAACTTCCACATCGACATGGAAAAGGTGAGAACATTAAATTATTATTTATTATTATTATTATTATTACCCATTTGTTTTCTTTTATCAGGAATATGGCGTCAATTGCTCGGACATCAGTTGGGACCGTGTAAAGGGTCATCTGGACGTCTTCGCCTGGGGCCATTTCCTGGGTTGGGCCTTCAAGGCCATTTTGATCCGTCACATGGGCATTCTGTGGGCCATCTCCGTGATGTGGGAGATCACCGAGATCACCTTTGCTCATCTGCTGCCCAACTTCATCGAGTGTTGGTGGGATGCCCTCATCCTGGACGTGATCATCTGCAACGGTCTGGGCATCTGGATGGGCTTAAAGATCTGCCAGATCCTCGAGATGCGCGAGTACAAGTGGGCCAGTATTAAGGACATATCCACCACAACGGGCAAAATCAAGCGTGCCATGCTGCAGTTTACGCCAGAGAGCTGGTCAGCCATCCGCTGGCTAGATCCCAAGTCCACGGCGATGAGATTCGCCGCCGTCATTCAGCTGGTGATCTTTTGGCAGGTCACCGAACTAAACACATTCTTTTTGAAGCACATCTTTGAGATGCCGCCGGATCACTTTATTGTGATCGGTCGCCTCATATTCATCGGACTGTTTGTGGCGCCTTCGGTTAGGTACGTATGCTTCAAGCTTAGTTTTTACTAGATGGAGACTAATTAAGATGATTCTACCAGGCAATATTACGTATACGTCACCGATACGCGCTGCAAGAGAGTCGGCACCCAGTGTTGGGTTTACGGCGCCATCATGGTCTCCGAGGCCATTCTGTGCATCAAGAATGGCAAGGAGTTGTTTGAGCGCACGCAAGCCATCAACATTGTCCTGTGGCTGACTATCCAAGTGATAATCTCGGTGGCATTTGTCTACGTAGCTGTCTATTGGCAGGTATGTCGTCTCATTTCTTTACTTTACTTTGGAGTTATAATTTTGCTGATTCTTTTGTTTTTTTAGCAATGGCAGCTGAAAAAGGTTTCATCTACGCCCTCGAAAAGTACAGAAAGTAATCCTGCCATCTCATCTTCGCCTTCTAAAGGTATGTATTGCCATTAATTAAAGCAGGCAACATTTTGAAGGGTATTAAACTAGAAAGATTCTGCTGTAATCATGAAGGCCTAAATATTTTTGCTAAATGTGGCATAGCAAAAACAGGAGACCTTTTCCTTCCCTTAAATGTTGCCTGCTCTATTACTAACTTTCTTTTTTGCACTCACCGACTTTCGTTAATATTGGCTGAATTACTGGTTAATCATATCGCTCTTTCAACTCCTTGTTCTCAATTTAAAATTTCCTTGCGTTTCTCCCCTTCTCTATCTCTTTTTCCATTTCTCGTCGGATTGCATTGCCACAAATTAAAAAGCACAAGTGCCAAGGAGTAAATCCATTGATGCACCCAACACCACGCACTACGATATTAAAATTAAAATAGTCTAACTAATTATTATTAACTTTTATATCTGCCACTTTTGATCTAAAACGTTTCTATATTGTTTTTCTAGGTAAATTGTCACCGAAGAAAGAGAAGAAAGTAAAGTAAGCACTTGATAAACAAACAAAAACTTGAAAGCTACAAAAACAAAATGGATCAGGCCATTCTATAAAAGAAAAACCAAAACAAAGAAGAGAATTATGTACATACACTTAACAAAAAACTGTACTGATTAAATTAAATACAAAACGTGTAAATATATATATGTATAAAAATATATATATATTTATTTAAAAGACAAACCAAGAAAATACTTGTTAATAAGCGAATATAATGGAATCTATGTTCTAGTGCTAGATTAATACAAACGATTTAATTGTTTTAGCTTAAGTTACAAACCAATCTAGCTTTTCTCGAGTTATGTACAGAAGCGCGATCGATTCTAGACCTCCAAAAAGGCCGAGACTGTCTTCTTGACGGCATCGCGGGCATATGGGATGTATGAGAGCGAGTACCAGGTCATCGCCAGAGATTGTATGATAATAAATATAAGCGTAAGTCCAGCCTTTTTCCACTACAAACGAAAAACAAAGCCAAATTTAAATTTAAAACAACAAAAATTAAAATATAATATTAATAATTCAGCCTAAAGTAATTGAGTTGGATATCTCAGCATAATTTGATCGTTTGCAGGAAACAAGATGTTAAGAAAATTCCGTTTAAGAAAAGCGTTAAATACAAATTTAAATTATATACAGTTTTTTGGGGCCACTGTATCATTAGGTCGAAAATAAAATATAATGATTTTTGATCAAACTATGATATGCATTGTTTTCTTAAATAACACTTTTAAATTTCAAGTCTATCAACGCATTACAAATGATCTGATTATTAAAAGATTTCACATTTCATGAGAGAAGGCAGAAAAGTAATAGTAAAATAATATAAATAATTTACCACAATAGCTGCTATGAAAGTCAGGACCATCATCACGAGCACTATAATTGTAGCTATCAGCCTGGTTTCGGCAAACATTTTCTTGATCTGCTTAAAGGGCCCCATCAAAAAGCAAGTACTGAAACCCGAGAAGTGAAAATTAGCCGGTCTGTGTGAAGTATTTGTTATAAAAGTAACTAGCATACCTCGCCATCGAGATGATATTTCCGAGGGTGTAGAAGACCGCAAAGACCACAATTCCCTTGTGCAAAAATAGGGCAATCGAGCCAAAGAGGGAAAGTAAAATTCCCAATACAAAACAGATGCAGAATCCCTTGATGCGTGTAGACCAACTTAAAGTTGACATCTCGTTAATCTAAGTAAATAATTATGTTGTCAATATTGAAAACTAATTGGGCAAGTTAACTGATAAGCGTTGAGTCACACAGCTTAAGTCGCCATGTGATAAGGGGGCGTTTCCAAGAGTAACTCCAAAAAAAGAGAAAATATTTCCCCATATGGAATATTTATAAATATTTAATGAAATCACTCCGATTGGAAACTTCACCTGTGTAATGATACTGCTCTCCTCTTCCGGAGTGGGCTCATCTCCACTTAGAACACGGCGTAATTTGTCCATGATGATGTGTTTGAAGAAGTATGCTCAACAGGTGGCAGACGTAAGATTCCCCGCTCCGCTCTAAAGATCGGTCAACAAAGAGTTCTGTTTTTATTCTTAGGAATAATTATAATATAGCAAAACCAAGATCGGAGCCAGTGTGACTGTAGCTCGAACCGTTCAAATATACCGTAAGGCTCAGATAACAATAACAAAATAAATTGAATAGTTAATTTTGAAAAATTAAGTTATTTCTCTTTGAAAAGTGTTGCTGGCTTACATTAATGACACAATTTGTTTAATGCGAATATTTTTTAAGCAGTAGCGATTTATTTTATTTTTCCAACTTCCTTTAAAAAAATCCAATTCTAGCCAATTTTAGCTAATATTTATACTTTGGCTTTTTTAAAACCGACAGCTGCTCATATTCGCGCAGTCTGGCAACGCCACACCATGTTTTGTTCAGCAATACGTAAGATTTTATTAAATTCACAAAATGCGGCTAAATACACGGCTATTACGCTACAACTACGAAATCTTCGAGGACAACAAGCGACCCAAAAAGAGGTCGAAGTGTTTTGCTCACAAGATGTAACCAAAGAACGCAATGACAAGGAATCGGAGCCGGCTATTCAAGAAAACTCCAAACAAGTGGCTTTGGATTTTGGAAAACGGGAGGCGCATGTGCCTTCCTTTAATTTGGCGGCCTATGTGAATAACTCCAGTACCTTGCAGCAATTAATAAGCTTAGGAGTGAATCTGCACAGCATCGAAAGGCGTAAAGGACTGGGCGACTTCGTACTTAAGCTGGATTTCGAAAAGAATGTGAAGCCCTATATAACCTTTCTTGTGGATCAGGGAATTTCCCCCGATGACTTCGGCAGGATGTTCACCAAGAATCCATTGCTATTCAAAGAAGATCTGGATGATTTGCAGACCCGTGTCGAGTACCTGAAGAGCAAAAGATTTTCTAATGAAGCGAGGCAGAGGATCCTTACCCATAATCCATATTGGCTGATGTTCTCCACGAAGCGCGTAGATCGTCGATTGGGTTACTTTCAAAAAGAATTTCGGTTGAGTGGTCATGACCTCCGACTTTTGGCCACTAGGGAACCCAATGTAATTACCTACAACATGGAGCACCTGCGGAAGTCCGTTTTTACCCTGAGGGAAGAAATGGGCTTTAATCAAAAGGAACTGAGTGCACTGGTGGTCCGAAAGCCCCGATTAATGATGACTCGTAAGTTATAATAGTCTACAATAGGATGTTCTTGTTTTAAACTAAACCTGTCGTTTACAGCTCCTGATGATCTTATCGAGCGATTCAGTTACATCCACCAGGATATGGGCCTTTCCCATGCTCAAATTGTCCAGTGCCCAGAACTGCTGGCGTCACGAGAATTTCGACTGCGAGAACGTCATGAGTTTTTGAAACTACTAGGCCGAGCTCAGTACGATCCCAAGAAAGATATGTACATCTCTCCCAAAAAAATAGTGGAAGGCAATAACTTTTACTTCCTGCGAAATGTGGCTAAAGGTGATTTAGAAACTTTCGATTTGTTTTTAAAAACTAGATAAAAATACATTCGTTACGTTTTGAAACTATTTTTAAACCTATTTAATTAAGGCAAATAACTTAAGATTTTAAATCTATTATTTTTTCAAGGGCTTTAAAAGCTGTTTAAATATTCATACATTTTTAAAATCAATCAATCTATCCCAGGTTTGAACCATAATTTTATTAGGTGGACGACCAAATATCGACCGGTGATGCCAATAAGGAAACGGGATTTTTAGGGGGATTTCCAGCTATCCGCCATCTGGCAACGTGGATTCAAACTACGCATTAAGCTTGTGCGTAGGAACGAATCGTGTTTAATTTAGTACTAGACCAGCTATCCGCTTCAGCGAAGCATTAAATAAAGTTGCAATATTTCGGAGCTCTAGCAGTTGGCTTTAGCCCGGAACAGTAAATAATAGCAAATCCGAGTGCAGCGACGGAAAAACAGCGCCAAACAAAAGTAAAACGCATTTTCCCACGTATACATAAACAAAAGCGAATACACACATACTGACAAACAGAAAAAAACAAAAGGGCCAAAATAACTCGGACATAAGGAAGAAAAAATTAAGTTTAACTAAAAACCGAGATTATAAGCAATAAAGTCAAGTTATCTTTGGTGTTGACGTGTTGAACACTCATACCGATAATATAAACAAAATGTCTACGACACCAAAATCAAGCGAAGATTTGCTGGGTGGTAAGTTGTTATTTGTTTTGCTTTGCCCTCTTCATTCGTGTTTTTTTGCGTCTCTCTTTTTTGCAATCATAACAATAACACGGTAACCCGTTGTGCCGTATTGTTACATTTGTTGCTGTAAATGTACGTATATACATATATGGAGTGCTTTGTATATTGTTGGTATCCGCATCCCATATTCTATTTCAAGGCTTTACTTTGTCTGCTTTTTGATTTTGTTTTGCTTTCATTTTGTTTACTTTGCACTTGTTCTGGCGCAGTGAAGAGAGAGGGAGAGACAACAAAGAATCTGCAAAAACTCCGAATGAAAACAAAGAAGCTGCCAACGCACTCTTTCTCCCTCTCTCTCCTCGCTCCTCTTTTATTCATGTCATTTCTCTTTCCTTTGCACTTGGCCGCTTGACGTCAGTCGCCTTTTCGCGCTCTCCTTTTCTACCCCCTCTCTCCTCTTCGTGTGGTTTGCAAAAATAATTCGTAAATAAATACATTTTGTGGGAGGGCATTTCCCTATCGGTCGTTTCCAGAAATTGCGCCTTTGGCATTAGCTTCAATTGTATTTCGGCGGCCCACTTTATCAACATCCACGTTTACACTCGGGCAAAAAATAGGTTGAACCCAGATACACATGTATGTATATATTTTTTGAAGTTTTGGTCTTAAAACGACTAAAAATTCCGACAAAGCGCTTGAACTATGAAAGTTTTCAACTTTTTGCACAGGTATACAATGAATTTTTAATGTACAATTACTAATTTTTTTGCTCAAGTGTTTAAAACTGTCACCTTAAAATGTCACAAATATAATCTTTACGAATTACCATTTCTAAAAACATCTCTTGTTTGCACGAGGTTGTTGACTGCACAAAAATTATAATGATTCTGCAGAGTCACACCAATAAAATAATACCAGTTCAACCAAAATTCGTTTTTATCAATTAGCTGTCACCAAAGTAGTCTTAATCTTATCAGTTAGAACCAAAATCGTGCCATTTTTCCGAGACATACCCTAATTAGGTTAAAACGAAAGGTGTGTAGCCAAAATACTATTTCACAATCAGATTTTTAAAAATAATCATACAAATATTCATTCGCACATGTTTGTTTTTAAGTACGAGAATCGCAATTTAAATAAGTGCGTTAAAAATAAACCCGGCAAACGAGTTTTTGACCTCAAAACATGTGCGAAATGGATGACCAATTTAGGCGGACTTTTTCTTTGTGCACGAACTATACTATATAGTAAAAAAGAAATGAAAATGATACCGGGGAGTCATCCATCCAATAATAAAGGCGGTTCAATGGGCTCAACTCAGGGTCTTTTGGACAGCTGCGCATCAAGATGCACACAACAAAGCCCGAAGAAAGAGACCGGTAGTGATTGAAGGAAAGAGAGGGGGAGTGAGAGGTTTCAGAAGAGGTTTACCCCTATAGAAAGAGAGCGAAGATGAGAGCGGCCTACGTGCCGTGAGTCAGAAAGCCAAGTTTTTGGTTTTGCCACCCTTCGATACGCTTTTACCTTTGTTTTTGTTTTCATTTTCGCTGAACATTTTCGTAGTACCTGTAACTTGGATTCCCGATAACGGTTCAAACGTTGTTTACCTGTGCAATTTTTGCGTCTACCTGTCCTCAGTGGGTTTTCTATTTACCAGTTTCTATTTTCGCAAGACCCATCATAAGTGCATCATCCTTTTCGTCTAGACAACGCATTTAGTATTCGTTTGTTTTTCCAGCATGATTGGTCTGCCACGTGAGTGATGTGAACTATCCTCTAATTGATTTTTGCTGTGAAATTGTTTAAATTAGTTGCTGTTACAGTGCAAACATGATAATTGAAAACCGTGAATCACGCAATTAAAACACCGGTTACTTTTGAAATTACCACACAAGAAAAATCATGTTTGAAAACTAAACTAAATAAAAACTACAAAATAACACACCATATCGAATTAAAAAAAAATGCCTTAATGTGTATTAGTTATTTCAACTTTCTGGTTTTAACAAACATTAAAAAAAAAATATTTTTTAAGAACGTAAAACTAGAAGTTGTTATACACAAATTTAATATAAATTTTAAAACCATTTCTTAGTTAGGGAAGTCGCCCTGTATATGTATCTTATCATCTAGTCTAGCATCGCTGTCGTATAACTTGCACGCTTCTCGAGGCATATTGCATCCGCCTGTTTCGTTTTTATTTTGTTTTGAAAATGAAATTTTTCTCCGCGGCGTTGATAAGCATCGGCTACAGACTATAAACAAAACATGTGCGCTTCTATATACATATGTATATGTACAATACCCCGAAAAGAAACGGAAATTGTACGAGTTGTGGGGTTTTTAGCCTTATCAATGGGGCACGAGCACTCGAACAGATATACACAAATATATAATAAACATGGGCTAACGAACCGAACGTGTGGTTAAGTTGTTGTTACGTTTAGGCAAACAAAAACAAACGCAAAAAGGGGGTGACGATGACCGGCTTTTAGAGGCATTGCCTCCGCCCAATGGCTATAAAACTGTAGTTTTCTAGCTTCAAAGGCAAACAGGAAAAATAACCATATTTCAGTTAACAAGTCTAATTTCAGACTGTTAATTACCTTAAGTAGTCAATGAATAGTCAAGCTTTAATGCATATCTGATAATTTATGTATATTTAAACAAAATAGTATAAAAAAACATTTTGAAACCTTTAGTTTATAGGATCCTAAATTTGTTTCAAATACAAATAAGTTCTGAACCTCAAAGGTAAATGGCGTAATTTCGGTTTGAAACGGCAAGGTTCAGCTTGTTTGATCCCTTATGTTTATTCAGCACGCCACAAAAGGTTAAGATATCCATGTGTACAAAACATTTAACTAGCACTAAATGCTACTAGCTAAATATGCAATTTCACACCATTTGGCTGCTTTGGCTGGCTTTCACCAACTTGATTTATTTGTGTTACTTCGCTGCTATCTTATGCTAACCCAGTTCGTTTGCCTTGGCGTTTTTTCAGAATCTTGGATTGAACTGAGCACAACAGCTGCGATGGCTGGCATCAAAAGCCCCGACAGAATCACTCCGTTGCCATTTAACAATGGCGAGGAGTACCTGAGACTTCTGCGCGAGGCCCAGCGCGAATCGAACCAGTCGAGCCGAGTCGTCTCCTTGGCCAGCTCCCGTCGTGATACGCCCCGTGATAGCCCCAAAAGTCCACCAAACAGTCCCCAGTCGGAACTCTGTCCGGACGATGAGCTCAGAAACGTCTACATCAACTACTGGACCAAGGTAAGCGATGAGAATCGAGGCGTAACCGAAGTGATCTTGCTAACAATGCCATTCTTTGTCTGTTTTTTGTTTTTATTTTTTCGTTTTGCCAGGGTGGAGATAAACAGAATGCAGACAACGGAGATTGGTTGAAGAACTGGAATCGCAACGCAGAGGAGCAGCCACCCAAGTACGAATGATATCGATATAGATATTTAATGATTTTTTCATACTCTGATTCATATTGTGGCAATTTTAGTCGGACATTGACAGTTAAAAGTTCAAATGTTGTCCACCTGAAATTGTACTTATGTATGAATCATTTGGTTTACCTCTTTCTTTACCTTTATAACATATTTACATTGTTACCTTTTTATAGAAGCTGGAAATTCGAGGCTATTAGTGGCGATGCCGGCGACGAGGACGAGAAAAAGAAGACTAACACAGGCTACTCCATCAGATTGAAGCGTCTGGGCTCCAACTCGTTGTTCTCCCGCGAAATTCTCTACTCGCTGCTGGTGACCAACGTCCTGTCCTTGCTGCTGGGCGCCGGCTTTGGGTAAGTGTCCTCTGCAATCTGTCGGGGATTCATAATTTATTTAATGATCCCTATTTATAGATTGTGGTTGAGCAAGCGTGGCATACTCCTTACCCGTGTGGTCATTGACTGAAAGATGCCATAAACAAAAAGGAGAATGAGAATCAGAGAATATATATACACGTTTTCAATCTATCAATATGCACATCAATCGAAAACAGAACACGAAGCGTTCCATATAAGAAGTCGAAGTATACACATAGATACATCCAACCGTATTCCAACTCATTTGTATTTTATCGGAAGACCACAATTTCGACACCTTCTCATTCAGAACATACCTATAACAATGTATTTTGTAAGACAGCAAACTAAAACAGGCCGTTGGGCGAGGGTTGAACAGTTTTTAATTACATATTTTATATAATTTTTATATATATAACATGATATATCAAGGCAGCAGATCTAATGATACCGAAAAGCATTTATATAGACGTTAGTTCTATATTTTTTGCTTAGCCGTATGTCTAGCACCCAAACGTACATTTTATTCAATACAAGTGTGCGCCGAACTCCATTCTAAGAATTTCAACTTCATCATACATACTTCATATAGATCATCCATATACATTTGTAGGCATATTGTAGTTGAATCATATTGTATATCCAGATCGTACTTTTTGTTGAACAATCGTAAAATGTTTTGATTTTTAAAGGCCCGTTCTTCTGTTCTCATTGTTAACTTAAAGTAAGTTTTTGAGCAAAACCAACTTTTAGGTCACATTAAGAACGTTAAAACGGGCTAGAGCATATAGAAGAACGATAAAATAGAAACAACCCCTTATATTGCAAACATGCATAAGTATATATATTAATGTGTGAGGGAGGGGTTAGCCCCCACAAAAAAAAAAAAAAAGCAACACAGAATAGTTGTAACGATTTTTTATATTAAAATATTTTTCAATATCTATTTAAAAGAAAATTACTAAGTATTTTAATGGCGGATTTGGACAAGAATTTCCAGATAAACAGTGGGGATTTGCTGAAATATTTAAGGTGGTTGTAATCCGAGGAAGAAGGATTACAAAATCTGGTTTTCCTTGGAAAGGTAGATCATCTCATTTTCAGGAAAAATCTTAAGTATTTTGCGAGAGTTCCGTTCTATATGCGAAAGTGCTCGTTAGTCTGTTGTTTTGAACTTTCACTAATCTCAAAATGTTTTCTTATTTACACAATCGAAACGTTTTCTATATATATTCACGTTGGGAAACCTATATATGAAGCCGAATAGATTGTGTTTGTCAATAATTCTTTGCATTTTGCAGTAAATATTTGCTATGAGTCAGAATGTGCGCACTATCAATCAGACTGTGCTAATCGATCAGTTGAGCTCAACAATTAGTCTAAATGGCTATCAATTTACGGGCGAAGCAATACAAACCGCACACCTTTAAAAAGTAATATAAACCCTATAACAGCCCTTAATAGTTGCATAACAGATTTAAAAAGAAAATTCCATCCTTAAGTAATTCTTTAGTCTGTTTTATATAAACTTTATTCGAATTATTATCTTTTTAAACACTTTCAAAAACAACAACGGTTGGGGTAATTTTGCTTTAGCATTTTTATTTAAATTTGTTTAAGTAATAGTGTCTAAATACTTAGGTGATTAACACAGTTCCGAAACTAATACATATTCCGTGTGGTTGCGGGGGAAAATCCTCTCGTGACTTAAAACAATATTCAATCGACAATTTATTTTTTTTAACTCAATGGAACGATCGCTGGGTGATCGTTGTTAGCTTTGATTTTATGCTATATAGACAGCCATAAGACGGTGAATCGAGGCAAAATTGGGATGCCAATTTAAGTACAGCATAATATCAGATCAAGATCCGTGTATTATATTATATATAGTCTATAGCTAGGTGGTTAACTACAGCTACCATTTGAGCCAATATCAGAGACGACATCGAGATGTGAAGAGAGGAAAAAACACGATTAACTGACTTTTGGCCCTTTGCTATTCCTGGCCATTAGAGTTTCTGAGATTTTGTGCGGCGCTGCTGGTGGAGGGCGTTGGTGAGCCGGGAGGCGTGGGAGTCCGCAAGGAGCGTTCGAAGTCCTCCGCCAGATCATCATCATCCCCTTCCTGCTGCCAACTGTCCAAAGCAGAGTCCACATCGAATTCGGGAAACTTTAGCGTTTCCCCCGTCACATCAACCAAACGAGATCGCAATCTCTGCGAGATCTCCTCCAGTTCCGTGTACTTTCTCTTTATGGCCTGACCCAACTGCAAGTGGCCTAGCTCCATGGATCTTTCGAACTGATCAATTACGTTATCCACACTTGTTGGTATGGGCTCCACATGCGCTTCTATCCCGCCAGTCACGCGGCCATTGAAGTCGACTATGTTGTGCCAACCGCTGGGAAAGCCGCCGCCCGGTTGTTTCTGGTTGAGATTCAGGGCAGCGAATCCTATTATGGCATCTTCATGGGGAGAGGGCTCAGTAGTGCCGTTGGGACTAACAATCGCCTTCTTCCATAGTTTCAGGATAAACAGTTTCTGGGGCTGTAGATAAAAATAAATTAGGAATCTTCGATGAATTTAAAGCATTTATTCTTACATTGCTGCGATAATCTCGGCTAACTTCCACCCGGAACTTGCTGAGCCACTGGGGCTTTGTGGATTTTGCCACAATCGGCGTGGCATAGACCAAACCCTCGTGCGACTTGTAAGTCTGACTATTGCAATTGAGAGCCTGAAAGGTCACATAGGTATTTGGCGGTTCGTTGGGTGGGAATCTCTTAGCGGCCGACTGACGTTTTGCCTGCTTCTTTGATTTTCCATAGCCGGGATTCAGGGGCAATCCAGCAGCTCCCACGATGCGCAGTTGAAAGCTGAAGTTACTGGGCGCCGGAGGAGTTGGTGGCGGTGGCATCACCGGAGTTGAGCTACTTGGAGTTGGAGCTGCTATGGCATTCTGTAGCATGTCCAGTAAGTCTGAGGTGCTACTTGGAGCCGGCAACTGATTGTTGTCCTGGTCGAAGCCGCGTTGCTGCTTCAGTTGGGCAATCTGCGACTCACTGCCGATGGCCAGGAGAACCTTGAGCTCTCCCAATGGCGATTGGGTATCTCCACTGACAATCGGAGCCCAGCCATCAATGGAAATCACTGGTAGCTAAAAGATATAAAGAGAACTTTATTAATCAAATAAAAAATTAAGCAAATGTATTGAACAAATAAATTGATTAAAAATGTACCTTACTAAAATAGAATAATAATTTCAACAATAAAAAGCTTAACCAGAAATAATCTGTTCTGTTCAAAAACCAGAAATAATCAGTTTTGTTTAGAAATTCTTTGCGACAAAGAATCTTTTTCAGATTTGTAGTCTTTCTCAAAATTAAATGAACTTGACATTGAACCTGAATGTACATATTTAAATAGACAATAATTATTATTACTGGGTAGAAATATAAAATCGAATTTTGGATATTAGGTTTTTGTCAATTTAAAGTGGTTATATTCGCACCTTTCCCTTGCACAGGTGATTGGTGATGCTGGCATCTCTGTAGGCGATGAAGAACTGGTGCAAAGGCAGCCGAACTACTCCACCCAAAGGACGCAGTTCCAGGATCAGCTGTTGACGTTCGACGCTCTGCAGGAAGCGCTCGTCGTTGATGATGGCAAACTGCTCCTGCAGCTCGAAAGATCCGCCATCGGTGATCTTCACCAGCAATTTATCGGATTGCCAGAAAGGCTGGAGCGATAACTCCTTGCAGGCGGTTTTATTCTCATCCGATAATTGACGCAGCTCCCCGGCATACAGATAGCCCCTGAGCAGACGGACTTTGTTGGTCTCCGCCATGAAGTTGACGCAATCCAAAATGCTCCTGTTGTTGTTGTTGGCTTTCGGAGGAGGGGGAGGCGGGGCTGGCGGCTGAGGGGGCGTTAAAACGGCCTTCGAGTTGCAGTTAACTGTAAATAGTTTAAAAGTCCCATGATTAGGATTGTGCATATAGTATATAGCAGATAGTAAAGCATGCAAAGCTGTATTAATCACAGATCAAAGTTCTTTCGAGGACCTTGAACTCGCAGATTTGAGTTAGACAAGCTTTAAGAACTGAATCAGCTGCGATCTCTGATCCTTGGGCCTTATCGCCTTGACGACAGACGATCGGACCCAAAAACCGATTCAAGCGGAACGAAAGATTGCGCCGGCAAGCGGGTAAAACCGGGTCAAATCGGTTATAGCACGTGTTCCACAAGCGGACAACTGACAACTTGGCCGACCACTGGAATCGAGTTGGCTAAAAATAGACCAACTAGATGTCAAAATGGCCCGATAATTGACTCATTATAAGCATCACAAGCGGTGGACACAGTGGGCAATGGGTGATTTAAATTATAAGGTTTTATGTTTTGTAAAAAAAAAAATAATAAAGATATTGGCAAACAAAGCATATATGACAAAAAAATGGCTAAAAGGATTTTTCCCCAAAACAAATAATTCATGAACCAAGTTAAAAAACAATTTTTAAATGGAAAACGAAACCCCATTTTTGAAATATTCCGTTGCTTTCGTAACTTTCTTCTCTTACATTTTTATGATTTAAAATTTTTGTCAATGTTTCTTTATAAAAGAAAAAATAACTTTTAAATAACCGTTGAATATTCTGGTAACTTAGCTAGCTCGATTTTTTTTTAATTTCTTCGACCCACTGTGCCTCATAAACACAAACAAAGCTGTTGGAAAACAAAATACATGTAGGTATGTTTCAAAATATAGCTGGGATAAAAAACATAAAACACGAAACAGATTTTTTTGTTTTTGATTTTGTTGATTGTTTTTTGTTTTGTTTTGTATTCTTTTTTGAAAATGAAAAGTATTTATTGACAGAATGATGGGCAGCACTTGGATAACGGCAATCAATAACATATAGAGTAAGTGCAGGAGGCGTGGGCGTGGTTGTGGGCGGCTCGTGTGGATTTGGTACTCATATTGGTAATCTTGTTGTTGGTGAAATTTGAAGTTGTTGTGGCTGTAGTCGTGTGGTTCAGCTTGTATCAGTTGTATTCGATTTGGGGGCCCAAGAATCAATGGTTCTTGCGATTGGCAACCACACGACATTAGTCATATATATTCACCTGCTGCCTTGTTTCCACTTTCGTTCTTTTGACCCGGTTGCTGCTTCTCCTGCTGCTGCTGTTCCGGGTTACCATTGAGGTTCTGCAGCAGACTGATCTTCACGTAGACGCTGCCCAAATGGACATCGCGACGCTTGATGGCAATGCACTTGCATTGCTCCAGAAGGGAGGCGTTGTACAGCTCCCTCAGCTCAAGGCGTCCCATGCCGAGCATTTCGTTGAGACAGGTGCCCGGTTCACGCCACCACACCGTAATGTCTACATGTCCGGCGCTTGTGTCCCGATCCTCCAAGTTCTTGTCCTCCATGTTCACCTGCCGCTGGGCCGTCTGCCCAAAGCGGGTGCACTGCGTCAGGCTCTGGAACTTCTCCGACTCGAACTGCATGATGTGGAACATCGGGTAGCGCGGCACCTTGCGTATCAAGTCCCCGGACAATTGGCATTCTACGGTGAAAATGGGTCGGACTTCGTTTTGAACCAGTTCCATGCGTTGTGTGCCCTCCGACTGCAAAGTGAGTGCCTCCAAGTGGAGCTGCAGAGCGTTGCAGCTGCGGAAAATCTCCGGCGTGATAACCAGCTCATCCTCCGAATCCTGGGCAATCTGCTCCGATTCGGTTTCCGGCCACAGGACCTGCTGTTGCTTCAACTTCAACTGCTCCGCAGAGGCAGCGGTGGCGAAAAGCGCCACCAGATCGGCGTCCAGTTTCTTCATGGCCTCCATTAGCTCAACGTTGCTGGCAGTGCCTGAAATTAAATTAAAACAATTTAGCTATTAGTTTTTATTCAGAATATTTGGGACATAGCATTAACATTTACAGGTTATTAAGTAAGGGAAGTAAGGCGACCCGATCTCCACGACGTGGGCTTTTGAATTGAATGTACGCATGGAAGATTTCGAAAAAGCCGGCTGAAAGGGGAGTACGAAAATGAAGAAAGAGAGAGCCCCCGGTAATCGCGTTCTATGCTTTGCTGTTAACACTTCTCTCACGCTCTCTCACGTGTTCGCGCTATCTCTCCATCACATGGGACCCTGCTTTTGAATTGGGTGGAGCACTCTAGATACCCTTACTAAATAATGATTTTAATAGGGAGTACCTACATACATAAGTGGAGTGACATTTAAATAAGTGCAGTTAATACCTGCAAATATATTATTGATGTTAAGTATCCATGCATTTATACATATATTGAAAACCTCTTAAGGAAATGGATTTTTAAATGTTATGATATTATTGTTAACAATTTTTTCCCCGAATTGCCCTCGGACCAACACTCCTATAAAGAGTATCTAAAATTGAGAGACTCCACCACCCTGTATGTTGATTCTCTTTTAGCATAAGCGAAAAAGCGAAACCAGACCCAAATTTATTTTTTGCATAAATTCGCCTGACATTGGCAAAGTTCAACGGCAAGAGGAAATAAAATTGCCAACTGTCCTCGAGAGCATTATCCACTCAAAATCACCCAAAGCGAAAAGGTCAAAGTGTTATCGGTCAGCGGGAAAATTTTTTGTACCGATTTCTTCGCCTGGTAACGCGCTTCATTTTCGATTGGCTCCAAGATAATTGATAAGAGACGCCTGATGCTAGTTCAATGACATAATATTGCGATTTCGTATGGGTTCCGGTACAGTAGCAATAGTGGGATTAGTTTGTAGATGGTTTTAAGCTTGTGCAACTAGCGATTTCCTTCCAGTTCTGCGTCATCCGGCATTCGCAACGCTAATTAAAACCCATAGAAATTCACACGGCATTAGCAAAGTAGTGAAATAACAAGAGAGAGGGGGCCAGACATCGTATCAAGGCAAGGCTTATCGATTTCGACCCGCCTCCACCCCAATATTTCTCTCCGTGTAGCAACAAAGTATCTGAAAAAGTATCTCTCTCTCAGTTTCGCGCTTAATGTTTATTTGCAAGTCGCTACTTTTTTTTGCCGATTCGCGGGAACATATGTACATATGTTCGAAATGTTTAATATGCTTCGCTGATAAGAATGGCGGACCTCTAGTCTCGGCAAAGAATCGAAATTGAAGGCCAATGGCAGAAAAACCCTGACGCAGTCGACAAAAGCAGAAAAAAGTAAAAAAAAAAAAAAAAAAAGAAAAAAGTCAGCAAAACGAGATACAAAACAGCAAAATCCCTGAGCTTGGCAACATATAGTGAGATAAAAGTTATGTGCCACTGAAAGTTTGTGGCAGGAGCGGTTTATCAGAAAATGTGCGAAATATTTAGGCGTTCAAAAAAGGACTTCAGAGTGAACTATCACAAAATTAATTATTTATAAAATTTGATATATGTATATGAAGGTATTCCTTTATAAATACATATAATATAGCCTTTGAATATAATTTGTATTTAGCACCCTTTTTCGTTAACTGTTGCCTTATTAATCCGGCCCTGCATATCGGTTAAACAATATTTATCCACACAACGCCTGCTCTCACATTCTCCCAATGTTTTCAGTTTTTTTTAGAGAGTGAGAGAATCGGTTTTCGCCTGCACGTGTCTCAGTACAATCACACTATTTTCTGATTTTTATGGGCTTTCTTTCGATGGATTCGCCTTTTCAAATGGAAAGTTTTCGGGTTTGCCTGTGTTTGAACAAAACCTAAAAAAAAGAGCTACTACATTTGCCCATCAGGAATATTCGTTTGCCAAGTGATTGGGAAATATGGGACTTCAGGGGAGCTTGGTCTATTTTTGGACTTCTGCAATTGTTGTTAATAAATTATCTTTTGGCAATTTTTGTTTGCCACTGATTGGACGGTGCTGATGAGCAAAACAAACAAAACCACAGACTCTTACGTAAGAGTCAATAAACTGTTGTGAATTTTCCGCTTAAAAATAAAGAAGAGCCAAATCAAAATTTATAAATAAATAGCAGGGAAATGCCAAGAAAAATAAAAACAAAAACCAAAATAAACAGACGCGGTCGTCGACTGAGAAGCTAAGGAAAAGTGTCTGATTAAATGACGACAACGGTCGACATAGCGTCTATATAATTTAACCCACTAAATCACAAATTTGCACGTATTTTAGTACGGGTTGAAAAGGTAAAAGAAAGAATTTTATTGTTGTTTTTGGTTTTTAGTTTATGTGTTTTTTTGTTTCAGGCAAACTTTGTATACAAAACAAAAGAGGCAAATATTTTTTATAACTATAAAATTAATACTTATGTATTTATATCAGGGATTAGTTTAGCATATTTATATACATTTATTTAAACTAGGAATCATCCATCTCGATGATATACTTTATGGCGGAGAATTCCTGTTTCTTGCCTTTTAAAGACTTTTCCTCTGGAATACAAGAGGCTATTATGATGCTGATAAACACAAACATTGCCCCCAGCATAAAGGGACCCGGTATAGTTCGATTTCCACGTAAACTCCCAAGTAAAATACTATCTTCACTTATGTCCATATCGGAAAGGTAAAAGATAATACCAAAAAAGGCGGGTCCAAGGCCATTACACAATCCCGACATTCCTGCGATCATTCCTTGAACAGCTCCCTGACTTTCACCCTCCGTATAAAGGGAAACGTAAACGCTTACGGCCGGAAAAGTAATGGAACTCAAGGCGGCCACATTTCCAGCCAGCCACATTTGCCACTTTTCATTTCCAACGGCGTACAGAACCAATTGCAGCATCTCCAATAGCAGACCCAATATTATCGCCTTCTTGGCCCCGATATTTTTTACTATTGATCCCAAAGTCACATTCACCGATATGCTCAAAATGGCCATAAAAGCCACCAAAACAGAGAGCTCCACGAAATCAAATCCCATTGTTAGTTTAAGGTAAGCCGGTACACTGGAATATTCCCCAGCTTCGGGCAGTAAGAACATAAAGACCACGATGCACAACAGCAGGATATTGGTATCCGAACCCACTCTTCGTAGGGATAAGAACGGATCCGCTTGTTTCCAGCTCAATCCGGTGGATCGAACTTTTTGAGGTAAACTTTCCGGTACAGCAAACAGCACAAAAATCACATTCGCTGAAGAGACGAGCGTGGCTATAAGCACTACGGTGTTAATTCCATAAAGATCCATTATAAGGTTACCCAAAGCTGGGGCGATTACCAAACTGGCGGCAAAGGTGGCCGACACCATGCCATAAGATCTGGAGCGTTCCTCTTTCGTGGTAACATCGGCCACATAGGCAAAAACCACCGAGAAGGTCACGCCCAAAACTCCACTAATCGAGCTGATCACAAAGAACCACCAGTTATCAATCGTCATCATCGGGATCGGTAAACAAGTGAAGATCACTGTTATCAGAAGCAGCAACTTCCGTCCATAAATATCCGATAAAGCTCCAATCAAAGGGGCGGACAAAAAGGACAGTATTCCCTTGACACCCATCACCAAACCGTTCATCAGTAAAGTGTGATCCGGAAAGGTCTCCTTCAGACTGCCAATCATCGGCATTGTCAGCAGACCCCAGGCGAAATATTCCAGGAAAACCACTATCAGAATGTGGGCAACACTAGGCTTTCCGATCCCTGAAATCGACGCTAGAGTTACGAGTAGTTTTTTCAGGCTTAGCTTAGCCATATCTCTGTTTTATGGTGAGAGTTGAAAGAGAACTAAACTTTGCAGTCGAGGTCTAACTGAAATTACTTTTTTATGGTCTTCTAGCGGAGCTAATATCTTTTAGAGTGGGATTTGATAGTTGTCGCAAACTCAGTTCAAAAAGATTTAACAACTTGAAAGTGAATATAGTGTAAATAAGTTTATGTTTGTTTGTTGAGATTATCCAGAAATCCATTTTTGTTGAGTTTATAATATAATCTCATTTAATAGATTTTCTCTCAAGTGACTAACACGAGATTATCTGAGTCTTATCTGATCATTTAAAATCCAGAAAGTTTCGAGAATGTAAAGTATTCATCTAGATTTTTTTTATTGTTTGTTCTTTTTTTTATTGACATTACATTTTTACATTATTGCTTGTTTTCATCAGAGGTTCCCGTTCTTCTTCATATTTTATCATAACATTCTTGAATTTCTTGTGTTTAATTTTACAAGGGTCTTTTCTTAGTAAACAAGTTAAGATGATTGCCACAAATACGCCACAGGAACATAAAACAAAAGGCATGGGAATTGGTGCAATAACCTTTTCAGCATTTTTCGAATCCTCCTGGAAAATGTAAAAGAGCACTCCGAATATGGCGGGTCCCAATCCATCGCTTAAACTCTCGATCCCGGAGATAATGCCCATAACAACGCCTTGATGGTCCTCATTGGCGTAAATGGAAACCACCGAATTGGTTGCAGCTGGAATAATGGTGGCTATGGCAAATAGAACCCCTCCCAACCAGAACATCCAATGCTGCGTTCCAAAGCCACAGAACAGCAGGTTCAACATCAGGAAAATCAAACCTAATCGGATTGACCAATTGGCACCAATTAGATTTGTAATATGGCCCAGGAGGAGATTTGAAGTGATGCTAAGAACAGACAGCATTCCCAACATCAAGGACACCTCTTCATATTCAAATCCAATCACGTATTTTAGATAAACCGGAGCAATTGAATCTACGCCTGCCAATGGCCAACATGAAAGGAATGATATAAGGTATATCACAATCAGTGTTTTATCCTCAAGACTTCTTTTTAGCACTGCCCAGAGATCGGAGGATTTAATGTTCTTATCATTGTTGTTTTCTTCTTCGACATCAGTATGAATCACCTTAGATACTAACAAATTCCGCTCCTTTTTACCATTTTGAATTAAATTTATGGACTGCTCTTCCATATAATTTAGGTTAATGATGTGATAGTTGGATTCCCCATATAAATTCTTGTTACTTTCTTGAAGATTTAAAGAAAGTTTTTCCTCCTGGCTTGGAACCTCTTCATCCTCATCATTCTGTCTCTGGCTTAAATCATCTTTTATAAGCATCTGGTTAATACCCTCCTCTTCTAGATTAAGGCTCTTATCCTTCCAAACCAAACTCTCCGGTACTCCAAAAATGATGAATAAAATATTTAGTAGGCCAGTAATGGTGGCGAATAAAATAACTACTTCAGAGCCAAAGGATTTCATTAGGGAATTCCCAAAAAGGGGGGAAAATCCCTGGCCGGCGAAAAAACTGGCGGATATCATGCCATATCCTTTGTATCGATCCGCCAAACTAGTGCAATCCGCGACATAGGCCAAGGATGCAGAGTAAGTACTGCCGAATACTGAGCTCAAGGCAAGTATCACAAAGTACCACCAACTTTTCATCATCATTAAGGGAATTGGTGAGTAGGTGGTTACTACAGCGAGAAGCATCACAACTTTTCTTCCCCGGATATCGGAAATAGAGCCCATGATTGGGGTGGCCACAAAGGACAAGATTCCCCGGACTCCATACACCAATCCATCGACGAGCAGTACGCGATTTCCAAAGCATTCGGAGAGTTTCTCAATAGATGGAACAGTGAGTAGTCCCCAGGAAAAGTAGTGGATAAAGGTCACGATCACCGCGTGCCAAACACTTGGTTCTCCGAATCCCGAAGGCTTGACCAATATTTTCACCAGAGAATTGAACAACTTGAGCTGCACCATTATAAACAATCCACTTACGAACTGACCAAAGCCAAATAGTTTGACAACTCTAGTTCAGAATTCAATTTATACGCCTCGTAGCTTTTTAACATAAATAGTTACGGCTGCACTGAAAAAACACATTTCGATTGCAATTTAGTATTTGAAATGTTATTTCAACTTGAAAAACATTTTTTGACTTGGCACTGTAGGCACTAAAAGGTTAAATAGGCTTAAAGACCAAAGTTCTATTGTGAATCACCAGAATGTGCAATTTGTTTATGTTGAAAACTATTATTCTACCCAATTTCACAATGAAACGTCATGCAAAAAGAAAATAAATACACTTGAAGAACACACAAAATAATACTCTTGCTTTCAATAACAAACATTTGAAGGGATTTGGTTGTGTATGTAAAAATTGGTATTCAAAAAAGTCATTCAAGCTAATTATAGAGGTAAAGATTTTCCTCTCTTGGGACACAGAAAAATATTTACCCAAGCTCAAAACATTTTCACGAAAAAAATGTTTTTAAACCTTTTAAACAAATTCTAACTTGACTGACATTTCGTTTTTATAAATATATTTCCTCATATTTTCGTGCAGTGTCTTTAATTTTAGTTGGTATATGCATACTAAAATACAAATGCACTTTCAGAAGGCGTCTTATAATGTTCGCGGATAAACAGTCGAATTTCCTTTAAGCAAAAACTTCCCTGTATTGTAAAATAAAAATCAAACTGAGATGGTACATAGCTACAATTCGAAAAGGTTCAAAAAACATTTTCTGTATTTCAAGATCTTTATCTATGATACATATGTAGATCCTCAGGGAAGATCCTAATTTATATGTGACAAATTTGTGGTAGCTTTGTTTACTTAAGAACAACTTTTTTATTAAACTCACCTGCAATAAGTTCGCCGCTCTGCTGATCCTGCAGCATTGGGATCACCTGCTCCCCGCCAGATGGCGCTTCCTGTACATCATCTTTTGGCGCATGGGCGGTGGGGGCGTGGCCCTGAGTGGGCGGGGGCGGTGGCTCGGCGAAAAGCATCTCGAAGCGCAGCCGGCGTGTTTGGCTTTGACCGACTCTCAGCTGCTGTTGCTGTTGCACTTGTTCGAGCGGGCCACCGATCTCCAGGTGACGATATAGAGCATAAATTTTGGTTTTATGCTCGAAATGGCTCCAAGTGCCGTAATTAGTGGCGTATTTGTTGCTGTTCTCGTGATTGCAGCCTGCCCTTGTGACGTCACAGCAGCTGGCTGAGACAACGGCGACAATTTCGATGGCGGGACGACGTGTATAGTCTAAAAATAAGACAAGGCTTTTTTTGCTGTGCACACGGGGAACCTTCTTCTTCTTATTATTTTTTCTTTGCTTCTTATCCTTCTCCCCTTTCCGATTTGTATCCTTCTTTCCTTGCTGATATTTTTTTAACCTCTCTTTTCGACAGTGCTTTTTATGCTCTTTAACTTGATTTTGTTGTTTTTGCGGCACTCTCTGTGGCCCTTCTTCCTTTTTTTCCCTTCTCTTCCTGCTGTTTGTTGTTGCTGATTGTTTGACCTTTCCTTTTGGCCAAGCTTTCTGCCTTTGCCGAAGTCGTTGCCTCTGCTGGTCTCACAGCTGATGCCGCCCGCTTTAACCCTCCCTTGGCCCAACGAGCCAAATTTCACCGTAACTTCCGAGGACAACGCTGAATCCGGATTCGCCCTGATCGATTTTATGCCTTTGCGGCTTTCCTTTGGCGAATTTTTCGCCTCCTGGCTTTTATTGCTTTTCCGCTTTTCACAAGTTACATTCGTTGACGACCGTGGGAATTCTGCTATCATAATTTTTATGCACTTATGCCATAATTATCAATCACTCTCACGCACACACGCACAAATCGCGAAAAGAGAGGCGACCGCGCGCTTATTTTGCTGTTGTTTATTCGTTAACCAAGCTGAAAAGTTAAAAATCTTTACACACACACACACATTCAGGGAGAGAAAAAAATGAGAAATCGAATTTTCCGTACTATGATTTTCCGGCCATAAATCTGCACTGGCGTAAGTTTCGGGGAAAACTGGTGAAAACGATAGCGTCAATGTCTATCGATTAATCGTGAGTCCGGGCAGATGGGCTGCTAAATGGCAGAAAAGCTCCTGTTCGCAAAGGAAGAAAAAAAACTGAGAGGAAAACGACGAAGCTTGCCGACAATTTGTGATGTTGCCAGACTGTTCAGATGACGTTTGTTTTGGTTTTGCAGCCGGGTCGTTGCCACCTGAGGAAAACACTAAAAATACCAAAATAAGGATCGTGCTGCCAACTTGGGGTTATTTGGCTATTTGAATTTTTTTTTAAATGGTTGATTACTTAAAAAATATATTTCAATATTTTTATATAGATTTTATATTTATTTCAAAAATCTTTGCCCATTTTTAGCAAAAGCCCCTGAAGCGCAATTTAACATTTTTTTTGTATACTAAGAAAACCATAGTCCTTAAGTTTTCGACTTCTCTTTATTGACGCTTCGCCTTAAACAATTCCAACTAAAATTTTCAATCAACACAGACAGCAGCCACATTTTGCTTAGGCAAACAGACGCAGTTCGTCGCGCGCCTCGATGCACTTGGGCGGCGAGGGTGTCTCGAATTCGCCGAGCTCGGCATCGTAGTAGAGGGCAGCGCGGTACGGACGCAGCTCCCACGGCACCTGCTGCTCCATGGTGGTCAGCGTGACGCCCAGATCCTCCAGGGTGGGCACTCCGGTCAGCACCTTATCGGTCACAGCCTCGCGCTCGATGCGAGAGGGATGCAGACCACCGATCGGGGTGCCGGGGCAGATCCAGCTGTTCAGCTTGGCCTTCAGCAGGAAGGTGGGGTCCCAGCGCATGTCGTAGCGCATGTAGCCCCAGCGCTTCTGGTCTTTGCGCATCAGACGGTGGAACCAGTCGACCAGTTCGCTCAGCTGGTAGCGTTTGGGTCTAAAAATGATAAAAGAAATCCAAAGTTAATTCCAAGAGATTTAAAAGGGTAATGAAGAATTGGACGGCTTGACTTACCCCACAGCCTGGTAGATGCGACCGGCACTGTCCGGATCCTTGGCGGCGTTGATGATGGCCTGGGCCACGTCCGAAACGAAAACGGGCTGCTTCACAGTCTTTTCGCCCTTGTGCCACAGCGGCATCGAGCGGAACTGACGACGCCAAATGTGGGCATAGTAGCGCAAGAAGCGATCCTCGGAGCCGTAGATGTCCGCGGGACGGATGATCGTGGCGTTGGGGAAGGCGTCGCGCACGCGCAGTTCTCCCTCGTACTTGCTCTTCAGCCACTCGCTGCCGCCCTTGACGTACAAATCCTTGGGATTGGCTTCCACGTTCAGGGAAGACAGGTGGATCAAGCGCTCCACGCCAGCCTCGCGGGCAATTCTAATTAAATAGAGAAAATGAATATTCAATAGTAAACCTCATGATATGATATTCACCTAGCGATCCTCTCGGCTCCGCTGACATGGACATCCTTGAACTTAAAGTTCTTGGTCTCGAAATCCCTGCCCACCAGGTTGATGACTACGTTCGAGTGTTTAACAGCCTCGCGAATGGAAGTGGGGTCCTCCAGATTGTAGAAGTGGAACAGCACTTGGCCGAGATCACCGGTGACCTTTAGGCGGATAACTTCCGAATCGTCACCGCGGTAGGGCAGGATCATCTGGGTGCCTGACTTGCCCAGCTTATTGCACACATAGCGACCCACGAATCCGGTGGCTCCAAAAACCGTGGCTACGATTCCATTGAAACTGCTTCGTCCGCCAGTTCCGCGCTTCATGGCAGCCGGGTTTGTGGTCTTCAGAGGGCGTGGGCCATCCTCCGGCGGTGCAGAGGCAGCTGAGTAGCTCCTCAGGCACAAAACTCCAACGACGCCACTGCCATGGTGTTCTGAATATCCGAGAATCAGTCGAAAATGAACCAAAAATTAGCCACAACATTGCTGCCAGTGCCTCATATTACATAATTTGTTTGCCCGGCTGTTTTTGCACGCAGGCAACCGTACTCACTGGCCAGCTGCAGATTACGGGTTAGTACTATGGCGGCCATTTCGTACCGGCGCACTGGACCAACTCGATTGGGTTAAATAAACGCTTAAAATCCTATTTTATTTCGGGCAGTTTTGCTCCAAGCCAGTGCGACCGTGTCTAGACCATCGAAATATACCCCAGTAGGGTGACCATTTACCTAGAATATACTTAATAAAAATTAAAACATAACATAATATGTCAAATGTAAAGTAAAGCGGTGTTGCCATACTGTGGTGCATAATAGAGTTTGAAAAGTAACGGACTTTTTGGAAATTATTTCTTAAAATGTTAAAAACAATTGTGCATTTCTTTAATGTATTTAAAAATTTGTTGTTTGTTAGTTTTAGTACCCATTTACTACTGTAGTTATTAGAAATCTTCTTTATTTATGTTTTATCGACCTTGTCACATTTATCTTATATAATCTCTCTCTTAAGCTGAAATTGTAGTTCACAAATACTGTGTCACTTGGCTTTTAATTTATGAATATTCTTGGACAAATAAGATATAAGCTAACCGTGTCCCAGTTGAAATTGAACTACCTTAGCTGTCAGTCAAACCAGCAACTTTTTATCTAATGTGCGTGGTTAAATTGCAATTTCAGGCCAGCGGATCGTTTAATATGGCACAACTTGTGTTCTGTGGACGACAAATTTCTTTAGCAGTCGCCCTCTGGCTGTAAACCCAAAAGGGTCGTATAAATTGATGTAGTGTTATCTTTTCAAAATCTGCCAACTAAGGATTAACTGCCCGTCCTATAAACGCTGATAAGCAGCTGAACAAAAGTGAGCTTGTGGTAAAATTGTAGATATGGATACACAAAGTGTTGCGGTTGAAAATAATATTACCTACGGAGAAATTTCATCGTCGTATTAAACAATAATGGTAAACCAGTTAGAATCTGAGGGGAAAAAATGTATTTGCCTGAACATTTTTTGAGTTTTGAGTTTGAGTTTTGTAAAAATCCCATTTCTTAAATTGGCCATAAATTGTAGTTAATAAAAAAACGAACGGTATAATTGAAAAAAATAAAATATTTTCCAGTGTTTAATATAAATATGTATGTATGTATAATATTTACGTATAAATGGTCCCATAAACGTGCGATGATACACATACATACATACCTACATTTGTTCTTAATATTCGTCTTATTGAATCACCCCTGTCTTATTTTTAGAATACTCTACAATTTATTCTATTTTTCTAACACTATTTTATTGTTTTTGATGGTGTATTTGATAAGCTACATTGTACATACATACCTAAAGTACATACATAGATCAGTGCACCTAACAATAGTGGATGTAATTCCGCACTGATAACACATGTTAATATAGATATAAACATACATAAATAGTTACATGTGATCAAACATGCACAGGCAAGTTCATCTACACTCTTGATGTTTATCTCGCGAAAATACAAGTTTACCTGCTCTGATTCTTTCACTCTTCTTTCTTTTACCCTCTCTCTCTCTCTTATTGCTCACCGTCAGCTGATAATTTTCAACCTTCTCACGCATTTTTTCACCCACACAAACACTTTCGCTGTTGCTTTCTCCCTCTCGCTCTCTCGCGTTATCTGTGCTCCCCCAAACCCCCTTTTCCCCAACACTTTCAATTTTCAAGCATTCCGTTTTGTTTTGCCGGCTGTGGTCGTTGCTGTTGTTGCTTTAATATTGGCCATCTCTCTTTGCCTTTAATACTGGTACAATAGGACTTAAAACTTATTAACATACAAACATAAATATGTATCTCCTAATATAAAGCATGACCTTTAAAAAACATATCATAACTTTAATTTGAATTCATATAATAATAACTATAAAATTTAAATTAAAAATATTTAAATGGATTACTGTCATTAAGAAGAGTATAAAGACTTCGGCTTGCAAAATCTTACTTGTATTTCCACCGTACCTCAAATTAGTGTGCTATATATTTTGCGGCGACTTCGGCGATCATTCGTTTTTGAGCCGCGCTGCAGTAAACAACGTTTGATAATTCGCTCCCGAAAAACCAGCGCGTGTGCCTCAAAATATTTTAAACCGTGCGTGTGTGTTTTGTGTGAATGATAATATTAAAATAGGAAAAGCAAATTTCCCGAAGCAATTTACAGTGGCGCGGCTATAAATAGCGAACGTTCGCGAGCGCACGCATTTTTCCGCTTATCAAAGTCCAGAAAGACGGTAAATTTCCAGTTCTAAACCAAAATCCTACTTTTAGACTAAGGGGTCTGAACTGATAAGGGGTTTTTGGCCTTGTGCGAAAAAAATTCGGCTGTGATATGTAGATATCTGGGTCCAGGAATCGAAAACACACCTTAATGCCGCGGTTTTAGCCATGTTTAGATATAAAGATGACTGATTCGTTAGCAGGCCGACTGTGAATCCATTTAGCAAGTGATTATTAAGACGCCTCGCGCCTCTTGGCACCGCTGTGAAAAATAATATTAGCCAAAAAATTACTGAAGCTAAAATAACACCACCTGCGGTGTATAAAAATAAATTCGATCGAAATTAACGCTAATTAAAGGTTATATCTGTCTACGATCCACTGGGATTGAGCTCAAGCAAATTCTCTCACTCTAAGCTAATTCAATGCAAATTGATCCGGGCCTTGGCTCAAGTTCTGAAGAACCGCGTTTTCAATGCATTATTATAAACAAATTACCCATCCGCTGGTTTCTGAAAATATAAACATACAGAACGGGTCAGAATACTAGTATTTTGGGCTTAAAAATTCATCATTTTCTTAAAAATAAAATAATTATTAAATTAGTATTATGATAACAATAATGTTTAAGCTAATAATAACCGCAATTTTTATTACGTCTACAAATTCAACCGCAACTGTATGTTTATATATTTAATAAATTTTTTTTTGCAAATTTGAGTCATTAAGTGTAATTGAAGTGGGTCTTTAGTAATCAGCATTAATATCAATTTGTGAAATATTTTAATGGGTTTTTATATCGTTAACAAAATCTCACATATTCCACTTGATCACGTTCCTGATGAGGATGCAGGGAAAGTGCTTTATTGGGCGATTCATTCATGGATATATAGGCGCAGATCTCACGTAGAGCGTGGAGTATAAAACTGTAATTAAAATACTTACACTTCTTTGTTTATTTAAATGGGTATGTTTTAATAAATCGCGGGCCACAGCTGACATTATGTACAGGTGGTCAGGGTTGTGCAGTCTTAGCAACAAATATATAGCATATGTACTATATATATAGTATTTAGTTTCTTTGTTATGATTTGACCAGATAGAATTAAGAAGGAAATAAGTATATTAAATAAATAAAAATAATATATTTTAGCTCTATTCAGCGGATTTCCCATGGAAGCAATTAACAACTTAAATATTTTTATTTGGAGTGGCACACATTTTTTGTTAGTTTCCTGATAATTCTTATAAAAGCAGACCAGATTTTTTAGCGATTATGAAAAATGCTCCGTAAAAAGGAAAATTTCCTGGATTAGAATCGAAATTTCCCTATCTTACCTAGCAACATTTGCCAGTAGCAACATGTTTTGTTATCAACATTCCCCATCGAATCCCCCGTCTAGCGATGGTATTTTAACCCACCTGAAGCCGAGTCGTTTTCGATATTATTTCAAAATGGTTCTTATCAGCGAACCTGTCCAATTTCCATTTAATCACATGCAGGCGAGATAGAGATAGGGTTTTGGACAGCTATCTCTGTCTGCTTATCAGGTGTCTGAATTTGGCGCGTTTGAAAAGCGTTCAAATATGGCTCATAGGCTACAGCTAATTGCCAACGACAACAAAGTAATAAAATATTGGCAGCACACTTTGTCTATGGCCCACTGATAGACAACAACAGGATTGATAGAATTTAAAAATAAATTAAGCATGAGTTCCCATTGCTTATTATAAATTCCACAGGCATCGACGACCTTGTCATCGTGTCTGAATGGTCAAAAATATTAGATTGGGTTGGTAGCCTTAAAAACAGGCCAGGGACTCGCTTAGGAAGTATTTTTTAATTCAAATCCCAATCAAACGCAAATCTCAAAGTACGCTTTGTTTTTGTTGCCAAATTTGATTTGTATGCAGGCAATGGCCCAAACGAAAAATCAAACAAACAGAATAAACCTGCACCTGATGGCAAATCAAAACAAAAAGCAAATGTTATTGGTCCCGAATTTTATGGCAAGCTTTGCTTTTTGTTGATATTTTCAATTGATGAAGTGTGTTGTTGCATTGATCTAATTGACAATCGAAATGTCACCTGTTGGCGGAGATTTACGATCTGGATTTTACGCAGAGCAAACAAAGCCCGGATTCGAGGGTAATCAAATATTTGGGATAGTCGTAAAAAATGTGGAAACAAAAAATATACTGCGAAACTTCAAGAATTATTCCAATTTTTTTTATAAGTAAGAATGGGTTGTAAATTATGGCCAAATGTAGGCCTAATGTGACATGTTTATGTCGAATGAACTTGTAGAGTCCAAAGTCCAAGGCTTACCATCCACATGCCATCCATATCACACCATATTTTATCTAGAGGATCACTTCGTTATCTTCTTTATCCCCTGGCAACTACAGCAACAATGTGCGAACTTAGGCTTCCCAACTCTCAGTATCTGTATCTCCGCTTATCTTTTGTTATCTCTTGTTCGAGCCCCTGTTTTATTGCCTCCCACCACCACCCATTTCAAATGAAAATGAAATCAAATTGAGGAAATGAACATTTAGTGGCTGTGGCAAGTGGAACAACTGGGAGATACATGTGTGTATCTGTAGATACATCCGAATTGATATAGGTTAAGGGGGAGTATCTAAATAGTTCGTTGCTACCTGTCCAGCATTATCTTGTTAATTGTTGTTTCTACAATGTCTCTGCTGAAACTATGGGAAACATTCGATTGTTTGCCGGTGTGCACAATATAGTGCCCCCGAGGCGCCATTTAACGCTTTTGTACTTATCCCTTAATTACATGCCTTCTATATAGGGGTACTAAAACAATAGATTATATCATTTGATCGATTCCAATTATTTGCAATTGCACGTGTGACAATTTGGAATGCAATTGGCTCATTTAAAAGTCGACAACGTGCAGAGGAGGTTGCATCATTTAATAAAATAGAATGCCGCTCGATCATTTGCGTAGTATACTTATTGAGCATTCCAGATGATAGCGACTGATATAAATCAGGAATCAGGAATTGATAGAGAAATGGGAGAAGTTAGGTTTGGTCAAGTTTTATTAGAAAAGTGATCTCATGTAACATCATATTTTCTTATCCATTTTCTTTAGGTCTACAAAGATCAGCTTATTTTAGTTTATACTTGATCAGTCCCAATTAATTTTCCCTTTCGGTATATAATAACACCACATTTGAAGGTTAATTGGTCCTTGAAACTATTTTTTATTGTCCATTTGGATTATCCGACAAAATAACCATTAAACGGCGACATGTCCCGCAATAATTACTTTACTAGAGGGCATTTAACCATTACGAATGACCAGCCGAATAGGGTTCAGCCTTGGGGTTACATGGCGGCAAACAAACCGAAGGGGCGGCCAGCAAACAATCGGTAGCCATATATCCACCGATCACGTAAAGTTACGTCAATGTCGCAGGCGATCGACTCAACGATCGATTCAACGAGACTCGCTGGGTTCGAGCAAAACGAGCCCATTTAGCATCTTCATTTGCATGCAACCCATCGCAACAGATGGAGGAGCTCAAAGCCCAGTCCGTGCCCACATGATGATCATCATGGCGATTTGCATACGAGGCTGGCAGGGGCTGAACCCTAAATACGGCAGGTTCAGCTGGGTTCAGTGTTTCAGTATCGCTCCAAATCGGATCGGTTCGTTTAACCCGCTTTGGGGTCTTGAACTTGACACAGTTCGAAAGGGGTTTACTAATTGAAAGGCTAATAATAGGTGTTCTATCTATTGATAAATGTGATTGAGTATTTTACTAGATCTAATAGTACTGCAAAAATTTTATTTTCATCATCTTCTACATTCTTCTTACCAAAAAAAAAAAAAACACTTCATCATTATTCATGAATATTAATATGTATAGAAAGTTACTAAATATGTAAAACAGAAACTAAAAAGGTATTCGTTTGTGATAAGCAATTTATAAAACCCCTTATTAATTATAAATCGAACGTCACAAAATTTCTTTTGAGTTGACTTTCGGTTGACAGCGTTGATAAACATGCAAATTGTATATTTGTACAGGCAATCAATTAAGATCATTTATATAGATCACACCTAGGGCAGATCGTTGTCACGTTGACCTCTCCGTCTGTCATTTCCGCATATATCAAATATATTTAAACAAATATTTAACCAATCAATTCTCACGAATTTCCATGTCATCTTACAGATAAATAATGCCTGTGAAAGAGATACTCCAGCGGTGCAGGCCAATACCCCTGTACACAGTCCTGGTGCTGTCGATCTGCTATTTCGTCCTGCAGCTGATCCTTAGTCATCTGACACACGGACTCACTCTGCTGATGGCCTCTCATCACATGTTGTGCAACATTTTCGCGCTCGGCGGCTGCATCATCACAATTAAGGTAAGTGGAGCAACCCGTTTGAGCACTGGAAAATTTGTTTCCGATTTGTTAAATATTAAGTGGTAATTAAAATTACAAAACAAATCTTACTGCGAAAGTCTAAAAAACAATTTTTTTTGTTATTCATATTACGTGAGATTTTCCCTAAAAAAACTACTTGAAATGTTTTTTAAATACCACATTTATGATAAATTCCATTCACCAAGTTACAAGTAAAATCTAAACATTTTTTTTCTGTGATTGTTTTTAAAAAAAAAAATTGTGTTGCCCGTGCAGTTCGACTGATTTTGCTTGCCGGTTTTACATTTTTTTTTTTTTGCCAGGAAATGTCGCGTGCTTGTGCAAAGTCGAAACAGATGCTGGTGCATTGAACTTTTATTGTGGCCAGAAAGGCAAACCACAACAAAATGTATCGAACGCATTCCAAACACCTTTTTATTTTGCGGATAACAGGTTTTTTTTGGTTTGGTTTGCCTTTTCGTGATAATTTATGGGTTAATTTTTGAAATTTTTATCCCTTTGCTTGGGAGTGGTTCTTGCAGCTATAAATTGGGCTTATCAGTCGATTTAGTCACTTTTTTTTTTTGGTGAGCTTATCAGTAGATTGCTGTGTAATTGCCTACTCGAGTGTAATGCCCCTGTCTACATCGCTTGTGACACGAAATCAGGTTGATTACTCGGAGATATTGTTCAGACTTTAGTCATATTCATTTTGCGTTAGTTTTTCTGTTCAGATACGTAAAAATGGGTCACCTTTTTTTAATGTAATTAATTTAATAAAAAAAAAACATTTTGTGTAGGTACTTATATTGCTTTTACAACTTTACAATTCATTAGCTCAAAGTTTTATCATTACATTAAAAATATGTTTAGATCTCATGAAATTTCGCTGTATCATTTAAAATCTCTTTCTTCATTTCAAGTTGTTACGCCTTGATTAAAATTCAAGGTGAATACCTCCAAAGGCGAAATGTCCAACTAAATATTTATGGAGCAGTCAAAGCTAATATTTTATTATTGAATGGATGCAAAAATTTCTGCCGCCATGGGAAAGCGTGCCAAGCACGTTTCGCAAAAGACAAAGACGAGGTCCAAAACGGCAGAAATCAAACAAGACATGGCCAAAAACCGCAGAGTTGCAAAGGGGGCCAAAACACCAGAAATCGAAAACGAAAACCAAACAGTGGTTGGTTGGTGTTGTAGGTGTGGACAGTTGTGTGGGTTGATTTCGGGCTTATATAATGGAACAGACAAAAACGATCAGCGGAGCGTTTAAATAGCCACCAACCATTGTAGATGGGCCAATGCCAATTGTTATGATTTGGTTTGGAAAGCATGACGACGATTGAACCTTTCCATTTGATTCTGTTTCTATGTGGGTTTTTTTTGACAATATTATAAAAATGGGACAAAAGCATTATATGTTCTCTATTCAACATAAATTAGTTTAATTAAAATAGTACAATTAAACGAAGTTCAAAAGGAACAATATGTATTACTAAGTTTCTTTACATTTAATCAAAATCTAAGACACCTAATTAAATTATATATCAATTTATTCATAAATTTGTTTTAACCATTTCTTAAATTTGTTTTTCTTTTTTTTACCTGTAATCTTGCAGCACAGTAAACAGAAGCCAGAGGCCCAGGATCCGGCACCAGTTGTGACCAAAGTAAACAGCAATGGCTCGGGGGTGATTGTTAACCTGGCCGAAACGGAGGCTCAAACCCGTGCGAAAAGAGAGTGTCGGGAGCAGAAGCTGCGCAATACCTTTGGCTGGGCCAGGATCGATATTTTGACCATGCTGATTGTGTTCATCATCCTGGCTTCATTATCCTTTTCGCTGGTTGTGGAGGCCCTGCAAACTCTGGTTCACATTGATCACCAGGACACGATGCATCTTCCAATACCCGTAATGATGCTGGGCTTTGTGGGCCTAATCCTGAATGGACTGACATATCTGCTGATAGGAGGCTACACCCTACACCAGGGAAGCTTTTTGCACTTGACTCCTGGAGGAAATGTGGTTCTCGAGCGTCCCATGTCCAGTAATTTGGATCTTTCCCTAACTCCGATGCAAAGGCAACTCAGTAAATCCCGGAATGATCGCCAGTTACGCGAGGAGTTGGAGGCTGAAGTGGGAAGTGTTTACTTCGCCACCAAACGCCAGGGAGCCGTGGAAATGCTGCGCGATGTGTCCAGTACGATATTTGTGATCGTTTGTGCCGCAATCGTTTATGTGGCAGAGGATGAACAGCACACCGCGAAGTTCATTGATCCCGTACTCTCAATCTTCTCCTGCGTCCTGCTGGTGACGCTTAGTTATCCTTACAGTAAGTACACAACAATGAGAACTGAAGAACCAGGAAACAAAATATTCCAGTACTTCAAAAAAATCCATAAATTTGTATTAGTACAATAGCTTATAGCTTTGTAATTTGTAAATAAATTGAAAAATTTTCTTTAGTAATATATTTTACACAAAAAATTAAAATATCATAAAACATAGATATGCAGACAAGTAATTTTTGTTAATATTAAAAAAGAAAACATTTATTTTTTTTTTTATATAAAAATCTAATTTGTGTATCTCTCTTTTTCACAGTGAAAGAATCCTGTCTGATCCTTCTGCAAACCATTCCGGGTTCCATCGATCTGGAGATCTTTGAGCGCACACTGGTCACCAAGTTCCCGGAGATCATCAGTTACCATGATCTGCACATCTGGCAGTTGGCCGCCCACCGATACGTGGCCACCATACACATTCAGTTCCAGAATCCCAAACTCTACCTCAAGATTATCGAGCAGGTGCGGGCACATTTCCACGACCAGGGAATCGGAGCTGTAACGATCCAACCAGAATTTTATCCGTCCACCAACAAAAATGCCTCTGCCTCGTTGGAATGTCTGATGCAGTGCCAGGCGGTGGAATGCATCGAAAAAGTTTGTTGCAGGGATTCCCGCAGTGATCTCCGCGAGGTTTGCGATGCCCCCGGTGGCAGAAAGTCATCTGCTTCGGACAAATGTCAAGGAAATAGCCATGATCACGGCAAAATTAAGTCAAAATCCTGCGCCGAACTCAGTGCAGTGGTTGTGGAGGAACCCAAGGAACTGAATGCAACCCAGCTGATGAAGGGTCAAGATTCGCAAGTGGCGAAATCCATGCCCAAACTGCAAAATACACAATCGGATGCGGAAATCACCAATTTGGGTAATTCTTCAACAAGTATAGATGCATACAAAGCAAGTGACAGTCCACCTCCACCAACGATCAACAGCGATTGATTCACCATCAACAACAAAAGTATTGAATCAAGGCTTAACGATTTTAGCTAGTTCTTAAGTTAGTTTATGATTTTGCCATATTTCTGTTGCAGCTCCTTTTTTAAACGAGACGCTTAAATGGCACTGGTTAGCTAAAGTTTGTGACAAGAGGGGAGAAAATGGAAGACAATAACCTTAAATCAAGTTAATCAAGGATTCTATATAACTCAAAAAACTAATTGTGTAGCGTTTATTCTGACAGTCTCTCCGAGACAAAATAGTTTTATAATTAAAGATTAAATTAAACAGCATTTCGAAGCAGTCAAAGAAACAATATAGGTTTAAAGTTTTTAAATCAGGTACCGATTTCTCTCTCCCTCTTGTGTCAAGAATCGGACTATATTTTGCCCACCAGTGCAGTTAGGTTACGAATTATTTGTTTTAAGGTACATTTACTGTGTATATGTTGTACTACATAAGTCTTAAACATTTACAACCGAAACATTACAAAAAATATACATATATCATTTTGACGTGTCATCAGCTAAGCATTTGTTTGTTTACTATAAATACATGTGTATAAAAATATTTGGATTATGCGTATTGCAGTCATGCCTAGGTAATTTCAAAGCGCACAGTCAGTTAACAATAAGGTCCTTTCAAAGGTACCGCGGCGGGTATAAGAACATTTAACAATGCCTCGATATCGGGACAGGTCAGTTAAGATAAGGCCGTAATTAGATACAACAATTGTGATTCACTGGGGTTACTTGACTACTTGTCTTCGCCACCGCCGCCTAGCAAATACTCCAAGGCGAAGAGCCGTATAATCAGTGCCAAGTTGTCCGTCGTCGCATAATCGATCACGCTGGCGTTATCTTCGGGTGTATGCCAAACACTTGGAAAGGGCACCGGAATAATGTGCAGGACGGGCACATTTCGCTGCAGAAAGGGTATGTGATCGTCCTCGATAAAGGAAGAGCGCATGGCCTGCGGCTGAAAGTAGCGCGTGGGATACCGTTGGGCAACTCCGCTACTGGCATAGCGCTCCAGAAGCTCCATATTTGCCAGGCGCGCTTCCACGGACTGCATTCGCATGTACCACGACTCGGTGTTTTCGAAAAAACTGTAGAAAGCGGGATCTGGGGCTCCTAGAAGATCCAGTAACACCAGCATATCTATTCTGTCCAGTTTCTTCTCATTGTGCCACTTTTTGGCCAGGTGACGTGCTCCGTAGATGGAATCCTTTGGTCCCCATTCCTGAAAGGCCTCCTCGCCATCGAAGAACAGAAGCATAAGGCTTAGTTTGCTTTTCTTGAGGGGCTTCAGTTGCTCTTGGAGCACGTGTGCCAGATTGAGGAGCATTGCACAAGGAACTGCCGAGTCGGTGGCGCCCAGGAATTCCACTCCGGGCATGTACTTACTATCGTAATGACATGCAAGTACTAGAAATCTCTCAGCTTCAGGATTCAGCGTTGCAATAACGTTGTGAAAATGCAATTTGCCTTTGATTGGAGCCTCATCATGGAAGCTGTTCACCTCCACATCCCAGTCCAGATCTCTCAAGCTCTGGACTATATACTGCCGCACAATGGTATGATTTCGCGAGCCCACTATTCGTGGTATCAGGATATTATTAATAGCATCTCTCAAGTGCAATTTATCTGACAGATTACTGTACTCCAGGAAGCGGGATTCCGAAAGTTCACTGGGGTTGTATGAAGTCTGTAAGTGACAAAAAAAGCACAAGTTAAACAGGCAGCTGTTTGGGTTATTCGTCAATAACCTGTGATCTCCCCACGAGATTATCCTTCGAGGACATGGAGCCCTTGACCAAAGTGGCTATTAAAGCCGTCTGTACGCACAGCGTCCAAATGCTTGTGGTTCTTTGGAGCATATTTCACGACTGACTGCAGGCTACGTGGCTGAGTGTTTGTTCTTGGCGAGTGGGTGTGTTTTGCCCCAACAGGTGGTTCCAATCAATAGCGGCAGGTGTGCGGAGTTCCAGGGACGTCCGTCTGCGGCATGTGCTAAGGAATCTCTGACGAGTCTAATAATTTATCATTGTATATAGAATTTTCTTCAGGCCAAAGTTGTGGGGCGCTAAACAACAAATCAAGGGCATGGTGAAGGGGGGCCTTATTTGCGGTGCAATATTTAATATTATTTTAAATATTCTTTTTTTGGCTTCAATGTGTTTTTTTTTTTAGTGTTTTATAAATTATAAATTAATTAATAATGTTTATTAATGTTTTTGTTATACATACAATTATTAGTCCCCTCGAAATAAATTGTTCTGTTTACGCCCATGTTCATTAAAGCAGCTGTTTGCCAGCTGAGATAGGTGGCAACGCCAGGCAATAACAGGTGACAGCCCCATAAAAGGGGCGTATGAAATATTAATTTGAGGGGATTTCTTCTAGTTAAATTATCATTATAGATGTATACAATTATTATTTCTATTATAATTATAATACTTCTAAAGTCAAATTTGTAGTTTTAAGCACATCTCTTAATCCCAATTTTTTTTGTAGATTTGATTGCAAAATTGACCTAGTTTCGCGCAGTAGAACTAAATAAACCTGCATTATACACTTTATAAATATTATCTCGGGATTTTTCATGTCTAAGCCACCGTTGTGTTTCTATTTCAATTGAGTATATTCATTACTTTTAAGAATGGTCTACCTCTAACCTTTGGGATATCCCTCAGCTCAAAGCAAGCGCCCAAATTGTAGATTTTTTTGCGGGGCTTTGGCAACAGTTTCTTGACGGCCTCCATCAGGGAATAATTTCTCAATAGCACACGCATGTCACTTATTAATGTCTTTTTAATACAAATTATGCACGCAGAACACTAGACAACACGTTCTCCCAGTTATCGAAACTTATGCAATAGAAAACGATTACACGCGGTTTACAAACGACTTTCTCTTCCTCCTCCTTCGCTGGGCATGTAAACATTTGTATGTATAGCATGTATGTACAAGAGTGCTTTTCCGCTTATAGTTAATGGAAATGGGGAAACAGTCCGTGAAAATGAGGTTTAATCCGTTTTAGATGACTTGGATCCGGGAGCTCCGAAGTAGGCTCTGTAGATATAAAGTCCCAGAGCGATGTGCAATGCAACGACCGCTCCCACGGCAGAAGCAATATTAACTTTTACTTCTGAAATGTCCAGGAATCGGTCCAGAACGAAGCCTTTTAGGGCAAAAAAGGTTAGAACGGGCAGGAAAACGATAAGCATGCAGTAGAATAGCACTGTCTTGAAGGAGCTGTAATCCTGCGAATCCTGTGCATCCAAAATAAACAAGGGAATTAGCCAGCCGGCAAGTGAAATTATATTGTTACTTACATGAGACTGCTGGCGGGTTTGTTTTGGCGCTCCTCCGTTGCCACCGGCGCTTTTCTTTGTCTTATTCGACATTATTCTAGCTAAACCAAACCAGGATTAATTGAAAAAACGCAAAAGTTTCTTTTAATTTCGGCTTTTGCTTTGGCCTGCCATTCGGTTATCAGAAATATTTGACAAATCACAAATCACATGATAAAATAGTAGTACCGTTGATGTCTTCCAAAAATACTAATATTGTGAATATTCGATTATCGTGCCCCGCACGAAATAAAACGTTTGTAAATAATTTGAATAATTTGTTATATGCCTTATTAATAAAAAAGTAGACATTTCTTCGAGTACTTTAAACTGATAGAAATTTGTTAATACTTGTTTACTATAACTTTGACCGCGGCTGTATAAATGAAATATTGTCTAGTAGTTTTTGGTATAAATTCCAGGGCCAACAGACATATTGCAACATTAACAGTGCGGTCACACTGAAGCGAAAGGAAAACAAAAGCAAAAGCAAATCAAAAGGCGCACGCGGCAAAATGTAAAAACTTGCTTATTGGTTTATTTTTAACGGTTGCCGTCATCACAGTCGCATTTTAGCCGATTGCTCGCGCGTTCCGTTTGCGTGTGTTAATTAAATTTATTTCAGCCATTTGCCAATTGCTGCGTATATTCGGTAGTAATTAACTGCGAGCCTACAAAAATCCATACACAAAACGCGCCTGCAGTCGGCCGCACAATTTCGTACAGTTGAGACGCAGAGACGCGCGGTTTTTTCGATTTTATTTGGGGATTTTCCACTGCAACCGCGATGGTTTTGACGAATTTCGAGTGCTGGGCACATGGCGATCCTCCGTCAGCCGCCAGTTTCGAAACGGGAACACTGCGTCCTTCGATGGATCCGTTTAACCCACGTGCCGTCAATTTCATGACCGATGCAAATAATAACAACAACAATAACAATGAGATGCAGTCAATGCCGGAAGTCCTGCCCCTGGAAGTCCTGCGTTGCAAGAAGCGCATGAATCCTGGTCGAGTTCCCGGTGAGGATGTAGATGTGGACCAACCGGTGTACACCAAAAGGTGCCGCTACGATGAAGCCGATTTGGCCGCCCAGTATTGCAATGGTAAATGTCCATTAAGTTCTCAAAAAATATTAATATAGCGTTCACTAAAGTAAATGAATTCTGAATGCATGCTTCGTAAGAAAGGAAAAGTAAAATAAGTTTTATACTTTATTGACAAATGTTTGGCTGGTAGACTGTTTGTTTTTTGCAGTGCAGTTGCTTAATTTTTATTACCTCACTGACTCGATATAGCACCGTCTCTCATATTCTACCTGTTAAAGCCAGTAAATGCCTGGTTTTACAGCCCCATTTATTTTATTAACTATCTTTATGATTGCGTATATATTTAGATTTCTATACCTCAACGTAATTATATATTGTAAAAAGGTTTTGAAATTTGCATTACGTTTATTACTTTCCGGTTAAAAACAATGTTATTGAAATTAGCCTCACCAAATGAGCAACCTTAAACCAAAAAAGGAAAACAATGCAAAAATGAAACCGCATATCTGCATTTGTGAATTTAAAAACCGGAACACACCTGAAAATTGAAGCTGTAATTTTTCGTTTTTAATCTTTCGACCTTGGGCCTTGTGGCCGCGCATTTAATTGGCGTTGCGTGAAAAGTGTCGTAAAACTTGTAAATTTACAAAATTACCTGACCTTGCGGCCTAATTCCTTTTTTACTTTGGCTCTCTGTGACCTGTGTTATCAGTTCACATTTATTCGGTGCGATTTCAGCTATCGCCGACATAGAGAAGCCACCGCACTCAAACCGATAAGCACTTGACAGCCGCTTAATTTCAGCAAAAGTAAACCGGCTTGACAGTCGTTATAACGCTGTGTTTGCGCGACTAAACATACAACTTCGAGTTGGAGATTATCTCTAAGGGGCTGTGGAGATGAAGGGATGGGGAAAGTGCTCCAATTCTTTTTACTTTTCGAGTTTAATCAATCTGCATATGCAAAAGTGTATCAAGAATAGAATACAAAGGCAGTGTGTGGATGAATATACTCACGTACACACAGCCGGTAAAAGTGTGTATAGGGGAATGTTGTCAGGGTTGGGCCATGTTTTGACCTATGTCCATAACTTCTGAACCAATGACAATTCAGAATAAGTTTATACATTTTTGGAAAGGTACAAGCAAGAGGAAGTGTACACAAAAAAAAGAGAAAAAAAAAAAAAAAACAAAAAAAGTTATAGGCGTTTGAAAAAAAAAAAAAAATGTAGTCAGCGTTGGGCCATGTAGTCAGGTTTGGGCCACCTTCAGAAAATCGTTGACAATATCGTAACGTGGTGGAATAAAATTGAATTCAGGTTAATCTGACATTATTTTGTTCATTTATTTAATTATTTGGGATTTTACAGTAAATAAAAAATTATTCAGAGTTGTTTTTTCGTTTGTAGCGAGAAACACTAAAGAAAAAGATAAAAATGATTCATCTTCTTTCAATCCATCGAAATATTTTTTTAAGGAAATCTATTTAATTTATTTTGCATATTTTTGCTACAAAAAACTTAAATATTACAACAAAAATCGAAAATACACGAATAAAATGTAAAAATTATGATGGCCCAAGCCTGACTACACAAGTGGCCCAACCCTGACGACATGCGGTATTAATCTATTATGGTATGATATAGCCAAACTATATCTCACAATGAAACTATATCTTAGTATTTTGTAAAAAAATAACTATATAACGTATTTTTATGCTCACCTTGCGGATGACATGTTGTTTTCTTGTGATATTCACCTTTTTCGGCCAGGGAAAAAAAACTTTTTCGAGCACTTTTTCTTCACGGAGCAACGACGCGTAGAAGAATGAAATCCCGAAATAAGTAGTCACGTGGAAAGTTTCGAGTGACCGATAGAAGTTTCTAGACACCCACAAACAGATTGTTCTAGAACGAATATTCGAAATATTGAGATGGCCCGACCCTGACAACGGCCCAACCCTGACAACATTCCCCTATCTAGCGAGAGTAAATCAATAATCTTGTACCGTAACAGAGGGTATATACAAATTCTTTAATTCAATTCATTTAAATATTCCTAAATTTATAAAAAAAGGAACCTATAATTTTGAAAGTTTTAAGCTGATTTAAAATTGTTCTTCCTATTTTGACTTCGTTACCTTGCTGTTTCCGACTGTTTTGATAAGTTATCAGGACAAACAAAAAGCAAAAAAAAAAGCTAATTCGTAGATAAGAAAATGACAGCAGCAACACTCAGCTATGTTCCGAATCAGTTATAAATAAACGATCGGTAATTGGGGCAAATATCGATAGCGTCAACGTGTTGCATTGGCGCTGCACTGAAAACAAAAATTCAACAGCATTTAATGTTTTAAATATAATATGTACATATAAGTAATAGAACAATATATAGATAAAAAAAGATTTAAATTGTAAAAGAAGAAATTTTTTTCATATGTTTTCTGTGTCATTGCACTTATTAATCGATTTCTCTCTACCACCTTGCAGATTTCTTTTCACTGCCTGCCACTCAAGTAATTGGAACACAGGCCTGTTTGATGGATTACGAGATGCAGGCCACCGGCGGCATGATGATGGAATCAGAGACGAGTTTTCCAGCGCAGCAGCAACATCATCAGCAACAACAGCAGCAGCAACCACCGCAGCAGCATCAACATCAGCGGATTCATCAGCATTATCAAGGTCATTTGCATCGCGCTAACCGTGATGTGAGTCGTTGCATGATGTCGCACATGATTTAGGAGCCCTCGTTCACACTCTTTTTTTAAATGTATAAAACCGAAAATGAACATGTACTCTAACTGCGAGAAGCGCACAAGAAACACATGCAACAGTTCACCGAGCGACGCGTCTCTCTGATTTTCCAAACAGCCAAATATATACAAAAATATTCGCATATTTCTCAGAAGTCAATGTTACGCAAACAAACAATTGAATTAAATCAAATCGCAATGCATATAGTTACAAAGTACCAAAAATTAAATTTTGTAAAAATACAAAAATACAAATAGCAATAAAATGAAGCAATAAGTATTCTGTATAAAATGTTAAACACTCATCCCATTGTACAAACGAAAGCTAACTACTCGAACGAAAAATTGTGTTAAATACGTTCAAATACTGTACTTAATTACCTAAAGAAATTAATAACCTTACTAATTTCAATACGTAATCGTTAACAATGCGAAACATTGCAATCAGCTAAAACAAAAGCAATATATTTTTAAGTGAAATGTTCAATCAGCTTGAAGCGATTGCCTGGAGCCTTCACAAAGTGTTGATTGTATGTACTTAACACGAATTTTCCCTAAAAATGAAGTTGCTGATTCGTAACATAAATTGTAAATTAATTTTAAGCTTTATCACCATAAGTTCAAATTGTCATTTAAATATACATTTAAGTATATTAATGATTTATACCTTAAGACGAAAATTGTATGAAATATTTTTTGATTAGTCATTACATTTTTTTTATGCATGGATAAACAATAAATTTTCAAGCTATCATCAATCATTTCACAAACTAACGGATAACATTTTCAATTTTTTTCTGTAAACATTTTGTATTATATTTTTAACGATATGAAGAAATAATTTTTTTATTTATTCTTTTTCAACTTATACAGTTTTGATTTTTTGATAGAAAATAACTGTCATCAAGAATCCAATTGTAATGTTTACATAAATACAAAAAAATCCTAAAATACTTATATAAAATCAGCAAACTTTGAAGCACAAAGAAAAGACTTTGTGAAGGATCTAGCATGCAAACGCAAAAAGCGAGAACTACGAAAGCAAAGATTAAAATCCAAAACTGATAGACAACTCTCTGCTCGTTTACAGAATCCGCAGAGCAGCGAATGCGACCACCGCAGCAAAAGTCAAGAAAATGTATAGAACCTTTTGAGAAAATCAGAATAAAATCCATAGGCAGCGAAGCCGAGGCGGACTTGTATATAGCCACACATGGCGGTTGTCTGCATCACTTCCGCAAGCTCAGCGGATCGGAGCAAGAGGAGTCTGATATCTGACCAATAGCCCATAATGCTATATAGCCTCCAACTAACTCCAAACGAGCATTGTAAATCCTAACCTAAGTAGTAATATAAGCTGTCGCAATTCGCAACTTGAAGGTGCTTAGTATTAGTACTCGAAATCTAATAAACCAAAAGCTTACATTGCGAAGCTCAATTCATTTTGGGGTTCTTTAATATGGGAAAATTGTGGAGGATAACTCCCCAGTTCTTTTAAACATTTTCACCATTAGGATATTAATTAAAATATTGATTTCCCATCATTAAATACCTGTTTTTGAAAGCTTTTCTTTCCAATAAATGCCTTACTGTATTTTCAAAGGTAAATAGAACAGTGTTTTGTGTTGGTATCCACTAGGTAAATGCAGTGTTAAATGCGCTTGAATTTCATCACTTAAGAATACTAGATGCGGTTGTTCGATCTGCCTGATCCGCTCCCCAAATTATCAGATCTGCAGAGTCTGCTGCTCCGGATGCACATTGATGTAGTTGTCCTGGACATCCTTGACCATGAAGTCCACCAGGTGGGCCAAGTCGTATTTGTGCTGCCAGTGCCAGTCCCGTCGGGCCTCCGAGTCGTCGAACACCATTGGCCACGCATCTGCGATCAACTGGCGGCTGTCCGGCTGGTAGGTCACGTGCAGATTGGGCACGTGTTTGCCCAGCTGGGCGAAGAGCTCCTCGGGAGTGAAGGACATGGCGGTGACGTTGTAGACACGGCGCTTCAGCTGTTCATTGGGTGCCTGCATGAACTCCAGAAGGGCTCTAAATCAAGAAGAAATTCATTTGAAAGTAAAATAATACAATTTCGAATTAATTGAAAACTTTAAAGTTGCTACACTCACCGCAAACAATCCTCGATGTACATCATGGGCAGTCTTGTATCGGGACGCAGGTAACAGGTGTATTTTCCATGACGCAGGGCATCGTGGAACACGGCAACAGCATAATCTAAAATAAAATATTATTCAAGAATATTTTAACATAAATAAAATCTATTCAACAGCAAAATGATAGTGCCTTTGTTGTGCGAAAATATATAATCGTAATATGTGCAAGCAATATAAAAATAAAACTTGTTCTTAATATAAGTATGTGTATTAAAATTAGATTCTTTGAATGAAAACAGTATTCATTGCAAATAAAAGAAAAATATTAGGTATACGTTGTTTAAAAAAATATTACGTATACGTATAAAATACGCATATACGCAAATAAAAGAAAAATATTAAGTATACGTTATTTAACAAAAATATTATGTATACGTAATTAAAAACAAAATATTTTTGTTTACGCTTTGAGCGTTGTTTCCAATTAAATTGCATCTCTAACATATCAGAAACAATCCTATTTAATTTAATTAGTATGGCAATTTTCCTGTTTAAACAGCGGATACGTAATATTTTATATGCATTGAGACAAAAACAAATTGACTTTCTCCAACAATAAGCGCAAGCATTTAAGTGCTTATATTGCTGAACTTAATCAATTGAATTGTTCAAAGAAAAAGTTAATATGGGTCACCAGGTCTGCAGCACCCCTTCAAATAAAGGCACATTATGATACCCACAACCTTATGTATACATTATGCCCATTGTCATGCTCTTTGATTATCATAAACTGTCATCAATTGAGGCATTTATGATACGAAATTGGATTAAATAAAGCTTGAAATGCGCTTAACGACACAGTTTCGATGGGAAAAGTAACTCAAAGATATTTTCCCGCAGATTGACATGCACGAGTATCCGTAGAAAGTGTGGGTGGTTAAAGCAACCAATCGTACCTGTGGTGCCACCGCCTGGCGGATCGCTGGATATGACTCCGGGGAAGCGCAGGCATCTGAAGTCCAGGCCAAACTTATGGTAATAGTACTCGCCAATCAGTTCGGCGTGCACCTTGGAAACGCCATAAATGGTGCGGGGACGTTGGATCTGTAAAATATGCCAGAAAGCTAGTATCGAACAAACTTTTGGCCAGAAATCGGGGTGACCTACCGTAACATTTGGCGTGGGATTGCGGGGACTGTCGGGCCCAAAGGCTCCGATGGTGCTGGGCACAAAGATGCGCAGCTTGTACTGCTTTGCCAACTCAATTACGTTGTGAACGCCCTCAATGTTGACCCTGTAAAAAATATTTAAAGGAGGATATTAGTTCCTCTAGGGATATGAAAATAAGGTGACATTATTAAACAAAGTATTTGCATATCAGAAAAAATACAAGTGCATAATAAATAAAAAATCAAAAATGAAAAACATTTTAGTTAACTACAAAAGGAAATTTTTTTTAAAGATAGAATTCTTTTAACAATAAATTTAAATGGGCATTATACAATATTTAACTTTCTTATTAACTAATCTACTCAAATTTAAGGCAAATAAACATATGTATTTTTTTTTTTTTTTAATTTATTGTTTTAATAAAACCTACCTCACTGCCAAAGGTACATTCTGTTCTCCAATAGCACTTAGAAGAGCTGAGAAGTGAATCAACCAATCGATGCGGTGGTCCACAACAATCTTCTGCAGACCCTTAAAGTCCAGGATATCGGCAAAAATATAGGGCCCATTCTCTAGTATGGACTGACTAGGTTTAATGATGTCCGAGAGAATCACATTATGACTGCCATACTGGGTTCGAAGAAGTTTAGCACATTCGATTCCCAATTGTCCAAGACCACCTAAAAAAAACGAGAAAAAAAATGTTAAATGTGAAAAATGTGAAAAAATAAAAATATTTATTTGCAAACAGAGTACTTTGATTTTATGATCCAAATAAATTTGTTAATTCTTAGATTAAAGATTGGCTTCTTTTATAGAATACTTTCGGGGGTCTATATTCGAGCTAAAGCAGTTGCTAAGCTAAACATATTTTAATAACAAAATAAAAATACTTTGTAAAATATTCCATTCGAAAATGTAATATCCATCATATTTAAAAGTATTATAATTTGTAACGTTTAATATTTCCACACTCTACACTGCACTGACATAATATTAATTTATTTTTATTTTTGACAGACACGTGGTAAGATCTTTGGAAAATTACACCGGCACCGTTTTCGAAATGTTTTCAAATCCGAATTTTTTTCATTTTAGTTTGGCTTGTGTGCTATATTGTGGTGATAAATAATCCCGTCGGACAGCTAGTCGTCCGATCAGCCTTGAACACACTCGCAGTGCGGTTAAATATAACCCTGCCACGTGTCGCGGCGACTGACCTGTGATGAGGATTTTGGGAGGTCTTCCCTGGAGGGGCACCTGGTGGACACTTCGTCGCTGGACAAGCTGACTAGCGGCTGGGGCAATTATCCTGGGAACCGTAACCGAAATCGGACTGGGGACGGGTGCCAAGTTGGCCAGACTGGCGATGCATTTGCGAAACATTTTGCGGACTGATCTCTCGATTCGCGACGAACGCTGCCAGCGAGCTACGGTTTTCAACTGATTTCGAAATTCGCAAAATATTTTTCACAAGGCCCTCAACATTACTGCCTAATTTCCGCTATATGTTTTTTTTCACATATATCGCCTGAGCACTCGGATCCCGTCGGATGAGCTCGTCTCGTGTCGTCTCGTCTGGTCTGTTCGCTTAGTTACTTAGTTTAGTGAGTGTTAGTTGGCACCCAGTCAAATTCATTATGAGCCGGGGAACTCGGAGAAGGCGAAGGAATGACGGGAATGCGGGAATTGTCGCCATGGCGCACCGATTTTGTTTGGGGACCGAGATTGAATAAAAAACGAAAGCAAACTATGTGGAGGAGGCCCGCCAATTGACAACAACATGCGCCTCAGATGGATGGGTTTCCTTTTCGGTGGCGGGGCAAGTCTAAATCTGTGCAAAAACATCGTTTAATACACATTGCGTTGGCTGGGGGTTACGCAAGTGGGATTGAAGGCTACAGGGTGTCCAGTAATTGGGCTCTCGGACAGGCCCCCTTTTTTTGGGGGGTCAATTTAGGAGGTGTGTCTCTGGGATGTAAGCGAATGTTTTCAATGTTTCTGGTTCTTCTTTAATTACTAAAGCTACTGACTTTTTTGTAAATTAAAGTAGCCGCAGGTGAGAAGACTTTTCTTCAGGGAAAATCAAATAAAAAAATTCCTACTTAAGATTTTGTTTAAGTTTCTAAGTTCCTTCAAAAATCAAAGTTTTGTGATATATGAGGTTTTCACAGTAAATAAACAAATTCCTTGAAGGCATTTTAAATATTTTTTTACAATTTTTACAATAAGAAAGATTTTTTAAATTCCCTTTGAAAATTTATTAGCTAAAGCAAATGTAAAATCAAAGACCCTTCCGAGTATATAATCCCCTAGCAACAGTTGCAGAATATCAAAAGACTTTAGTCCATCCTAAATCATAATACTAGAGATCCCTCTACGAGAATTTGCGCAAATTAAATTAACCTTGAGTGCAAAATTCCATTTCGTTGACACTGAACTGAAGTCCAGAGGGGGTCAGTTCAAATGGGTATCAATTAGTGGGTTAGACGACCTAATCCGCATTTAAATCGGACACGTGTACCGATCCGGACAGAAATGTGCAATTAATTATCACTAGTTGAGATGACTGCCCGGTTCTGAGTTTCCGTAGTGGTCTTATCAATATGCAAGGCACCTTTATTTATTTGCTCGACTGCATGACGTATGTATATGGATTTCCAATGAGTGAATTTAGTAAATATTATGCACATAGAACTAAAAATATTTTTTGCCTGTCAAGAGAAAAACAAAAGCAGCTGCAAATTTCACTTTTTCTTCTTGCATGTTTTGCACCCATAGTAAAGTAAATGTCTTATTTGTATATTATGAAAACATTACCTCACAAAAATGTACAATTAAACGAGATACTAATTCCATGTTAAAATTAAAGTATATTAATCTGGTTACTGCATTAGATATCTTGACTTTCATAAAAGTTAACATCATTTAATAAATATACTGTAATTTAAATGAATGTATATAATTTCCAACAATTTTCTAGATATTTATATTTCAAAGAGAACTCTGTCACTAATTAAATACAAATTTTTCACTAATTCAAAATACACAAATTATATATTAACACATGGTTGGCATGATTCTTTTAATATTCTTGGTTCTTATTGAGGTAATTTTTAGTATTACAAAGTCTGAAAGCATTTCTATATTTTCTTTAATTTTAGAGTAACCTCTGCGAGAAATATGAAACCATAACGGAGGGAGTGTTTAATGACCACAATGAACATCGGAGGGCTTGGATAGTGCCGGAATTTTACTTGAATGACGAACTAAACCAGGATTCTATCGATTATGCAGAAGTAGGTGCCATTATAATATATTTCATATATGCATTTATTAATTATCGCACGCAGCATTTGGCTTCCTTGAATATTCCAGATCAAAAGTTATATGAAGATGTCGACTTGGAAAAAAAAACGGGTTTTGTGGACCATCTGGATTATCCTCATTCCGAAGAAGCAAATCTGAACTATACGGAAAACATCTGCGAATTCATAAAAAATAATTGCGTCGCTCACTGGTCTGTTGATGGGGCAAAGTGTTTTGGAATACCGAAAAAACAGAGAATCAAAGTCGAACAATCTTTGGCCGATAAATTTTCAGCCATCACGTGGAGGTCTTCTACAAACATCGGTATTGGTTGGGCATTGAAAAATCGAAAGTACATAGGTATTAATTAATTGTGTTGTCCCGATGTTATTTAAATTATTTGCAGAAAGCCAGAAGGTAGAAAGATATTGGTTGTGAGATATTCTCCACCTGGCAATCAACCTGGAGAGTACGAAAGCAATATAGAAAACACGGAATTTATTGAGTATTATAACATGCCTTTCATGACCGAACCCGATGTCCGCGCTTCTCCCAATTCTTCGCGACGAACTCGCGATAATATTTTCGGAAAAAAAATGTTTACAACCTCATTTGTTCTAATAATGTTCTTAAGTTTGAATATGCAATCAAGGCCCGCTTTCTCATCAAAAATCTAAATAATTTCTATAAAAATAAAAAATATTTTTAAAAAAGTCCCAATAAATTCCTTGATAGCTGCTACTTAAATATTATGAAAAAGGAATGCTATCAAAAACCTTCCGCAAACACTAAGCTAAGTAATAATTGTTATGTTTATCAAATTACATGGCAAAATTAACACTTGGCCTTTGTTTCCACAGTGGTTTCCTGTCATAATTCTCATAATTTCACTTGCAATTTCATTCAAAGCGTTGACTCCAAACAGCTTCGAGCAGCAACCTGGCCAAACTCCCGATCGCGAGGGAAGAGCGACCTCTGATCCGTGGTCACAGATCGCCTCACCCGAGTTCCATAATGGAATCCACCGCTCGGCGAGAATCAGCCAAGTGTGGCGCCCAACGTGGAACTCAATTCCCATATAGCGCAGGCAGGAAACTCCGCTCGAGCCGACATTTCTGGTAGAAATCTTGAGTAATCTGCTGGCCTGTAACTTATTTCGAGAAACAGTTTTCGCGTGCATTCCAAACGCGACGGTTCGGCTTAAAGAAATCGCGGAGAACTCAGCGAAGTCCAAAGTGAATAAATACAAAGTGTTGGTGGTTAATTGAATGAAAACGCCTTAAGAAAAAGCAAAAGTGCTTTCGAAAGTGAAGTGAATTAAATTAAAATAAAGCCAAAAGCTTTGGTTAGGTGTATCACAAAAATAAAGAAAGAGTGCGTTATTTATATAAAACAAAATTAACAGTGAAAGAGTTAACATCTACCATTACTTGGAATATTTGTATAAAAAGCGCCGCTAAAGGAATATACCTTGGATTAGTTTTGTATTGAGTAAGTTTTATAAATAAATAGGCTTAATTCATTATGCAGAAACAACATTTCCTAGAATTTCTGTTCATTTCAACAATTAAAATAAACAAAAAGGGTTAGAAAATATACTGTTATTTTAAAGTGTTTTGGAAAAAGCATACAACTTTAGGAGCTCTAATTTTTTCCCTGCCCTTAATGTATAAAATCCATTGAATAATAAAACTCAGTTTAACAAAATGGATCCCTTTATTTGTTCCTTAACTTATAAATACTCATAACTCATCAAACAAAAATTAATAATTCAATCCGTTGACAAAGGCAATTTCTAGTGTAAAATGTTTTTCTTTAATCTGTAACTACAGCTTTTTAATCCCATAAACTAAAAAACTAACCCACATCTAAATTCCGAATCTACATCAATCAAAGAACCGTTTGACGGAGAACCGAACAGTTACTTAATTAGGAGAGTTTTGAGGGGGACCGAATAGAAATCAGAGCAGGTGAAATTGTCGTTATGGAGACTTTCATGGGGGAAGAAGGCGGCAGGGGGCGGGGCCTTCACTTAGTGTGACTTCAAGGCGTGCAATGCAAGAAATTACACACAAATACGCCCACACAAAGATACAGACACTGGTGCAGATACAGATACAACGACGGGCCACAGATGCAGATACTCCGGAGCCGAACAATGATGAAAACGACAATAATTTCAAGGTTCGTTTGATGTAAACTCCGCTGCGCATGCGTAGAAACGTCGGCAGAAGATAAAGCTAAAACCGAAGCTGAATCGGCGGTTAGCGTTTCACTCCAGTCAAGTGTTTTGCAGCTGCTTCTCTCGCTTCCTACTGCTTCTGTGTTTTCAGTTTTTTTTTTTTTTGTTAAATGATTACAAAATTTTCGTTGAAAAGCCATGTTACGCTTCTTGGCGCAAAGAGTTTCTATTTGTTTTTTTTTTTTTTGGTTTTCGGTCCGAGTTGCGCAGTTGCATGTGAGGGTGGTATAGTTATAGCGATGCCGTGGAAAGGTATAATGTCTATACGTTATGAAGACGCGTCGAGTCTGTGGGGCTATTGCACAAGATATCGTTCGTATAACTTCCTGTCGTACGACCCATTACAAACGATGGGCTTTATGAGCCGTCAGAAATGCATTAACTGAAAGCAAAACCCTTTAAGATAACAAAATGGGAAAGATAAATTTATCCGGCAATAAAAAAGAATATTAAAATTCAAAGTGAAAACAAAGCCTAAAAGTTTGAGTTATTAAGTTGGTTATCTGATTTTTATAATTCAATACCAATGTTATTTACGAATGCCAATTAAAATCTTCAATATTTGACGATAAGGACTACTATAAAGTCAATGATGGATTAAACACCTGGCAGCACTTATCTAATCCGATTTAAATCAAATTTCCCAAAAATTGATTTCCCCAAAAAATGGAAATATTTAATCTAACTAATTCAAACAAATCGGTATAATAAAGTTGGAAATTTGATTAACAAAATGCTTTATATTAAGGGGCAATAAATTCAAGACAAGATCCAGACAACTGAAGAAGTGATTAATAGCTGTCATCAACCTTATGTTTTCTGTATCTAATCAGCCAAATCCATTCAATAAATTCAAATGATTACCACCCTTTTATTAACTTTTTTATTGACACATGCACATTTGGTTGTCCAAATACGACATTCTCAGATAAGATGATTTCCAAAAGTACTGCACTTATTTCGGTTTTTTTCCTCTGCGAATTTATAAATAAAACTGAAGGAAAGTTGAAGGTTATTTTTAAAATTATTAACCTAGACCATAAAACTGATGTGTATATTTCCAAAAATATGATTCTGACCAGCAGTGGGGCTACTTAAAGTTAAGAACAATACAACTCATTACTTTTTTTTTTTTTTGATAAAAAAGCCCTCATAAATACAAGTTAATAAGCCTGATGCTATCCAGAAAATATGACCGTCCAACTGAGTGCATTCCGTGTTTTTTTTATTAGGTTTTTCCCCTAGCGACCTTCGTAGGAGTTAATGCGTTCGATGATGGGATCGTTGACCAGTTCCTTCATGTTCCTTGCGATAATGAAGTCCAAGTGGTTGAAACTCTGCACGGGCACACGATAGTCCTCCGTCAGGTGGACGAAATTCTTCACCAAAGTGTTGACATCTTCGGGTCCACAAAGGGCATCGTTGTTGCTGGAGTACAAGTGAGTGGGAGCGGTGATCAAACTCAGATCGTAGTCCGGGGGAAGATCCTGGCCGTAGATCTCGTTGTTCTTCTTGGTTCCCCAGTCGTACTGGCGGAACTCGTGCGACTGCCACAATTGCAGGAAGTGAATGCCCTGGTTGCTGGAGGATCCACCCGGATGGGTCTCAATCAGCACACTCATGGAGCTCTGCAAAAAGATTTTGGTTTCATTAGATCGTAATAAAGAAAAGTTTTCTTCAGTTTGGAAGACCTAATAATTTGCCTATTAATTATTGATAAAGTAAAGGATATGAGGTACTTATTATACCTTGATTCTTCTTAGAAATGTTGTAACAAATTAAGAGTAGATGTCATAACTATTTTACTCACCGCATTGGCATTCACGTAACCCCCGTTGGCGAACATGATGAACGCATTGTTGCAAATTGAGTTCGAAAGGTGACAGCTGTTGTCCACCACTCGGTTGACCAGGTTGTTGTGCGGGATCAGTTCGGTGTCGACGAGCAGCTGGTTCCAGATTCCGCCAGGCGTGCCAACCAAAGGACCCAGAGCCTTGAAAATAAACGATGATCCGTGCTCGAAATAGGCGCACGGGGCCAACATATGACCGGATTTTATCTTCTGGTTATATTCGGGTCGCTCGGAGAGCATCACCAAGTAGACAGTGGTTCCCTGGGAGTGTCCGCAATAGTGAATGCTATCGTAGCCAGTAATATCCAGGATATAGTCGATCATGGCGGGAATGTCGATGGTGCCGATCTCATGCCAGTCAAAGTGCCAGAACTTGTGGCTGTTCAGCGAGATGACGTTGTTCTCCCTGGAGTAGATGTTACCACGGGCGTTTCCCAGCCAGACATCGTATCCGGCATCGGCCAAAAGATAGGCCAACGAGTTATCCGGACCGGAGGAGAGCCAACAGTCGGAGTTGCTGAACAATCCGTGCTGCAGGAGAATCGGCGGGCGCTTCTCGTTCTGGTTCTTCAGCTTGTGGGAGTAGGGAATGCGGAACAGGGTGAGGACATAGCCGTCACTGGTGGTCACCTGGTGGGTCTCCGTCGGGTATCCGTGCGATTGGATTCTCGCGTCCGACTTGACGATCTCACTCAGGCAATAGTCGGACTTATCGGCCACGGCTATTCCAGCCAACAAGCTGAATAACACGGCGTAAACTACTGGATTCATTGTGGGCAATCGCATTTGCTGGCCAACTGGCCGTGGGGCCGTCTTTATATAGTCCGTTCTTATCGGCCGACCAAACAGGCCCCTGGTTAGCCATTGATTTATAGAGATACCCTTGTCTGGCACACTCAACAAATCATTGGTACCCATTCTTAACAATGATTGAACAAGAAAATTATGATTTATATTTTCAGTGGTACAAATAATAAGTGGAAGAAATCATAATAAATAATTTATTCAGCACAGTTTAAATTGTAAAATAAATCTAGATTATATTTCAATCATTAACCAGACTTTTAATGTAATCAATGCTTAATTGTGAACTATTTTTCAGTTTTCATTGATTATTAAAAAAATGTGATTAGAAGATAAAGCTAATTATTTGTATTATGAAGTATATAATCGACAATACAGTACGTACTCCAGTACTTGCGTACAGGAATATGTTTTTATGCGATGTCAAGATTTTAGTTGACAACCTCATTAAATCTTAGAATCAGGAATGTCCTGATTATCGTGCACCTGTGCGAGTTTGATAGCGAAAATCGCAATCAAGGGGGTCTAGTCTGGAGTTCAGCGGAACCATCCGCTATAATAAAACATAATTTAATTTTAGTTCAAGCGATTTCTAATCAAACGTGTTGTTATGACGTTTGTTTTGAATGTTGAGTTTTGGTTTTTTTTAGTTATATTCTTAAACGGAGAAATTTATGGTTTTCATAATCTTTAAATATTAATGATATTAGAATTGTAGTCATAGCGATTTAATATAATTTATTTATGTATAAAATATAGTTTAAAGGTAAAATATTTTTCATTAATAAGCTACGTAATATTTGTACTTATAAAATGTTAATAATCGTCTTTTATAGATATGTGCCAAGTTGGTCACAACCAACGAACTCCACCCACAAAATCCATGATCTAGCCCTTTGCCATGATGCTGCTGCCCATCTTGCTACTACTTTGTTTTGGCCTTAACCTAATTAGAGCAGAAAGTTGTCCTCCATCGCAGGCTATATTGCCATGTCGCTGTTCCTTGAGGGGAAAGGAAATTCAGATATGGTAAGTTGGAGTAGAGATCTTCACCGGAAATAGGAATTTCCTGGAACAAATTCTGTGATGCATTCAATAAATCCTTTTGAATATCTTTTTATAATCTCCAACAGGTGTTCGCACAGCAATCTGCCTCAAATCATGGATGGCTTAAAAGCAGTCGAACGGAACATCAAAGGTCGAATTGATGAGTTGGTGCTGGAGAACAATCAGTTGCCCGCTTTACCGGGAAGATTCTTTGGCAGTTTGCAGATTGTGCGCCTAATGCTTCGCCATAATAGCATCGAAAGAGTTTCCAACGGATGGTTAAACGAATTGGAGAACGGTCTGGTGGAGATCTTCGTGGTGGAACCCCAACTCCGCAGCATTCCTGAGGAGAGTCTCAATGGAATGATCAACATGCTGGCCATTACCATCCAAAGTGATGAGTTGAAACACCTTCCGGATTTCTCTGGACTGCTCAGCTTGACCTATTTGAGTGTCCAGACTGCAGCTCTCCAGGAATTGCCTTCCCATCTCTTTAGACACCTCCCCAAACTGCAGCATATCCACATCACTGGTGGTGCAGGACTCACCCGCTTGGAAGCGGGTCTCTTTGATGGTTTGATTTCCCTGAAGAATCTAGATCTCTCGCACAATGGTCTCAATTGGATTCACTTGCGTGCCCTGTCCAGATTACCCAATTTGGTTAGCCTAAAGCTGTCTTACAATCAAATCAGTGATGTGGGGATGGTGGGTCGCATTGTCAAGGATCTGGAGCACTTGAAGAAACTTCGATTGGATCACAACCTCATCACTGTTATAGAAGACGGCTCCTTTGTGGATCTGCCCAATCTCTCAGAGCTTCACTTGAATGATAACCGAATCACGGAACTGCAATATGGGGCATTTTTGCGCACTCCTCAATTGAAAACCATATATCTGCAGAATAATCTTATTCGGAGGATTCATCCGGAATCATTACTTCAAGCAAGTGGAAGTGGCGTGGAGGCAGTGCACATTTATAACAATGAAATTGGTCATGTGGAGGCCTTGAGAGCTTTGCTGGATGCTTTGCCTACCCTAAAATATCTAGATATGAGTAGTAATCTTCTGAGTGAACTACCTTATGGAGCTCTTCGTGGTCATGGAACCCTGGAGCAACTGCATCTAAATCACAATCTTCTGAGACTCATCGAAAGGGATGCTTTGATGGCCATGCCTGCTTTGCGGGAACTGCGAATGAGAAATAACAGTCTATCCTCGGATTTACCATTACCATTTTGGAATCTGCCGGGATTAAAGGGTCTCGATCTGGCACAGAATCAATTTGCCCGAGTTGACTCTCAATTGCTGGCGGGACTTCCTTCTTTAAGACGTCTAGATCTCAGCGAAAATGGTTTAATCGAGATGGCACCCAATAGTTTTCGTCATAATCCTCTACTGGAAACGCTTAACATATCCTCAAATGAGCTAACCAAAATTCACTCCTCCACATTAATTCATTTGGAAAGGCTTTTCGAGGTTGATGCCAGTTACAATCAGTTGAAAACGATGATTGGAGGACTTCCTAGGATTGTGGAGCGCATTTCTCTAAAGGGTAACCACATTACTTCTTTACCAGCAGCTGCCAGCAAGGATTTGCAACTCCCAAACTTGAGAATGCTCGATCTCAGCCAGAATCATATAGAACAGCTACCCAGACATGGTTTTCAAGGGGCATCGGAGTTAAGAGTTTTAAGTCTAGCTCAAAATGAATTACGTCAGTTGGAGGATACTTCCTTTATAGGCATTCAACGTTTGGAATTACTCCACTTGCAGGAAAATCAATTGGGTGAAGCGGATGAACGGGCTTTATTACCACTCGCAGAATTAAGAAATCTAAATTTGCAATCCAATAAACTAGAGGCCATTACGGATAACTTCTTTTCGAACAACAGCAGACTTGAGCAACTGGATCTCTCTAGAAATCTCATTCGCAGCATTTCTCCCACAGCTTTCGATACCCAGAGATCTCTGGAGTATCTAGATCTTTCAGGAAATGCTCTTCTGGATATATCTGTTGGCTTGGGCAATCTTAACAGCCTGCGAGACATCGATCTTAGTTACAATCAAATATCGCGTGTGCAATCCGATGTGATTAATGGCTGGCGGAATGTAGTGGAAATTCGATTGTCAAATAATCTTATTGTTGAACTCCAGCAAGGCACTTTCCGTAATCTTCCAAAGTTGCAATATCTGGATCTTAGCAGCAACGAGATTCGGAATGTGGAGCCTGGAGCTCTAAAAGGCCTCGATGAACTGCAGGAATTCGTTCTGGCGGACAATAAGTTGGTGGAGCTGAAGGATCATGTTTTTGAGGAGCTGCCAAGTCTCTTGGCTTCCCACTTTCAATACAACAAACTGCGATACATCTCCCCAGAAAGTTTTCATAATGCCAACTCGCTGGTGTTCCTAAATCTGTCCAATAATCACTTCAGGAACATGGAGAATATTGGTCTAAGGAGCATGCGTAACTTGGAGGTTTTAGATTTATCCACCAATGGCGTCAAATTGGTTTCTACCATGCCACTCAAGGCGCTTAATTGGTTGGTGGAACTCAAAATGGACAACAATCAGATATGTCGAATACAGGTGATAATTCATTTTATAATCCTTATAACCTATATGAAATAGCTCTTTTTTGCTCAAAGGGTTCTCCATTTGAAACAATGCCACGTTTGCGAGTCCTTTCCATGCGAAATAATCAACTGAGGAGCATTAAAGAAAGAACATTCCGCAATGTACGAGGAAACATAGCTATTTTGGATGTGGATGGTAAGATATATATTCCATGATACTATCCATAAATAATTTCAATCGGAAACTCTATATTTTATTTTCTATTATAACAGGCAATCCCATAGACTGCAATTGTGAGATGCAGTGGCTTTCGGTTTGGCTGCAGGAGACAAACTTCCCATATCCAGGACCCAAATGCCAGGATGGACGACTTTTGAGATCAGCTCGCATGGAAAGAAGTCTCTGCCTGGGTGCAGATATCTATGGAAACGAACGAACCGATGGCAACCAGTTGCCACTGCTCAACGAACACGGAGATGTCTTCCAGCGAGATTTACCCGACGATTTCAACGACGAGTGCGAGGTGAATGAGGCCACAAGACTCCCTGGAGACCGACCACTTGTGGGCGAGAGCGAGTACTTCTACGATCAGTATGTGGACGCCACCGAGGCACCAGATACCACCAACTCCGTGATCAGTACTTCCCAGCGACCCAAACCGAACCCAACGATAAACAGCAATATAGATCTGAATAACACGATACTCCACACCAAATACTTTAATCGAAAACCTCAGCCGGGAGGTGGTTCACCCTTCACGTTCTTTGGTTACCCTCTGCCCAGTGTGAGTCTGGGTCGCTTTTTCGGTTTCGGAGATCGAGGAAGGAAACAGCGAACGGATTCTATTGATGATATGCCCGCCACCCATCGAATGGCCCACATAAACCTGCCAAGTGGAAGGGGCAAAACCAGGATGTATCAACCGAATAGCGCCGAATTCGAAAAGTATCTGAAGAACCAGCAGCAGCAGGAGAAGCAGAACATAGCCAGAAACCGGTATGTGGACACGGACTCCACCACTTCGTCCGTGGAGGATGCACTGAGCAACGAGAGCGGGAGTGCTGCCACCACGGTGGGTGTCTTTCGCACCACCTTTCGTGAGCCATCGAGCATCGAACGCGGTGGCTTCCGTCCCATTGTTCCCGCGCATATCGGTGGTTTTATGCCTGTCCATGATCCCCAGCAGCGTCGTGGTTTGGTGGAAGCTGTGAATGCTACGGGAAAACCACCAGAAACGATCCAAAGCAAAGGTGAAAGGAAGTTTATTCCCATTTCCGTTCAGGCACGACCCAAGCCTACCAAAAGTAGTGGTGAAAGTTCTGAGACAGCCACTTATGATGTCACGGAAACCACTCCAGATGTGACCACCACAACGCCTTTGATGCAGAGAATTACGACCAGTACAACTAGAGCTCCAACCACAACCACAACAAGGAGGACTACAACCACAAGTACTACCCAGAGAACTACTTTAAGTGATGCATCAGCATCCGCTTCCAGCAGTGAACAGGAACAGCAGGAGTCGCAGTACGATGACGACGATTTGGAGGCGCAATCTGTGACCCTGCTGAGGCCTCCTCCTCTGGTGCAAACAACCACGGCGGAGACGATCCTGTTGATTCCACCAGCCGAAGAACACGAGGCGCAGATCAAGAGCCGATCTTGGTTGACCACCTCAACGCCACAAAGTCCTAGTGACTATCAAGTAACTCCTGCTCGTTCCACCAGCACAGTGCCTTCACTGCCCCCTCAATCTCCGCCTTTACGAGGCGGCGGACGGTCCACCATCACCAAGGTGTACACACCTTACCAGCAACAGGTGGCTCAACCCACGGCGGAGGAGTATCAGCGCACCACGCCCAGTGCGGATAACGAGGGCGTGGCCAGCGAGCATCAGCTCACGGCGAATGCCCAAAAGCGCACCGAACTGGAACTCCTTCAAGTGGATCGAGTCGATCGTAAGGATGGCATGGATTGGTACTATGAGAGCTTCAAAAAGAAACGTGACTTTAATGGCGGTGCTGCTGTGCGAAAAACAGCCCACAAGGAGGTGTTCTTTGATGGAGTAGGTGCTTCGTCCAGTTGGAATCGCTTGCACAAGAAGGAGATCCTCTTTCTTAGCTTGTTATTGTTGTGGAGAGCGTGTTAAACAGTTTTAAAAGATCTTCGCTTTAGACAGTTAAAATATTTTATTATGTATGCTTAAATAAAGAATGTATTTTATATATTAAATAGACATTTGTTGGAAGATTCCGTTCGAACCTGAAAGTCAAAAAAAGAATTACCTTTTAATACGTGTTATAAAACATAATATTTTATGTGGAAGAGGTGAGTCAGATGGTGATGCATGTTAAAAGATTTCAACACAATTGGTCTGATTTGGGTATGAGTTTATCATCAATAATGGTTTTTCAAATAACAAGTTGAACACCAAGAAAAATAATAATTTACCTTTAAATATATTCAGGCACTATTCAGCAATAATTTTGTTGAGAGCCTTACCATGATGCATTGCCTGAAAAATATAAGAGAAAGCTAGGTTAATTTCTGAATATACATTTAGCAAAATAAATTTTAGTATATTTATTCAGATGGTGATGCATGTTAAAAGGATTTCAACATTATATCTCTGAGTTGGGTATGAAGTTATCATCAATTTAGGATTATAATATAATAGTAGGTCTTGTTGTCTTAATCACCTTTTGATTGCAGGATTATGCACTGTCAAGGACTAATCATGTTGCATAGCCTGAAAATAAATATAAAAACTATATTAGTTTCGATGTCTTAATTCAAAACATATCCTTATAAAAGTCTTATTCAGATGGTGATGCATGTTAAAAAGATTTCAACATAATTTCTCTGAGTTGGGTATGAAGTTATCATCAGTTTAGGATCTTAAATAAATGTTCTATAAATTGTAGGAAGTATTACCTTATAAAGCCCGAAGAAATTTCTTCAAATCATTTCAAGACTTTGCCGATTCAAGGTCACCTGTAATAAAAATAACTGTTTTAGATTTTTTAAATGGAAAGGCACACACACTTTTTCTTTCAAAATAGTAATCAGATGGTGATGCATGTTAAGTAAATTTCAACATAATATTTCTGCATTGGGTATGTAGATGTCATCATTAAAGTTTTTAAAGGACATTAAATTGTACTTTCTTGTTTAACATTTACCTTAAAATCATGCAATATTTCAAAGTGCTTCAGGTGTCTCACTTTTCACCACGTGGAGTGGAGGGGCTCATTAAAAAGTCCGGTGTACGTTCATTATACATATTAGCTTATTTTGTGGTTTATGAGATCTGTTATTGTAAAAAATCTTATGCCCATATTATAAGCCGCGATGGAGTTAACTATCAGATAGTTTTGTTCCATTTTTAATAAGTTATATCAAAGTGATTGCGCTCCGACAAACTTAACCAAAAGAAATTTAGATGGGAAAGAAGGCAGAAGGTTGCCGGATGGCCAAGTAGTTGTAAACGTTCAAGGGATGCCAGACATTCAAGTGTTGTGAACACGAATAACTGTTATCGCTAATGAATAATTTAAATAAATATTTTAAGAAAGAACAACAGCAAGAGCAAATATTTAATTTAGGTTTTATCAATAAAAGAGTTCTTTTACTGTTGTAACTTTAAGCTAATATAACCAAAGAAAGGGTATTCGAGTGTGTGTACAATATCGATTCTGTTTCGATAGCTTTGCGTTAGCATGCACATCTCTAGAGCGCGCTGCCACCTTCAGCAAATTGGCGCAATTTAAACAAAAATAGGCAAAATATCACAGTTGCAATCGTAGGAGGAACGCAAATAGATAATCCAGAAAAGATCTAAGTTCCTGGAAGATATACCAATCGCCCCCCGCCCAATTCGGAGACTCTGCTGCAAAGATATAGCGAAGCATCTAAGTGGTATGTGCGTCAGGTGCAGGGCGGCGTGAAAATGTTTACACAATCCTAATAATGCGAATGCCGCTTATTGTTTTCCAGCATTCCGCATCGCAAATTGAAATTGCAATGACGACCCCGCTGCAGACACGAATGGCGCTGGCCGAGATTCCCGATCGCCTGGAGGCCCTGCGCATGGCCAACACGCCGACAAACGCCAATCGCCGGACACCGGACGAACCGACTCCGGCGGCCATAATAAACACTCCGAACGCCAACGGGGGATTGGGTTTGCGGGTGGACAACGATGTGAATGTAGTGCAGGCCCAGGACTTTGTCTTTTCGCCGCTTCCCTCTCCTGATGAGCTGGTCATTCGGCAACGAGGTCGCCGGCGCTTTACCACCACCTTTTCGCCAGATAAAGTCAATGGAGGCGGCGGCGCTGGAGGAGGTGCATCCGGTGGCTCCTCGATGCGTAGCCCCTTTCAACGCACACCCACCAAAAATCTGCAATTAACCAGCGGCATGATTCTACGCAGTTCGCCCCGCAAGCGTCTCACCATGGGCAGCACTCCGCCAGAGCCAACGCCCATGGAGACATATTCGCCGATTAAGATGGCCACCACCAAGCAACTCTGGCCGGGAACACCGATAGTAAAGAAGCTGAGAATGGACGACCGGCCTGTGGGACAAACCAACACGGATTCGACACTGCCTTCCCTGTTGCAGGGCCTTTCCCAGAACCAACTAATCGATTTAATCATGAATAACTTGAAGAACACCAGCGATGAGGGGGAGATCAGACGGCAGCTGCCCACGCCAGACATTAGGTAAGTATATTGGCTTTAGGACAATATTTTTAGATCTCCAAAACATCTATACCAAGATTCTAAAATAGATTCAGGATCCTTCAAAATTAAATGTATTCTGGACAAAGATTTTTGCTTAACAATCTTTTTGATTCCCTTGCAGTTCGCTGGAGCAGGAGCTGCATCACGCCAAGCGGCTCATCTTCAAGTCTCTGCCCACCTCTCGCCTGTGCAAGAAGACCGATGCGGCGGCCTACTCCAAAGCCTCGATGCATCTGAACGAATTCAAGCGGGTTATGCAATCGCAGGCCAAGCGTCTGCACGATTCCACCCATTGGGACGCCCTGGTGGACTATGTAACAATGGCCTGGCAGTGCGTCGCTAGTACGCCCAACTGGGAGAGCCACGCACACAATGCGGTGCGACGGCAGTGCTTCAAGCTTTTGGCCTGCTCCTGCTATGCGGCCATAAAACACGGCGGAATGCGATTGGGACAGACGCGACTGGAGACTTTGGAACGCAATTTGCGCGAATGGTCCAAGGACTACGAGGACGTGCTGTCTTGCGTGAATGCCTTGCAGCGTACGCTTAACAACCGTACCAGTTTATAAACACAGTGGAGACTATAGACTTTTAAGGCCGACTTGCTGAACTCGAGGTTTAGTGGACCGAATCTAGTAAATAAGGCAAAATGTACCATGTAAGCAAACGATATTTGGCGCGACACGTGTTATACACTATTTTTAATTTTGTTCCTCGATTTGTTGTCCTGTTTAAAATGCACGCAAGCAGTTACAGCTTCTTTATTTAGTGATCTAAGCCACACGCTAACTAAAGTCGGTTAGCTTTATAAACTTGTATTTATTAACGCTTAAATATATGCTTAGCAAGTAGGTTTGATTACCATTGGACATTGTTTGAACTAAGTACACTTATTAGAATGCTTTTACGTCTAGATCCTACTTCGCTATGACTATGTTGTACAACTTTCACACGATGGCTTTGCACTTGACTGACGCCTCAACTTTAACAAAATATCCGACTTCTACTTATCCAGTTCAGAACACTGATTGTAGAGAGCAGGGGTATTAGTATATTTAGTACGTGCTGGCTTCGGGAGCTGCCGGAAATGTGTCGCCCTGGAAAAAGTGAGAGGAAAATTCATGTTAAATGTATGTTATTTTCCACTTCGATGAATAATCCTAGTACAATTTATATGATGGACACCTGTTAAACATTCATAAGTACATTTTCGTATTTTGTTTTTTAGCTTTACTCATATTTATTTATGAGCTGGCTCTGAATTCAGCCTAAGTGTTATGTTTATAAGGAGAATCTGCTCAAAAGTTTATTGGTATAAACTACTCACAACGTAAATATACAATCAAGGCTAATTACCTTGTTCGAATTTATAGTTTGCCATATTTAAAGGCTTTACACATTTGCTGTTGTTTGATATGATTTAGAACTCTTTCTTGACGCCCAGCAGAAAATTCGGTGTGAGCGATTTTAATTAGCATTATAAACTAAATTTAATTAGCATAGTTCGATTTTCTGCCAGTGGATAATATTGACATGATCTCTCTTGGCCATTGTTGCTGTTATTTCTGGTATGTGTATGTTTATCGAAGGCGCCGAGTGGAAACAGATTCATCGAAAAGGTGTATTTACAATATTAAATTAGCATCGCTTTGTTAATCCCTCCCCATGTGTGAGTGGCATGGGCATTTAGCATGTGAATTGTGGTTCCAGGTGCATTGACTATGATCAGATACCCATGAACACCTCATCGGAGGTGGGTATCTATTCAAATGAACTCAATACTTACACTTCTTTAGCCAGATCTCAGCGCAGCAGCACTCCTTGATCTCAACGAATTCGAAGCAGGAATCAACGGAGGGGGTGTGCTCCTTCTGATCCGCGAAGCAAACATGAGGCACATAGGGCAGGCCCTCTGAGAATATATAGAAAACAAATATTTTATTTAATATAGTAAAAGTATTTTTGAGCAATCCCAAATTAAATGGTAGAATAAAAATTAATTGCTGATCATATTATTGCTTTTGTAATTGCAAAAGCCAAAAATAGGTAGTCCAATTATTAAGTTAATAATTACTTAGTTTTTATTTTTACATTTGTGTATCGATTTTCCTTGGAAACACTTGAAAAATTTTCCAGAAATTTTAGTGAATGTTCCCCTTTTTGAATTTAAGTGCTTAAATTTTTATAATAGGAACCACTTACTTTAAATATTGAATTTATGGAACTTTTGCGCTTTGAGTAGAAACGGAAATCAATAAAATAGAATATGTTTATTAGGAGCTGCACACGAAAAGCCGCAATAATTTTGAGGAAAATATAAACTTGGGAGACTGACTAAATATGAACGGCATTGTTTCTCGATCGGATATTTTTTCGGTTGGCCTGATTTTAGATTTCCATTTGTTTACAAAAACTCAACGTATTGATTTTTATGAAGTTCCATGTCTACATTTTTAGGAACTCATAACATAAAGCCCACACAGAGAATATCCAGCACTTTTCGATGGTGCGTGTCGCAGATATTTATACAATTAAATAATTATTAGCTAATGTAAACAGACTCGGGTCTCGGAGTGTAGTATGTTAGGTCAATTTAGAGACTGCTCTCGGAATTGTTAATAATCTTTAGCGACGACTGACAAGCCGAGGACGATGGGGTACAAATACAAATCGACAGATTGTTGAAAAAGAAAATGCATAGTGAGTCTGATTGATTGTACATTTAATGATTATAAAAGTTCAGTTACCAAGGAAAACTATATAACGATCTGAGCAGCGATTATTTTCAAAGCTGGTGTGATTCACATTTCGCCCTGTCAACTTTTTTATAGTTATTCAAATTATAAATGGATTTAATTGAAGAGTTGTTCATGGTAAAAAAAAATAAAAAAGAACCGCGAAATATCTGTCATTTTTAATAGCTTAAAATTATGGAAATATTTGAATTGGGCGCTATAAGCGGCACCTAAAAATGGCCATAGAGAAGTACATGTATAGCCACCCACCCAGTTGACTGGACAGGTGTTTTCCGATTGCTAATTCAATCACGTTCCTTATCGAATGGATTTGTTGCCGGTAGTAGAGTTCGTTTGCAGCATACTAAAGGAAAACTCGTAAGCCGCAAAATATTTCGAGTCCACAGTAATATAATATTTAAACAGTGATCAGATACCGGCGTTGAAAACAATCATATTATTTGTTATTTGTAGCCCTTGAGATTTTGCACAGTTATAAACGATAAGGTCTTTTTCAAAAGGGTTACGAATTGCAATGATAAATGCAGTTAAATGAAAGTAATCATAAAGTAAACAAAAAAGGGCGACTGATATTAAAGGTATTTATAATTTTATGTCAATATCCACCACAGGCCCCAATTGCACACCTTAAGATATCAATTCTAAGAATAAATAGTGTACTTAATATTAAGACAGTAAATATTTGTAATATGTACTAAATTTTGTTAGCAGTAAACTAAAGTAATTCTATGACCAAGAAACTATTCAAACAACTACAAATTGAACTGCAACTGCATAATTATTTAATAACAAATAAAGTGAAATGAACAAAATTGAATTTAATGACTGGCCCACACAAAACAATTCAAAGGCGGGTGCATTCGAAAAGGAAAACTACAGGGGCATGGAAAACTGCGCGCCTTGAAGAAAATCATTCAACTGTGGACGGTCTAAGCGCCAAACCCACAAAAATTCCCCTAACAAGGCAGAATGCACATCGACAAGTCGAAAATTTTAACAAAAAAATACAACATTTGGAAGAATTATAAACTGACGTTTGGACATTAGGAATTCCAAAGTAAACTGACTACAGTGGAACTTATTAAAGTTTGACCTAGAGAAATCAGATTAAATACGAGTTTTTAAAGCACTCAAATGAGGATACAATTAAAATTATCTAGTTGCAGTGTATATGGTTTTTAAATCAATAGAAATATAAAATCCTTCTACAATCTTAAGGTAATTTTTTAAAACCATTAGGTTTTTAATGAGAGGCTCTTCTGTTGTGGTTGCAAGTCGAGGCAATGAAGCGTGTCGCAGCATTAGAGTGCGGTTCAATCAGTGGACCAGACTTAACAACTTCCGTGCCGCATCACGTGCCAAGTGGAAGAGAACGACCCGTGGCATAAGTATCTGCCACCTCTGCGACAACCATGGGATACTTCTGTGGCTCGGCTACCTGTGCCAACTGTTGCGTCATCGCCGGCAGTACTAAACCCAGTAATTTGCGTGAGTGCGGATTGTTAAGGGCCTCCGAATCGGACAAAATGAGCTAATGAGGCTCTTTAGAGAGTTGATTCTGGCACTGCGTTGCAAGTGGGTTAGTGGCACGTCTTTATTTCGTGTGTTTACTGTGGGAGTCTTCTACTGCAACTGCAGAGTTTTGTTTATTGTTTTTTGGCGCCATCTGCTGAGACTCATGCAGCAAGTCATAAATATCAACTAAGGTAAAACAAATATTAGTTTTTTACAAGAAACAAGCAACTGTTAAGATTTGCAATGCTGGATTTCTTTCAGGAACAAGCAAGAGACTTAAAAACTTTGGTATCTTCATTTTTTTAACTATCCTAAATGCAATTTTTGTACTATACTAACCTTCTCGATGTTGCTGTTCGCAATAGCAATGATCGTTGATAAACTGAAAATAAAATTTTTAAAAATGTAATACAAGGAATATTTTGCATATTAAGTTCATGGATATCATTGGTTATCCAAAATATTTACCTGTGTTCCCCTGCAATATTTTGATGCATTCGCTGGGCATTTAATTGAACTGCAGGCATTGTGCTGGCTTTTTGTTATAACGACTGAAATTAAAAATTTTTTAAAAAAAGAGTTTAATACTTTTACATTCGGTTTACTTAAAGGTTTTCTGAGAAGAATGATAAAGTGTTTAAAAATGCAATTCCAAATATTTAAAATTTGAATAATCTTGTTTACTTGGCATTCTTTATATTCTTATTACTTCCTTTTATTTAAAATTTTTAAATGCAAAATTATATTTGCTTGTTACTACTAGTTACTACTACTCACTCTTGTTATGTTTTTGCAGGTATTCCATGGCCGATTGCTGGGACACCTGGTGGTCGAAGGTGTACTCCTCGTAGCTATCGCTGTATGGCGGGACTCGTGGACGCAGGTCCTCCTTGTCGCACATGATGCAGGAGGATTGTGGAGCACCGAGGACGGATCCGAGGCAGATCGTCAGCACAGTTCCTACGAGCAGGAATGATGGGATCACCGCCGGCTGATAACGCAGGCTGACCTTTGGGATTAAGGGCTTATCGGTGGATCTTGGCGGCGATTGCAGTAATCTCGAGCACTGGTAATTGTATGAGGAAGCTCCGCTGAATTCCAATGCACTCCACATCGTGCTAAGTCCTAGTCCGATTTCGATCATTTTATTGTACACAATTATCACATTAATTAGCTGGGTTTTATTGCCGTTTTATTTCGGTTTAGTTTGTGCGTCGTTGTGGTCGCTGCAATCGGATACGATCTGTAAGTCGCACGGATGCGAAGATTCAGATTTAGTAAGATCAGGCAAGACTATAGTAAGTTGAAAATGCGGTCGTGATCTGAATATAGATTCCAATCGCATATATGGCTCTGATTCTGTGTGCTTTCCACACGAACAACTTTTGTCTAATTCACTTTACAGCTGATTGGTTTAATGGCATTTCTGTATTGTTCAACAATGTTTATCGTTCTCCTTTCGACTGCTGTAATTTGATGTGGCAGGGAACTTTTCTTGATTAAATAGGCCAACTTTTAGATAGTAACAAAAAAAGTATAACAAAAATTATTCAAGTCTATAAATTTACGGAGTATTAATTCATTATATTTTCCACTTTTAGGATTGCTTATTATTTCAGGATTTCCCTCTCAATGAAAACATGAATTTATGTACACATTCCAAGTTGCATTGGATTATATTTTTTGGATCCTTTTAAAATATAAGCACTTTTTCACAATTTTTTTTATATATTTGTTAACTCGAAATAAACCATTTCCACATATCCACAAATTGTTGCACAAAATATCTTTCTTTCATCTCTTTTGTTGCTGATAAATTGCTTTAGATTTCGGTTGATATTTTTTTCACAAAAAAATGCCTGGTATTCTCGGGAATAATTTATTAAGAAGCTGGCCAGCGACTCGCTCAACGCATCTAATAAATTAAAGTTACAAATATCACACAGCACGTGAGGAGGCGGAGTGAACGAAATAATATTTGTCGTACCGCTGCGATGGTTTCGCATCAAGATCGACGGCCACACGTCCGATTCCCAGCCTATGCAAATTCGTTCTGAGCAACTCGCACTGACTTCTCCACTGCGGCAGCGCGCCGTACAGTGGGCCAAAACGGTAGAAATTTAATTAAAATTTGAATATTTTTTTAAATTATCAAAAGGTTGTAAGTAATAGTTGTGTTACATAGCTTGGTTGATTGCAATCCTTATTTCTCCACATCAATTATATTATTATTTTTCCTTATTTACCCTTTTACTGATTCCCACTATGCTTTGGTATAGAAAGCGACGGGCAGCACGAGAACTCACTTTGTGGAGCTTTTAGTGCCGCCACTTGGAAGAATTTAATAAAAGCCAACGCCGCCAAGCTGGTTGCATTTAAAGGTTCAGGTATGAAATATATCTTATCTTCATCGTTAAATTCCTTTAGCTGGTTAAAAAAGATATATTTTATATATATATGAATGAGCAAGGGGATTCCCGGTATATAAGGAAACATATCATCAAAATGTTTTTAGAATATAAAGTGTCTTACACAATAAAGATCTTAATAAATATACAAGTATCACGAGATTAACGAAACAATAAATTTAAAGATTGTATAAAATAATCTTATATCTAAGAGATTCTATTTTCCCATTCAATAAACAAAAACCCTGCAATCAATTCACACTTCCCAATGATTAGCGCCGGCTATCAACAGGCATTTAATCAAATACCCTCGAAAATGATGCTCCATTAATAATATGGCTGTTAATAAGCCCTAGTAATTTGTTCAAAATGAAGCGGAACCATTTCCCTTTCCAGAAAAAAACAATAAACAACAAACATACCTTGGCATACCGAACAAACAATTTCTGACACACATTGAAATATTTTTATAATTTATGCCCACCTAAATGCCCCACAACGATCCCTTTAAACTAGATATATCTGCATCTGTATACCTAGGCAAGCATCTATGTAAAGTTCTCTCTGGGCTTCATAATTTTGTGTTTTAAAAATAAAATGGAAATTCAGATAAACGAGGTGGCTAGGAAGTTTTCATTTAGTTCCTGCTCGAATCTTTTGTTTATTTGTAGAACTGCAACCTGCTATGCGCCCCTGCTCTCTCGTCCAAAATCGTAAATCTCGACAGGCTAACCCGTCTGATTTCTTGTTTGGGGAAGCATCATTTTATGGACCTTACTTTCTAGTATTACCCAAGACTATTAAATGCTGCTGGGCTTACAGATCTGTGGGCGGTTATTGTGTTTTTCCGATGCTTTCGCTTGATGTGGTTTCAGCTACCGCAACACTTAAATGCATAAGTCCGCGTGTAAATATCTTGACTGTGTAAAAATATCATTTATATGACGGCATCTGGCTTAAAGAACTTAATACCATCCACCTCACTGCAAAGGATATTAAGGCGAGCGAGGGGAAAGCGTGTCAAGGTGAAACTGAATCATGCCGAGAATGTAATGTTTTTACGGCTTTAATGGGGCACTTCCCCTCTCCCTAAGTGGCCCAACAAAAGGGCGCGACTATCTGCGAAATTATGGAAAAATGACTCTGTCGAAACTTTTCGATTGGGTTCTGGCACGCGAGCCGAATTAAATTCGCAAATTTGCATGCAAATATTTGTATTTACCTCAAGCTCTTAAACTGCTAAGGGTGTGAGATTGTTTTATTTTTATCAGCAATGATGACTTTGTATAGATAGTGAAAATATTATAGGTATAGGCAGGGGCGGACGCAGGGGGTGTTTGGGGGTCCGGACCCCCCCCAAAATCACAGACTTTTTCAAATTCCCTTACAGCACACGGCCTTTCAACCATATAAACTAAAAATTTTTTGACCGGACCCCCCCCAAACGAAAAAATTTTTGGACCGGACCCCCCCCAAAATTTTTTTCTGCGTCCGCCCCTGGGTATAGGATTTATCACTTCTAATAACATAAAATAAATTTCTAAGTATTTAGTAAATTAACAAATTTATTTTAAATAAAATACATCAGACAGCAAATGACCACACCATTTTGTATAATATTAAATTGTACTTCGTATTTTAAGTCTTAAAACTTTTAAAACAATCTATTAAAAAAAAAAAACATTCATAATAACTGACCTACCTCAGAAACTCAAGATTGAAATGAAAACATCTGCTTAGACACATGCAAAATCTCACCTACCCTAAGATATCGCTGCGCATGCGGTCTATTGAGTTTCATAACCCTTGTCAGCGAAGAAACACCCCGTGAAAACAATCCTTAAAAGGTAAAAAGAGCGTTGTCCTACAAGAGAGTAAGTTCTCAAAGAACAACGTTCTCATTTTCAAACAAAAACTCGTTTTGGCAGAGCTTCCAAAACTGTTTCCCCCCCACAACTTACAGTTTTTTCAGCACTGGGTAAAGAAATGATTTTTGCGCCCCAAGTGTTTTCTTAGACTTTTCCAAATTTATGATCATTTTCACACTGCATAATCAATCAACAAAATCGCAAAAATAAGATGCATAAACTATTTTTAAACCACTAACTAGAGAATGCTTTCAGAATGTGTTCGTTCCGATAATTTATGTTGTAACATTTAAAACTTTTTTGTCTTGCTTTGGGGGATTTTTGGTCTCAAAAATTGTCCGCTTTTTCGGGGCCAACCATTTGGTGTTGTTTTTTCGCGTTTTTTTCAAACATTAAGATTTTAATCACTCAGCGAGACGCACCAATTTGTCAATATTTAAAAAAAGTCGAACATAAATTTTCACATCAGCAATAAAAACAAAGTTTGGGGCACAAAATAGAGAATGGCGACAAATGATTTTCGGCTTGTACACAAAACAACAGCGACAATTCAAGTACGTTTGATTTTTTGCGCTTGCAATTTATAAAATTATACTAACCAAATTAGATAATTTGGAGTAGTTACACACTTGTGATTTTTTTTGCTACTGTTTGTTACTGCGACTCTTGTTATTTTGCTTGTTGTTTGGGCAGCGCAGTAAACGCGACTGAAGGATGAAAAGCGTGACGTAGACCGGCGACAGCTTGCGGCTATGGCAACAACAACAACCACACAAACAAGGACAATAACACAGCACTGAGAGAAAAATTACATTTTAGCACAATGATTTGTGTGAAATAAAATATTTATTTTACCAGCTTTTTATATTAGGAAAAAACGCCAGGTAAATATACCTAAAAACACACAAATTGCAATCAAAAATCGTAGTAGTTTGGACAAATGCAATAAAATTTAAATTTGAATAAAAACTAAAATGTTTGTTGAAAATCATTTTTCTCAAGGAAATTCTGTCAACTTTTGTTTTCTGTGCAAAACCATCGAAGTTACTGACGACAACAATAGAGACTCACATCCTTCTGTCTGGCATCGTCCTTTTTGGAAAGCAACCCCCAAGCAAGAAACTTTCTCTGCTGGCAATGCTGTTCAGTGAAAAGAGAGAGCACTTCTACTCCTGTTAGAGGAAAAAGAAGGAATAAGAGAGGGGTTGTGGAAGAGCCGTTAATATTATATCCCAGTAGAGCAACAGGCTACCCACATCAAACCCAAAATAAACCCAAACTGAGCAAGGTACCGTTGCTTTCGCCAAGGACAAAAGTTTGCTCAGCTAATGGCAGCGAATTTTATTGGGATAGGTCCAATGGGGTGCATCAGATTCTTTGACTAATGGAATTCAAGGAGCGCCAGGTGTCGAATAAACAAACGAATCCCAGATATTTATGGGGGCGATAATAACTTAATGATGTGAAAGGACGTTGGAGTTGATTTGGAGAAGGAAAATTGATTTAGGGGTGAGGCTTTATACGTTTCAAAGTCGTAGTCAACACTAATGAAACTATATTTATATTTAATATGCATCCATTAAAGTTAACATCTCTAAATACCCAGTAAATAAGTATAAAATTAATTGATTGGTAGAGTAAGACAATTTCCAGCCATATGGTTTTACAGCCACTATAACATCTGGAGTAATTCGGCGACAAGTGTTATATTCAGTGTTATATCGCGTCCCTGTAGTCAGGTTATCGCCTCTGCAATGCCCTAATAAGCCAATCATAATAAATGTCAAGCATCGATTTGGCTTCATGCCAATGACCAATCGACCATATCGTAGTCCTCCACCCCTTTTCCGATCCCCCTTCACCCCTTTAGGACTGTCAGCTTATCATTAGTTGGTCGCCAGCAGCTGGGGAGACTTTGTCTAGGGCTAAACATTAATGCTTAGCCGCCGGAATTGCTCATACGCCCTGTGTTCACTGTGCTAGGGCAGCCCATCGACCGACGAAAACGATTAATTTATTGGCTTGTCGCATGTTGCCAAACACCTGACACGAATCGTCAGTCAAAATGATTAAGAGAACTGCCCTATCCCAAAAACGATTGGGCAAGAAAATAACTTTATAATTGGATCTTAAAATTACGTATAAAATAAGATGTTTATTTAGACATGGATCAAGCGATAATAAAAAAGTTAAGCAACTAAAAAATTTATATAAAATAATGGTTATTAAAGATTTATTTATCACATTTAATAACTTGTCTCTTTTCACTAAATAAATCAATTACAATCCATAACATTATATTTCATTTTCTTGAGCTCCCTAAGTAAGGTAAAAAACACAGTAAGTAGATAATTTATAGGAAATTTTAATTTTGAAGCAGATCTAAAAATATTTCAACAAAAATAGCAGAACTTGCTTAATTTAATTCAAATCACATTTCATTTCGTAAAACCCGTTTTTCTGTATCACACAACTCAATATCAAAAGCTTAAATTAAAAAGAATGGCGATACTAATGTTTTTAATCCTTTTGAATCCTCTTAAAGACATTATCCCATTAATTATTAATCGATTTAAAGCAATCATCAAAATATATTATTTATGACTAGCGTGCGCTCTATTAATAAATAAAAACAGAAAACAACTTTGCTAACCAGTTTTCGCAATTTGGTTTTGAGAAAAGTTCTAAACGATTCAAATGCAAAATAACTTCAATGGCAATACACATTATGCACCCGTACAAAAACAAAAACAATCGAGATAACATTAACACTCAGTTTACCTATTGTTGCGTTTTGGGGGCTCGCAACTCGAATCAAGTTCAATGTGACTTGGCAACCGATCTCCAAGCAAACTAGACTGGCGCCTCATGAATATTTATTGAAATTCTATCATGAACCCAAATATTTTGCATAATGACTTGCGATATTTTTGTGTAACGGTGTAACGGTCTTAAGGAAGGGAAATTTTGTTAGGAAAAACTTCTAAAGAGCCGAAAAGATATAAGGAAAATATACATAGGAGGCCCGTCCCAGGTTACAATATTGCAAATTTTTCTACCCGATTGCATTAATTAACTAGTCCACCTGTTCAAGTAAACAAATTTCTGCAAGTTCAGTTAAAATATGCGAACAACAACCAGATACTTAAGATATTCCGATATATATAGCAGTTGAAATAAACAAAATACTAGTTTGGCTTTTATTTAAATTAGTACAGGATTTTCACCTGATCAAACCTGGGCCCTATATAAAGCCCCCGATTTGCTAAGCTCAGGCCATAATCATCTTGAAGATCGTGTAAGATCAACGGAACGAAGAAATCTATATCGCGTGTGAGGAGAGGATTTGCATAAATTGAGTCTGAGTGATAATGGTAAATGGTTTGACACATGTGCCTATAGTTATGTAATGCCAAAGTATTGTGAAATAAGTGTACTTAAAAAGTCCAATCCGAAATTATTTCCTTTCAAAAAGTATTTAAATCAATGGAGTGAAAAATAAGAAAGCAAATACACAAAAATTTGTCTTAAAAAAGATTTAAAGTGGTTTTAAAGGGTTTTACTACCATAAAAAAATTTTGTATTAAAAATTTAGAAAGTGATTTATAAGAATAAAAAAATAATGTATTTATAATCAAATCCTTTATTTTCTTTCTTCAGACCAGCTATACTGACAAAGGAACCAAAGTAAGTTACAAAAAAATATCATTAATAATTTATAATAAAATAATAATGTGTTTTAATTGATATTTACAGCCTGAAGCCGGCAAATTTCTAAGCTTTGATCATCTGACTTTTTACGTTGGTAACGCCAAGCAGGCGGCCAGCTATTATACCACTCGTCTGGGCTTCGAACCACTTGGATATCAGGGATTAGAGACCGGAGAGCGACGCTTCGCCAAGCATGCCGTGCGTCAGAACAAGATCGTCTTCGTGTTCGTCTCCGCCTACACGCCGGATGACGAGGAGCATGGACTCCACCTGATGCGCCATGGCGACGGTGTCAAGGATGTAGCCTTCGAAGTGGAGGATTTGAATGCCATCTTTACCCTGGCGGTGACCCGTGGCGCCGAAGTGGTGCGCGACATCTGGGAGGAGAGCGATGACAAGGGATTCGTGAGATTCGCCACCATCAAGACGGTAATTAAAAAAGAAAATATAGTTACACAATCAATAATGTTGTTTCTTCAATTTTTACTAATTTTTTTTTTTATAATTCACTTAAAATAACCTTTTATAACTTATTTAGTACGGTGATACTACCCACACTTTTGTGGAGCGCAATGGTTATGCCGGAGACTTTCTGCCCGGATTCCAGCGAGCGCCTGAGGATGTCCTGCTGAAGGGCTTGCCCTCCACCAAATTGAACTTCATTGATCACGTGGTGGGCAACCAGCCGGATCTGCAAATGGAGAGCGTGGCCTCCTGGTACGAGAGGATCTTGCAGTTCCATCGCTTCTGGTCGGTGGACGACTCCCAGATCCACACGGAGTACTCCGCCCTGCGGTCCATTGTGATGGCCAACTATGAGGAAACGGTGAAGATGCCGATCAATGAGCCGGCCAATGGAAAGAAGAAGTCGCAGATCCAGGAGTACGTAGAGTACTACGGTGGAGGAGGTGTCCAGCATATCGCACTTAATACGGACGACATCATTCAGGCGGTGACCAACCTGAAGGCTCGAGGAACCCAGTTCCTGACCATCCCAGCCTCGTACTACGAGCTTCTGCAGGAGCAGCTCTCGCATAGCCGCACCAAGATCAAGGAGGACATGGAGGTCCTCAAGAAGTTGAACATTCTGATTGACTTCGATGAGAACGGTTATCTGCTGCAGATCTTTACCAAGAACTGCCAGGACAGGCCCACTCTCTTCCTTGAAGTTATCCAACGCTATAATCACAATGTAAGATTTATTACTTAAACTATTATTGCTATAAACACTGAAACGTAATCGTAACTTTTTCAGGGATTTGGCGCTGGCAACTTTAAGTCTTTGTTCACGGCTATCGAAATTGAACAGGCCAAGCGAGGCAACTTGTAAATTATAACGAGCAAAAATAATAAATGATATGCTTCAAACAGAATAACTAGTTTCACAAATATTTGCTAAGTGTCATTTGTTTAACCGCTGATCTCTGAATCGTGTGTCTATTAAAACCTCGTTACGTGGATCGTCTTCAGCAAAGGAAACCATATGGGGATTCCAGAATCCCGGTGGCGTGTTACTTCGTGCGTCAATGTGCCTGCATTTCTCCAAATAGTCTTTGATTTTTTCATCAGTCAAGTTGGTGCCCATAAAATTAATAAACTGAAATGGAAAAAGGTTAAAACTCAATAAATTTAAAACAAATAGATAATTAAAAGAATTACACCAACCTTTTCGCATTCCGGGCATTCAATATTGAAACGCTCTTTGACTGACAATTCTGGTTCTGTTTTAACCAGGATCGGTTGTGGAAACTCTTCCTCCGAATCCTTGCTATCTTCTTCTTTGATTTCCATCAGATACTTTTCGATATCCTGAGAGAGCTTCGTTGATTCATTGCCCTCATCTGTTTGTGGTTGGGATATGGGTTCAGTTTTTACGACTTTCGTAATTGGAATGGCTGTTTTGGCTTTTGTAGGATTCGGTTGAACGTTCTTTTGTTGATCAATCATATTCTTCTCAAACTGCCTCAAAGCATTTGAGCAAGCATCGTCGTCATCCTTCATAATTTCGGCCAGGACATCCATGGTTCCTATTTTGTTCTCTTCGAGAGTGTCGTTCACAAATATAATATCCTGGGTTGCAGGCGTCAGCAGAACCACGCTATCCGAGGTGTTGTTGATTTTTAAACTCGGCGGGGTTACTGGTGGCGGCATGAGGGGAAGCTCCGAGCACTCCATATTGAACTCTTCCAAGTCGCTCTCATAAGTGGTCTTCGGCATCTTAATGATGCTACTGTTGCTGCTGGTAAGCGAGTCGTCTGCGTTTGTAACGGTCGCGTTGTCTGTTCTGCAAACTTGGCTTTTAATATTAACAAGAAAGGAAGGTAGCTTCGGCGAGCCGATGCTTGTATACCCTTACAGTCATCACAAATGTCGAGCAAAATGCATAAAGGTTAAATAATATTAAAGTAATGACGATTTTTTAATTTACTTTTCCTTATTCTTTTTACTTAATAAAACAAGTTACTTCTCTGACACCTCTCTATAATACATGTTGCAATGATAATTACCTCTGCATCAGTGATCTTGGCGGACGAGATCTTTTTAGGCTGGTGCTTAAATTGGGGCTTTCCTCTATAATGTCCTTTTCGCTGTTGCTGGTCTTATTGGCTTCGAATTTAAGGCGGGTTTGTTTTAAATGCGAATTGCTACCTTTGTGAGTAAGTGACAGCTTGGTGACTACCCCAGCATATTTGGGGGTCTTTTGAAGCCAACTGTTGCCCACATCTGAATTGTTGTTTGGCTGAACATTCTCTAGATTGCGAATGTCTAGCTTTCGGTTCGGTAGCCTCAATTTACGTGGGCTTTGTGCAGTGGGCTCCGTCTCCGCTATGCTTTCGTCTTCCTCCATTTTTAGGTCTTCGTCGGAGAGATCAATGCTACTGAGCGCTATGTTCATGTTAAGGGAATTCTGGCTCTGCGGTAGTGGGGATATATCACTCTTATTTTTTTTGGGCGACAACTTCCTACGCTTTCCCGCTTGGATCATGGATTCCTGCCGCTCTTTTAGCAAATCCAATGCCTTATGCAGTTTTTCATTGTGAGCTTTCAGGTTTTCTATAGTTTTAGCACTCTCCTCCGAGTCCCGTTGCATCACTGTGCGATAACAAATTGATTAATATAGCATTTGATAAAAGTAAGTTCGACTTACTTAAGGCGTGTTCTTTGATCGTGTCCAAAGCGGCTATGAGACACTTTACACTCTTCTCCTTGAGACCCCGACATGTTCCACACGCCATTTTTACGTTATTTTACTAATTGTAGTTAACTTCTTCACTTAGTTAAATGTGTCTTGTTGTAAATTTAAATGTTTTATTTTGTTTATTCCGCGTCGGCATTGTAATGTGTCCGCAGCTGGGCTGATAAAGAATACCACCTGTAAAAAATACCAAATATGTGGTATATACTGTTGAGCCGGTTGGTTTTTTTTCAACAAATTAGCTCCGGTTCCACTGGTTTCCATTCTGCTCGTGTTAAATTTTATTTTTCACTTGTAAAACTTAAATTTATTAAATAAATTAAGCTAATTTGGCCATGGCACACCTCCGGGAAACCTCGGACAAAGCTCTAAAGCTGTTGCGGACATTGCCTCGCGTGCAGATCGGCAATCTTCGCCCGAATCCAAACTCCAAACAAAATGTGAGTGGTTAAATAACAATATGAAGTATTATTTACTAATATTGTATTTCGGCAGGACAAGCGTGGCAGAGCGCAGCACGGCGGAGATAAACACGGAGCTGGCAACAAGGGTTCCGGGCAACGGCAGAACTTTATGCGGTTGGGTTACGAAACAGGAAATCAGCCCTTCTACCTGAGATTTCCATATGAACCTTACTACAAAGGACATCATCTGAAGCGCCAGTATCCGCCCATTTCGCTCCTTCAGCTGCAAGTGCTGATTGACACCAACAGGATAGACATCAGCCAGCCAATTGACATCAGCACTCTGTGCAATTCTGGCCTGCTTAAGCTCAAACCCGCTGAAATGGAGTACGGATTCCAATTGACTGACGATGGACTGGACAACTTCCAAGCTAAGATCAATATTGAGGTGCAGCATGCCAGCGAGGCGGTCATAGCGGCTATAGAGAAGAACGGAGGCGTGATCCGTACTGCTTATTACGACCCTCGCAGCTTGCACATGCTGGCCAATCCAAAAAAGTGGTTCCAAAAGGGAGTGCCCATCCCCAGCCGGATGCTGCCACCTCAGGACGCCGTGGACTACTATACGAATCCGAAGAATCGCGGCTATCTGGCCAATCCGGAGGAGATTAGCAAAGATCGATTAGTGTTGGCCCAGAAATACGGCTACCAACTACCTAAAATCGAAGAAGATTCCGCCTACGAGATGCTTACCACTGCCAAGGATCCCAGGCAAGTATTTTATGGCCTGGAACCCGGCTGGCTAGTGAACATTGTGGACAAAACAATAATCAAGCAGAAGCAATAATTAGTTGAGTTTGTTACTTTGCATTTTGTTAAATAAAGAAGTGGATTACAAAAAGCTTTGTTAGACTATGATACTGTAAGACATTTGATGTGTCCTTGTCTTTCTTTTTTAAGTTTATATAAACACCTGCTTAGCCGATAGATCCTCCATGAACGGCTTGACCACCGCGCTGGTGGCGAAGCAGAATATCAACCCGAAGGTAATTGAGATGGGCAAAGCGGGCAGGGCCTTACGCCAAATGGCCAGCAGCAGAAGGGTGAGACAAAGCCCGATCAGGATGGCCACAAAGCAAGCGATCGTGGTCGTCCAGTCGCCGTAGCTAGAGGCTTTACCCACTAATACCGAATAGAAGATGAAGTCGCCGAGGCCGAGTTTGATGCCACCTAAGAGAGATGATTTATTGGTTTGTTGCCTAATTGATTTTTTTTTTCATGATTTGCTTTACTTACGTTCTTCCTGCCCATCCTGGTGATTGGGATCTGGTGCTGTTACTGTTCTATACTCGTTTGAACGCTGAGCGTTTCCACTTTGAGTACTTTGAACTTCAATCTGTCGGCGAGCAACACGCTCGCTCAAATTGGCAGACCACTCCTGCGTAAAACCAGCAGCTTCAGCTAGAAACAATCCAATGAAATAAGAAAATAACCGTTGAACTTAAATTTGGGGCCTAGAAATAGAATTGATTGTGTCTATTTCACGGCTATATGTGGAATAAATTTCTACTAGCAGCGCTTTATACCATATGCCCAACATAACTAAACAAGACATTAAATACAAACGAGAAGACAAAAAAGACCAAATGCCAAATAAGCTATGTACACATTTGAGATAAATCATAAAAAATATAATGCATATGTACCGTTTCCGCGCAAATTGCTTTTAAAAGTCACAAGTGGCATACCTTCAGTTGCCAGTACATTGCCATCATCCCGCTGATTCTGTCGAGGATGCGAGTTACCTGAGCGTGCACCGCTAACCACCGCTGCTTCCGGTGAAGCCAGTGAATTCTGTGTGGCCCTCGTGGTTGTGGTGGAATTGCTGGACGAGGGCGAGGATGAGGCAGTGGCCTGCGATTGCTGGGGCGTAACCGTGTTCACAAGGGCGTAAACCACAGTGGCTGAACAAAAAAATTTTTGTAAAAAGAATAAAATTCGAAATAATGAATAGTTTTTACAGGAGTAGATCAGAGCGGGGAAGATTTGTTCGTTTCGCTCCTGGGCCGTTTCCACCAGGATACGAAGAGGTCCTCTTGGAGAAAGGACTGCTATGAGATCTGTAAATTAATAAATCATAATATTAAATAATAATTTTAATGTTGCCCATAACATGTTGACTTACCCCAAATCGAAATGGCTGCTAAAACCGCCCAGGCAGTCCATTCTGGCAGATATTTAATGAAAACCAATGCCATGAGGGCTGCTACAAAAATAAGATAGCCCTGTTGCAAACGCAGGGGACCCTGCCAATGGATGGCCATCATTCCAACTACTCCAAAGTTCCACATAATAAGCAAGGCAGTGGGATAGTCCATGGGTATGTTATAGGCACGAAGCAGCTCTCTAAAATACCCAAAATATCAGTGAAGATCTGTCAGAAGTGACTTTAACTTACTCCAAATATAAGTACGTAAAGATGAATAATAACATAAATGAGGAGAGAATTAGCCAGCCGTGAATAATGCGGTAGCAACGTTTCTTATACAAAACAATCAGCAGAATGGTCATCACTACCACCACGCTCATCAGAATTAAAGAGTTGGCCAAAGCGTTCCAGAACTTAACACTCGGCTCGGGTGATTGTTCGTGGAAAGGTGTGTACAGTCTATGGTAGAATAAACAATAATTAGTTAACTATATGGTTACTTTTATGTTTAACCATACAAATAGACATCCGTGCTGTTGTAGAAGCTGATGGAGTTAATGGTTGCCACCACTACCAACATACAAAGTGAGACGGGCACAAACAACTTGATTACATGCTGGGCGCCATATTTCAAGCCCTGTTCCTCTTCCGTTTCATTTGTGGGCGGACCACCACCTCCGCCGCCGCCGCCGGCAGTCAGTCTTGAAGGTCTTTGTGCTCCCGGTTCTCGCATCACAACATTGGGAACGGCAAGAATGGCCTGGAAAAATTTAAAATTCCAAGTTGTAGAAGTGGTTCTAGCCAAGGACTCTGTAAACTCACAGCATCCGGTTGATCCTGACTGCTGGAACCGTAGTTGTTTCGCTGATGTTGCCGCTTTGGAGGACGCTCCAAACGCTCCGCCTCGCCGTTCTGGCTGCCCACAGTCGCATCGTCCCCGAAAGCGAGTCCGGAGGAGCACGAAGCCTGGAGATTAACAGCAGCCATCAGTGGTGTGCGTTCGTTCGCCTCCGTAGCGCTGGACGCCGCCCCCTGTGAAGCCGTAGTTGGGTGGTGCGAAGGACTGGGGGTCCCACGTATAAGGATATGAAACCTTAAAGATCTGAAGCTACTCACGATTATAGAAGCCAAATCAAGTGTAGCTGGACAAAACTTTCTTTTGTTTTGACAGAAAAGCGACTCATAGACTAGCGATGGGCCACGGCAAGTGCGGCTCAGCTATCGATTTCCGATGAAACCTGCCTTCATGGAAGAAGCGCGAATATGCAGAGGGGTTATTGAATGAAAATTTTATAAACATATATATATATAAAAATTAATATACTTTTTAAACACAGTAGTAAAACTTCCATCTTTTAATCCGAAAAACTATTTAACTGTTTCCTTTCTTTACACGAAACCTGTAATTCTACATGTCAATTAAATAATACTGAAAAATACTGCTGGAAGTTAATAATCAGCTGTTTTTCCTTATAGAATGCAAGGTCAAATGCGTGCACACTATATATTTCATAAGATTCGACAAACAAAATAAATTTTAAATTTATTGATTATTTCCTTACTTCTTCAAATGTACAACATGTTAAGAGCGTTAAAATCCCACGCGGAAGCACCCATAATAGTTGTTACCGTAAGTAAAAGTATTACATTATAATGTTCTTGTTCAAATCAACTAACTTCGATTGAATAATACAGCGTGCGGCATCAACAAATGCGGAAAAGCTCGAGGAGATTCGCGAACGTCTGGCTAAGGGACCCAATTTTCAGGACTTTGTCCAGAACCCGGAATACTCGAAAAGCGAGTGGGAAAACTACGAGGGAAAGTTGCGTCGCGAAAAGGGCGAAGAACAACGTTTGCGATTGCCGCCATGGTTGAAGACCACCATCCCTGTGGGCAAGAACTACGCCAAGATTAAGGCCCAGATGCGGGAGCTCAAGCTTTCCACCGTCTGCGAAGAAGCCCGGTGTCCCAACATCGGCGAGTGCTGGGGCGGCGGCGAACATGGAACGCAGACAGCAACAATTATGGTAAGGGAGCAGACCCCCCGGTGACCTCTGCTGATAACCAAAAATGTTCACTATCTGAGTCTGGGGTCTCGCAGAATTTTCCACAGTTTGAAGTGCTTGAAAAGGGAATACTGATGACTAAAGCGTGCTTTCATTTTTAGCTTATGGGCGATACTTGTACTCGAGGCTGTCGGTTTTGTTCAGTCAAGACGGCACGAAAGCCTCCTCCGTTGGACGTGAATGAACCTGTGAACACAGCCACAGCAATTGCCTCCTGGGGATTGGACTACATCGTGTTGACCTCAGTAGATCGCGATGGTAACTGATGAAATAACTTCCGTCTCGTGTTGCTAAATTAATTTTTTTTACTTTAGATTTACCTGACGGTGGCTCCAAGCACATAGCCGAAACTGTTCGGGAAATAAAGGCGCGGTAAGACAACGAATACTCGGAAATACCTAAATATTTACTAAAATCTATATTTTTAGTAACTCTAACATCTTTGTCGAGTGTTTGGTGCCGGACTTTCGTGGCAATTTGGAGTGTGTGGAGACGATTGCTAACTGCGGCCTGGATGTTTATGCGCACAACATTGAGACGGTGGAGAAGCTCACACCCTATGTGCGAGACAGACGTGCCCACTATCGTCAAACTTTGCAGGTGCTAACCGAGGCTAAGAAATTCAATCCTAATCTCATCACGAAGAGTTCGATTATGCTGGGCCTCGGCGAAACGGATGAGGAGGTTGAAAATACTTTGAAGGACCTGCGGCAGGCCGGAGTAGATTGCGTAACCTTGGGGCAATACATGCAGCCGACAAACAAGCACCTAAAGGTTATCGAATACGTCACCCCCGAGAAGTTCAAGCACTGGGAAGAGCGCGGCAACGAGTTGGGATTCCTTTACACCGCCAGCGGTCCTCTGGTTCGCAGTTCCTACAAAGCCGGAGAGTTCTTCATCACAAGCATATTAGAAAACCGCAGGAAACGGGAAAATGCCAATGCAGACCCCAAGAAATAATTGCAAATCCCTTCTGATTCGAAAATTTAGACGCCTACGTACGTATATGGATATCTTTGGTTTGAGCAAACCATAGCTTTTTGTGCAATGTATATATTAGAAGACAAATTTATTATTTTCAAATAAATCGAATTGTTGGTAGCTTTTAAGGAAAGATTTGTATTATGACTGTGTTTTTGTTTTTCGCTCAATATAAACAAATGTTTAAAGAAAATGTTTGTCAATAATTTTTTTGCTTTTGAATTTGGCGCCTTTTTAGTATTAAATGAAAGAGGCGCTAAACAATTATATTCGGCAATTTCGTTATCCATTTGGCCACACTAAATCGTATGCACAATCTGCAAGTCTATTATTGTTTTCTTTTTGTTGAGCATTTGATTGGATTGCATAGGAGTCTGCAGAAAAACAAACGAGACAAAGAACCAGCAGAAAGATGCCTCGCCTAATCAACGGACGCGAGGCCGCGCCCACATACTCAAATTTGGTAAGATATACTATAAAATATGAAACTGGACTATTCGTTGATCCCTAACAAAAGTCAAAGGCATTTGTTGTTTGTTTGTATTTATGTTTGCGCAATAAATTGGATTTCAAGGAGTTCAGAAAATCTTGCGAACATGTACTTAGTACCAGTTTTTAAAATGAAACATAAATATAACTACATACGTGGTAAAATAATTGTTCCTTCAAAGTACGCCCACCTGCACAATTTGTGCTTCGTGTGCACAAAATTTTCGTTTCCGAAAACGAAACACCTGTCGCTCCGCCAGTAATAATTTTGTTTTTTACTTACAGGTTGGCTTCATATTCATTTTTAATCTTATCGTGGGAACTGGAGCTCTTACGCTACCCGGAGTTTTTGCCCGGGCAGGATGGATGCTTAGCCTTATCGTTATTGTTCTACTGGCCATTATTAGTTACATGACGGTTACTTTTATCATCGAAGCGATGGCCTGTGCGAATGCCATCAGGAATTGGCAAACTCTACAGGCCCTGCGCCAAAGTCGAAGTTCCGCAGAAAACAGCGAGAATGACGATAATGCCGATGAAGTTTCTCTGGCATCGGGAAATGACCAAGTCGGTGACTTCGAGCGGGTTCCTTTGACCATCCAAAATCGGGAGTTCCACTACTACCAGCTCTCTCACAAATTCGAACTAGGCGAAATGGCGACACTCTTTTTCAACGAATTCGGACGCGTAATGTTCTATCTTTGCCTGATTGTTTATCTTTACGGGGATCTTAGCATATATTCCGCCGCCGTGGCAAGAAGTCTTCGTGACGTTGTATGGTGAGTAATACAAGTCGCAGAAATTTAACAAGACAATACTTTTATAAAATTGGGAACACTTCAGATTTAATTTAATCATTATACAAGAATCTGCGCTAAACAATCTAACTTATTTTACTTTTTTTATTTGATTTTAAACCTCGTCTGTCTTTAGCGAACAAACAAATGGAACGGACACCAGTAACTTGATGTATTGGCCAGGGGACTTTAAGAATAATACATCCCGACCATGCTGGAAGGAACACACAATATCTCGGCTGAGCATGTACCGGGTATTTTTAGTTGGATTCACTTTAATATTTGGTCCGTTCGCTTATTTTAATGTACAAAAGACAAAGTACTTGCAAATGCTCACGGCTGCTTTCCGCTGGATGGGTAAGTTCTAAACTTGCAATTAAATAACTATGATAAAAAAATATAATTATTTTCAGCTTTTACCCTGATGATTTGCATATCTCTTAAACTATTGATCACCAGAGGGCCCAAGGGGCATCCACAGACCTTTAACATATATGGCATTCCCTCGCTTTTTGGTGCTTGTGTCTACTCGTTTATGTGCCACCATTCACTGCCCAGTTTGTTGGCTCCGCTTAGACATAAGTCGATGGTTTCCAAAATTCTCTCATTCGACTACATTATTATTTGTGCATTTTACATTTTATTAGCCATGACAGGTATTTTTGCCTTTGAACGAATCGAAGACCTTTACACATTAGATTTCCTGCCTTACGATGTGGAATATATAGATTTTTGGTCAGGTCTGTTAATTTGCATTGATTATTTTCTGGCGCTTTTCCCGATTTTCACTCTGTCTACCAGTTTTCCCATTGTCGCCATTACACTAAAGAATAATCTGCAATCCCTATTCTTGGATATGTCACAATATGAATCGTATGGTCTTCTCATACGTTTATGTTTTCCACTGCTCGCGATAATTCCCCCTTTTTGTATCACATATTTTACTGAGAGTTTGTCCAGTTTGGTGGCATTTACTGGCACATACGCAGGCACTGGCATCCAATATTTAATTCCAGTGTTTCTGGTTTACTTTTCGAGACGAACCTGCTCTGAGCTTCTGGGAAGTGGCGTGGTTAATCGTTTTCAGAGTCCATTCAAGTCCAGTGCCTGGCTGGTTTTTGTATTTATTTGGTCAATATTATGTGTCTGTTTAGTTTCCATTAATTTGTTTAGTTAGGTTAACAAAAAATATTTATTGTTTTATGGCACTCATTTTATTACAAGTTAATAAATGTTCATGTCAAATTTTAAATCTTACAAAAAAGAAAAAAATAGCTCGTATTTCGAAGTTGTAAATATTTATACATATATTTATATAAGATTCGCGAATTTAGCAAAATAAGTCAGTATTGAAATCGGCTGTGAAACAACAAATTTTCAATAACCCCTTTTTCAGTTTGTGCAAAAATTTAAACTTATTTTATCAGTGAAATGTAATAGTTGTTAAGATTGCTCATTACAAATATATAAGTTAAATTTCATTAAAAGTTAAAAACCAAAAATGCGTTTCAAATTGTACGATAACATTTTTAATTTTGAAAACATTGCTATCCGTTACATTTCTTTGGATAAGTACGGATAATCTGCATCAGTGTGACCATTGCTATGATTTTCTTAAAAACCCATTATTCAACGAGTTATCGAAGTACTAATCGAAAACTTTTAATGATTTGTTTTTATTTTGTTATTCGTCGCTTGCAGATTTTACAGACCCACGTATTGTTAAAACAAATACAAAGACGTTTTAAACATGTCCTTGTCGGTTGAGAGCAGTAAATCTTTGCTGAGGAAGGGCGATATGAAGTTGGAAAACTATCCAACCTGCGCCGTGGAGGCTCTAACTCGATTGGGTAGGTACAATTACTCCAAATTCTAGACGTTGTCTTATAAATAAATTTGCAGAAACATTGATCGCCAGCAGGAACAAACAAAATATGGTGATGCAAATCATATCAGAGTACATATTCCTAGAAAGAACCTCTAAGGATGGCGACGTGCGAAAGTCGCAGGCACTTCCCATTAGCCAAATGAATCTTTTCCAGGAGTTCCAGCTGATCATTGCGTTAATTGAGTACTTTTCACGGCCTGGAAGAGATGCCACTCGAAACGCCATATTCCTTTCGCTTTTCGGTAGCCACCTGACACCACAACGATCCAAATTACTTTCCCGGCTTATCAGCACAGCGGTTTCCGGATCAGTGGCACCTTTGCTCTCCTCTGCCGGCACGTGGATGCAACAAGTGGGCTGCAAGACGCCCCTCAGCTTGGAGGTGGCCCAAAATATTGTAAGCGACTTTATATCGTACTCGCGTAAAACGCCGGAACAACTAAAGCAGCTGCCCATGGTGGGTCCACATTTTGCGGCCAACTTTATGGTTGCTGTCGCGGATTTGTATCTCAACGAGCAGCGCTCGCAGAGCCTGAATCCGCCGCCAGATGCACTACTTGATACCATTACCGAATGGATGACGGAGAATCCAACATTGTGTCAGGCTTCACAACAACCTTTGGTCTTGCCCGCTGGAGCCATAGCAATGCCCTTTACCACTCCTTTAGCAGGCCTCCTGCGTTGGGTAGTCCTTGCTCCGTTGGTGTCCAACCGGGCCGCCTATAGCAATTTACATCTGTCCCTCCTGCGAGCTCTGCAACAACTCGTCAGCAGTGGAGAATCAACAGCGCTGCCCAGCCAGGACCTCATGCAAATTGTAAAATCCCTGCAGAATTACTGCTCACGATTGGCGGAGTCTAAGACGGATCCCGAGGAAGATGCTGCCTATCAGAAGTGCATGGAGCGATTCGCTCAAGCTGTGCAAATCGCATTGAGTTCAAACTGCATTACCAACCAGATCCAGTTGCTGTGCGTCCTGGAATCTTTACCACCTCACAAGCTAATGAAAATCGTTATAGATGCCCACAAGAAGTAGTAGATCATATAAAAATTTATTTAATTCAAGCCTTGAGTAATGTAAGTTGGTTTACAAGTCAATTGCAATACCTGTGTATATTAACAAATTTAATTGCGTTAATATGATGTAGGGAGATTTGGCTAAAATAGTAATGATGATAAATGTAGGTAAAAAATATTACTAATAAAACAGGTTTAAGAAACTCGTTGCTTCCTTTAGTGTTTTACATATTATGTTCCTTTTTTTAATTAATAGAGTTTAGGCAAATTTATTTAAAATTATGCTAAGCCCGCTTGATTTGGGATGCTGCCATACTGATAAAAAAGTAGTTCACCGCGCATGTCCTTGCGAGTAAATCCTTAGCAGGTGACAGAACTTTCATGGAGGTGGTAAAAATCAATATTATTCCAGTTTCAAGCTTTCGTCGAGTTGCAAGCTTGTTGAATAGAATCGAACTCATCGGTAGGGAGAATCCGCGGGGGAAATCACTGGCAATTACCATCACACTCCAGTCGATGCAATGAATCCCGTTCCGAGTCGCGAATTCCTGGAGGTCCATCCGCTCCACCAACATCAGCCGCACTGCAAACAGCAATGCTTTGTGTTCACGGAGATAGCGGACATCGAACTGCCCGCTGAGATAACTAAGTTCGGAGGCGGAAACGAGAAGATCAGGTGCTCCAACGGTGGCATTCCCACCTACAGTTCCAAGAAGGATTCCTGCAGCGAGTCCTCGGGCGAGCGGCCGGAGAGATCCCGTGGAAGGAAGATTCTACTCGGTGTGGGTTTGGTTTTAATATGCATCGCCATGGCTGGTGGAATTCCGCTGGCCCTCCAACTGCGCTCCTCGTCGCTCCTGGAGGCACGACTTGCCTTCATCCGCCGCCTGCTGACGGAATCGCCTTTGATCGAAGGTTCCTGGAAGCCACCAAGCACCATGAATCTGAATAGCACTAACCTGTTCGAGGTGCGACAAAATCACATTGGTGCTGTCCTGTGGCCCATTGCCGTGCCATGTGGAGCCCAGTATCTGGATGCAGTGCAGCTCACACTGGAGGGCATTGACAAGGCCAAGCGGATAACTGCCGCCACGGACTCCATGCACATTGTGGAGTCAGCGGAGGAGATGGAACAGACCCACATTCGTGGGGAGGTGGCGGTCCTTATGGGAATAAGTGGCGGTCATGCTCTGGGCACCAGTACAGCCGTTCTGCGATCCATCTACCTGCTGGGCGCTAGATTCGTATCCATAACGAGCTTGGAGTGCACCACTCCTTGGGCAGCGGCAGCCATCCGAAGACCCGATTATCTCGTTGAGGAGAACGTGACGAATTCATTCAACGAATTCGGACAGGTGGGTGCCTACATATAAATATGAATTACAATTTGATTGCTTATACCAGTTGACCAGATAAAAGCTAAAGTTTATAGACATTAATGTACATATTCCCTTAAACTTTCAGACCATGCTCTTTGAGATGAATCGATTGGGAATGCTTGTAGAGATTTCAATGCTCAGTGAGGCTGCTATGTTGGCTGTCTTGAAAACCGCCAAGGCTCCAGTTCTTCTCACAAATGCCACACCACTTTCCATGTGCAATAGTAGCAATATAGCTTCCATTCCCGATCATGTTCTCAGGTATAAAAACAATGCCTTATCAGATCTTTAATTAATAAGTTAATAATATGTATTTACCCACAGCCTATTGCCTGAAAACGGTGGAGTAATTTTACTTAATCTGGAGCGCTGTGGAGATCGAACACTGGGCGTTCGAGAGGCCATCACTGCCATCAACTATGTTCGCAAAGTGGCCGGTGTGGATCATATTGGTTTGGGTGGAGCTCCAAAGAGTTATGCCCTTTTGCTTGCTGAATTGGCGAGGGACAGGGTGTGGGGCAATGCGGCAATAAAGAAGCTAGTTGGCGGTAATGTGATGAGGATTCTGCGTGAGATCGAGACCCTGAAGAACCGACTGCCTTTGTACGAAGAATGGATTCCTCACGAATCGATTGAAAGCAATTCCTATTGCCGCTATCCGGAGTCTTAAAATCAGCTAAATCGATTGGCTCAAGCGTTTGTTCTAACATATTTACCATAATATATAATTAAATTATTAAAGTACAATCGACTTGGTGTAGAGTTAAACAAAACGGAAATTGGTAAGTGCCAATATTGATAGAACCGCAAGGAAGAGTATTTCACCAGGATTTACATTTGTACATAGTTTATATTTAATGAATATCATTCTAGGTAAATACATATCGGTGTATCATGATATTATAATATTGTTATGCTTATCAACTACTAGGCCTTCAACGACTATTTAACACTGATGCCCATTCTAACTCCGAGGGTCAGGGAAATCACTTCTTGCTCTGATGGTTGCTCGTTGAACTCTCGCTTCATGATTCTCTTCGACAAGAGATCATCCTCCTCCTCCTCGAATTTTAACTCCCGCTTCGACCTCGATGTCTCGAAGTCATCGTCGTCCAGTTCAAAGACATTGTTGTCGGTGAGGGCCAGGTTATTAATTTCGTTAAAGAACAAGGACTTGGCATTTCGAATAGTTCTGTCGTAGCCAGGATCACTCAAAGGTGGCAAGTATGTGGCAGGAATTCGACTTGTGCCCTTGTATCCGGAATCGGGACAACGTGGATCAATCGAACCGGGATAACAATAAACCGGTGTGGTTCCAGCAGTCGGTGGCTTAGATGTTGTTCCTGGCAGGCACTCGGGATCCGGTGAACCTGGATAACACCTTGGTCTTGGAGTAGTTGGCGGTTTCTGGGGGCAACGACTATCCGTAGAGCCTGGATAACAATTTGGCTTTGAAGTAGTTATCGGAATTCTCGTCGTTGGAGGAGAATATGTCGCAGGCTGGCACTCAGGATCGGTGGAACCAGGATAGCACCTGCTTGCTGTGGTGGGTGGAAGATAAGTGGCTGGCTGGCAACTAGGATCTGTTGATCCCGGATAGCAACGTGGCTTGGGTGTGGTTATCGGTATTCTTGTTGTTGGCGGCGAGTACGTTGCAGGTTGGCAATCAGGATCAGTTGAACCCGGATAACATCTTGGTCTATTCGTAGGAATTGTCGGCCGTCGGGTTGTTGGTGGGAGATAGGTAGCCGGCTGACACTCTGGATCACTTGAGCCTGGATAGCATCTTGGTTTCGGTGTCGTCACTGGAACCTGTGGGCATCGCCTGTCCGTCGATCCCGGGTAACAATTCGGCTGGGAAGTAGTTATCGGAATTCTTGTAGTCGGAGGAGAGTAAGTAGCCGGCTGACATGCTGGATCGGTAGAACCAGGATAACATCTGGGCCTCAAAGTGGTTACAGGGGGTCTCGTTGCCGGTTCGCAGTCAGGATCAGAAGAGCCTGGATAACACTTCGGTGTGGAAATGGGCGGTCTGATAGTACCAGGCTGAGTTGGTCGTGGGCACCTCGGATCGCTGGATCCTGGATAGCAGTTCGGCTTAGGTACACTCGTAGTTGATGGCGGAAGGTACGTAGCCGGCTGGCATCTTGGATCGTCGGAACCCTCGTAACATCCTGCCTTCTTTGTCGTTGGAATTTTCGGGCATCTCGGATCTGGAGAGCCAGGGAAACAGTTCAGACATTCCGGATCTGATGAGCCGGGGAAGCACCTTGGCTGCGAAGTAGTCGGTGGCTTTTGTGGACAACGACTGTCGGTTGAACCAGGATAGCAATTCGGCTTGGAAGTAGTTATAGGGGTGCGAGTAGTCGGTGGTTGGCAGAAAGGATCACTGGATCCAGGATAACACCTTGGCTGGGTTGTAGGAATGGTTGGTCTTGCAGTTGTTGGCGGAAGATAAGTGGCAGGTTGGCAAGCAGGATCCGTGGATCCCGGATAACATCTTGGCCTGACAGTTGTTGGTGGTGTTTGAGGGCAACGAGGATCCGAGGAGCCTGGATAGCAACTAGGCTTAGAAGTAGTCACAGGAATCCTTGTTGCTGGTTGGCAATCGGGATCACTTGAGCCCGGATAACACCTCGGCCTAGTTGTAGGAATCGTAGTTCTTGCAGTTGTCGGTGGCAGATAAGTAGCTGGCTGACATTCGGGATCCGATGATCCAGGATAACATCTAGGCTTAGGCGTTGTGACTGGTTCCTGGGGGCAGCGTCTGTCCGTTGAACCTGGATAGCAATTTGGCTTGGAAGTGGTCACCGGAATCCTTGTAGTGGGAGCTGGTTGACATTCTGGATCCCGTGAGCCCGGATAACACCTCGGCTTCTGAGTAGTAATTTGTGATGCCGAAGTCGGTGGCGAGTAAGTGGCCGGCTGGCAATCAGGGTCATTAGATCCAGGATAACACCTAGGCCTAGACGTAGTTATAGGTGTCCTTGTGGTGGTTGGCACAGTTGGCTGGGGACAACTGGGGTCCGTTGATCCAGGATAACACCGGGGCTTCGGAGCAATTGTTGGTGGACGCCGAGTTGAAGGCGGTAAATACGTAGCAGGCTGACATTTCGGATCATCTGATCCCTCGTAGCATCCTGCCTTTTTGGTGGTCGGAATTTTGGGACACCTAGGATCTGGGGAACCAGGGAAACAATTCAGGCACTCTGGATCTGGTGAGCCAGGGTAACACCTCGGCTGCGGAGTAGAAGGTGGTTTCTGTGGACAACGAGGATCCGTGGAGCCAGGATAACAATTTGGTCTGGACGTTGTCACTGGTATTTTTGTTGTGGGAGGAGAGTAAGTGGAAGGAACCGTAGCTGGTTGGCAATCAGGATCCGGCGAGCCGGGATAACATCTGGGCTTCGATGTGGTTATAACTGGTCTTGATGTCGGTGGGGAATATGTTTTCGGTTGGCAGAAGGGGTCGGTTGATCCCGGATAACACCTAGGCCTAGTTGTAGGAATAGTTGGCCTAGCAGTTGTTGGAGGAAGATACGTTGCAGGTTGGCACGAAGGATCTGGAGATCCCGGATAACACCTTGGCCTTGGAGTCGTTGGCGGTTTCTGGGGGCAACGACTGTCCGTGGAGCCCAAAGAACAAACCGGCTTTGAAGTAGTTATAGGTCTTCTGGTAGTCGGAGGCTGGCAGTCGGGATCGTTAGAGCCCGGATAGCATCGAGGTCTAGTAGGAGGAACCGTGGTTCTCACTGTTGTCGGTGGGAGGTAAGTGGCAGGTTGGCACTCTGGGTCCGATGAGCCAGGATAGCATCTGGGCTTTTGTGTAGTTACTGGTTCCTGCGGACAGCGCCTATCTGTTGATCCCGGATAGCAATTTGGCTTGGAGGTAGTAACTGGCCGCCTAGTGGTCGGTGGCACATAAGTTGCTGGCTGACATTCTGGGTCACTTGATCCCGGATAACACCTTGGCCTCGGAGTAGTTATTGGTGTCCTGATTGTGGTTGGCAAAGTTGGTTGCGGACAGGAAGGATCGGTCGATCCGGGATAGCATCTTGGTTTGGGAGCAATCGTGGGTGGACGCCGAGATGAAGGAGGCAAATAAGTGGCAGGCTGACATTTCGGATCATCCGAACCCTCATAGCATCCTGGTCGTTTTGTGGTTGGAACCTTTGGACATCTTGGATCTGGCGAACCTGGGAAACAATTCAGACATTCTGGATCTGAAGATCCGGGATAACACTTTGGCTGTGGAGTTGTTGCTGGCTTTTGTGGACAACGACTATCGGTAGAACCAGGATAACAGTTTGGTTTTGATGTAGTTATAGGGGTCCTTGTTGTCGGTGGTTGGCAGAAAGGATCGCTTGATCCAGGATAACACCTTGGCTTGGTTGTGGGAATAGTTGGTCTTGCAGTTGTTGGTGGAAGATAGGTCGCAGGTTGGCAAGAAGGGTCTGTGGATCCCGGATAACATCTAGGTTTTGGCGTCGTTGCAGGCTTTTGAGGACAACGAGGATCCGTGGAGCCTGGATAACAGTTCGGCTTGGCTGTTGTTACAGGAGTTCTTGTTGTCGGAGGAGAGTACGTGACTGGTTGACAACCAGGATCGTTTGAACCCGGATAACACCTGGGCCTAGCCGTAGTAATTGGAACTCGAACTGTTGTGGGCGGAAGGTAAGTTGCGGGTTGGCATTCGGGGTCGGTTGAGCCGGGATAACATCTAGGCCTTGGTGTCGTTAGCGGCTCCTTGGGACAGCGTCTGTCAGTTGAGCCCGGATAGCAGTTTGGCTTAGAGGTAGTCACGGGCCTTCTGGTAGTCGGAATTGTTGTTCTTACAGATGTTGGCGGAAGGTAAGTGGCTGGTTGGCACTCTGGATCTGAAGATCCTGGGTAGCATCTTGGCTTGGAAGTCGTAACTGGTGGTCTAGTAGCAGGCTGACATTCGGGATCCCTCGAGCCTGGATAACAACGTGGCTTAGGTGTTGTTACAGGTACTCTTGTAGTCGGGGGCTGACATTCAGGATCATTAGACCCAGGATAACAACGTGGTCTAGCTGTGGTAATTGGAGCTCTGGAAGTTGGCTGACTTGTTTGTGGGCATCTGGGATCAGTTGATCCCGGGTAGCACCTTGGTTTCGGTGCAATCGTGGGAGTTCGGTTAGTTGATGGCGGCAGGTAAGTAGCTGGTTGACACCTGGGATCATCCGAACCATCATAACATCCTGCTTTCTTTGTCGTCGGAACTTTGGGGCATCTCGGATCTGGGGACCCAGGATAACAATTCAGGCATTCCGGATTTGGTGAGCCCGGATAGCACTTTGGCTGTTGAGTAGTAGGTGGTGTTTTCGGGCAACGGGTATCGGTGGAACCAGGATAACAATTGGGCTTTGATGTTGTGATAGGTGTTCTAGTTGTTGGAGGCTGGCAAGAAGGATCACTTGACCCGGGATAACACCTTGGCTTGGTAGGAATTGTTGGTCTCGCAGTTGTTGGAGGAAGATAAGTTGCAGGTTGGCAAGAAGGATCTGTAGATCCAGGATAGCACCTTGGTCTGGGAGTCGTAGGTGGTTTCTGTGGGCAGCGACTATCCGTTGACCCAGGATAACAATTTGGCTTCGATGTTGTGATCGGCCTTCGAGTGGTTGCAGGTTGGCAGTCAGGATCATTGGAGCCCGGATAGCACCTCGGCTTAGTTGTAGGGAATCGTAGTTCTAGCGGTCGTTGGTGGGAGATAAGTAGCTGGCTGACATTCGGGATCCGGTGATCCAGGATAGCACCTGGGCTTTGGAGTTGTCACTGGTTCCTGTGGGCAACGTCTGTCTATCGAGCCCGGGTAACAATTTGGCTTGGATGTCGTTACGGGTCTCCTGGTCTTCGGAGGAGAGAAAGTGGCTGGCTGACATTCGGGATCCGGTGATCCAGGATAACACCTAGGCTTCACTGTGGTCACCGGTGGCCTTATCGTCGATGGTCTAGTTGGTTGCGGGCAGCTGGGATCCGTTGATCCGGGATAGCATCTAGGCCTAGGTGGAATGGTTGGTGGTCTGCGAGATGTAGGTGGCAAATAAGTGGCAGGCTGACATTTCGGATCATCCGAGCCCTCATAACATCCTGCCTTCTTTGTGGTTGGAACCTTGGGACATCTGGGATCTGGGGAGCCTGGGAAACAATTTAGGCATTCCGGATCTGATGATCCAGGAGAGCACTTTGGTTGCTGAGTGGATGGCTTCTGAGTCACGCGTGTTGCCGGCTGACATTCTGGATTAGGGGATCCCGGATAACATCTTGGTCGCGGAGTCGTTGGAGGTCTCTGCGGGCAGCGACTATCTGTTGAGCCCGGGTAACAATTAGGCTTGGAAGTAGTAACTGGAATCCTTGGTGTTGGGACTGGTGTTCTTCTTGTTGTTGGTGGAAGATAGGTAGCGGGCTGGCATTCAGGATCATCGGAGCCTGGATAACATCTTGGCTTTTGTGTGGTTAATGGTGCCCGTGTTCTGGGTTGACATTCAGGATCAGTTGATCCGGGATAACAACGGGGTTTCGGTGTGGTCACCGGAATTCTCCTCGTTGTTGGTGGAAGGTAAGTGGCCGGCTGGCATTCTGGATCCTCAGAACCAGGATAACATCTTGGCTTTGATGTGGTTATAGGTGCTCGAGTCCTGGGCTGGCAGCTTGGATCGGTAGATCCCGGATAACACCTTGGTTTTGGAGTAGTAACCGGCACTCTTCTTGTTGTTGGCGGCAGAGTAGTTCCCGGCTGGCACTCAGGATCATCGGAGCCTGGATAACATCTTGGTTTCGAAGTGGTGAAAGGTGCCCTTGTTGGCGATTGACAACCGGGGTCACTTGATCCCGGGTAGCAACGAGGCTTGACCGGAGTCCTTCTCGTTGTCGGTGGGAGATAAGTAGCTGGCTGACATTCCGGGTCGTTTGATCCCGGATAACACCTCGGCCTCGGAGTAAAGGTTGAGGCAATTGGTATCCTGATCGTAGTAGGTGGCCGCGAAGTGGGCGCTTGACATCCTGGCTCCCTGGAGCCTGGATAGCAGCGAGGTTTTGGTGAGATCAGATTATCCTGTAGACACTGAGGATCAGTCGATCCCTCGGGACAAAGAACTGACTTCTCACTGCCGCAGGAGTAGTCCCTTTTGCACGCTCCATTGCAGAGTTCAATGTCACACTTCAGATAAACCTGCGATCTGTCGGGGAACCTAAAGGCCTTAAGAGTGTTATAATAAGTGGATGTTAGACTAGAAGGCGCCTCAAACTTTCGCCACTCCCCAAATATTTTCTCCTTTATGGAGCAACCCCTCTTGTCCGACAATTGCAATCTCTTCGTGGTTCTGGCCTCGAAGTCCATGTCATCGGAGGCATAGCACTGCAGAATATTTATATCCCAGGACTGTTCCGAGTGCTTAACATTAATGGTGAAAGTGATGTCGGTTCCGAGGGTGAGAGTGCCCTGAATTGGTTTGATGTTGGGCGGAGATCCAGTGCCGATTTCCATCCAGCACTCCACGGGACCACTTGGCGTATCCACGGAAATAACCTCGAGCATGTCCACCACGAATGGCTTGAAGTAAACAGTCTTCTCGCGTTCATCGCCCCGACTGCACGATATCTTACGCGCTATATCAAAGCTGTTCTGTATATCCCTGTCATCCTGAATGATCAGGATGTTCTCGATTGAGGCACAAACGGAGCAGGAGGGCTTGCTGCCGCATCCATCGTATGGCACTGTGAATATGAAACTGCGACCCGCTCTGTCGCCCTTCACGTAGCTAATAAAAATGGTTGTTAAAGTAAAGGTTTTCCTTCAAAATAATAATATAGAGGTACATACTTGCACTTGGGGTCATTGTAGTATCCCTGGCTGTAGATGACTCCCTCGAAATCCTCGGAGAACTCCACCTCAACCATCATGCCGTTGCCTTGATCGCATTTCACATCAATCTTCTCGATGTGCTTGGCCGACAGAGAAGTGTCGCGAGTTAATCTGGTCGAAGAGTCGTCAAACTCAAGTTCGCTTAAAACATCGTTGAGCGCCTCATCGTCACTCAGATCAGTGGCCGATGTGGTGACCTTGAGGGTTTTTCGAAAATAATATGCATAAATTTCATAATTCCCAGGCGGCTTTCGGTTTCAAGAGCTTACCAAGAGCAAGGCCCACACACAAATGTGGCCGAAGTTGACCATCGTCACTGTAAGTCTTAGGCTTTATTCTGAAATAAAGTTAATTAAAAGTTATTAAATACACTTATGGTGTCTTAAGATGGTTTCTATATATATATATTTATGGTTTTCTTGTTGAGCTGTTCATGGTTTTAAAAGTAATTTATCGCCTGCTTGGTGCTAAAACAAACATGTAGTTTATTTAAAAGTCCTTGCCTTAACGTTTTATTGAAAACATATTAATATTTTTAGTTACTGCATTGCAGAATATTTTCTCTCCTTTAAAAGTCATATTTATGAAATGTTAAGGTTGACTCAGTTCACGATGCTCGAAGTTCAACAGGCAAAAATATGTAAATTGTTATTTTTAATTTATTCTAGTTCGCTTTGTTGGCAACCCAACATAACCATTTATTTTAACTTTATACTGCAATTCAGTTGACAGTATGGTATTTCAGTTAACGATTTTTTCAATTTAACTGATAATTTGGCTTTTAATTTAATACCCTTGCGGTAATTGTAGATTTGGGCCCTGATCAACCTTCCTTTTGGTGACTCAGTCATGAAGCTCAGCGAAAAAGGGCAAAGAAACCATGTATTAAATCATAAAAAGTGAAGAAAAAATTATTTCGCCGAAAATCAAGATATGTATTTATTCACTCGGCGAGTTTGTCAACCGATCTCTAGCGTTTGGGTGAGGTAAGATCTTCTTTATCGCTAATTACGGTTGAGTGCAACCCGTCCAGTATTTACACGAGTTGCGAACAGCCGGACCTCTTTTGCCCGGCGAATGGAGGGTGCTGCACCGACACTAAAACGGGTTTGGTTTTTAAATAATACAACTAACCTTTTGAAAAGAAAAAAAAAATGTGGGGATTTCAAAATCCATAAATTCAACACACAAACACTCACAAACACACTAACTATCTTACACACTCGAAAGACCGAAGGGAGCAGGGAAACAAATAGTGACGAGTGCCTATTTGCTTAGCCGCAGTTGATAAAGGCGATTCGATTTGGGGCCTTTTGTTTGGCATTGGCTTCTGCAATTTGATGGCTCTGTTGTTTTTGCCGAACGCGGTGGTGATGTTTAGCCCCGGATGATTAGGTGCTTTTTCATTGTGGCCCCTTTTGTCTAGGTTATTCCAAGCATTAACCTAACGAGGGGTAAAAAGTACCATTTGATTACGGATGATTTGGCGTGTGAAGTCTTCTGTTTGTTCTTGCGTCACTCTTACGCTGAATTCAATGTTGTGGCCTGTAAATCAAATACTTGTTCTTCCTCATGAATAATTCTGAAGTTAAATCGAAGATAGAAAAAAAGCCATTCTTATTGATTCTCCCCATTAGTGTTCATTATACTTTCCCTTTCATTTCTTTGGCATTAATCAACCCATCCAAACACAACAGTTCCCCGAACTAATAATTTGTACCTGTTTTCCTAAATTTAAAACCTCGTCTCGGCTGTAAAAAAAAACCACCTTAAATTTGCCAAGAGGGCCACTAGATTATGGTGAAACACCGCCCATTCATACATCCGATTCATATTCAACGCGATTAATATGGTATCTCTTTTGCTCCCAACATTTTCGTTGCCTTAATCTCTGACGACCTAATTTTTTTCTGTGGGTTTTTGGTGGCCCACAACATTGGCCTGATATCTCAGTTTGCACGTTTTTTATATGACTGCATAATTATACCCAATTTGATAAAAATTGGTTTACTATGTCAAAAAATTGCTCATTAATTTTTTGCATGCTTTTAAGTATCAAATATTTTTATGTTCGCCAGTTATCACGATATATAGTTATTCGCCAAGCTAAGATTAATAGTCTGTGCATTTATTTAATTGCTAGACATACACGTTAATGGCTTAGTTCGATTGATATATAAACTTTAGAATATAGATATGTGTACCTGTTCATCAACTAAATCTACGAATAATTATAATTGGGCAATTATAATTTTGAATAGCCATTATCGACTGGCGATTTGGGTGTCGAGATTCGGAGATGGAAAGAATGAGTGTTTTATATGCGGATCCTGAGTGTTTGTCTAGTTCATAAACAATCATAAACAATCATACCCAATTGTATTGGCCAACTATTGAGCGTTAATAAAAACAACTTGGACATTGATGGCTTCACCCTGAACTCTTGACATTTTAGCTTCTCACATAGGCGTATATCTTCGTATTAATCACGGCGAACAGGTGATTAGTCCGCGGGCTCCGATATGCATATACATATATTATATTACACGTATTCGATGTCCAAATCCGTGAGCGATCTCTGTGGCGATTGATTTAACCGACATTGCAAGCCTGGTTCTCATAATTGGGCCTTAACTCATCGACAAATTGGTGAAATGCTGCTAACTTGCATTTTTTCTATCTGTTATGGCAACATCTTGATTTGCTTTATGGCCAAGTTCGGCGCCTATCCGATTTGGTAAGCTGCTGTTTATCGCTGGTTTTGGACATATTATAAACAATCTAATTTACATTTTTGTCTAATCGGTACTTTGCATAGATTATTGGGTGCAAAACATATTTAATACCTCTAAAAGTTTGCTGAACTCAAAAATAGGCTATAAAAACCCCATATTCTCGATTTGCATTTGCGGGTGTGTCATAAAAAAAACCTGAGAAATTTATTTCGGGGTACTTAGCTAAATAAAAATACAGTTAGCAAATAAACAAATAAACCACGAAATGCAAATGACATTCGTACACCGGATCTGTGAAACTTGTTTCACCTTTTAAATTATTACAAAGAAACGCAAAAACGAGTAAGCGAATTTACAAAAGAATGCCTTTTAATAATCTCGAAATGCTTAAATCAATTGATCTCCCCCGAAGCTCATTTGAACAATTATAAAAAATATACGCAGTTAGAAACCATGAGATCTTATAATCCGTGGTATTTCGGGTTTAACCCGAAGTTGATTGGTTTTAATTTAGTTATATGATTCTGTCATACTCGTAACTTTTTTCTCGATTTGGAGGATATAATTAAATGCGTCACAGACATTTCACTTTCGACATTTTTAAGCACCATATATGATAGCCGGCTAAATGTAAAGACAAGGCCATTTCTGCGTGGGTCTTAAAAAACAAATTATTACATAACTTCAGCAGGTTGTAATTTTATCCAATTTCTTTTTAAGTTCACTAAATGTTTTTATACTTACAATGATAAAGTACCACTGCATTAAAAAATACTTTTCAAAAAGGACACAATTTTGAAGATCCTTGCATTTAAAGGATTTTTTCTTATGTTTACAAAATAATTAAATTGATTAATTAAGACTTTTTTTGGGTCAATAAATTATATAAAAATTGTAATTGCATTGAATTTATTTTCAAGTTCACTACATATTTTTTATGGTTTTTAAAGATTTTCAAATAAAAAGACATGATTTAACACCTGAATTGAATTAATTGTAATATTTTTAATTGCAATGATTTGCTTCGTGTTTTATATTTTAGTCTTTTTAAGCAAGTTCTTGTGTAATCACTGGGTTCACTTTCGGACCGTTCTCACATGCAGTTTATTAATTCGTTTCACAGTTTTTTTTTGGCCTTAATTGGTGGCTCATCGAGTTAGGCACGTAAATTCACACGAACGTTTTGCGTTTAATCTTAGTGGAACACATTGGCCAACTGACCAATTAATCGGCCATCAATCGGAGCATCGCCGGACTGGGACTTACTGCACTGGCTTGTGGACTCGTGCTTGGGGGAAAATCGCTGGGATGCAGCTGGCGAAGTGGACGTTGCCGCACTAAACGCCAAAGAGACTCGTCTTCGTTTATATACACACACGGCGTATGATTTAACAAAAATCGTTTCGGATATTGCCTCAAAAATCCAAAGACGCGGCAAGTAAAATAGCAGCGACAAAAACAAAAACAAAAACAGAAACAAAAACCGAAAACCGAAAAAAAAACACCAATGCTAGTAGCTTTATATATTGTTGTTTATTTTACGTCGCTCGTGGTTTTATACACGCACACTCCACTGGACTCGGGTACTACGATTTATTGGCAAGTTGGGTTTATTTATTCGTCGCACTAAACGGCTGCCAAATAGCCGGACATATATGTACAAAAAGAATTTAGATTAGGATTTATCATCTAATCATTAAGAAAAGAAAAAAGGTAAATGGTACCTGTTCTTAAGTGAAGTTGATAATGTGAAAGGTTATGTGATAAAAATCTTAATAAATTTTAATTTGTTTGCCAGAGGAAACGAGTTATAGGATCATTAAATCTGTACTTGTATGAAATATGAATTTGAATACGATTTGTGGTTAAACAAAGAACAGATGTGTTATTCGGTACTCAATAAAAATTAGGCAGGTTTTTAGGCAATCAGGTTAATGCTAATTGTTTAGATATTTTTGTTTACTTAAGAATTAAATTTAATATCATAATCCTGATATGAAAGAAAGAAATTCCATAGATTTCTAAATGCTTATTAATGATCTAGATAAGTTTTTATTATGTGGATTAAGTTAATGGTAATAAAAACAAGCTATAAGTTAAACTCCTAATTGCTAGTGACCTTTTGTCCCAGTTTTATTCGGTCATTAGGTCTCCATCTTCAAGGTCAACATAATTTCTTCGATCTATAACTAAGGGTAACATGATTAGGTTTTTCATAGCCATTATGGGCGTATTCATTGCGTCATGTCACCATCATTAATATAAACACTTTTTGATTGACTGACTCTGCCTGGGCATAGAGCATCCAGTAGCCCGATGCCTGGAGCCAGGTGATTTTCCCATTTCCCATTCATTCGGAGTTCGTGGGCAGAGTGACGCGTGAGCAGGCAGCAGCCACACGCCGAACGCCGTCTTAGCCATCCGAATTGCCGTTTTAGCCATCTTGACCCAAGCGCGCGTCTTAAAGCCAAAAACTGAGCTCGAAAAACTGCACCTTCGCCGGTGTGCTTTTTAGGGCCAAAGAGTCAAAATTCGTCATTGTAACTACAGAGCTCCTCGGCTAGAAAAGCATGGCATCGAAAGGGGGGAACTGCGGCCATATGGAGATGTGGTCATGCAACTAAAGCCGGCATTGCGGACAGGTTGACTACTATGCCGACCATGCCAATGCGCCTGGTCATCCCTAACAGGTATTAGTATTCAAAGTTTTTGGAAGCCCAGCGTCCGCTTCGTGATGCTGATAGATTTTCGTTTCAGCCAAATGGCAACGGTCATGGCGAGATGGTAATGGTTAAGCGCCGATCCAAGCTGTCGCCATGGGAAGAATACGGATGGAGATGGATGGTAAGGTAAGTCCCTTAGCCACAGCTTCGCCGAAACCCAAACCCAAACTCAAACCCAAACCCGAACCCAAACCTGTGCTCATATGGAGGCACGATTGCATCGAGGTGGCAAAGGTGCCAAGTCGCTTCTGCCTTTGACAAACATCACGTAACCTAGACTGCAAAATGATAATACCCGGTACTTGCCATTTCAATTGGTGCTATCTATTATACAAAAAGGTATATTTATTAGGAAAAAGGTAGAGGAACAGGAAATTATGATATATTGCTGGTTAGGAAAAAATACAGAATTATAATTCTTTAAACAAAACAAACAAGAGTTTGGAACCCTTAACCAGTTAAAAAAAAAAAAAACAGAATATACATATCATATATAATAACATTAAATAGATCATTATATAGCCAACGTTATGTAGATATCAACTTTTACAACTATATCTTCTCTAAAGTAAATCAAACAAATTTATTAACTTTTTACTGGGTATCTTATACTCCTTATTATTATAAGTTTTTTCCTAAAATTTTACTTAAATTTGCTTAATGCATAGCATTCGATTTTGGTTGATTAGCCTTTTCAAAACATAATGAACCGATGTGGGCTCATACATAAAACTCCGATCTTATGATTATAACTGAGTATTTCGTGTTGGGCCCATCAAGGGTGTGACAAAGTATCTATTGCGTGGATCAACGGAGATCACATATTCTTGCATACAGCCAGTCGACTGCGATGGCAAAATAAATACGCGACCCATTGAAACCCAGAAACTTAGTCATTCCGGACATAGTAAGACATCAAAGTTGGCGAGACTGAACCTCACTTGTTCTTCAACAAGTTTTGATAGTTCAGACACACCTTTATGGCGAATGAAATTAATTTTAATGCCTAACATCAACAGAAAACCATAAGTACAAACTTATATTATTGGGTTTTAACGTGTTCGATTCATAAGCTCACATTTAAAATAATAAATTTTATAGCTATAAATGTACAAAAATAAATAAAGTTTCGCGGTATTTTGTTAAAGTTAGGAAATCAAATTCTTGAAAAAACAAATGCGTTAATTAATGCATACTACCATATATTATTTATCATCAGTTAGCAACATTCCATCTAGAAATGTCAATTGGTTGATTGGCAAACCGCAATAACGATCTACTCAAAGAAAATGGTTATGGCAATTTAATTTCCGGTTTTGAAATACAAACACAAGCAAGTTTTAAGCAATTTTGAATGGATGTTGTAAGTATGCAACAAAAGTAACTGATTGCTTTTTGTGTTGTTTAAAAATAATCATGGTTTCTGGTAGCAACAATTCCATTGTATACTTTGGGGCTCTTTAAGGCAAAAGTGTTTTTAACGGTCTAGAAGTTTAAAGAGTTAATCCTTGAATTTATTTCAAACTTGAGGTTTCTCGAAAATTGTTTATCGCACTTCAAAAAAAGCTCAGTGATAAAAGCTACTTCCTTTTCGTGTGCAAACATTCTGCAAGTCGGCCAAAAAGCTTTCGAAATAACTGCAAAAATCGATACAGTCACAGCTGTTTGTGTACAACAAGTGAAAGTGTCCCGGAGTGCCGCAAAATATTGTCCGAAAAAAAGAGATAAATATCCTTAATTTCGAGTCCCAAAAAGTGGCCTGTAAGGTGTGAATTCCCGCGGAGTTGGTTCCAATCGAATCCTTCAGGATGCCGAGCTCGAGGCGTGCGATTCTGAGGCACATATTGTCGGGAATATGCACCAAAATGAACCGCACCAAGTCGGTGCCCACTGACGTCATGGAGACACCGCTCAACCGATGCCTCAACACCTTCGACATCGCTCTACTGGGTACTTAACACCAATCAATCGATTGCCGGCTTGTTTGTATATGAAAAAATAGTTTACTCAGCAAACAGTATGTTGAGTTTAGTCCGAAGATCTTAGATGAAATATTTCATGCCTTTAAGCAAACATCTGTTAGATTGAAACATAGAGTTGGGGGAAACCCACAGATATATATTTTTTATAAAGAATATATATCTCACCCTTTAAAACAAAACATCTTTTAGATTAAATCAATGAGTTGAGGGAAACCCACAGATGTATATTTTTTAAAGAAAAAGCAAAACATTTTCTTGACTCCTGAAAATTGCCACGTAGAACAATTTTTAAAAAAATGAAAGTATATAATGTGAGAGGTATAAGGTAGATATCGATATCAGTAGGAGACCCAACATATTCTTAATAAGCCTCCCGAGAATTAAAAAAAAAACCAACTAGGAATAAAATATGAGTGTGCTTATCTACACTCTGTGGCACCCTAAATATTGCCTTCAAATACCAAGAAACTTGAGCACTCTCCCCTAAAAACCACACTTATCTATACCATTTAACCCCATATGGAAAAAAGTGGAACAAGAAACGCTCCACAAGTACAAAATATAATCTATTTGTTCTCTGTTGGTTAAGGGTTCTAAAAGATAAACTTAAACATATTTTTCATAGTTACATTTTGTAGCTGTATCATGAAAAGCAGAAAAAAATGTGTGGAATAATTAATATACCATGATTGAGATGGAGTTGTTATTAATACATTAAAAATTCAAGAACAAATCTATACAGTTTTCCCCCAAATGGGCAAAGGCCACCAGGGATTCTTTACAAACGGAAATTAATTTACCAATTCCACTCTTACCTTTTTCCCCCAGGAATTGGCCATATGGTCGGAGCTGGCATCTACGTGCTGACCGGAACGGTGGCCAAGGAGATGGCCGGACCTGGCATCATATTGTCCTTCATCCTGGCCGGAGTTATTTCCATGTTGGCCGCCCTTTGCTACGCGGAGTTCGGAACGCGGGTTCCCAAGGCGGGATCCGCATATGTGTACACCTACATTTCGATGGGTGAGTTCTGGGCCTTCGTCATCGGATGGAACATCCTGCTGGAGCACATGTTGGGCGCAGCTTCGGTGGCCAGGGCCTGGAGTGGATACGTGGACTCGATGCTGGGTGGGTGGATTGGCAACACGACGCTGGAGCTGACGGGTGGCATCCATGAGCCGGGATTGGCTCAATATCCGGACATCCTGGCCTTCTTGGTCTGCATCGTTTATGCGGCTGCCTTGGCCGGAGGAGTGAAGGCCACGGCAGTGTTTAACAGCCTGCTCACCCTGGTCAACATAGCCGTAATGATCCTGGTGATCAGCGTGGGATTCTGGTATGCGGATAGCAAAAATTGGTCGGAGGCGGAAGGAGGTTTCCTGCCCTACGGAATCGGAGGAGTGATTGCGGGTGCGGCCACCTGTTTCTATGCCTTTGTGGGATTCGATTCGATAGCCACGTCGGGTGAGGAGGCCAAGAACCCATCGGTCTCCATACCAGTGGCCACAGTGATCTCTCTGTTTGTGGTGACTGTGGGTTATATCTTGGTGAGTGCCGCTTTGACTTTGATGATTCCCATCAGCGAGATCAATCCGGCTGCCTCGTTGCCGGAGGCTTTTGGCCAACTGAATCTTTCGTGGGCCAAGTACTTGATTTCCATTGGAGCACTTTGTGGAATGACCACCACTCTTCTGGGTTCCCTGTTCGCCCTTCCCCGCTGCATGTACGCCATGGCCTCGGATGGATTGCTTTTCAGTTGCTTTGGAAAGATTAACCCAACCACCCAAGTTCCCTTGCTGAATCTTGTGGTTTCTGGAGTGATGAGTGCCTGTCTGGCTTTGGTTTTTGATCTGGCCAAACTGGTGGAGTTCATGTCGATTGGAACTCTGTTGGCCTACACCATTGTGTCGGCCAGTGTGATTATCCTACGGTACAGACCCATCGAGAGGCTCCACACCACCATTAGAGTGCCAGCGGTGGCCGGAAGTCCAGATGATGACGATGATGAAGATGAGGAGGAGGTTTCCCAGTCGAGCATGGACACCTCCTCGCCCACCAGTGAGATGATCGAGGAAGTTCTGGCGGGCAGATTGAAGTCCCAATTCAGATGTCTGGAACCTCTGCTCGGACGCTTTGAACCCGGATCCGTGGTTTCCGTGGCCGTGATGCTGTTTATTTTCCTGAGCTTCGCCATCTGTGTGGAGCTGAAGGTGTCGTGGACTCAACTCTATACTGGAACCTGGTGGGCACTGATCATCTATGGCTTCATCATCTTCGCAGCCAGCACTTGTGTGGCTGTGATGGCGGTTCACAATCAGAATACCCGCGGATTGGTCTTCAAAGTGCCCCTGGTTCCCTTCGTTCCCGCACTGGGAATCTTCTGCAACATCCTGCTGATGGTCCATCTGGATGCCGTCACCTGGGTGCGGTTCTTCGTCTGGGTCTGCATCGGAATGGTGGTGTACTTCCTCTACGGAATTCGCAACAGCAAAGAGGGCGAGGTCTGCTCATCGTACTCAATCCTGATGACAACTTCGGAGGCAGGAAAAGTTCCATGGGGTTCGTTTAAGGCATCCTCCGGTGGCAAAAAGGGCAATAAGCACTCGATCTTCGAGAGATTCACGGGTCGCAGCAAGGCGGAGGACAAGAAGTCCATCGTAGAGGAGAGCGAAAACGAAACCTCTGGCTATTCCTAAGTCAATTCTTCCCATTTGAATTCCAAGCTTCAATAGATCAGAGTCTTAAATCAAAACAAATACCTTTTAAAAAACAAAGAAAGATAATTCGGTTGCATCTCGTATTTTTTACTTAAAGTTCTTTTGTAAATAGCTAAATCTGTATAATTTCCTCCCTGTGTATTTATTTGCTCAAAAACAATCTGTTTTACATTTTTTAAAAGCTTTGTAAATCTTTTTTTTATACTTATACCATTTAAATCCCTGCATAGGATTTTCTAAACACACCCAATTCCTATAAAAACCCAACGTTGAACGAGACATATTGCAAAACTTATGATCGAGGAAAATCTTGGCTTCTATTATGGCAAAGTACCTTTACCACATAACAGTATATCTGTCTATAGTGTATTATTCGAAAAACAATACTTATTGCAGAAATGGTATTACACAAAACATATTTACTCTGCAAACGTACAAATAAATCTATTAAACGTTATGCACACATGGCATTTGTTAAACAATAGTACATACATATATGTCTTTAAATACCTATATATATTTATAACTGTGTAAATAAACATATACAATATTATATATTTGCAAATATATTGATTCGTGTATACAAAATGTTGGCAACTTTGTTTTCAAATCGAGTTCTAGAGTTCTATTTTAATATGGTGTCTGCAGATTTGTAGCTCTTCTAAATCTAAGAAAAGAGAGTTCCTTCAATTCTTTTGTATTTTTTTCGGCTGGTGTACAGTTGAATTCATTTTTTAAAAATCCAAAACTCCAACAGGCAAAGGACCTACCCTAATAAGAAGTGTAGGCGCATATGTTCAGCTGCAAGGATATCTCGGAGTCTCAGCGTCAGTCACAGGAAGCAGGTGGCCCGCAGGACCATTTATAGGTCCTTTCGGACTGCAGGCTGTATTTAGTGCGTAGAAGCGTAGAATTTCATTAGGGGATGCTGGATCGTTCGAAAGACCGAAATACCCATACAAGAAACTTGTTTTTCGGATCAACTGCTGCGGGTTAACAACAACAAAAACGCGAATCTCAAAAGATTGCTTTATGTCTGACCGCAACTCATTCGTAGCAAGCTTTTCGGCAAATTCAATTAAAATCCAACAAAAATATTAAATAAGTAAAAAACCTTATCAAACGGACGAGATTTGATTGCATGATTATATCATCGTTTATTGCGCATATATATTCTCTGGAAAAAGTTCAGTTTTTTAATAAAAAAAAAAGTGTTACAATGATGACAATATAAAAAAGAGGTTTTCCAGCTAGTTTAGTGTCACAAAAGAACAAAGGAGGAGGATCTTTTTGGGTGAAACAGGGTCGCGAGAAAATACAATGGCCAAATAAACGGCGCAATTACAAAATTGGAGAAAAGGGCCAAAGTTCGTTCGAATCTTTAGTGAAAAATAGGAAAACTTGACAAAAAAAACCCGGTCAAAAACCACCCCATGAAGATAAGATTAAGAATATTTTCCATTCATAAATGTGAATCGCCCCTCACTTTTGTGTGGAGAAACTGTGAAATTGTTTTACCCTTTCATAATGGATTGCTGAAAAGCCAGGAAAAGCACATATGCATAACAAACCAACTCTCGAGAAAGGGTATTCTTAATGAAACTATTTGGGATAATATTTTATTGAAAAATATCCTTTTGATAGCTCAAACAATTGTCATTTAGGGGTTGACAGGGTTAATGGTGTACTGCAGGCTGTACCTCACTTTCTTTTGTGTCCGAGACGAGAATAAGGGGTTAATTTTTTCTTGAAAAATTCATTTTCCATGACAAACTAATTTTTTTTTGCCGAGATCTGTAATGTGAAAAGCAGGGTGACCACTATTTCAGCTTCTGTGATTTTTCACCTGGGAAATGCCGGTGCTACCCGTATTTAAAATGTGTCGCAAATTACCAACCTTTGCGTTCAGGAATTGCAATGTTCTTCATAGATCCTGGGACATTTTCCTTCGGTTCCCACGCCGTGACTGGTAATAATATTTCCAAGCATATGTGCGAGAAGAACACATCAATACCATTTCGACGGGGTATCTCTTCCATACAAATATTTTGGACAATGCGTAATCCTCAGCATGCTGGCATCTGGGAAATGCATCTGGGAAGAAGAATTGAGAGCCGAAAAAAGGGCAGCAATTTTCACCACCTACGCATAAATGTGTGTGACCGAGAAAGTGTTTGCTGTATTTGAACCCATGTTCATGTCCTTCAAACTGAAAGTACCGAAGAATGTGTATCTTTAAATCTGAAGGAACGAAATTTTCATGGGAAAAATCTTTAATTCTGTAAACAAACCAAACCAGTACTTAAAAATAGTTGTGTCTAATCAAAAAATCTAAAATCCAAATTTAAGTTATAAAAATGGAATTTAATACTTCTTGAGTGCTGAATAATAAAAAGAATATTTAATTTTAGAATCATTCAAATGTTTTTCTTTACCTCATAGATGTACGAAGTTTAATCAAAGTTCAATGACATTTTACTTTACATGGCTATGTTCCCCTTCGAAATGAAAAGAAAGTTTTGATAGTTTTTATTAACAGTAAGCAGCTTGTCTAATGTTAAACAAGCTTATGGTCTGTTTTTTATCGGGTTTGTGGTAAATCGTTTAGTAGGAAAATTCCCGTAATAGAGCGTCAGTTTTAATCAGATCAAGTTTCGAGTGTTTCGTCGTTTACAGAGCTTCGCGTTTCCATGACAATTTATACAGTTTTGAACCAACCATCAACCACCGTCTATAGTATATATGTGGTCATTGCACCTGATATTATTGTTGGCAATAAGCACTTTCTCCAAACACCGCCGACAACCTGTTGTGTTGTTTACTGCACGCTCGAAAGAGTGAGAGTGTATCTTTACCGTTTGTAAATTGTTTTTACACCGATCCGCTAAATTTTATTAGGACCAGAAACCATTGAACTTCCACAGGTTGAACAAAAAATAAATATTGATTGGGGGATTCGTTTGATAGGACAGATTTATTTTTACTTTTTTAACAATATATGATAAGACTTTCGTGGCAATTTTAAAAACAGACTAACGGCTTTATGATTTTAATACAAATTTCAGTATTAAAAGAAATTAACGTAACAAAGAACTTATTTATTGATTACAGTTATTTAAATCAAACTCCAAACATTTTTTGCATTTTAATTTTTACATCTGAGTAAGTACATGTAACTTACATTTGTATTTTAGGAAATTCCACTGCAAGTGTAATCGACGTGCTTATCACGTGCAACAGTTTAATCTACTTTTTTGCAAAAATGTCATATCATGGCCAGGCATCATGCATTTCCCATCCAAAGACCACTCAGTTCGAGAACTTCACCTTCCATAATTTCGTGCGAACCTGAAACTTTGAAATGAGTGTATGAAATAAAACTCCAGCCCGCAAGCCTTCAAGATAAATGCACACAAGTTTGTGCGGTCGTTTGGGGAATGTCGTTTTGTGACGGGGCCCCAACTAACTGGGGAATCAGGAAGGGGAATTTGGAATTGGATTCGCGAAGCGTCGTCATCCCGAATTGATGACGCAGCCGATGACGCATTCAGTTTTTGCGACGATGGGGGGAGAAATCTAGATTTCAAGCCAGCTTGGCAACAACAAAATACTCGTTCGTTCAGACAAAAACAAAATAAGCACGCTTAAGCTGCTGCCTCCATTTCGCTCTCCGCAACTCTTAAAAAAAGTAACCGCTTTCATAAGATAACCGACTCGATTTTGGATCCAATGCCAGTTTAACGTTTCAGTGTGTTCGAATTGAAATTTAAAATGTAACGTATTTTGTGGGGCCCTTAGCACAGTGGTTTGTACAAATTTTTTAATTCCAATTTGTAAACGGTTCTGCACACTCAGAAAGAAATAAATATTTGATAGATTTAATTAAGGTTTTGTCTGATTTTACTTACGAAGTTCATTTAAAGGCTAACTTCAATCACCCCAGTTTTTTTGTCCTTTGATTTCATTTCAAAATTTTAAGAAATAAAACTTACCCATGGAACATGCAGTATAAAATTAATCATTATTTCTGATCATGGTGAAACTCGTGAGCGATTTACTGGAAAAAAATGAGGTTTCCATTTACTATGTCTACGTAGTACTTGATTATTTTTATATTTATATGTACGTACATATGTCATATGCAGTACATATATTTTTTATATATGTATGTATATTTTCATATCAAAATGTTCATGCCTACTTAATCGTATAAATAAGTGCAGTGACCAGAGCGAAACAATAAATGAATGCAAATAAGTATGTCGCACACAAACAATGGCGTTTTTGTTTTAAACAATATAGGATTTAATTATAACTTGGGATACTGTCATCCTTTCAATTTAACCCCTTTTTATGTTAGATTGGTGTCACGGTACCAGTATAATTTTTGTTTAAATCTTTCTTTTGAGGAACAGATGCAAAATGTAGAAAGGGACGGCGATCAAAGAGAGAGACGACATTTGGTTGGTGTTGTTTGTTCTGTTCGCGATTTTCTCTGTTTATCGGCTACTTCGGCTGAAGAAGAAGAAGATGAAACAGACGTTGCGTTTCAAAAGGAGCGTTACATTATGAGAAGTTGAATCGAAAAGATCAGTGAAAAAAGCATTGATAAAACCAATGCCCAAAATTCATAGCTGTATTTACAGCTGCGGTTAACAAGATAGCTTTAAATATATTAATTAAACAACAGAGGAATTTAGCTGTAAAGTCTTAATAATTACAGCACTTGAAATGTTCTTTCCTTGTGTAAATTAATATTTAAGCCGAACTTAATAAAATGAATTTCCAACCTACTTATTTTTAAATTGTCCACAAATATATATTCTATATAAAATTTGGATATTTTCCAATTTCCCAATTTAACTGCTAGTATTTTTACCGCATTTGTCTTTAGTGGGAAATCACCTTGCGCCAGCTGCAACTGCATCGCATCTTAGGGGTGGAATAGTGCAGCTGACATAGAAATCTACCTGCGACATAATGCCGCTCGGTGGTTCTTACCTGCTCCTCGAAGATCTCTGATCACCACCTTCCTTGTCGTAATTCCTGCGTAGCCCAGTGATCCTCGTTTTGGGACAGCTGCAAAAATCATGAAATTGTCTGCACGGCGAGGACAAACATTGGTACATACACATTCATACATACAAATGAGTAATGATCACGCACAGGAAGAAAATCCATGATCGATTGGTTGGATACATGGGAGTTAAGCGTACTTTTAAACTTAAGATATGGGAGAAAGCAATTCAAATTTGTACCTTTTGAAGTATTGCTTTTTTTGGGCATCATGACCTGGATTTGGATATCTGATTTAAAGATACTGATACTGAATCTTTGCTATCTTTTCGGTAAAGTGGATTGATCAGGCTTTTTAACATGTCGTACAAAATCAAACGGCACGAAGTATTTTCTTAAAAATGTGTAATATTTTAATTTAATAAAAAACCAACGAAACCGAAACATTAAGGCAGCGGATACCCGAAATATCTTTAAATATTTCATAGATAGTGAATACGCAACCGAAAGTAAAACCAACACAAGACATGTATACATATAAAGTTAGTTTCAGGCTAAACAACTTACATATTTCAAAAAGAATTGTAACGTATTGTTTGATCAGAGCTAGTGAAAATATCAAACTGATTTTCCCAATGCCACGAAATTGTAAGACTCTCAGACGTATTTGAGTTTTAAAAGATATTATACGGGTAAGTCGGCCCCCAGCACCCTGTTAAATCTATAAATGTTTGAGTTGACTGTACTTCAAAATTTCATTTTGATCTAGAAATTTTAAAATATGTAGGTTTATTATCCCCCTTCTAACTAAATTATTGCTACGTGTTATCAGTGCGCAGATTATTATGTAAAATCGTTAAAGTTTAAGGGTTGCTGTAAAGATAGGGTTTGTACAGTGACGTATTTTCAAACTTGGTCGGATATAGGAATTTCAGCGTTCACCGCAATGTTTTCAAAAATAACGATGCTCTCGCTCTCTGTTTCACCCCAACCATTTTCATTTGGAAAAAAACGTCGCTCTGGCCCTCGCTCGCTCTCTCTCCCTCTTGTTCAACGGCATTCTCACTGCCGCCAAGAGCGAGCAAGAGGGAAAGAGATCAGCTAGTAAGAGTGAGAGAGAGAGAGGAAGCATGAGAGAGCGTTATAGTTTCTCATTCTCTTTGCGTCGTACTTCTTCCAGCCACGCGAGACAGCTTGGTCACATTTGAAATTCAAACTGCGGAGAAGACGGTCGCGTTCGTCGTTTCGATTCGTTTCGCGAATTCAGTGAGCAGCGTTGTTCGATTTGTTTTAAAATCGCCGCATTTCGTCAGCGAGTAACCGCATTGCACATGGCTAAGCTAACCTAGTAGCATTCAAAATTAAACGAGAGTTTAAATCGAGAAATTAATCGCATACTAAACGGCGCGTCGCTAAATGTCAAAACAATTAACAGCCAAGTACAGCCGAGCTAAAGAGGAATAACAAAAGTATCAAAAGGAATAGTACGAAAAAGAAGAAGCAAGGGAGAAGACGTAGCGCGAGAGCAAGAACTGTGATAAAGTTAAAGTGGTAAACAAGCAATCATGGATAACAGTAGCGGTCAAAATAGCAGAACAGCCACGACGGCGTCAACCAACAAAATAGTCAGCAGCAGCTATTCGTCTCCAGCCTCGCCAACATTTGCGTCCTCTAGTGGCAACGGTGCCACAGGCAGCATGAGTTCCAGCCAGGAGGACACTGTACTGGGTTTATTTACGCCCAAAAAGGAGTTGGCCAATGCCAGGATGCTGCAAACGATCAGGGAGAAGGTACTGACGCCCGGCGGAGCCTGTGACCTTTTTGCTTTGGGCATTGCAGCGGAGCCCACGGACCAGCAGCCGGTGAGGTTGATCCAGAAGCGTTATCTGATCACCGCCCAACCTAGTCACATATCCGCCGCCGTAGCCGCCAAGACACCCGCCTCGTATCGCCACCTGGTCGATCTCACCGCCTCCAATTTGCGTTGTGTGGATATCTTTACCGGGGAGCAATTTCTGTGTAGAATTGTTAACGAACCGTTACATAAGGTCCAGCGTGCCTATTACCTACTGCATCAACAGGACGAAGAGCTGCGCAAAAGCACTATCTATGGACACTCGCTTATCCGACCGGTTCACGATATAATTTCCCTGTCTAAGGACCGCACCTACATCCTCATTGCCCCCGTTCCCCAGGAGAGGGACTCCACGGGCGGTGTTACCGGGGTCTACGAGAATCTGCACACCTACATCCGCCACGAAAAGCGACTGTGCGAAACGGAAGCCAGGGCCATCTTCCATCAGATCTGCCAAACCGTTCAGGTTTGCCACCGCAGTGGGATTATCCTCAGGGACCTCAAGCTCAAGCGGTTCTACTTCATCGACGAGGCAAGGTGAGTTGAGTGTCCAGGTGACACCTTCAAAAAAAAACTCCATATACCATATGCCATATTCCGTATACCTTGTGCCAACTCAATTGCATATGGCTAGTCGGTTTATTTTGCAATTCGATGGAAACTCGTTATGAGCGAGAGATCTTGTTTGTGGCCGTGTGTTGGTGGTGCCACAATTGTTGCTCTTGTTATTGGCCCGCAATGTTGTCGTTGTTTTTGCTTTTGTTTTTGTTGGCGCCGTCGTTGTGGGTAACATTGAACATTTAACAAGTGTTGCAATCGAATCACCAATAGGCCAACAAAAACAATTATACTGACAAACCACATGAGCGCAAAGCGTACGTTTGTATGCACAGCCCCGGGGGATATTTTAGCTACTATATTTTATTTATTTTAACTAAAGGTTATTTTGTGTGAAAATTTCCTAAAAATAATAGATTATCTTGTTTGTATATTTCCTTAAACCAATATCTTAAAAGTACAGATAAACAACCCAATAGGTGAGAATTAGTCTGTTTTTAAAATTCTTAAAAAAAAATTATTTAATTGAAGTATGATCACTTGTTTAATTATTATTTTAAACTCCTTTGTTTTCTATTAGACCGAAAAATACGCATACATACAAATATCTGCGTAACAAAAATTTAATTCTTAATAAATCGTTTTATACAGTTCAGGTAGATAACAAAAAGCTTATAACGTTGACCGCAGCTGTGTCTGTGTACATACACACAAGGGCCAATGGCCACAGTGGTGGCGAAAATTGTTGGCCCACCCGTTTTTCAGTACACTATTTGGAAGCTAGAAATATTGCCACATTTCAAGAATTGTTCAACATGGCTCTTACAATGTTGGTGCAGGGGTGGTGGTAAAGGCCATCTATTACAATGTTTTCATGATTTCTAAGAGATATGATGCATATTACACTGGCTGATGAAATATTGGCCCTACCTTTCCTCACTTCAATGCGAAATGTATTTTCGCATATGCAAATATATACAAGTGTATGAAAAACGCGCTGTCTCCCGTTCTTTTTATCTTCGTTTTTTACTGACATCAGCAGGGAATGACGTGAACAATTGTTCGATTTAGTGTGGCTTTTCAATTAGCGAAATATCTGCTGATTTTTTCGTCATTTCGTCGTTCTGTGCCAAGTGCAAAAACGGCGGAAGGAAGAAGCCCATAGATCTCTATCTTTACTATGTATCTACATACCTCTCTCACCTTGACGAAAAATAAACAACAAGTGTTCAATGCGATTTAAATGCGCTGCGATTATTGGCGGCGCTCGTTTCCATTCGAAAAACGCTATATAGATAAGTACTGGGTGTACATAGGCGTGTGTATCCATATCTTTTATATCCATACCCATATCCGAAGGGGCGCACACACGCACATCCAAACAACGAACCGAAATTTTAAGGTCACCATGCGGTGATTGGCCCTGACTCTGATCTTCTGTATTTTTAACGTATTTATACTGATATATATAGTATAGTATATTAATGGCAGTGGCTATATACAAACGCATGTATTTATGCATGTAAATCCGCGGTCATACTTTTATTTTGTGTGTCTCGCCTGTACATAAATACTTCCAAGGTGTTTGAGCACTTTTCTGCCGCCGGTTTTCCGTATTTCGTTTCTGATTTTATTTAACCTCTATCGCACGTTTAATTTGTGCCGAAGAGAGAAGAGATCGTCGCTCTTTAAAGCCTCTCTATATCTCCCATCGAGGTCACCAGCTGTAACTATTCTCCACTTTGCATCTCCACTTGTATTCGGTGCACAGAAATTTTTTTATTATATTTTTATTGATTTATGAAAGCCTTGATCTTAAAAATATGTTGTATTTAATAGAAATAACCTTCATCTTAAAACTGTTTAAGAAATGTAATATTTAATGTCAGATGTGGAGATAAGAAGTTAATATATGAAAATGTAGCCCCTGATCTAGTATTATTTATCGTGGTTATCAAAAAAAAACTATTTTCTTTAACAAAAATAGTTCTCTTGAAAACAGTTTAACAGCTTTGCAAAATATAGATACTTTCAAAATTTTCTCCTGGTAAAGTATGTAAACAAAGTAGATTTGGATAATTAGTTCCCACCTGTTGATATGAAGTTGAAGGTAATAGGTTTTTCTACAGTGTACACTGTAATTTGTGACGAGGAGAGGCGCGTTTTCAAAGCTTGTTTTCGTTCAGGGTCAGCTCGAGGTTTTTTTTGGCCTGCTTTGTGTTTGACTCTTTGGATGTTTGGATACCAGACCACGGCTGCCGTGTGCTTGTGTATCTCTCGGCTCGAAACCCCTTATAGTTTAGTATTCGGATCCCAGCAGAAGCGCCGTTGCAGCAACAAGTTGCGATACGTCACTTTGCTCACAGCTGACTCTCTTTCGACTCGACTCTATTCGCTGTGTTTGCAGGCGTTTTTTGTTTCGGCTTTTTTTTTTTTTTTTGTTTTTTGTTCGTTACTTTTGTACTTTTTGCATTCGAAATGTGGGCCAATGTCAATGGAGTGGGCCAATGGAGGAGCGATCGGGGGGGAGTGCAGGGGCGGAGGCACTCGCTCATGGGTGTCGGGGGTCGCAAGCTGCGCTTTCGTCACCGATTCAACTCAATTTCAACCAAACTCACAATGCTGTCGCTCTCTCGGCCAATTCGCCTTTTGACTTGTCAACAAACACGCCAACGCCAAAGACAACGACAAATATACCAACTGAAAACGCCGTGGCCGATCGATTCAAGTCTCTTCGATATTGCGCTAGCTAATGGCCCCACAAAATCAGGGGTTATGCAAGGCCCAGGGATTGCACATGATGTAGAGCTCGACGCTCGGTCTGATGTACACGGGTACAGTTGCGATCAGAATAATGGCAATGCCAAGTTATAAATGACGAATGATTAGCAAATTGGTATTGGCAAGAACTGTTTGACGTTTTTGGAAATAATTTATGTTCAATATATTAGGGTAAATAGGTTGAAAAAATATAATCGTATTTAATTTAAAACACTAAAATAAAATAAATGAGAAAAAGCCTTACATTTCAAATTAAGTTATTTTAAGAGATTGTAGGATTTAATAAATAAAAATAGATTTGTAAACAAAACAATACAAACTTATCATAAACAAAAAACAAAAAGAAATGCGATAATGTTTTAAAAAAAGATACGGCTATGAATAGAACTTACTGCTGCGTAAAATAATAAACACTTGTAAATAAACATAAGAAAATATAGGAATTTCAAAATGAATTTAAATAAAGAATACAATACATATACTTTCTACAGAGTGTGTCTTATACTTACTGGAATGTTTTTGCTCTCTCTTATTACAGAACCAAACTGCAGTATGAATCACTGGAAGGCTCAATGATCCTCGACGGCGAGGACGACACTCTGAGCGACAAGATCGGATGTCCATTGTACACCGCTCCGGAACTTTTGTGTCCCCAACCGACGTACAAGGGCAAACCGGCGGACATGTGGTCGCTGGGCGTGATCCTCTACACCATGCTGGTGGGTCAATACCCGTTCTACGAGAAGGCCAACTGCAACCTCATCACCGTGATCCGCCATGGAAACGTTCAGATACCCATGACACTCTCCAAATCGGTGCGATGGCTTCTGCTGTCGCTGCTGCGAAAGGATTTCACGGAACGCATGACAGCGAGCCATATCTTTTTGAGCCCATGGCTGCGGGAGCAGCGACCCTTCCACATGTACCTGCCCGTTAACGTGGAGGTGGCCGAGGACTGGAGCGATGCGGAGGAGGAGGGCGAGGGCACCGCCACCGATGCGATCGACGAGGACGAGGAAGGACTCTGTCCGTTGGGTGGCAAGCACGAGTACGAGGACATTGGTGTGGAGCCACTGGACTACACACGCACCACGCTCCAAATGGCCCAGAATGCCAACGGACTTTCGACCACGGAACCCGAACCCGATACGGACGTGGACATGGGCTGATTGGGCCTCGTGGAGTCACCCACGGGTTGCTTTCTGGGACACGCTGGCGCGTTGGCTACTTTCCGGCTGAATGCCGGAGTGAGTAGCCGCCGGGAATGGACAAATCCAGTCATTAGACACTGTGGAAATCCTGGCCCCATGTCAATGGCGCGCGCCGACACCGACTGCGTTCCACGTCGTCTTCCTGCAGGTGGTACTGCCAACAAAGACTTAAAGCCTCGCTTAGACACTCTTTTAAGACACACACACACACACACACACACAAGAACTCACTGCCTTCCAATCGCGCTGCGGCCACCGATCCGTTCAAGAATCGCGCGCCGCTCCGCAGCCTCCTCTCTGCAACTGATTCTTCCTAAAAGCAAAAACCTACCTATGTACAATACATTTAACATTTTAATTTTTTTGCAAACTGTTGATCTTATCAAAGGACAGTCGCCCTGATTTGTTTTTGGGCTCTAAAACACATTAGTTTCCATGTTAAAAAATGCAACGAATGCAAATTGTTATTTATTATTTAATACTTCTGTATTACGCTTTGTCTACTATTAAAATCTTGTAAGTGAACATCCTGAAAAAAAAACATAATACATTGAAATTTGATCTCACCAAGAATGAATGTAGTGATTTTTTTCTTTCTGGGCTTTGGGGGAATTTTTGTTTGATAAATTATTTCCGCTGAAATTTAGTTAAACTTATTTTACTTTTAGTTGAATTTCATCATATATTTATTTATTTAGTCGGAGCAACATATGTTGTTATCAGTTGTTGTTATGTTCTATTGAAATTCCACAGAACAGGGAAGCTACACAAGATGAAAACAATGAGTCAGAGAATCACAAGATTTTTCGAGAGTTCATGCGTCATTTTGTTTACTAATAAAACATTCAACATTCGATTAGATTGAGATAAATATTTTTGCAAAAATATCAAAACAAACCCCACCCATTCTAATTTGCTTGTTAAGTTAATCTATTCTCTTTATGAAGGTGATAAATAGGCAGTTTAACGCTTATTGTAAATTGTTAATCACCTAGAGCGTCCGGAGAGTGGAAAATTTAAATATTAATTTTCAGCTGTGAGATTCCTAATTACTTTGTAGATTCCCCAGTTGATTGCTACCAAGTGACTTCTAGTTATCAGTTAGGCGAACGTGACTTTGGGTACGGAAATATTTGTGACTTTGCTCTACAATAACAATAAACTAATATTGTGAATACCTGTGGTCCCACGACTGTCAACTGATGTGCCGACGTGACGGGAGCTTTCGCATGTATGCCCGATTTTTGGCTATAGTACATATACGTGTGTGCGCTCTCGAGCATTTTTACCTGTGGCCAAGCACTTTGTTCAGATTATGAAATTGCCGAGCAGAGAACGAGAACTGCGCAAAACGCGAAAACTGCTGACGACTACGTCACCTTCAGATTGTGACTATCAGTTTTTGGAGCTCAGTGCCACGCATGAACTTTTCCTAGACCCAATCGATCGCTCTAGATACGACTGGAAAATACCTACTGGAAATTACCCGTTCTTGAAGTAATTTCTTTCAGAACTTATGGTTTTTACACGTTTTAAGTGGCTTGGAATATGTTTGCACCTTTATATTTTATTGCTCATATTCATTTCAACATCTAAATTCTTATATAGTCATACTTTTTTTTCATAATCCGAACCATTAAGTTACTAAATCTTTTTATTTTGTTTTTTATACCTACTAAACTTATGATTATTATTTGTTTAAATTTACTATGAAAAAAAATTGTGGAATTTAAGATATGTAGGTACTAAAACTTCGATATCTTTTATAACAAAAGACTTTAAAGGGTAAAACCTATTGTCATGAGCTATTTGATAAGAATTTAAAGGGGCTTATAGAACGGAACGAACGATCCAGAAATTTTTGCACTCCTTCCTTACTAACCTAAAAGTCACGATTCTTTAGGCCAATCAGATGATTTTTGACACCTTTAATTCTTTCTAACCATCTTCTAATAGGGGTCATAATACAGAAAAAAGTATGTTAAATGGAAAGTACAAAAGTGTACTAGATAAGCCCAGTTACAAATTCACTTTTAGGGTTCTTAAACTTTAAGTGCTTTGGCAACCATAAAGTAGACCTTAACAGTGACAGTTACGCTACTTTCCCTGACCCAAAAATAGCCGTAAAACTTTTCTTTGTCTAATCTATTCTTAAGATTTTTTTCTTATACTTCTTTGTTTTTTTTGTTTCCGTCTTATCGTTATGAATATTGTCTTTAATAATGATTAAAATTTGTTTCCCTTTTTGATTATTCTTAGCTTTATAAACAACTTTTATTTAATTTTTCTGACTTACTCCAGAAGTACATTTTTATGCACTATTTTGCAGTACATATACGGCCGTAAATAAAGTGCTAGCAAGATACGAGAAGCTTTGTAGACAGATCAGACAGTATGTACGCTATTTCAAGTCAATCAAATGCTCAGGTAAGGTATTTAGCGCAAAAATCTCGCCAGTTTCGTGCCTAATTGCGGAAACAGTGTTCTAAATAACTTTAAATTGTTGCAATTGTATAAGTACGTGGTCGTATGCATGGCACATATATGCGTTCTTTTTTTATTTCAGACTTTTGTCCCCAAAATGTGCGGTTCCTGTCTATTTATTTTTCGTTGTTTCAGTCGGTTTACTTCAATCGATGCAAATCTTTTTAAATTCAACCTTCTGGGTCATAGGAACTATTTTGTAAAGATAAGAATATTGACACCTTTTCAAAGTTGTCATATATCGTAGTGTGTCTCTGAGTTCTAGCCTTGATAAGTTAACCTCAAAAGCAATACAAATGAAAAATTAATTACCTGTTTTTCATGAATTGAATTTTCTTAGATTGCCCTTTGCACAACTGAGAGAAATGGGTAATCATTGAAACCGCAAAGCTCTGATAGCGAAGTTTAAAAAGCTTTATGGATCAAAAACCCCCGGTAATCATTATTTCTCACTTCTAGGCCGGCAATAACTAGACAAGTTTTTTTAATAAACAAAACCTCTTTCAAGAATATATAAAAACCTAAAGTTTTCAGTTTATGGCTCTACAAATTTAGAAAAAAAAAAAACATTATATGTAGATAAAGTGCAATGGAAAACTATTTTAAACATGACCGAATTAATAAAATTTTTATATTGATTTTCTCATTTAGATGAAATTGTACAAATATGCCCCTATATATATGTTAAATTTCACAATTTCAGGTTATGTTACGTTACTTGCAATAATGACACACGTATTTATACGGACTTACATATATAGAAAAACCATTTCGATTGAAATTGAAGATTATTCATACTTCACATTGCATAGAGAATTGTGAGAGAACTGTGATTTGTCGTTGTCCCACCAAATTCGAATTTAACGGTAATATTTTTGAGTGCTGGAAAATAAAACAGAAATTGGGCTAAAGTCGATAGAAAATTATCGGATTTTTCAAAAGCAATCGACGTTGTGTCATACTCAATGGGAGCGTTTTTGGTTTAACAATATGAATGTGATCTCGAACCTCAAATTACCAAGTATATAGCAAAAGATGCACGAAACCCCATTGCGGCTAACAGATTTAAACGTCGATTGCCTTCTGCTGATTTTTGACTACTGTTCGGAAGGAGATCTTTTGTGCCTGTGCCTGGCAAACCGATTTCTGGAGGAAGTTATAGACACTCACATTTACTCCCCGTTGTCCGTGGATTTGCTCCTCTGTGGCCACCGGGATAATCCCACAATCGAGCAGAGGTAGGTAATAAACATCAGGAATTGAACCCCAATTAATATTCCTTGTTTTCTTATCCAGAAACCGAACCCGCCTGACCAACTATGAACGGATCCAAGTGTCTAAAAACTGGGTTAGTGGCACCTATTTTGAGCGCCCCTACTTCCACCATGTCCAGATGTTCCCCACGAAACTCTGTCTGGAGGCCAACTATTTGTATATTACCCATGCGGGCTACCTGCGAAAGTACCGCCGTTCCAGCTGTGACGCACTGCACCGAAGATTCGAGGAGGAGATCAGTACGTCAACCCACAGCGACATCTCAGATTTTGTTAAAAAGCGGGACACCATTTTCGCGGGAAGGGTGTGCGGATCATGCTTTCACTACGACGCGGAAGGCATCACGGAACAAAGGATGCATCCCGCCAACGAGTATCTGTACTGCGTGGACTTTGTCAATGACTTGTACGCTACCAGCACCGATCACTGCTGCAAACTGTGGCAGCGATCTGAGGAGTTTGGACTGACGCACTTCGACATGGTCGCGAATCGGCCGCATGCCTTTAAGTCCATGGAACTAAGTTCAGATGGCCAGTGGCTATATGGAGGTCTCTATACGGACGTGGGTCGCCAGGCCCTGAGGGGGATTCATGTTGAAAGGTAAAATAACTATATAGAGAATCCATTTACTAATAACCAAACTCTTCTTAAAAAATTGGTCCTACTCAACAGTGGCGAGGAATTGGTATTTAACTCCAACACAATGTCCATTTACGACCTGAAAATGAAAGATGAACATGTAATTTTCACGGCCAACTTCGACACGACATTTCGGATGTTTGACCGCCGCATCGATCGTGATGTTGGGATCTGGGAAGATCCGTTCGACTCGTCGTTCTACAGCTTGGAGTACGATGGACTTTATGCAGTGCTCGTCGGCACCAACCGACATGCACGGGTCAACCTCTACGATATAAGAATGCAGAAGTACGTACAACTATACTTTCCCGGACGGACGCGGCAGCACAATGGCTTTTCACCCGTGTACAGCCTCGCCTGTGATAGCCAATATATGTTCGTAGCCACCGACCACAACCTGCGAGTCTTCGATTTCAAAGCCAATTGTGGGATTCAAAGGGACTACAGCAACATCAATGGACTTGTCAAAAGAAAATTATGAAAAATACTGGTAACTAGACAGATTATATGACGTCTTATCGGAATGATTGCAAAAGCAGTTTTATCCTTTTTCCAAAATAGTTTAAAAAAAATTCTCTAAGAGTACTATTTTTAGTTAAACAAAAATTAAATTGTAGAACGAAAACAAAGAATGTAAGAATTGCCAATATATTAGGCTTTAAGTTTTAAAACAAACATTAAACCAGTAAACATTTCTAGACACGTAATGATAATTTAAACACTTTATACTTAAAAAAACAAAAATGGGCTACTATTTATAATCAATCATTATACCAAAGTTAGTCGGAAAGTTATATCTTCAAATATATGTCCGAAATCCTTTTTTGTTTAAAAGGCAATTCAAAAGTTTGATTTAAACAAGTTTATTGACCTGCCGACAAATTGGAGCCTATCATAACATGACCACAAACTTATTCTCTAAAAAAGAAACTTTAAAACATCCACTTAAATCATGTACACAAACGTTAAGGTAAAAACTTATAGGTATGCATGAATATGGTCAAAGGACACGTGCATATCATTAGGTGTATGCAATACATGCTCTTCAAAAGTTTTGTTGCGCGCGAGACTTTCAATTGGGGTTCCATTTTCAAGTATTTTTAATACTTTTTCCGAGAGCTAACATTTATCACTGTAGAAAAGAAACTAAGAGCTACCGAAACTGCATGATTGTAACATACGTTATGCGGGCGTAAAATGAAGATATAAATTGTGGTTTGGCATTTTTTGTTGGGCCAAAATTCGTTGCTTGCTAGCAGGCACTTTTATCCATAAAGTATTTTCATGCATTTACAATTTGTGCGTCGTCATTAAGTTACAAACTAAAGCCGAGAGAGGATTACGATAAATACCGAGATAAACTGCGAAGGGATCAAAGCCATTGCCATTGCCTTTTAGATCTTAGGTCTACTGTACATGCACTACGATCGAATAGGGCCACGTCGATGACCCTCGGGAGGAACATGAGGTTACAGCGACTATCTAGTGGAGTGTGTGCTCGTTGGCGACTTCCCTTGTGGCTCGTCGGGGGAATGCGTTGCGGCATCCGTAGTGACAACGCACTCGCTGGCGTCCGTCGCTGCGTGGGCTGGATGCTCCACTCCGTCGTTGAGGGCAGCTGCCAGCTCACCGTTGAATTGCAGCAGACAGCCCAGCGCACCAAAGTAGCCCTCGTGCTCCAGGAAGAGACCCTTCATTGTGCCGTTGGACCAGAACTCCATTGCGTAAGCCAGAAGCTTCATGGAAATGGGATTCACTCGCAGGAAGTTGCCCACAAAGACGACCTACAAGGAGTTGATAAAAGAGGTTAGAAATTTGTAAGCTTTAAAATTGATAATCATTGACCGAAGCTTTAACATTAAAGTTTCGTTCATAAAATAATTAAATATGCCACATATAAAATACAAATCTTACCCTATCGATCTTCTCATTCAGCGCACACATCCTTGCTATGGATCCAATATTGTTTGTTATGGTGACCAGCGTGGCATTTGCCAAATCTTCACGTGACACTGAGCCACGTTTGTCATTCAGATGCATCTGGCCAAAGCTGTAGATAGAAAGCATATTGAAAACTGGTTGTTTGAACTTTCATTTCCGTATTTCGCATTTTACCTTGACGCCACCAAATCGCCGGGCAGACCAAAGCGGTTATAATCGCCGCCGTAAATATCCTTAACCAACTTGTCCACCTTTCTATTGTCGCCCTTGGTGGCCAGTTGGATAGCCTCTTCGAAGGATGTGCAGCCGGTGAGTAGGCAACACAGTCCGAGGAATGTACCGCCGCCCAAACTGAAGATAGAGAGCATTGTAGTTATTCGAAGAGATAATAGTAAGCCAAACCGAACTCACCTTGTGCCCGAAATGCGCTTGTAGTTGTCGGGACCGTAGACAGCCAGTATGGAAACTCCGGAGCCCACATTCACCAGGATGAACGGAAACGGTTGCGAGAAGTTGAACTGTCGCTTCTCGCTTTTTCTGCAAGATATTCGGTAAATAAAAATCGTTAGAAACTCCTCGTAGCCAGCACTTACTCCACTTACAGAATGTCTCGTGCGTTTTCATAGTAGTAGCACTCTGTGTGATTGTGCAGGTCGGCGAAGAGGATGCCCTTGATGAGCGTGTCCAGTTCGTCGAATTTGGCAAGCTTCATGTTGACTTGGTCGCGGAAGTCCTGCTCGAACTTGAAGGCTCCGCCGCCGGTGGCGCAGACCGTGGTCACCAGTTCCGCCATGCCCTTTTGCTTGGCCAGCGACAGGAAGTTGCCCATGTCGGTCGTCTGGAAGCGGATGAAATGCAGCGAGCCTCGTCTCTTCCGTATCTCGACATTGTCCATCTGAAAGAATACAAAAGGAAACAAATAAGTAATTGTAAATAAAATATTAATTTTAGTAATTTAGCTTTTTTCTTTTGAATTCATATATCATGATCATTAGGAGTTCAATATTTGCGGACTTACGGTGAAATTACCTTCATAAATATGCAAATTAAACCCCAAAAACCATTACCAAATAAAAATGTAAAGTACAAAAGTCAACGTTCGTTTCACGAGCGCTTTCCAAACTGTTCCTAGGCTATAAAACGTATATATTTACGATCGCCATTTACTTAAAGTATCCAAAGTCTAAGTACAAGGGTAATTTGTACGAAATTTGCAAAATAAACTACCAAGCAATCGAATGCGCATGAGAATCAAAATAGTTCCATAGAAAAGGTCGGGTATTTTCGACTCAGTTTTGGATTTATTTTGGGTAGGGCATTTACCCCAAGCTTAGCGATTAATTCTGAACTGGAATTAAATACTTGAAAAAAGTGTTCTGCTATTTAAGCAGCAAAATAAATACAATTTAATAAGATCATGATAAATCGGTAAAATTTCTTTTAATTTGAAAAATGTTGATTGTTTACAAAGTAAATTACACATTATTTATAAACCATGATCTAAGATTTAAATTTTCCCTGTTGTTATGCTTGTTTTTAATTTTGAAGCGCCAATTAACCTATTTTTCAACATCCGTTTGGGTAGCTTTGTTTGCTACTATTTAAACGTTAATTGAAATTAAAACAAAGCGAACTAATTACGTTAACAGTGAATCACTGGGCTTTAAAGGTAAACAAAGGAATCTTTTTTTGCGTGAGATTGGCGCGTGGTACACGGAAAACAAAGAAATGTTATCAATCAAATCGCAAACTTTTTCGAAGAATCTAAACTATTCTGCTAAAATCATAATCAAATTCGCTTCTTTTTGATAAGATTAAAATATCAGGCAACTATTTAATTAATTTACTAGTAATTTTGTTTTCTGTGTAGGCGTTTGCGCTAAAGTGAAGGTCACAATAGAGTCACTCACACTCGAAAGCCCGTATTAAATCACCAGACGACCCATTCCGACCCGCACAAGATGACTTGTTGACTGGACGTGCAAATATCGCTGGGATTGATAATATTTTAGTTGATAATACCGAATGCTAATGGCCTGCGTCAGCGGGCTTTGTTACAAAACCGAACATCCACATTCCACGATGGCAAGCAAATATGGATTTCTATAGTTGGCCCATCATCTCACCTGTAGATGCGTATCTCGATGTCCGGTTTTGCCGTACGCCGAGTTTTTGGTTAAGTAGCGCCGGATATTCCTTAAAATTCCAGCCTCGCGATCCTGCTCATCCGGCGTTATGTCCTTCGGCTCGAAATAGACCAACTTTGTCAGGGTTCCGCCAATATCCATGCCGAACCATGGCATTGCTGAAATGGTAAAAAATATAACCATTAGTTAAGTATTAAAATTGATAATATACTGTATATGTATATTGTTTTTAAACCTTATAAAAACACGACACACCTGCATTATCAAAGCAATAACAGTAATAACTGATTAATCTTTTCGGGAGGCGCATCTCGGGCACAAAAGGCGGCACCACAAACTCCTTGGATTTAAGATCACAAAAGACACATAGCTAAAATTTTAATTTCTTTTTTTACTTAAAATTTAAGTGTCAAATTGGAGCTAAAATTCCAGTGCTGGAAATTTGTTTACGATTTCAACACACTATCAAATGAATCTGATTGATTTGTAATATCAAACCTGTCTGAAGCGAATGCGACAAACATGTTCGGGAAGTTTTTGACACAGATTCAATGGCGGGCAAAGCAACAAGTTTCAAAACATTACAAGAGCAGAAAGAAATCGAACGCCAAGCCGCTGAAATGTTTGAAAGCGGTTCATGTTCATGGTGTCAAGATCAAATCGGCGCCAAACTATGTCACAATACAGGTATGCTAGAGGTTGCTAAATCGCGTGTACTTCACAATTTATGTTTATCACATACAGTAGATATTGCCTAAAAGTATCTTTAAAGGTGCGTAGCAAATATGAATTAATTATAAGAGATACTATAAATATATTTTAAGACACGAGCTTGGAGAGAAAACACTTTTTAGGAATGATAATATTATTTTTGTGTGCTATTCTTCCCCACCTATTTGCATATGGAAATATCCAGTGATTATTAGAATAGAATATCAACCAATCTATTTTTGTCTCTTTACCAGTTTGTTTCTGTTAACTTTTCCCCTTTGTTTGTTATTTAACAAACACTTTGGGAAGGGTTTCCCCAAAAACTAAACCGCATTGGACTTTGGAAGTGCACGCACCGCTCTGGATGATAAGATCAAAGATCGATGTGAAGTGTAGCGCCTCCGGCATGATGTAACCCTTGGAGCTGATTTATTCCGTTCGAGTATAGAATCCACTGCACATAACACGGTCGTGTAATCGTTGGTTACGCGTTTTATATTTTTTATTTGACTTCGCCCAGCCCAATGAACCAGGGGCAATGCGTATCTGAGGTGTACGAGTAAAATTCCCGCCACGGAACTTTCGTTCGTCGGTGTAAATTAATGCCCGAGTGCGAGTGCGAGTGTCTATAACTTTTCGGTTTGTATGGGCGAGCACAGTTCGCCTGTGTGCTATGTAGACTGCCTAAACCGGAAACATTTCACCCGGACGCCACAACCAAGCGCGACACGTCGATGGCTCCAACTGACTGACTGCCTGCCGGATAATATATTGGCCGTAAACAGCTGAACACTGGCAAAATGGGGTATTCAATTGAATTGAATCGTATCGAATCGATGTGAAGTGAACGCATGTGCGCCACAGGCGGTTAAATACACCTTTCTTATCTGCCTTACGGAGCACGCAGCTTATCGCGGTCTGGTATTGCCCGATTTGACCAAGGAATTGACCATTTAGCGGGCTCCACCCATTACACACGACAGGTGTAGTTTTCCGACGAATTGGCCCCGATCTTCACATGTCGATTAGCAATTTGCGAGGTCCCCTGCCACGTACTATATATCTAATCAGTCCATTTAACTTGTACTCTATTTCTGTACACACACTTGAAGTCATTTAAAAATCTTCAGTAAAAACTAGAGGAAGTCAAGAGTGCGGTCAGTGTTATCTTTACATTATGTACCTGATACTCTTTGAAATTAGAAGGGTATAAACTTATACAGACTAATTGTGGGATCAATGGACGATAATGGCGGAGTTTCGCCTACGAAAAAACACTTCAAGTTATCATTGAACATAGAGACTATCTAAACGTTATCTTATTACGTCAAACTATCCTTTGATGAAAGCATTACATTTAATGTGAGTTGTGTAATCTTAGAACGGTGCTTACTTTCCAAGATTTAATATTTATATATTTTTTATAGAAACAGTATTGAAGGTCAAAAAATATTCATTATACTTTTAAAACCCTAAGTACTAATAAAAATTTTAGCAAACTGTCAATAAATTTGGAAAGTTTAAAAGATACTTAAAAAGATTTTTGCTAAACAAATTTTACATCGTAATACATTATAATTTTAATATTTGAAATTGCAGACTGAGTACCTGGAAAAAATTCCAGGTTATTTAAATGATTCAGCTTGATCAGATAAGTGGATGTCAAAACATTTTAATATTTATCCAGATTAACCAAGAGTTTTCCTTGGACATATTTAAAAGTTTTTGCAGCAGAATAAAAAATCTCTTTAAATTTAACAGGAATGGTAGAAATGAATTTCGAAGTATTGATGAATTGGCGAGTGCCGAAACTTGAAGACATCTCCCACCAACTTACACATGAGCTCATCGCCTTGGGGAATCTGAATGGCGGGAAGCTCTTCATCGTGGCAGACGCAGGAGGAGGAGGAGCTGGAGCTCTCGCACCTTGGCCGCTCAAAAAACGCTGGTTCCGCCTCCAAATCGATGGGATCTCGGGCATCCGAAGGCGTTGTAATGGACTTGCTCTTGGAACCCAGTGCAGTTCGCCACGGAGCGCGCCAAGAGTTTTTTTTCGCTGAGATCACAGGTGAGGTTGGCGGACTGGGACTGGTCGGTTTCTTATCGTTATGCAATTTGAATATTTTCAAATTGAATGAATATTTCGAGTTGCGCGTGGGGACTTTCATTTTGTTTGCTTTTTTTTGCTGACACACACAGAGCAGAGGTTTACAAGTTCACAGAGACGGCGGGCACTTATCACAGGCGGGGGGAAATTTGTAGTGGTGATTGGACCATTGGATGTCTGGTTTGCTCAATTCATAGATTTCTAAATCGCTCAGAGCTAACACTCACTCGGTGGCGATCGCGCGATCCGATCCCATCCGTTGTTGACCGTTCGAAAACAGACGTGAAACGCGTTTGAATGAAATTTTACTTTACCGAAGCCAGCGAGCGGCGACTGCGCTGCGGCTTTCGCATATGTATAAGCTCCCCAGACGCGATGAACGCCAATACAAGTGGTTCGTACATATGGGCACACATATGCATGGCCCGTATTAATGAGCGGACATCGGCGAGCCGAACCGAACTTAATCATTACGAAAACACACTTAAAACCCAGCCAGAGCAGCGACGACCCAGTGTGAACCCTACGACGTCTGTGTGGATCGGTATTACGTCCGTCCGTCCGCTTTTGCATTTACCTCGACGACGTAGTGCGTCCAAGTAACTTGGTAAAATTCCTAAAATGCCAGCCAGTGCATAGTCAATCATCGATGGCCATTCATGGCCGCCCTTGTGGCTCAGCATTCTCTCCGCAGGCGCAAGAAACGTGATAAGTCCTGATAACAAGTCCGAAATGGTACAAATTCCAAACAGAGAAACCTCCCAAAAGCAAAATGACCAGGAATGGAGAGAGCTGAAACAGTAAGTCAATTCCTAATCATTCGTACATATGTTTTGGGGAAAACTACTAGCCGTTCTCTATATGCAAACACTGATTTCGATTATAACCAGATTAGTTATGTGTGTTTGGTGATTTATAAGTTAATCTTATCATATGTTTATTTATGTACCTACAAACCATAAAATCTGGCGTAGCATTATAAGTAGGGTATTGGAGTATAATGACTTTGTGTAAATAGATCACAGTCATAATGAAGATATATAGATATGGCAGACCAGAAAATTATAATTACATATTTGCTGAATTAGCAATTTTGCATTTAATGAAAAAACCCCGTTCATGAATAAATGAATTAAATAAACAAAACAACCTAAAGTTGCGCTTGTGTTGGCAATATAAGTATTGTTTAATAAATACTAGTACTATAACCAAAAATAGAGTTTCCAAAAGAAAAAAAACCTTACATAGTTAAAAATTTAAATGCTACTTTTATTGGTATAATTATTGGTATAATTTTAAAAATAGCCACGAAAAACTACGCTTCCCCAATAGAAGAATAGCTTATCCCGCCAATTAAGCATCACTCGAGCTTTGGAGGCGGGTTTCCTTTTATAAGTATCATGTGGTTACTTTTTAATCTAAGCTTAGCTTAAACATTTTGATTATGTTTGTCGAAAAACCTTAACCGTCATTTGAAGACAATGTATGCACTTTGAATCTCAGAAGCTGTGGACCAGTTATGGGACTTTGATTTGTACAGTTGCAATCTTGCAGACTCTCTCGAAATATGGACTTACCCCTCGCCAACTGATTGCGCAGATTAATCTGTTCGTCCTCCATCATGATGATTTGCAAGAAGCGATTGGAGGGAGTCGGTGCACCGCAGAATAGGGGAGCAATCTGAAGTGGATCTTTGTTTTCCGGCAATTTGTACAATCAAGTACAATCTGCAAGAGGCGGGGAGGTCTTGGCGGGGAAAGTGCTGATGGCCTGATGGAATTGCCGATGGCCGTGGCGAAAGAGGCTAAGAACGTGGTGACTCAGGGACTGAGCGGCACTACACTCATCGATGCTGCGGGAATCCTTGCGTGGCCAAGTTAGTATTATTCTCCATGCATTCCCGGTATCCTCTGGACTGGTGTTGATTTCCAATGCCAATACAAGCCCAATCGAATTCCACGCACACTCAACAAAAACTTCAAAACAAAATTTTCGTCAGAAGTTTTTAATCTAGTAGCCTGAATCGGATCAGCTGATTTCGGATGGGAGAAAGTTAGTCGATATCCAAGTTATCGAAATGCCAGTGCTGGAAAATGGTTTGGCCAAAAACGTTATATATTTGATTATTCAAACATTAATTTTATTTTGTGTACATAGTTTTCAAAAGGTGAAATTACTTTCAATTTTTTAACTACACGCAGACGACACTTCAAAACGTCATAGGCACAAACTTAAGCTTATAATTAATATTCGTATTCCTCAGAGCTTAAAAATCTTATTATCTTATCTTACTTAGTTTGAGATTTTCTCTAGGCGTGTCTCCAAAACTTAATAATATTATAATTTTAGATATAATTAAATAAATAAAAAAAAACATTTAAATTTAAACATCGTAAGCTGCAACTGTTTTATTTGAATTTTGTTTACAAGCTTAAAAGTCACATAATCATTTCACAACACTACGAAACAGCTGACACAACAAAAAACATAAGCACAAAGACGCGCAATTCTTATGGTCCAGAGGAAATAAACATTTTTATGATGAGCCTTGCAAGCGGGGACGAGGGTAATGGAAAGGGCCAATTCAGCTTTCCGGCATGCTGGAAAGATAACGCTATTATGCAGCTACAATTCGCCATGTTCCGATCTCGAGATCTGGACACCGAGGACTATGACGCAAAAATGAAATTCTGGAAGGATTTGATTGGGAATTACTTGGAGTTCGCCGGAAGACCCATATTCAGTCTGCGAGATTTGCAACTGCAATTTATGCGGGGTGTCCAATTGCCCGCATGTTTGGATACCGTTATAATGGAGATGCAGCAGAGGAAGCAGATCCGATATCGCAGTGAGTTCGAGCATGATCCGGCGAATTCTTGGAGCGCATGGCTGGTCAACAGTCTGGTAAAGCGTCCCCTCTCGTGGAGCTGGGCCAAAATAAAGTACAGCGTGGTAGCCGAGGACCTGGAGGCGTCCTCTCTTGTTGAATGGGTTCACCTGGATGTCTTAAACGTATGTACTTATTATTTATATATGTATACCTTTATATGTCCCTATGATCTTTTTTTAACAGAATTATATATGGAAAATATTTACATACTTTTTACAGAACATTTGTGAACTCATAACCGAAAAAGTCCTATCTGAGAACAGTGGAAAATTACTACATTTTGATGCATTCAAATCCCTTTGTAAGTCCCAAGAAGTTCGCATTCATTCAGACAATGATTTCCGCGCTTGCTTGCTGGCGCTAAATGTTCGTCAAATCATCGGTCTTGAGTTTAAGACAGAAAAGGGATTGCGTCAAATTCACTTGATCAAAATACCAAGTAGGTTTTGGAATTTTAAATTGATATTTTAGTTTTTAATAATATTTTATATAGAAAAACAGGGTGATGATCTTAACATCAGCCAAGAGGATCATGCCGTTCACAATCTTCAGAATACTCAGGCCCAGTTACTTAAGCAGTTGGAAAATTTGGAGGAAGAAATAAAGGTAAACGATGACAAAGCGCGTCAATACATGAAGGAAAACAAGAGGCAAATGGCCAAAACATATCTACGAAAAAGACATCTGCTAGAGAAGAATCATGGTAAGACTCATTTGACATTCTTTAATTAAGTTAAGTATACAGTCTTTAAATTCTGTGAATTATTAATTTTTCTATAGAGCGTCGCAGTATTGCTTTGCATAACATTGAATCGCTTTTGTCTAGCGTGGATGAGGCTCAAAATAGTGGCGTTGTAATGGACGCCTACAAGATCGGCTCAAACACCTTGAAGAAAGTGCTTTCGGATTCTGGACTAAAGTACGACAATGTCGACGAAGTTCTGGCTGATGTGCGGGACACTCTAGACCAGCATCGGGAAGTTCAGGATACCCTGTCCAATAGTGTCGTTGAGGGCGTTAGCCAAGAGGAGGATCAGCTTGAGAAGGAATTGCGAGAACTGTGTGGCGAAACATCTAAAGTTTTTATCAATCCGCTCATTAATAACAATGATAAACCGGAGGTTGTTATCACGGACGAGGAGATGATTGCCATGCTGCAAGAGCTCGAGGTTGAGGATGGCACCGTATCCCAATCGAGTACAAGAGCTGTGAAAACTTTACAGGGGCTTTAAAATTATTCGTGTTTTCTTTTATATATATGGCATGTGAATTGTTCTAGTACTTAAGTCTATAAAATTGTTATAATATTTTTGAATATCTTCCTTTTTATTACGAAAATAATAGAAGAGCTTTGTTCGTAATTGCTTTATTCTATCATTCTGTACAAAATGCGTCCTTATCGTAAAGTATTGCTTAGGACTATGGCTAGACAAATGTTTCCGTAAGTAGGAATTCAAAAATATACATACATACATGTCTTAGGTAAAGGTACAGATATAAGGATATACACATTGTCTGCTTCGTCCTTTCGCTTCCTAAATTTTCCTTTTTGGAATCGTGCAGAACAAGATGGGTGTACACCATTATATCGTAAGGCAATACAGCGAAATGCTTCGCATCGCCGAGGTGCATGTGCATACATACTCGTCTATGCTTTGCATTTTATATATATAGGCGTATAAATATAAGAAATCCGAAGCACTTTGCAGTATGCTCCTTTGTTCTGGGTCGAGCTATGTTGGACTTATGTATTAGTAATCACTAAGGCAAATTTGCGCTCCTATATATTGCGTAATGTCAAAAGCGGACGCGCCACTTCCCCTCCATTCGCAATTCCCAATCCCTCCCGCTCCAAGTCGTCTGTTCTTGAGGTTTGTTATGTGTGGATTTGAAAAAGTATCAAAATACTTAAAATCGTACAGATGAAACAAATCAGGACCGGCAGGATCACAATGAAGCGAAGTGATCTGAAATGTGAAGATAGATTTAGATCAAGCCGTATGTATCGGTTAGTTAATTCACCTTCCTTGCCCGAGGGCTGGGTGTCAGAGATTCAAGTCCATGTCCGCCTCCAGATCAATGTGATTGATTGAATTGCCGGCGCTATTGAAGATCTGATTATCGGCATTGCTGTTCTCAGCGGTTCCACTTACGTCTCCGCTGCGCTTCGATTTACCTAACAGCCAGCAAGAGAATACTTTGACCAAATTTCGCACATTAATATAACGATGATGGCGTTGTCGTTGTAAATGAGCAAGGAAATCAAAAGGAAAGGAAAATCATAACGAGACACCTGGCTACGAATACAAACCGTTCAAGCGATACATACAAAATCCTTTAGTGTTAGCAATCAGAGAATTATTAACTGGCTGAAACTAAAACCTGAGCTGTTCCTCCGACTGGAGTTTTAGGTCTGGGATGTCAAGTGTGCTGGGATGTGGAGCAGATAATTCTGTAAGAGTAGGAACACTTACCACCAGTGAAGCACAGACAGCCCTCGTCATCGCTCGGTGACTCGCGCCTCGAGCTTTTTAATTTTAACTCCTTGTTCAACTCGTTCAGACAGCGCTGATAGTAGTCATAGTCCTTAAGATACCAAACTGGAGGCCAGCGGTGTTCGCGCAAGTACTCCTGATTATCTTGGTGCAGCGCCTTCAGGCCCTTGAGGGAGAACTTACAAATAAGGTTGTAATTGACGCACAGGTACGACATGCACCACTCGGCTAACTGATGTGCGTTGTGCAGCTGTGGAGAAAAATGATTGAATTAGAATAGAAATACAATTCAACTTAACGTATGTACCTTTACTGGTTCCAGTAACTTCAGACAATGATCCACCGTTTCATTGGTTTCGTCCTGGGAAATTAGAGTGAGATCTTCGATAACGCGGCACTCAACAAGGTTGAGCAGTCGCGGCAGGCAGAGTCGGTTGGCCAGCTCCAGTAGATTGAGGCACTTGACGGCCGAGATTGGCGGAATCTGGTCAGTATAAAGGTAGCACAGTAGCTTGTGGAATGTGTAAATTGTAACGCCAGGGAAAACGATCTAAGGCAACGACGTTCCAAGTTAATATTAAAGGACATAAGTAGTGTGTGACATTGCCTACCACATTGGAATGCGCCTCGCGAAAGTCGCCCAGCAACATTGCGCGCATGACATCACAACGACCAACTAAGACAGCTCGGTGTGCCTGCAATTCATAAGGAGTAATTTGCATTGCTTGCTTTTAATGGTTTTTAAAAAAAACATACCTTCATTAAACCATCATCCAACTCGAAGGTGACATCGCTGAAGCAACCGTCACCAATGCAATGGCGTTCCATGCTTTCTTTGATGCGCTAAAATAAAAAGGAGGCCCATAATTAACGTGTACTTAATGCTTATTGGCATTTCTTACAAGACAAATGTGCGGATTGGGCTCATCGCTGGAGTTTTCCATAACAGTCTGAGGCCTGGAAAGTAGCTGAGTCAGTTGCGGCAGTTCTAAAAGATCGGCAGCTTCTCTAATTTCCTACAAGCACAAAACATGAATGGTTAAAATTTTTATAAAATATTTGTTCTATCCCAATAAACCTACCTGCAGATTATTGCAATCTTTGTCAATGGTGCCGGTGTATATAAATCTCAGGCACTGATGCAGAGCTTGCGGAGAGATGAGTTTGCTGAGGGTGACAATCGTCTGAAGACCGTTCACACCCCGTTGATTCTCCACGTGCACCAGGCGAATGCTCTGCAATACCGGATGATGCAGCTCCTTGTACAAATCGTTGGACCGCTTGGATTCCATTAGAGGTAACGCCTGATAGCTTGAGCGGCGCTTCAAGTGTTCCCACATGCTGTAAAACACAAAACAACATTAGAATAAAAATGAGCAAATATTGAACCTAAACTTACCGTTGTGTGCGTGATTCGTAGCGAATCAACGACTCAGTGTCGTCGTTGAAGTCCGCGATGGTGGCCTCCCCGAATGTGGAGCTGACCATGCTAGACTCGCTGCTGCTCCGCCCGCCCATGTCGGTCAGCTCCGTGCTCAGCAGGCGCTGGAAGATACTGGACGCGGCGGCCAGCATGAATCTGTGCACGGCGAACTTGGTGCCACCCGCCCCGACCAATACGAGGTCGGTGTAGGCCTGCGACAGGAACATGTTGTAGATGTCCTGCCGATAATTACCGACCATGACCGTGACCTCCGGTGGTGGCGGTTTTGGTGGCCTGAAAGGCGCCTGCAGCAGCGGCTTCTGTACCTTCTTCAGGTTCGTCATCCAAAATCGCTGCTGCCGGCGCGCAATCAATGCGGATCGGATGGCGTTTTCAAAGACCTCGTTCACCCCGAAATAGGTGAACACGCTCGTCTCGTAGTAGGCTACTCCAAGCTCCTTGGCCACCGCACGGGCTTCATCCGGCATAACCAGGTCACTCTTCAATGCAGCTCTGTAAAAAGTATTAGGGTCGATTTGTGTTTGGAAATTCAAAACGAAAAGGTTTGGCCAGTTTTTATCTTTAGTTAACGTTTACTTAAACTGTTTATTTGTGTGTTTTCTTTAAACTTTGTTTTAGAAACTGTGAGTGAATCAGTTCGATTTAATTGAACCAGCCCTTTTACAGGTTCTCATAGCTATAAATAAATTCCCACATACAGCAATCAATTTATAGAAAGACCCTCAAGACTTTTTCATTTGAAAGCGAAAACTTAGAGAAAACCAGCTGAATCCTGTTAGCGAAACATACCGAACAAAAGTTCCCTTTTCGCCAAAATATGAGAGATAGTTCTCATCGCGGTACATGTATCGCAGGTCGTTTTTGCAGCCAACTAGAATGACGGGTACATCCGGACAAAAGCGGCGAATTTCCGGATACCACATCATCTTGCAGTTGCGCAGGGAAATCGGACTGGCAATGGAAAAGCACAGCAGCACCACATCGGATCTGTGGGTCAAGGAGAACAATATAATTTATTGTAACAAAGGCCTTTAAGTGATTACGAACCTGCCATAGGCGAAACGGCGATCCTTGTCGTGGTCACCAAAAGTATCCCATAGACGAAGTGAGACATTCACTCCGTCCACCACCTCCCACGATCGCTCGAGAACCTTTAAATTGGAAACAGAGCAGATGTCAATTGGATACTTTAGAGCACATGGACTGTAAACCCACATCTTTGTATATGCGATACTGATCGATGGCCCACACAGTCGGCACATGTGTGGAAAGTAGCTGGGAAAGCGAGACGTGTTTGTTGCAGGCTCTCGCGCAGATCAACCGCGTCTTGCCCACCGCCGTGTCGCCAACCAGGACGCACTTCACCAACTCTTGATGCGGCTGCTCGTTGTCCATTTTGGGCATGCACTACGAGTACTTAATGGAATCTGAAATTAAATCGATTTTTTTATTGCGACAGAGATTGGGAAATATTTTTATTGTTAAAAATATTTAACTTAAATCTTCCTAGTAAATTTAAATTTAGAGATATTTATTTTCAAGGTTTCTAAACTTCAGTTCACACTCTCTTCATATAATAATAAACTACGTAACCGCTTCAATCTTCTAAGTTTCTGTAAAGTCTATCACCGATGCTAAATTCTTATCTAATAATCAACACGCTAATTAATTAATTCAACAATTTATGAAGCAAATCAACGTTTTTTGTGCAAAGAATTTCTATGTGCAGAGGGTTAGATTTTCATAGTCTGAAATATTAAGTTTCTCGAATGAATTGTTTGTAAATACGTTTACAGCAAGCCATAACTGATCTGCACTAATAGAAACATTGTTTACTCCGTAGAATTTTCTTTGTTTATGTTTACCAAGCATTTTATGAAACCAAATTGGCGGGGTCTCCATCTAAATTGTTATGGGAACTTTGGTATCATGTGTACATGTGTATGTTCCTAGAAATCAATTGGACCCAGTTATCACAGTCTATAAAATCACAACGCATTCATTGACCCCCATTCTACTTGTCACGGAGGAAGTTTAAGCCCGTTCATCAGATACGGAGCGATAAGCACTTTTGGTCACTAATTGAACTTAATTGGAACTGCACTAAAAATATCTGTCATCAATCCTCAAGCCACAATGAGAACGCTTCTTCCTGCGTGAAGCCCACGCTGCACGGGAATCCATTGTCCGATCATCTCGACGCGCTGCAGTCTATTTTCGGAAGCGCTTCGAGTCCAAAACAATAACAATACAATTGAAGATAAGTGACTTTACTACAGGAGTGTGGACATCCGAGATCTTCGCATTTTATTCAGTATTATTTATCGACGCACATAGAGGGACGTTAACCCTAAGAATCACACTGAATCGGCGCATTTATTGTTTCTGGTTAAAATAATGGTACATAGTTTTAAGTTTAAATTTAAATCAGTAGCTAATCCTAATTGATTTACGCATAAAAAATAACGAATGAACAAATTTCAATAAATAAATGTTTAAATAGAATTTTTCCAAATTCATAACGTCAAATTATTTATTATGTTTTGCACGTTAAATATTTCCATAACTTTTAATCTCTTATTCAGATTTTAGCGCATGAAAATTAAATTTATTTTTAGCCAGGATCTAAGTAATTCATCATGCGACTGTGAACTGGCCAAATAATTAGGCATTCCGGTCCGCGAGATTTATCGGAGCACTTCAGCATATTAGCATAATTAACATGTGCCCCATCATAATGGCAATCTTTGGCTTATTTTGCCATGTCTAATTGTCTGGGAAGTCTCCTTTTTCAATTTTGCCAGCTTATTGATTTTCTCGTGCCATTGCAAAACGGTCACAAACACCGTTACCAAAAACCATACACACATAAACACACACAAAGCACAGGGACTTTGAGAGGGGATCTTGAAGTTCCCCACTCTCCACTCCGGTAAACTTGGCCCATTTCTAGCCCATACAAAAAATCAAGAAAAATCGTTTAAATGAAAACTCATATTTTACCTTTGCGCAGCAGCCGACACTTGCACTTTTTAATACACACGAACAAACAAGTCTTTAGTAGGTAAACAATTTAATTAGAACTTAATTTGATTGCTGCTCGAATCGAAATGGATGGGTACCTAAATCTTACCTCTGGAAACGCCTGATGCCCCGGAATTATACGTATTTGCCTCAATGTTCTTTACTTTTGCGTATTGCACTTATCAACACGCACACCAAAGCACGGCATTTTACAACAATTTGCATTTATTTCTGCACCCACACACCGTTGGCGAAACGCAGATTGTGGCTCGCAAACACTTTTTACGGCTGGCGAAATGGCATCACTGCGATTTGTTTGCCTAGTGCGGCGGATTAGCAAGTGTTTGTTTTTTGCCAACAGCACTATCAATAAAACAATAAAATGCAGTTACAGCCCGCAATTCTTCTACGCGCTTTGACGGCAGCCGGCCAGTGTTTAACAACTGCGGCGGGTGGCCTCTCGGCGTTGCCAAATGACAGGAGAACGGGAATTCACGTTATTTTAACTTTTGTAACGAGTTTTTTGTGGTTCCGCGGATGTTGTTTTTAGGTACTTCACCTTTGAATTTGAAGTGAAAATGTAAGAAATTAATTGTATATTTACTTAATCAAACGTACAGTTTTTGGTAAATTGTAAATAAATAGTATGCTAAGATTTCATACACAATACACCGTTACTTAATATATTTGTGTAAAATAAAAATAAAAATTCGAGGACAAGCAAACAATAGTTTTAAAATCTCATATTAAAACACATACCATTCTGCCCACCAGAAAAAGCTTACAATTTGGGGGCCCCAACTGGCAGCCACAAAATAACTCAAGATATGGCAACTCTTGGAACTAGTTCCTCGTTGCAAAGTCTTGGCAACCCTGCTAACAGATGATTATTTGCTATTGTAGTTGTTGCGAAACGAGCAGAATTTAATTTTTAGGAGTAATCCGTCTTAAATTAATAAAACGCGGAAACCACCGGCAGTAAAACCTTCTTCGCCCACACCAAAAATTTCGAACGTACGGGCGTTACGTGAGGCCGGAGTTCCGTGGTTACTAGTATTTCAAAAACTCAATGTATCTTACGTGCAGAAAATCGATTTTTGCCATAACAGCGGTTTTTGGTCGACGGTTGGCACCAATAAATAACCTTTTCGCCATCGGACTCGACTAAATCGCACTTATTTCGCACAGGTCAAGTGCAGTGAGGACCAGCATTTCAGTATCACATCGATCGATCGGAACACTAAGCAAACCCAAAATGACGATTGCCGAGAGTTCGCAAAAGTCTGTAACCATAAAGCCCGAGAGCATGGAGCCGATTCTGAGGTAATTTGCAAAGTCATTTGTTAAAAATATTATCTAATCCCTATGAGTTGCGTTTTAAGGCTAAACAACATTGAAAAGTCGCTGCAAGACACGCGGGATTACCGAGGATTGCAACTGGAGAACGGCCTGAAAGTCCTGCTGATCAGCGATCCCAAGACAGATGTCTCAGCGGCAGCTTTGTCCGTGCAAGTGGGGTAAATATGACAAAAAGCTGTTATAAACGGCTCTACTAAACATAACTCTTGCAGACACATGTCCGACCCTACAAATCTGCCTGGATTGGCCCACTTCTGCGAGCACATGCTTTTCCTGGGCACTGAGAAGTATCCGCACGAAAATGGCTACACCACATACCTTTCACAGAGCGGTGGAAGCAGCAATGCAGCCACCTATCCCCTGATGACTAAGTACCACTTCCATGTGGCGCCAGATAAACTGGATGGAGCTCTGGATCGCTTTGCTCAGTTCTTCATTGCGCCCTTGTTTACGCCCAGTGCCACAGAGCGGGAAATCAATGCGGTACACATTACAAAATTGTTGCTGTCCCTTAAATTAAATTTTTTCACTTATTTTAGGTAAATTCGGAGCACGAGAAGAACCTGCCCAGCGACCTGTGGCGCATTAAACAGGTGAACCGTCACCTGGCAAAGCCGGATCATGCCTACAGCAAGTTCGGCAGCGGCAACAAAACCACGCTCTCGGAAATTCCCAAGTCCAAGAACATAGATGTGCGGGATGAGCTCCTCAAGTTCCACAAGAAATGGTACTCCGCCAACATAATGTGCCTGGCTGTTATTGGAAAAGGTTAGCTGAGCTTTTATAATGTCCATCAGTTATTAACAATAATCTTAAAGAATCGCTGGACGAACTGGAGGGCATGGTTTTGGAGAAGTTCTCCGAAATTGAAAACAAAAATGTCGAGGTCCCCGATTGGCCACGTCACCCCTACGCCGACGAGCGCTACGGACAAAAGGTTAAAATTGTGCCTATTAAAGACATCCGATCGCTGACGATAAGCTTTACTACAGACGATTTGACGCAGTTCTACAAGTCGGGCGTAAGTTAAAGGTACCACTGCGATGTGGCTACGGAAGTGTCTAGAGGATTTCCCGACAGGTTCCTCAGTAAATAGCCCACTAAACATATTGTTTACTTATAGCCCGACAACTATCTAACCCATCTCATTGGCCACGAGGGCAAGGGAAGCATTCTATCCGAACTGCGACGACTAGGCTGGTGCAATGAGTGAGTTCACCTTTATAAAATCTCGTTTTTCTTTTTGATAATCTTAACTTTTTGTAGTCTAATGGCCGGACATCAGAATACGCAAAACGGCTTTGGTTTCTTTGATATTGTGGTCGATCTGACACAGGAGGGATTGGAGCACGTCGATGACATTGTCAAAATCGTGTTTCAGTATCTGGGAATGCTCCGTGAAGAGGGACCCAAGAAATGGATCTTCGACGAGTGTGTAAAACTCAACGAAATGCGATTCCGGTTTAAGGAGAAGGAGCAGCCGGAGAACTTGGTCACGCACGCCGTTTCATCCATGCAGATATTCCCCCTTGAGGAGGTACTTATCGCTCCATACTTGAGTAACGAATGGCGGCCGGACCTGATCAAAAGCTTGCTGGATGAGCTAGTTCCTTCGAAGAGCCGCATAGTTATGGTGAGCCAGAGTTTTGAGCAGGATTGCAATCTAGCCGAGCCTTACTACAAAACAAAATACGGCGTGGAGCGCGTGGCCAAGGATACAGTGCAAGTAAGTCTGGAAATATCTGAAAGTTGCACAAAAAGTAACCATTTTGAATTAATTTTAGAAATGGGAGAACTGTGATCTTAACGAGAACCTGCGACTGGCACTGCCAAACAGCTTTATACCTACGAATTTCGACATTTCCGAGGTACCGAGCGATGCCCCCAAACATCCCACAATCATTTTGGATACCCCTATTTTGAGGGTGTGGCATAAGCAGGACAATCAGTTTAATAAACCGAAGGCGTGCATGACCTTCGACATGTCCAATCCGATTGCATACCTGGATCCCCTGAACTGCAATCTTAACCATATGATGGTTATGCTACTAAAGGATCAGCTAAACGAGTACTTGTACGATGCGGAACTAGCCAGTTTGAAGCTAAGCGTTATGGGAAAGACCTGCGGCATCGATGTGAGTCTGCTAGAATCCTCGTAGTTGAAGTTCTTTAATGACAACATTTGCATACTTGCAGTTTACCATTCGTGGTTTCAGTGATAAACAGGTTGTGCTGCTTGAAAAGCTTTTAGACCACCTGTTTGACTTCTCCATCGATGAGAAACGATTTGACATCCTGAAGGAGGAGTACGTACGTTCACTGAAAAACTTTAAGGCTGAGCAACCCTACCAGCATTCCATCTACTATTTAGCTCTGTTGTTAACTGAAAATGCCTGGGCGAATGTGGAGCTCTTAGACGCTATGGAACGTAAGCATAAAATACAATTCCAGCTCACAGTTTAAATGATAACTATTTTTCTTTAAAGTCGTTACCTACGATAGAGTGTTGAATTTTGCCAAGGAGTTCTTTCAACGACTGCACACTGAGTGCTTTATTTTTGGCAACGTGACCAAGCAACAGGCTACTGACATCGCAGGTCGAGTCAACACGCGACTGGAGGCTACTAATGCATCGAAGCTTCCCATTTTAGCAAGGCAAATGCTAAAGAAGCGGGAGTACAAGCTGCTTGCAGGTAAAAAACCAAAGATCTACTCCTAATTACCCTTTTTCTTATATTAAATATTATTTCTTTAAAGGCGACAGCTACTTATTTGAGAAAGAGAACGAGTTTCACAAGAGCTCTTGCACCCAGCTTTATTTGCAGTGCGGCGCACAAACGGATCACACAAACATAATGGTCAACCTGGTTTCCCAGGTACTTTCCGAACCTTGTTACGATTGTCTGCGTACAAAAGAGCAGCTTGGCTACATTGTGTTTAGTGGAGTGCGTAAGGTGAACGGAGCCAACGGCATTCGTATCATCGTGCAGTCAGCGAAGCATCCGTCCTTTGTAGAGGATCGAATTGAGAACTTTTTACAAACGTATCTGGTAATAAACAATCAAGACTGCTGGCAATCAGTTCGTTAACTCAGTGCTTACATTTTTAGCAAGTAATTGAGGATATGCCCTTGGACGAGTTCGAGCGACACAAGGAGGCTTTGGCCGTTAAGAAGCTGGAAAAACCCAAGACCATATTCCAGCAGTTCAGCCAGTTTTATGGCGAAATAGCAATGCAGACGTATCACTTTGAAAGAGAAGAGGCTGAGGTGGCCATACTAAGAAAGATAAGCAAGGCCGATTTTGTGGACTACTTCAAGGTTAGATAATAAAGTGCCATATCACAAAGCACTCCTAAACCCCCTTCTTTTTTGCAGAAATTCATTGCTAAGGATGGCGATGAGCGACGTGTGCTGTCCGTTCACATTGTGTCCCAGCAAACCGACGAGAATGCCGTGACCGATGCGGAACCAGTGGAGGTCACAAACATGGACCGCCACAAACCGATCAGCGATATTGTTACATTCAAGTCGTGCAAGGAATTGTACCCCATCGCACTGCCATTCCTGGACATCAAAGCGAAGGGAGCACGCAGCAAGCTGTAAATTGGAAATCGAGATACGGAATTCTTTTTAATTAGCACATGGTTATGGTCTCTCTTTGTTTTAATTGCCCAACCGGATACAAACGTTGTTTTGTCACTCACAAATATAAAAGAATCTGTATCAAGAGAGCATTCTGCTTAATGTACGTGCTGCCCAGAAGAACGCTGTTCGGAATGGAGAAGCCCATGTCCAGCTTGTTTAGCGTCTGCGAACTGAGGTCCTGTGTCCTTCGGTGGATGTGATTTTGATCCAATATGGAAATCTTATGCTTCAGTGGCACATCTTCGGCCCACTTGGCATTCTGAAAGATTCCGTCCATTTCTAGTAAAACGTTGTTGCTTTGTCCAGGTTTTGAGTGCGGATTGAAGACGCCATGGCCCAGTTGCAAGTTCAACAGCTCGCGATTCATGTGATGAAAGGTGCATTTCAGTTGCAAGGATTTTCCTGATTAAAAAAATGGTTGTATAGTGATCTTCCAGTTGCACGAAATTATCTTACCTTTAAAGGTAAATATTGGGCTGCTGAGGGTGGCCAATTTGGGCGCTTTGATCAGATCCGTAACGTTTTCCATCTTCCAGTAGTATGTGAATAACTTGACATCCTGATCGGCCAGCACGGTATTATTGAACTTATCTACTTCTTCTTCTCGAGCTCCTGAATCTGAGTTACCATTCGTCTCCAGATTCTTTAAAGTGGGAGTTTTCTTCGAACCAAAATCCGAATCCACTTCATTTTCTTCAGGTTTAAGATTAGTAGTTGGGTCTATTGGTTTTAAGAATGGCGACGGAGGTGGAGTTGTGGGCTTAGTCAATGGAAAAGGAGTTGGCGCTACTGTTGGAAAAGCGGTATTCACTTTAAGGCCATTTGCCTTTGCCAAATGGATCAAAATCAATTTCATGACACGAAGCTCTTCGTAAAGTTTGTTCTCCAGATTCCGAAATGCCAAGTTCATTTCATCTGTGCACAAATTAAAATAGATTTAATGATCAAAAGTGGAAGGAATGGGTTAACCCACCTGATCCACAAACTCCTTTAAGGGTTTTTGTGGTGACTGCCTCGGCGGAGGCCTTTACTTCACCCGCAGTCACCGTGCAAACAGCTTTCTGAACTTCACTTGGTAATTTTGGCACCCTTTCACTTTCCGGAGGATTGCTGGTGATGTTAGAAAGTCCTCCACCGGTTTCCTCCTCTAATGCCATAGCCGTGGAAAACAAAGTAAGGCAGATAATCCATCTCATTGACCTCTTATCCATTACGTTTATTCACTTAAACAATAAACAATAAACGGCTGCCGAGAGATGTTTTTTATTGGAACACCCAAACGGAACTGTCGGTCGCTTTATCGTATTTTGAGAAATTGGCAAAGACTGAGTATTTGGGGGAGCACCACCTTGAGCCGCTTGTTCACGTGGATTTATTGCTCGCCGAGCAGTGTCTCTTGTCTTCTGGTGCGTGGAACTACTTTTAGAATGGGACCCTCCCACCGAACTCTAAAAATAGTGGACATTTCTTGAACGTTTCTCGAGTATGAACTATGAATGAATGAAACACATTCGCACAATGTTGTGTTCTTCTTTAAAATCCAATTTATTCTCTTCGTTGTGACTGAAACATGTATTTTTGTTTTTGTGAAAACTTGCAATTTTGAATACTTGCTTATAAATATATATATTTTATAACCGCTATGTACAAATTTAAAAATTTTTTAAAATGCAAAAAAAAAGTTTAATTGAAGTGAATACTTTTTTTTTTCATTTTATTCTTCCACGTGATAATTATTATAAATTTGTTTGCTTATTGGTTGTGATATATATTTTTTTTTTAACTAATTGATTCTGACAAATTTAAATATGTTATTGACTTAAATTCTTTATTATATCTAACCAGTATAACCTTTTAACCCATGGAGAAAAAGGACAATCGGAAGGCCATTTCAACAATGTTTTGGGGGACATCGGATCGATGGCAGACGTAGACCTCCTTGGCTGGCGATTGAAACAGGCGGCCGACAACCACAAAGCGACTGCTCCTCGAGGATTGGCTTTGACCCTCCGACTTGGATGGTGAGCTGACCTCCAGGGTCATGCCATGCTCCTTGACCAGCGAAACTGCATGACTGCTCTGGCCATTCGAAGCATTCTGCGATCTTGTGGCTTCCGTGAGCTGCCTTCGATAATGTTTCGATTTTTCCAGCACAGCGTGGATTATGTGGCAAGCCTGGCGAATCTCCGACAGAAATGATGCGCTGTCGGAACTCTCGGTGAATGGAGCAAACAGCGATCCATTTGCTATGTCAATATAAACGTAGTGCAGCACGGAATTCTTCCAGCCGGCGGAAATCTTCACGGGCACCACATTATTGATCTCCTTCCACATGGACTCGGTCATCTGGCTTTGATTGTGGCTCTCGGCACCCAAATTCAGGCCATAATGCAGGGGATGCTGCACGGCAAAGTTCTCCCAATCGGAACCGCTGTCCGAATCCTCGCCAGCGCCATGGATCGGGGTCAGTCGCCTGCGGGAGGAGTCATCTTCGCTGGGAGTTAGACTGTGTATCGAGGATCCTCCCAGCGAGGAGCACAATTGAGCCTCCTCCTCCACGGAAGGACTCAAAACAGTTAGTTTCTGCTTGAGGAAGGACTCCAGCCGGTTGTTGGGCTCCTTCTCCTGCTGATCCCGGTTCTCGCCAGCCGTGGCCTCCAGCACCTCGGGTCTCTTGTTGGAAACGGACCAGAACATGGCCAGCGATTCGATGCCGCATTGCACCAGGTGATCGAGGGTTTCCTGTATCTCCTCGATGTAGAACAGCGAAGGACTCACCACGGCATCGGGTGCCATGTCCGGAGCATCGAAGATCTTCAGGATGACTGCCAGGCTCAAGTGGTTCCTGGTGCAGATGGTTAGAAAGTAGCGGCCAGTGGCACTGGGCAATATGATCTCCTCCCAGATGTACATCTCGCGCACTCTGATTCCCGGAGCAGCTCCCAGCAACTCGAAGATCCCACGGCAGCGCAGGAAACCCTCCACACTGACCCTTACTTCCGGCGGAAGTAGACTGGCCACCAGGAACCCGTCGTAGTACAAGGCACTTCCGTAAATGAAGAACTCGCGATGGGTGGTCAGTGGCTCATCGTTCCAATTGCGATAGTCCATGGCCTCCATTTCACTCAGGGCATCAAAGATTCTCAGCTGAGCTTCCTTGGGCAGTGGTAAGCTGCGGGATTGTCCAAGAAGCTCCTCGAAACGGATGTGACCACGGCATCTGGCCAGCAGGCGAGTCCTCTGAATCTCACAAAAGTGTCGCAGAAAGAGCTTCAATGTGGAAGTGTTTCCCTGTTCCCCATCCTGATTGAAGCTCTCCAGGACCAAACCGGGCAGGGAAAATCTTATGTATCCAATAAGCTCGTCCGATCGCAGGCTGCACTCCGCTGCACTGCAAAGTCCGCCGGCGTAGGCGAAAAGAACCAGGAAGCCATTCAGTCGGCGGTAATTAACATGATACTGCACTTCATCCACGGAAAGTCGGGAACTCAAAGGTTGCGTTTGCAATTCGCTGAGAACCGCATGCAGAGTTAAAAAACTGCCGCGAGCCTTGAAAAGGAAGTTGTCCGGGGTCTCGGGATAATAGTATAGGGAGTCCTGCTGCTGTTCATGTTGATAGCACTCCGGTGGCAGAAGCAACATGGCAAACGGAAGGCTTATATCCTGCGAATTTCCGGTATTTCCTCCACTGATCAGCATTTGCTCAAACTTCTCCGTAAACATGGCAAAGTTCTCCACCTTGCAGACCTGCTCCTCCTGCAGGCTTTGATTGTAGCCAGGATCTGTGGGGGAAACGGCTGCAGCTGAGCCACAGGATTGGAAGCCCAAACACACCTGAGTGGGTTCCACAAACTGCTGCAGCAACTCGTCCACATTGCTGGCATACAACTCAATGCCATTGAGTGATCTGAACCAATCGCCCCGCTTGATGCCGTGTTGCAGGGCACTCAGATCGTGGACGAAACCATCGACCATCAGACACTCCGGTTGATCCGGAAAGGGCAAGACCCGGAAGCCCAGAATGGATTCCACTGCCGTGGATCTTCGGCCGAAACGAAACCGATCCGCGGCTGTGATCACCAGATCCAGTTTCTTGGGATCGGGGGCACTTGTCTTGAACTGTGAGAATCGGAACTCTTGCTGCTCCGCCTGGGAATCCAACTGGTTTTGGTTCTGACTCTGACTCTGATTCTGATTGTTTCCATGAGACTGGCGACGCGACGATTTCTTTCCCAGGCGCAACGATCGCCGCATGAAATCCACCCGTCGCTCCGCCGAGCCAGCAGTCTTTTCATTTTTCACATACTCCATGTAGAAGAGACTGCCATCGGTGGCCACGTACTCCTCCCAGTTGGCCAGATCGCTGCCATCGCTGTAGGAGTTGCTCAGCGAGGAGTTGGAACTCGAGAAGGCCTCGGAGGCCAAACTGCCCGGCGATTTGCGCATTGTACACCGGGTTTTAAAGGGTCACTTATCTCGGGATGCAATCGAACACAATCCCCAGATATTAACTCCGCTTTAATCCGCCGCACAAAACCACCTCGATTCAGCTCTGAATGTCGACTGACCGACCGAGATCCCATCTCAGCACTCAAAACCTGTTTCTCCTCGGTGGATTCCCCTGCCACTCCACTCAAATTCCAGCGGGAAACGTTCCACTCTCTTTTTCGATCTCGTTCTCCGTTTGTCAGGGGAAACTCAAAACAAAGCATGGGTTTTGTGTTAGTTATCCGACGGATAGTTGAAATTACTGGGATAATTTATAATAATATGTACCTGAACACCTTGAGTATTGAGTAATATTGCCTGAAATTCTGTAAAGAAATCTTCAAAATATAAAAAGACTTAGAAATGCTCATTATAATATTGGTAGAAATTGACACTCTGACATTAAAAATGTAAACAATTTATAACATTTATGACTATTTAATAAAATACAACAACAATTTTAATATTATTTTCTTCAATATTCCATTTCATTTCAGATATTAAAAAATCTTTAAGAAATATAAATAGAATATAACTCAAAGATTAAATAGACCAAACTGTTTTTGCTGCAAGCAAGTATTAAAGACTTGTTGGACTTAAAAGCAACATTGACTAGTCATTGAAAGGATAATGTTATCAGTATTAGATTAGCTTAATCTAGATTTCCCAAGGCGAAGTTCATGAGAACTTGATTTTACACTGATAATTTGGTATAATGTATTAACAAAGCTCTATCTTCCTAGCTTCCAATTATCTTACCATATTTGTATGGGCAATAACCGATACCTTTTATCATTATTAAGGCGGAATCATTGTGTGGACATTTGTTTGAAGCAAATTGCCTAAGTGGTAAGCTTTTCCTATCGCCGATCAATTGATAATTCAGGATTTTTCAACCGGTTTCTTATCAAATTTGACGATTACCGTAAATCAAGGCTTTTCTATCTACAAACATTCCCAGGTGCTCAAGTGGGTTTAAAAGGTGTTCCACTCAAATTTATGTGTCGGTTAAAAACAAACCGTATCGTTTGCGGGGTTGATCCAGAGAACCGATCCCAGTGAAGTGTGCGCCTATAATCACCATTTCGCGACGACCAGATAATTATCCGATAAGAAATTATTGCGTAGGTGGGAAGCATACTGCCACCGAAATAGCGATTCGCTGATAGTCCCGGGCCATTCATGGGAAGATATTGCCAAAATTGATAAGCCATATCATGGCAGAATTAGCCGCACATATGTCTCGCTGCTACCAATTATTCCGGCTGACCAATAGACCTGGCTAATTCGTGCCAGTCTTTTTCGGGAATCCAAAGCGTGTGCTTCGCTTAATCGGGCCGATAAACGGCGACAATGTTTTGAAAAAATCTCGGAATTACCGGAGTGGTTGAAAGTCATTTGAGATTTATACCAGTGACTATTCAATTTAAATAGCAGGCCATAATCTGCGAGATTGTGAAATCAAACCAGTGCCAAATACGATTTATAACCACTCCTTGCAAACCATTTAAGTGCGCAGTTGACTGAAAATGTCCCCAAAATATATATTGAATGTGATTCTATTAGTGTCCCTGCTATTGGGAAATGTTAAAGCTATATCTTCGGAGCTTATAACAGATCCGGACTCAACGACATCATCCAGTGAGGAGGCGGCTGAAGTCAGCGTTTTGAATAGCAATCTAAAATCACGCATGTTGAATTACGAATCGGTTGACGGCAATACCTGTCTTTTGGATATTATTAAGGACGAGGTGATATGGTGGCTAAATCCCAATGGGACCTTAAAGGAAGGCACAAAAAAATTAGGTAAGCTTTTCTAAACGTTCCAATAAAAATCGGTTTAATTGCAAACATTGTAAACAGCAATCTGAGTAATATATTCTTACGCTTCCGGCAATTGAAATCTACTGCCGATAAAAGCTTTTCAGTGTTTAGTTAAGCCGACTTAATCGCTAAGAGTTATTGTATTTGTTATCACTAAAAGCTTTGTTTAACGTGGGAAATTAAGGGGGTATAGTTTACAAATGTATTTGCCATTATCAGGGTCCAAGCTTAAATAGATCTTTTTGAAGAGATATAGCCAGTGCGGTTTGTCTTTTATAGGAAAATACGGGGAAGATGTTTTCGAACATAAAAAAATTCTAAATTCTCCAATTTAATCTACATATAGTACAAACCAGAAAAATAAATAATAAATCAAATTATATTTTTATGCCTATTTGAAGCACACAAAATGTATTTGGATCTATCGCATGGCGACCTTAAAGAGGACATTGAATTGTTGCATGAGGCGAAATCGGCAAGGAAATTCATTATATGGAGGATAGAAGTCTTCTCGGCTGCATATAATACCCTAACTGCTGTTCCTTACAAGACCCTTAACTCTATGAGGGAGTCCCTAAAGTTTTTATCGCTACGAGGAAACAATTTCGCCGACCTTATTCCAGATGTCGAAGGTAGGTTTATTGTATTGCTACTAAGTAACATATAATATAGTTTTGGAAAAAACCCGAAATGCAATGTCTTACAAATGCTAATAGATAGATATCCTTTCAGCCTTTGGGCGGTTCTTAAACGAAACCCTACTGGAAACAAGTAACACTACACAAAACAAATGCGAATCACTTTTCGCACAAAATGCCACCGATCTATTCGATCGGGAGTGCTCCATTTACTTTAAAAACAACACAACATCGGCACACAAACACACATCGGGTATAAATTATACGGACTATATTCGAGTATTAAAAGATCGCTATGATCAACTTGGAAAGACATGTAAGATCACAGCTTAAACACAATTACACACAAATTCTCATCATTTAAGTGGAGTAACATAAGTCTACTATGACTAACGTTAAGTCTATAACGAATTTATCAAAAAGTCATGAAGGCACTCGTCTATAGAATTCTATCTTTTTTATGAGTGTCAATATAGACAAAATTAATCAAAGATTATTTTGTTGTAACTTTTACCTATATACTTATACTATGGGTTTTTATTAAAGGCTTCATGGCATTATATCCCTAAACATCATATTGAAATAGTTGTAATTTTATTATTATATTATTTCTTTGTTTTCCATAGCTCAATCTATAGAATGGGCGAGATTCCCGAAACTGCCTCGACTTTCGGAGCTGGACATCAGCAACTGCAGCATAGAGTATGTGAGCAAGGATGCGTTCCGGAATATAAGCAATCTGCGACGGCTCTTCATGTCGGACAACAAGATAATGACTCTGAACCACGATACATTCTACCACATACAAGGATTGCAGTATTTGGACCTATCCTTCACCAACTTCTTGACCTACAGTTACCAACTTCAGCTGCCCACTTTGGAAATGGCTTTGAGTTTGATCTATGGACTGAAGATCCAGCAAAATGTATTCAAATATCTACCAGAATTGATTTACTTGGACTTATCCCATTCGAAGATGACCCGCAATAGTGCGGTGGCCTTTGCCCATCTGAGTGATAAGTTGAAGTTCCTGAGTCTTTGTTACACCTCAATCCCAATGGTCAGCAGTACGATCTTCAAGAATACGGTTCTTGAAGGTCTGGATCTATCGGGTAATCCCTATCTATCCTACAACATTATCGATGATGCCTTTGACGGAATCGCGGATACGCTTAAGTATTTATTTTTCGAGCGTTCCAACCTCAAGGATTTTGAGTGGTCCAAATCGTTGAAAAATCTTCAAATTTTGGGTCTCGCGGGTAATAATATAAATGCTCTGTCTCCGACAATGTTTCAATCCCTGGAGTCTTTGGAGATTCTGGACTTAAGCTCGAACCATGTGGGCAATTGGTACCGCAGTGCTTTTCACAATAACTCCGCCTTGAGAGTTTTGAACCTTCGAAGTAATACCATCAACATGTTGTCCAACGAAATGCTCAAGGACTTTGAGAGATTGGATTATTTGAGTCTGGGCGAAAATGATTTCATTTGTGACTGTCATTTAAGAGAAGTTGTAGAGGTGGCGGCCTCAAATAACAAGGATGCTGATTGCTCTTACAATCTGCTGAACTACAGCCAGAAATCGATGGAGCAGGAACTTCTCTCGGCTGCAAATACACTGAATATAGATCGTAAGCTCTGGCAGAGTCGCTATATTCCCTGGTTAAATAAGAGTTACTCCAACATTAAGGAATTCAATCGAGTGAATCATATCATCAAAATGAGATTCCTTTCCGAGAACTTCAAGGCCTCCAAGTGTATTACTGCAACGCAATACCGAATGGAGGATTCGGACGTAGATTTCACCCTCAAGTTTCAACTTCTTGACTACGAAGCCAGCCAGTATTATTGCTTTAATAATACCGACCTACTTCAAGTGGACGAACTCAATTGCCAGATGCGATCGATGACTAATTTTACAGAGCAGTTGCATCGTGTAACCAATACAGTGATTGCAGTAATTGGCTCTATTCTTGGAGTTTGCATCCTGGGATTTATTATCTACCTGAAGCGTTGGCACATCCACTACTATTACTCATCCTTGAAGTCGGCAGCCTTATTGTCCAGTGCATCGAAGGAGTCGGCGGATAATTTCACCCATATATCTAAAAGAGATCCCAGTGCTGTGTACGATATTTTTATAAGCTACTGCCAAAACGATCGACCCTGGGTTCTCAACGAACTCTTGCCGAATGTAGAGGAAACTGGGGATATATCTATTTGCCTACATGAACGAGATTTTCAGGTAAATCAATTGAAAATCATAAATTTATTAAAATTTGATACGTTTCAAACCCTTCAACTTTTAACTTAGAATTTTGTTATTTAATAACATTTGTTCAATAATTATGACTTTTTCTGTTTAATCTGTAGATCGGAGTAACTATTCTGGATAACATAGTCTCTTGCATGGATCGTTCGTACGCCCTAATGCTAATTATATCATCAAAATTCCTTCTTAGTCACTGGTGTCAGTTCGAAATGTATTTGGCACAGCATCGGTAAGGAAATTAATACAAACAAATTAAAAAATTAGCTGTAACATTTTCACCCGTCAGCATCTTTGAGGTCAGCAAGGAGCATTTAATCCTGGTCTTCCTGGAAGACATTCCCCGAAGAAAGCGACCAAAAACTCTGCAATATCTGATGGATGTGAAAACTTATATTAAATGGCCAACTGGAAAAGGTGACGCAGTTCCTAAGTTGGAGGAGCGGAAACTATTTTGGAAGCGCTTAAGAAGAACCCTTGAAGCCATTGGTATTAGTTCCAAAGAGATTAATGTTTAAAAATTAGTAAGCATACTATCATTTTATTGTGGAGTTCTAGTCAGTTTTGCAAGTACCTGAAAATCCATCTTTATGAAAATAAATTTTCCAAAAATGTAATAGTAGATTATTCTAGGTTCTAAGAAATATTTCTATAAAAATATAATTTTAATGAACTTGAGCAAACCAAAAACAAAGAAGTTAATTTCTAAATGCAAATATATAAAAAAAGGATATAGTTAACATGTCTTTTTATTGGGGAAATGGTAAGAATTTAATAATTCCATGACAAATGCCTGAAATTCAAATAAAAATGAAATGATAGAAAACCTTATACTAATGCCGATACATTAAATTGATATGTAGACTAATTGACTGAATGAAAATATTCATGAAATCTGGATATATGAATAATAATTCTTGTAGAATTTAAAGGTCTCTATTTATTTTTCATTCAAAAACTAACGAGCTTTTTTAAATCGTCACCTATCGATAAGAATTTGCAGAAAAATCGCCCGTCGATAATAAACAGCTGATCAATTCTATCAGTATTTGCGCGCCAAAACAACAAAATCGTCACGAAATAGGTTGAAATCTGCTCTATCATAACACCATGGAATTCCGCCTTAAGAAACGTCCCCGTGTCGAGGTGAAAGTGGAGGTGGTCAGCTTGGAGACCAAGTATCCGCACAATGTGATGATGTACCACTACCCACCCACGGACGACGTGCACATCGAGGAGTTTGAGGAGCTGGCTCTGGAGCGTCTGCGCCTCCTTCGTGTCCTAGATCGCGCGAGCACCAGAAATCTGCGCATGCTATCCGACGAATGGAAGGAGTACGTGAATGCGGAATTGACCCGCGAAGGATTGCGGAGCTACTTGAGGCTCTGCACCGCCGGCGGAGCCACCAAACACGAGTCGGATATCCAAACTCGTCGGAGGGATTACCTCTCCCACTTCATACTCCGACTTGCCTACTGCCGTTCCGAAGATCTCACGCGCTGGTTCGTGGCCCGCGAAATGGATCTCTTTCGGTACAAGTTCGCCGCACTCAGCAGCGCTGAGGTGAAGCAATTTTTGGAGGCCAACAATTTTGAGATCCATCCCCTAACAGAGGCGCAAAAGGACGAGGTCAAGGATGGCCTGTATGAAAGTACTGCCGGCCAAAGTGTGGCCAAGATCGAGCTGTTGGACTTCTACAAAGTGCCCTTCACTCAGGTGTTGGATTTGGTGCGCGGACGTCGTTGCTATTTAAAGGCAGGTTTTGCCTATGTCAACACTCATGATCTGGTCTCCATAGTAGGCACTCGGCAGCAGGACGAGATTGAACAGGGTCTACAGGCCGCCAAAGGTCTGGTGGAGGAGGTTGAAGGCGATGAGCGCATTTCCCGCCTGCTGAAAGCCCTGCACAACTCGTACACCGGCAAGGATTACACCGTCTGCCGGGATGCGGCTGTGCCCATTGAGTCTCTCGATCAGCTTTCCAAGACCTCCATGCCGATTTGCATGCGCATGTGCCACGAGCACATTCGCGCCCAACATCACATCAAGCATGGCGGCAGAATGCAGTATGGTTTGTTCCTGAAGGGCATTGGCGTGACACTAGAAGATTCCTTGCGCTTCTGGCGCGAGGAGTTCACTAAGAAAATTGATGCGGAAAAGTTTGCGAAAACCTACGAGTACAACATACACCACAACTACGGCAAGAAGGGCTCCATGGTAAACTACACACCCTACTCCTGTGCGAAGATCATCAAGGAAATGGCGGCGCCGGGCGATTGCCACGGCTGTCCCTATAAGTTCATGGATTCGGGCTCACTGAAAACGAAACTAACCTCCTACGGACTCTCCGCTAGTGCCATCGAGGAGGTGATGTTCTTCGTGTCCCGCGGCCACTATCAGATCGCCTGTGGAAAGTACTTCCAGCTTACACACAACGCCAACGTGGAGCCGTCCATCAACCACCCGAACAATTACTTCGAAGAGAGCCAGATATTAATGGGCAATCGGCAAAAACGCACCAACGGTCCCGCTGCGCCCAAGTCAAGGATGCGTCCGGATATCAAGGGATGCGGCGATCGCTCCATGCTGATGGGCGACGACGACGACGAGTTGTGGCGAATCGCCGAGACCCAAGAGCGCGTCATACAGAGCCAAAAAGAAATATCAGATGCCTTTAATGATGACCTGGATCTTACGCAAATTGATTATTGAAAGTACAAATGAAAATAGGTTAGACGTATAGTTAAGTTCGATAAAATAATAATATACTTCACATACGATATAAACAGACGTTATTAATATCAGCAGCATATTAGCAAACTACCTAAATTAATCTTCATATAATTCTACCATTTTCTGATAGTCGTGATTTTTTGAACATATTTATATAATTTATGTACTATCAGGGCTTATATTTTCTTGGTAGAGTTTCTAAAATCAAGTCTGACACAGATAGCAAGTTCTTAGCCTAGGATCGATGTTATTTTTTGAGTTTCGCCCATAAGGTGGCCAACCATTGACATCTACGTAGTACATGCCTCTAGCTTGGGGATCAATTTTATAGCCCATCGGGGAAACAATTTCCGAAGAGCAGTCCCTCCTTCGAAGCTTGTCCCAAGAAGCGCATTTGTTCCCCATAAAGTTCTTCTCCTGCTGAGGATATGCACTCTCTGCGAAATATTCCACCGCTCGCGTATGGGAACAGCCAATGGTTAAACAGCCTGGTTGGATAGGATTTGCTCCGCCAGGATAGAAATCAACATCTCCCAAAGGACCCCGCTTGGCCAATATACCAATATTGGTGTGAATGATGTCCACCAACTTGGCATCACCGCGAGTTAATCCCGGCAGGACATTTTCCCGTCTGAAGCAGGGCTTAGCCGGATCCAAGCCAGTTATCCTAGGGATCAACTTTCCAGTTAGCCGTTTAAAAGTCCGTCCAGCAGTGCCCATTATATGAGCTCCCAGGGAATGTCCTTATTGTTAATCAATCCAATAAAATAGGGAAAAGTTTAAGTTAGTTTTTTATACACACCAATCAAGTGAATATTTCTCAATGGCGTCAGCTCTATAAGATGGGTTAGACCTACGCCAATGTGCTCGCCAATTAAGTCAGTATTAAGTGCCGACCAGGAGTAAAATGTGTCAACATAGTCGGCTGCATCCACAATCTTAAAATAATACATGTTAAAATAGCAATTCTTAAAAATATTTGCACACTAAACGAACCACAAAGTTCACATCGCCGCGGCACATAAAAGCTTTGGACACCATCGATATGGCGGAAGATTCATTAACGGTGTTGGTCCATCCAGTGGCCAAAATCACCACTTTGCGTCCCTTACTAAACCTTGAGTGCCTCCACAGCTTGGAGGCCTCCAACAATGGAACACTATAGTTTTGGCATGGTGTCATGTACTGAAAATGCATTTTTGTTATATCCGGAGTGATATGGGGAGGCACTCTATCCATAAGCAAAGTGGAGGAGCCTTGAATATCAAACAAATAATAAAGATTTTAGAACACATTTTCCATTGTTCGAATGCAATTATTTGATTTCGGTTTATTTTCTTACACAAAGTATCAATTGCATTGGCCGCCATCTCGAGTGGAGCAGCTGTGAGTATGTTGACCTTCATGGTTATCATGTCGGTCCAAAGCCGAGGTATTGCACTCCACCAGCTTCCCGCTGATCTGCCCTCCGCATCCTCAGCTGTATCCCCAGATGCTCCACAGCGTAAGAGGATCACAACTAAACACAGAATTCGCATGGCGCGAGCATGCACTTTACCACAGCGAAGCTGAATACAGTTTAAGTTTTCTCAATATGCGAATTATTGCTAGTTAATCGGGCTTTGTTTAGCGGTTTAATTGTTCTCAAACTGAACCCAAAATGTTTTGTTGACATACCCACTATGCAAAGTAAATGGAATTGTTCTAGATATTCATCAAAAAGTCGTGTTTAATTAACCTAAATGCAATGGGGGCCAAGTTTAAGTAACAAGCTGATGTGCAGATTTTAGTTTAGTTCGTTCTCAGCATTTCTTAAAAATGGTTTAAACATCACTTATATCGGAATATAAAATTTACAAAGTTGACTTTCTTAGAGCTACACATCTACAGAATATAAATCCTAACTAAGCACCTGACAATTTAGATATATCTTCGTATTGTACATTATCCACAATTCGTCCTTTTAACGGACCATGTAATATTTCCACGCTGACTGAATATTTACGTTCGTTTAGTTTTCTAAGCAGAGCCTCAGATCCTCGATAGGCACCGTTCACAACCATGACAGGTTTGTCCAAAGCGGGAATCACAGTCTCCAAGTGAGCCTAAAAATGGATAATTCTAAAATGAATATTTAATGGGTATAATAGTTTATTACTAGACTTACCTGATCTACTTTAAGCTTTTCCCCGGTGTCCAAGAACTTTATTTTGGCTTGATACTTATCAATTACTTCCTGGACAACCGCTTTTTGTTTAAAGAACTTGTCGCCCATGGATTTTGAGATGAACTTGACCACAATGTTCTTGTGCAGCCAGTAATCCTTTCGATTGGCACGCTCTTTTTTGGCCTCCTCCTGTTTGATAATTTCGTCCAACGCAGATCTGGATTGACTGTCCCCAGCAATGGATTTAGGTTTTTTAAATACCTTTTCGTCAACTTCCGATGCAGGTCGTTTAGTAAGAGCGGATTTTCCCAGGATAGTATCCGGCTGAAACTTTTTCTCTAAACGAATATCCAGCTTGAGGGGTTCATTCTCTTCGCGCTTGAGTTCGGTAAACTTTTCTTGGTCTTCCGCATCTTCGCCGTCTTTTGCCTTGGCCTTTTTAATCTGCTGTTCGATGAAGTCAGCCATCCGCTCCTCGTCGTCCTTCTCCATCTTCTCCTTGCGATCGGCTTTCGCCTGGCGTTCCATTGCCTCCGGACTGCGGTCAATGTAGGTGACAAACCAGCCCTTCTCCGTCTCGTCCGCTACGACCTGACCCGTCCGCCCGAGCCACTTGACGTAATCGGAGAGGGTCAGCCATCGGGTGGCGTTCATATGGATGTGTTCCTTATGGGCGATGTACTCCTGATAGATTTTGTTGGCGCTGGTCCGTTTCGTGCCGAACCGCCGGCGCAGTAGCTCCATGTAGCCATCGGAGAACTCCTTGCTGAAACTGTGCAGGAATTTGCCTGGGGAATCTGCGAAGAGCAGCAGCTGGCGCTGATGGGATTCGCTCATCGTGTGGCACTTGAAGCCGTTTTCGTCGCGACATTGCTTTTCGCACATTTGGCAGTACCAGCGCAACTTTTGCAGGCCCTTCGACTTCATCTTGTTGGCCAGGTACTTGGGAGTACCCACCTCGGCGCGACCCATGCTTAAGCCTGTTTTTTTTTTTTTTTTTTTTTGTATATTAGGTTACTTCCTGTCCGTTAGGTGGAAGATTTAACGACTTAAGCCTGTTTATTTGCCCGATATTCAAATAATTTCACAATTATTCTGGTTTGTTTTGATTGCAGCTGAGGGATCTTTCTTAAGTGTGACCGTGCGTGTGTTAAAAAAAATACATGTTCTGAATTTTATCGATAGGAATCGGATACTAACGTTTTGCATGCCAAGCATTCTAAATTGCTCCTAACGGTCAAAAGTAATAACGAATAATTTATATTCAAAAATAGTTTCAATACATATTTTTTTACTGGATTAAAGTCAAAAGAATACAGGTGAAAACTGTATAGTTAAATTCAATAGTTTTAAAACATTTGTTCGTTTTGTAACACAAAGTTTTCCTTTATTAATCTTACTATTACATTTAGAATTAAAAATATATAAATGCTTCATTAAACAATAATTTGTTCTCCTAGTCTCTCAATTTCGTCCAAGATGAAATCCAATTCTTCACTTTTCAGAACGGGGAAACATGTTAATACCATGCGAAGGAAATTGCCCAGATTTTTAGACTTAAGTGGGGAGTAACCAACCATTAAAGTTCCGCTGTGGACCATCTGTTCCTTGATCTTGGGAGCCACCTAAAAGGTATCCAAAGTGTGAAAAAAGCAATAAATATGTTTTCAATTTTTAGTTGCAGATTTGTACTTACGGTGTATAGACGAGTCCACCATTCGGGCGTTTCCTCTTTGCTGGACACCCTCATTGACTTTGGGATGTACCAGAAGCAGACATTCGAGTATTCGTGCTTTTGGAGGACCAACCTGAACCTATCTCCGCGCTGTCGCAACTTATCCTCGAGCTGTCTGGACATAGCAATGGCATGGTCCACCAACAATCCGTACTTTCCATAGCCACGAGCCTTCAACATCAGCCAGAACTTGAAGGCATCGATCTTTCGTCCGCATTGGACACTCTTGTTTCCCGTGTCGTATGAGACATCGTAGAATTTATCCTGCTGAAAGAGGTAATGGGCGTCGGTGCTGTTGCATCTCTCCAGGAGACGTCCCTTTTCTCGGGTAAGAAACAGAGAGCACTGCAGTGGAGTGCCAAGGGTTTTATGTGGATTCCAGGCGAAGGAGTTGGTTCGCTCCAGACCGGAAAGTAGGTGTCTGTTCTCCGGGGAGAGCAGGGAAGATCCTCCCAAGCAGCCGTCCACATGGAGCCATAGACCATGTCGTTCAGCCACATCAGCTGCACCATTTATATCATCGAAGGCACCCAGTACAGTAGTTCCTGCCGTACAATTGACAAAGAACGGCTGACAATTACGAGCCTTCGCCTCCAAAATCTTGGCCTCCAAGTCGTCCAATAGCATTTGACCTCGTTCATTGGTCCTCACCGACACACAGTTGTCGCTGCCGAATCCCAACCAGTTGGCCGCCTTCACAAAACTATAATGGGATTCATCGGAGGTGAACAACACCAGGGGTCGCATTCCAAACACCCCGGAGGTCTTCACCTCGGGAGCGAGCTTATAGCGGGCCAGGACCATGCCGTACATATTGGAGATGGAGCCGCCGGGCGAGAAGATCCCATCGCCTTCCTCGTATCCTGCCAGCTTGCACACGGTAGATATTATTTCAGTTTCAATCAAGCTGAACACAGGTGCCACTTCGTAAGTGTAACTGCAATAAAAATGTTTGAAGTGTTCTTTTAAAATGTCCAATTGTATGTTTGTGTTGAAAGCTATTCTTCTCATAATTCAATAAACAATAAAAACATTTTAGTGAAATTTAAGAATTATTATTATTTCATTTCTACCTTACGGCAAAATAATCCGGAAAATTTCTGTGGACTTAGACAGAACATATTTTAAATATTATAGTGTCAAGTAATTTGCTAATCATTAATAATTAATTTTAACTGATAAATACATATGTAGGTTCATTCTCTGATAGGGTTGAAATAGCACTTTGGAATTGGCACAGCATTAAGAGCGCGATTATCTGTACGGTGAACTCAGTATAGATTGAAGGAAAGATGCAATCAGCTGTCGGTCATATCTGTAGACACATGTACGGGAAAATGCTGGGACTTACGAGCTTCCGTTCATGGCCTCGGTGATCAGAGCTCCCGCCAATCCAAATGGGTCAAGCTGCCCGAAGAGCTGATTGTGGAAGCGCCCGTGCGATGTTTTCACGGAGTAATGGATCACCTGCTGACACAGCTCCTCGATTTCAGCGAGCGTGCGCTCCTCCGTCTCCCGGACTTTCAGATTAATCAGTTCCTGGGAAACATTCATAAGAAATCATGTAAACTAATGCCAAAGCATACGGGAAGCAATTTGATAGCGCAACTACTTATGTACATTACTTACATTTTTGTTTAGCTGATTAATCAATCAAAATAAAATTTAAAAATCATCTATCAGTATACCCACTAGTAAACAACTGATAGTATCAGATACTTGAGTTTAAGCATGCTCAATTATTGTGGTATCATTCCATATTTTCCATTCAAGTACAAATTAGTCAAATACAAAAAAGGCAAACTATAACACAATTGTTTTAAATTGCTGCCCAGAGGTCATGTTTCGAATTGAACTCTTTTATTAATCAGTTAGTGCGTTATCTTTGGATCGGCAGACGCCGGCTTGTCTATCGTTCGCTCACCTTAAGTTTGTCTGGCTGCAAAAACGGCACAATCTTTTGCTCTCCCCATTTTTGGGGATCCACACAAAAAGTGTCTTCTTTTTGGAGCAAATTGAAAACGTTCTTCAGGATATTCCAGTCGTCCATTAGGCCGTCCCTAATCTGATTAACAGTCGCCGTCTGATTGACTGGGGCCGCCATATCTCTGAAAGTATTCGTATCTCACGATCGAATTGGCCACTAAATAAACCGATTTTATTGTGGTTTCGAGAACCGAACCTCTATCGTCGACGATTCAATTGGAAATGGCCCGTCTGACTGCAGCCGATTGTATTTTAACGTTCTCTTGATCAAATTCTCATTAACTTGTAAACCCTTGTCTTGGTTTGCTCACACTCGAAACAATTGAAATACACAGATCGTGGCTGTAAATAAACACATACTTGTCCGCTTTAGAGTGGACCTACTTTTATTTAATTTATAAATGAATATATATTTTTTTTATTCTAGAAATTTAACAGGAACCCAAAAAAGCCAATATATAAATCAACTTATTTAAGGTTTGAAAGTTTATGCTGCCCATTTTCTTGTTTGAAAAATTCACTAGTTTTAGTAAAAGGGTTAATTATCTTATTTACATAATGCTGTAAGTCAAAACCAAATAATCAGCCAGAGGTTTAGTAAATTCCGTATCGATTTAACAACTTTATCGTTTACAGTGCATGACACATAAAACTTGGTTAGGCCAACTGAGAACTTATTGCATACTTAATTACTTACAGTGAAACTCTGCTAAGGTGAAACTTTAAGAGTGTTTAGTTGGACAGATAAAAAGTTCGTTAAAATTGTTGTGTTTATGAATGTCGACTGTAGAATCGTTTCTTACCTATATTTAAACGAGCAAAGATACTTGCATGTAAACGTGACTCAAAAACAAGTTTTAGCTTACCAGAGTGTTCTTTTCTAATTTCAAAATTTTATTAGCAAATTGCTAATAGTACTAATGCTTGTGTTTATGGACAACTTATCAGTTTGGGATCTAGATATAAACTGTTTCCAAGTGTGCCTGCAAAAAGAAAGTAACAAAAGACGTGCCCAAATATATACATATACATGCACAATTTTACCCTTTACTCTCAACGACACTTTCATTTTTATGCTGGTAGTTAAACTCAGTACCTACATTTCAACCTAAGAGATTAAAAAAAAAAAACTATTACTAAATGTTATCCGAAAGAAAATAGATAAGAATATAAAATACCTTTCCCGTTTCCGGGCAGTAGCCCATATATTATTTGTATCAATTCTTATCATTTTCTTTTGAAGCGGCAAAATTATTCGTCCCAACGATTTGTCTAATTGCCTTACATATATACATACATATATTGTTTTACATATTTATATGATGTAACATATAACCACAGACCGACCACAGACAATCGAAACAAATGTATTTGTTCACGTAAAACGGTACCATTTTAATATGTTTTCCTCGATTTAACATTATATCGTTTGTATTTATATGAATTAATTTAAACTTTACTTTTTTCGCCAACAACGTTAAAATGGAAGAAGGTTTGTGTGTTTCTCGTATTATTAAAATATTCTATTTGATTTTCCTGGTTTTATGTAGTTGCAGTTTTCGGTTTGCGATCGACGGTCGACGGTAGTTGCAAATTCATTTTTACAGAAACATTCTCTAGTAATCATCTAGGTCGAAGCCGTCATTGTCCAAGTCATCGAGCTGCATACTCTGGAAGTCCACCTTGTAGCGTAAGATACCTGTGGATGCATAGTTATTTGTTTTAAAATAAAGTAAACAAACAAAAAGTCTCGGCGAACAAAAGCAGATATTGAAGAAATTAAAAGGAACAAAAGTCTAAACACGGATAACACAACTGATACAAATACAAGTGAACACCAGGCTCTCACCTCCTTTGAAATTATGTATATTTCTCATTTACTAATTAATAAATAGTACATGAAGCCCGTGTTGTTTTCGCGATTCAATATAAACGGATTTTCATCCTCTTTATGTGTGGTGTTTTATTTCTGGTTTAATTTTTATTACAATTTTATGGATTAGATTTGTATACTTTCTTATAACACTCGGTTGTAATTTGAATAGGGGAAATGCAGATACGTTCGAAACTCTTCCAGCTAATAGTGGCATGTTAATCCGCAGCGCAGACCTAATGCCTCCTACTAAGATCGCAGTCAAAATCGAACAAGATGAACAGAGAATGCGCTAATATCTCTTTTACATGACAATTGAATTACGAATTACGAATACGAAATACGAATTTAATTTGTTGCTTAAAAGTAACCTCGCACTCGGTTTCGCGTGGTGCACTGACTAATTTAAAAATTTGGTAAAACGTATAGGTACATATCTAGATACACGCTGATCTGATCGACAAGGAAATGCACCATCCGACTGATGAGGGACCCTATTGGTGATAAATATTGAACTGCTACGCTGAACATAGGTAAAACTATGTGGCAAGTAAATTGGTTCCTAATCAATTTGAACGTTTTGCTTTATGAGGTTTCCCAAAAAGTACTGGTTTATTATGTAAGTAACGCATAATCGAGACCCGTTCGCAGCCCTTAACCGACTTAATAGTCGTCGAGATCGACGTCCTCCAGCGGCTCGTCGGCCTGTAGGGATTGGAAATCTACTTTATAGCGCAATATGCCTACACATCCAAATGTGGTAGCGATTTTCAAGATTACATTTACATTACAGCATTGACGACCGTGTAAAAGCAGCATGAGGAAAGAGGAATGGAAATAGTTGCAGCATTTGTTTAGAATAATATCGAGCTACCAACTAGCCTAGCTAATCAGTTGGACACACAGATTTGCTTTGTGAACTTACCGCCGATTCCTCCGAAACCTCGCACGAACTGACTTCCTTCCTGGGACTTATCCGTGATAATCTCCAGTGTGGCGCCGAACATTTTGTAGTTATTTGCCAGCCATTCCAGCAGCGGCTGAGACTCAATCAGCTCCATTTCGACCCCGCTCTGTTGGATTATAAAACTCGTTAGCGTCTGGATAAGGATCAATTAACGCAGATTACTCACCTCCTTGTCAGTGAAGTGCGACTTGTCCTTTTCTTGCTCGGGCGTCAAATGTAATACTGTCGTTGACGTCGAGTTGGCATGATTCTTGAGAACATAACGTTGAATGTCCAGGTTCTCCCAACAAATGAGGGTCTCCACCGAGCCAAGTTCCAGTGCCCGCAAAGTGTCCTCCACTCCGAAACAGTATTTGCCAGTGTCCTATTGGATATAGCATTATATTAATTATCTTGCAGGATAGTTTTTGAAATAGATTTTATGGTATCTGCTACATTTGTTCAGATATTCAAAGCCTAACAATAGTACACGACAACTCACCTGAGAAATTTCATCAAAGTAACGACCGATGAGCTTCTTCTCCTGTATGAATTTCACGTTCTGCAACGATTCGGCTGCCAATTCAATGGCCTGGTTAAAACCGTTTTCGCCGCCATAGGACACGTCCACCAGCTTGATGACTTTTGATTGCAAACGCTGGAAAGAAAACGCTATTAAAGACTGCTCTGTATCCAACGAATGGAAAGCTAAAAACTCACGGGATCAAACATATCTGACTGACTGAGCTCGGTCTTGAAGTCCGCACTACCGGCCAGAATGAGTCCGGCAATGTTGGGCTTGTCGTTCGTGATGAAGAGCTGGGTGGCCACCTCGGCGACCTTGCGCACGTAATTGTGGCGCTTCTCCATACGCAGACGGGCAAAACGCAGGGCAGACTGACCACCACGTCCGTGCTTCTTCGGCAGATCGACGGTGAATTTGTGCAGCACCTCGCGGGTATTGCCCTGAAGGGTACCGAACAGCGCTCCATTACCGTCCATCACAATGAATCCGAATTTGTTGTCGTCGGCGAGCAGGGCAGTGAGGGCCTCCGTGTGGAACTTGTTGTCGCACAGGTAAAGCGACGTATTGATGGGCTTGAATGGCTCAAAGTCTATGTTCACCTTCTTCTCCTTGCCCTCCTCTGTGACAATGGTGCCGCAGTAGATGACCAAACCGTTGGGAGGCACTAAAACCGAAAAGGATTTAAATATATAAATTATAGAAATTATAAATTATTATTCAACTCACCTTTGGTGTATAATTTGAGTCTGTGCTGTACCGACGTAATGGCACCGAGGACGGACAGGCGATTCACGCGAGACTTAATGTTCGACGCCGTTCCAAATTCATCGGCCAACATTTTGCTGACTCGTGAGATTTGATCTTTTGGAGGAATAATCAAAGAAATCATACTGGTGCCATTGCTGAAAAACGTAAACAAGGAAAGAAATTGAGACGTGGATATAACAATATGAATAGAAGGGTCTAACTGCCCTAGCAACAAGACCAGAATAACATACATAAGTACTTTGTAAACTTTGTCATAATCAAGTTGGCAATGAAGTTCTTCTTGACCGTAACAATTGTAATTACTTAAATGGCATTATTCATTTTTTTTAAATTATTTACAGGTTTTAAGTCTATTTAACTGTAATACAACTTGGTGATAAATCTAAGCTATTTATTTTTGTAAGTGTATAAAACATATGACAATGTTAGACAAAGTTACCAGTTCTTGTTTGCAACTATAAAGAGGTGTGCCAAATGGTAAATACAAAATAACTACGAAACAAAAGAAAAACCCATATATTCTTGTTCTAAACAAAATCAAAAAGGGAACTAATAGATAACTGTACACAAAGCGCTCCAATTGGCAACAATCGCAAACTCCAATTGGCAGCTGTGTTATGTTGTCCCTAACTGTGGCGTTTGGTAATAACAAGATATACATATATATGTAAATATGTTCCTGCGGGGGTCACCCCATTCTAAAGCGGAGTAAAGCGGTAAGGACCGGGTCGAAAGCGCGAGCAAGACGGAGCGTTTGAAAGAGAGAGGGGGAGCGCCAACAAAGCTTGGCCCATTTTGGGGCTCACACATACGCACACGCACAACGGCCACGAGGCGCATTACTCACTCACTCTCTCTTTCTCCTTCTTTGACTCAATCAGTCTAGTTTGAACTGATAAAAACCCGACAAAAACGTGTTGCTCGTATGCAAAAATAAGAGAAGGCGGAAGAGAGAGAGGAGAGGGATCGTGCCAAGATTGGAAACAATGCAAAAGGAGAGTCACTCGGCAACAACAAGGAAAGGTGGTTGTACTCGCTGCTCCCCCAAGACCCCACACCCCCACCTCCACGCACTACGCCCACTTCCACCCCCGTTTTGTTTTCGTTGTGTTGTGTATACTCCACTCACGTACTCAAAGGAGATGGGGGCATGGGAAATTTAAAGAACAACAAGGATATACATATGGTTAACTCACCCGCGGGCCATTTCCAGGCTCTTAATGAGCTTCTTGATTTTCCAGATCTCAACATTGCGATCGGCAGACGTTTCCTCGCCAGACATTTTGCTCGTTGTTTGCTTGCCTTATTTACCCTTTCTCTCTTTTGGAGAGCGTGCGAACGCGCTTGTTTGTGTGTGGGATGGGGATTGAGAATTTGGGCTCCTAAATCCTTCTCTTCACTTCTCTGCTGGTTGTATTCACATACACGTTCTTCCTTTTAACGTGGCTGGCGATGAATACACTGCAATGATTAAAAACGTTTTTAAATAATCATTTTTTAACACACACAGTCACAGTAAATACGGATTGGGGGTCTAAAAAGCTACGGAGAGAGCGGAGTGGAAAGCACAACCAGAGCGCGAGCACCGTAATTGCGTTTGCATACTTCTTTATTGTCCCTCTCTTTCTCGCTGGCTAACTTAAAAGCTGAAAACCTTTAAAACGGAAATGAAAACAGTTTCAAAATAAAAGTAATTTTGGCATGAAACTCGCGCACTTCTGATTTGAACGGAAGTCGAAACTTGGTTATTTCATTATTTCACTCCAACCGTTAAGCTTTCAGGAGCGAGCGAGAGGGCACGCAAAAAATTGGCAGCGAGTGAGAAGCGAGAAAGAGAGCAAGTGCTTCAAAGGTGACGTTGACACAATCGCGTGCCACGACCAAAATGTCTAGGAAATGGCTTGTTTCAACACGTTGGCAAAGCCAAAATAGTGCACTAATTATGCTGCTCGGCGTCTGTTTGCAATTTCACAATCCGGACTTGGTTACAATTGGCGAATACATCTGCATAAATTTTTCACATACAACGTGCACAGAGCTCAAAAAATAGAGGTGGGAAAACCCCGACGACACTATCGATGTCGTAAAAGTTTAAAGGTTTGCGGATGTGAGTATCGTTATCGTTAGAGATTGACAAACCGTATTATTGATCATACTATTCAGTTAAATGAAATACTGCTTTTGCGTCGTTTATATATCTAATATATTTTAAAAAAATATCACATCACGAATTTTGGATAACTAAACCTTTTAACCTAGATGTAAAAAAAATCAAATCAAACTATCGTCTCATGTTAAACTTATGTTAAACAACGTTAATGTTATGCCAGTTTCCTGTGAATGGCCTGCTGCCATTTTAGAAGAAGAAGATTGTAAACAAAAATGAATTTGGAGCTGCTAGGTAAGAATTGCGCCAAAATCTCTTTTTTTTTGTTAAATAACCCTCGATTTCTTCAGAATCTTTTGGACAGAACTACCCCGAGGAGTTCGACGGCTCCCTAGACTGCATTTCGCTGGCCGTGACTTGTGCCTTCAACAAGTATGGAACCCTTTTGGCCGTAGGCTGCAACGATGGCCGCATTGTTATTTGGGATTTTTTGACGCGGGGCATCGCCAAGATTATTTCGGCCCATGTGCATCCAGTGTGCAGTCTCAGTTGGACTAGGAACGGTCATAAAGTAGTTTGATTCTTTTTTTTTCTTCCCATTAGATTTCAAATTTTTCTTTGCTATTTAGTTACTTTCGGCTTCCACGGACAACAATGTGTGCATTTGGGACGTGCTGACCGGCGAACTAGAGCACAAGTACAGGTTTCCCTCGCCCGTGCTGAAGGTCCAGTTTGATCCGCGCAATGACAACCGACTTCTGGTATGCCCCATGCGATATGCCGCCGTTCTGGTGGAGATCGGTGGATCCCATCGCTGCCTGCCGTTGGACACAGATGTGGGTTTCCTCTTTTGACTTTTTCTTCCATTTTTCAATAAGTTTGTTTTTCGGCAGGGCGACTTGAACATAGTGGCTTCATTCGATCGCAGAGGCAAACACATTTACACGGGCAACGCCAAGGGAAAAATACTCGTCCTGGATGTGGACACCTTTGAAGTGGTGGCCAGTTTTCGCATTATCGTGGGTACTTCGAGTGCAACGGCTGTAAAGAGTATAGAATTTGCAAGACGTGGAGAGTAAGTTGTGTAAAAATATCATAGTTTTTATTAGAATTGAAACAAAAACTATATTTTCAGCGCCTTTCTTATCAACACATCAGATCGAGTTATTCGCGTTTACGACTCAAAGGAAATTATTACGTTGGGCAAAGATGGCGAGCCGGAACCCATACAAAAACTGCAGGATTTGGTCAACAAGTAACCCTCCAAAATGACCACTAAAAACATTTTATATTTATAATTTCCCCTTAATTTTTAGGACAACCTGGAAGAAGTGCTGTTTTTCCGGCGATGGTGAGTACATTTGCGCTGGCAGTGCTCGTCAGCATGCTCTCTACATTTGGGAAAAGTCGATTGGAAACCTGGTCAAGATCCTTCACGGCACCAAGGGTGAGCTTCTCCTAGATGTGGTGTGGCATCCGGTGCGTCCCATCATTGCCAGCATTAGCTCCGGACTGGTATCGATTTGGGCTCAAAATCAAGTGGAAAACTGGTCCGCTTTTGCACCGGACTTCAAGGAACTGGACGAAAACGTTGAGTACGAGGAGCGGGAGTCGGAGTTTGATATTGCGGACGAAGATAAGTCCGTAGATCTCAACGCAGATGCGCAACAGGACGAGGAGATCGAGGTGGATGTGCAGAAGGTGGAGCCTGTAGCTGCCTTTTGCTCATCTGACGAGGAGGGCGAAGATGAGAATGCGCTGCAGTTCCTGCCAATGGCGCCGGAGGTGGAGGATCCCGAGGACGGCTGGGCTGGTCAGGATGGACTCGAGGCCAGTGCTGTGTTGCTCAGTGCGGATCCGCATGACTACGAGGACGATATAATGGCATCCAAACGCCGACGCATGGAGCCGTACAATGTCAGCCTGCCTGACGCACCCATAGACGGTATAATTCACCTCATTTATATATTTGGTATTTAAACCACTAACTGTTTGTTTAAATTGGTTTACAGAAACACATCCCCTCATCTCAAGCAAGGCTAGCAAAGACAAACAGCAGCCCGTGGGTGGAAAAAAGGGCCCGGGTCGTACCAAGAAATAAACTTTATTTGACTTAAACTAGCGTATTTATTGTGGCTTGTAAATAAAGGCTCTCCTCAAATCGCTAAGCCGTCTTGGGGTTGCGCACTTGACCGGCGAAGAGCAGCAGGCCGGTTTCCTTTTCCACGATCAAGTACTGGAAGGGCCTGTTCAGTTCGGCCCTGGCTGGTCCAATCTTGTTTTCCAGGGTAACTTCCGTGACCGCTGCCGCCGTGGTGCCCTGTTCGTCGACGAATATCTTCGTGGAGTGCTGAAAAAGCGAGGCGACCAGTCCAGGTGCGATGCGGTCTAGGTTGGACTTTTGCTGATCGAATAGGTCTCGGACGCCCATCTAGGGAATTCAAAATTTAAAGAACAGTTTATGAAAGGTTATTGTTATTTGTTAAAAAGTTTTTTATTGGATAATTTATTGTAATATGAATGATTCTTTTTTTTTGGTCCGCCGAAGCTTTCTTTTTAGCTTCCCTTCTTGCTTAATGTGTCATTTGAACTCACCTGACTGAGAATATCCTTAAGTGAGAGGTCCGTAGATGAAACAAACATTGGCATTAGAACCTCTATCTTACCATCACTGTTTGTTTTTTTGTAAGCAGCCAACTTGTCCAGAATGGGTTGCAATCCCACTTTTTTTAGATCGTTGGCAAGGCTGTTCAATGTGACGCCTTTGTGGGGCAGCACGACGATCATCGATAGCCACTCCAAGGAGCCGTAGGGCAACTCTATGACAGAACCACGCAAACCTTGAACTCTGCCGGTGAAGGCGAAGTTTGCCTCTTGCTTCATCATGGGAACCTGTGCGATGACCTCGCCGTTCTCATTGTGGAACGGACCCATTGTGGTCAATGCCTCGTCGAAGGGGAACTTCAATCGAACAGAATATGCATAAGAATCTGTTGCAGGGACAGGACATTTAAAATCCTACCTTCCACTTGCCTTTGAAGCAAAGGGTGGACAGCAATAGCATTTTGGCATTATAGACATCTCGTTGCTTGACAGAGTTCTTTATGAGTCCTTGGGTGCTGCGATCGATTGCCTGGTTGATTCGACTAACCGTATCCAGGCGGTTGAAATCCACTTGCTCCGGCTGAACATTATAGGATTGGAGTACATTTCGATAGTCCTGCTTGACCTCAAAATTCGTACTGATGTAGACGCCCAGCAGAGAGGCTACATCGATTTCTGATTGTTTGGTGCTTGCATGAAAAGAGGTAATTTAATTGGTGTTATTAAGTCATTCAGTTTTCAAATGTTATTTGTATTTATTTTATAAAAAACTCATAATATTTTCATGTATTAAATACCACCAGTATCAATTATATTAGAAATGGTTACTGTAGTTACTCACTTGAGAAATTGACTCCTCGCCCTGTAGAAGTTTCGAAGTGTTGGCTCATCCACATTGATTCGCAGGACCTTACGCAATTGGTTATAGGTTTCCATACTCGATCCTTCGTAGAGAAGCACCAGAACGGACCAAATGGAGAAGGGCGATATCATAAAGTCCTGGTTGGAGCTCTGCATCGACACGGATACGCGTTCGAGTAGATCGAGGGAGAAATCCTCGACTCCTTTGGCGACATTGTTCTGCGCCTGAACATTTTGCTTCTGGACCAAGAAAAGGACTAAAATGCCCAATAGCAACGGAAAGCCCAACATTATTCCAACTTTCTTTATTTGCAACTAGTCCCTAAGCTAAGTATAACCTATATTTATACTTGCTTTTTGAGTTTGGTTAGTTGTAAACTTTGCAGCCCTTTAAAAAATAATGTTCAGCTTCACATTTTAAGACACGATTTCGTGACCACGACTATATTTAAGCAGAAAGTACTTAAGTGTTGAGCAGAGACATTAGATAAACTCGATATTGCAATATATAGCAGTTCCTGAAGCAACAATCTTTAGATCTACCGCAGCAAGCAAACAAAGTCTTCATATTCTTAAAGTATCATTTTTATTGTGGGTTGTAAGTTAAGTTTGGAGGGAATTTCTAGAATGCCTTGGGGTTTCGCACTTGGCCGGCGAAGAGAATCAGCCTGGTTTCCTTCTCCACGATCATGTACTGGAATGGTCGGTTCATCACGAACTTGGGCGGCGTGGCCTTGTTCACCAGAGATGCCTCCGTGACCGCTCCTGCCGTGGTTCCCTGCTCATCCACGAGGATCTTCGTCGAGTGGATGATCAGCTTGGCAAACAATCCGGACGACATGCGATCCAAATTGGCCGCACTCTCGTCAAACAGATCCTTGATTCCCATCTGGTTAGTGGAAAATAGTAAAAAAATATGTTTGAAAAATTATAACTAATTGGATTGGATTGGTTTAAGTTTAAATGGTTTTACCAGAAATATTAACAGTAGAAATGTGAAAATTATTAAGTGAACAGCACCCACCTTGTTTAGGACTCCCTTAAGTGCAAAGTCTGTGGTTGTGACGAACTTGGGCATCATGACCTCCACCTCGTTGTCCTCGAAAGCCTTTTTCCTGAAAGCCTTCAATCGCTCGAGAATGGCACGTAGTCCCACCGACTTGAGGTTGTTGGCCACGTCGTTGAGTTTAAAACCCTTCTTGGGCAGGATCACGATCATGGCCAGCCTGTCCTGGACGCCGTAGGGTAGTTCCAGTACGTATCCGTCCAGACCCTCGATGTTGGAGGCGTAGGCGAAGTTCGCCTCCTGCACCATCATGGGTATCCTGGTGACGATCTCGCCATTTTCGTTGTAGAAGGGTTCGTCTCTCGTTAAAGTTGTGTTGAAGGGGTACTGCAAGCAAAAATAGTATTATATTATATATACTGCAGTTAAATCCAAATCCAAGCCGCACCTTCCATTGCCCCTTGAAGTAAAGGGAGGAGAGCAGGAACATCCTGGCTCCAAAAATATCCTGTGGCAAAATAGTATATGGAATCAGACCGCGAGTTGTGCGATTTGTGTCCTCGTTGATCTGCACCACCGAAGACGGGCTATCGAAGTCCACTGTCACGGGCTGGACATTGTAGCTTTGGACGGAATTCCGATAGTCGTTCTTGATCAGATAATCCTTGCCGGTGTAAATGGCCTGCAGAGTGGCCACTTCAATGGTGGGAGTGGTGGTGCTACAAGCGGTATTTATAAAATGTATTAAAAAACAAAAGGTCTGATCAACTTCTTTTACTCACTTCAGAAAAGAACTCCACACCTTGTAAGCTCCGCGAAGCTTAGCATCCTCGACATTGATCCGCAGGACCTGACGCAGTTGGTTGTAGGTCTCTCCCCCGGATCCTTCGTAAAGGAGAACGAGAAGCGACCACACGGAGAAGGGCGATATCATGTAGTCAATGTTGGCCTTCTCCAATTCAGTGGATATGCGCTGGAGTATATCCAGTGCGAAGTCCTCGACTCCCTGTGCAATGCTGTTTAGGTCACCAGCCTCAAAGTTGGAACGCATGGAGGTAACATGACTGACTTGTTGGCCAAATGCCTTTTGTTCTGTTATAGGCGCCAGAGGATTTCCCACCGAAAGTTGAGGAGGACCAAAGATGCTTTGTGCATTGGCAGAGCAGAGGAAGATGATCCCCAAAAGAAATGGCATCCACACAATCATGCGTTCTGTAATTTACGGAATTAGTTAAAAATATATCTAAAGAATGGCAATGTTAATTGCCTAAAGAATTTTGTCTGATATTAAAGGTAACTTGATTTAAATGTAAATCTATAATTAAAGAAAAACTCATTAAATTTGCTTTAATGGATTTATTTTAAAAGATAAAGCTAATAAGTTTAAACTTTTAACTAAATTCTTCAAATCTAAAGCTCATTTCTTATTATTATGCTTTTTATAAACCATACAATTTTGCGAACTATTAAGGAAAGTAACTTTATTGGAAACCACTTAATGTTTTCACCCTAAAACAATTTAAAAATTAATAAAATTCCAGTATCAAAATTGTTAATGAATCTTTTATAAACGCTTTGACCCTGCTGAACCTTAAACCGCACACATTATAGAACAATAAGTAGTATAATAAGTACCTTCTCCGATAATAAAATCAAACAAAATTTTTAAAACACACGTAAATACTGTGTTCGGATGCGTAAACAATCCGCATTTTCCTACTGATAGCGCTGATCCGTTGGCGACCTTGTACACACTTCAACCCACTACAAATATGTTTGCAGTGTACACACACTACTAGTACCCGTAAACAATTTTAAGTCCGCATATTGATCGGCTGTAAGCTTGCCGTTCAGTGTGGAATATCCCATAATAATTAATTGTTGATTAGTTTTTTTTTTTTTTTAATTTTACCTGGTATCTTGACCATAATGCGGCTGGGAAAGAGAGTTGGTTTGAGCCTCGTTTATCAGACTTTCGAGGGGAGCGGACTTTAATATTTCACTACACCTTGTGCACACGAATCGAATCGAACTTTTGCGTAACCGAGTTTGTGGGTGTGCATCAATTATTGAGAGGGTTTTTACTTTTTTTTCTGTTTTTTATTAATGTATTTTTTGGGGGGTTTTTAATGTCTTTCTGTGCGGCTGACGAAGCAACGTTTATTTGTTGCTGTTGTGGTTCGGTTGTTATTTGGAAAACCGGAATGCACTGGGGGATTCCACAGAAAGCTACAAATACACCTTCAGCAGGGTGTTACGCATATGTACGTATGTGTGTTCGCGTATTGGTTTCACCTTTATATAATTCTATTATTTATTTTAATTTCTGGACCTGGCCACCGACTGATTTTGCAAAGAACTCGATGGGCGATCGAATGCCACTCCCACAATAAAAATGAACCTGACGCACGGGCATCGGCTGAATAACTGAGAGATCGCTCCATCGACCCGCCAAAGCACCGATTCCAGTCATATCTTCTCATCGGCGTCAGCGCTTTCGAGAGTCCGATCGCTTCAGATTTAAATTGGGAGATTGGGAGATCGAGAGACTCCACTCCTCCATTTTAATACTGGCAGGCCTTTGTCTCTTGCTCTTGACAATGACGATCGCAAAAGTATCTCACTCCGCACAATCAGGTGGAAATACATATATGTATGTGCTCAGATCGATATGGAAACTTGACATCTCGGGGAAAGGCCAGTCATCATGTCAGTCATGTTGAGCAAATCAGTTCCTTATCCTATAGTAAACATTCATTACAATATACATAAATATGGGTCGAAAAGAAAACAATTTCTCACAAAGGGATTTCAGATTTTAAAAATAATAGTACTGATAGCTTTTTATCATGAATCAGCATTTACATTTACCTTTCTCATTACCTCTTTTGACATCCCTTTTCAATACTTACCACAAATAAGTAATAATATTTCGCAATCTAGGATAAACATTACGTTTTGCAAAACGTGGTGTAAACTTTACTTTAAAAGTGATTTAAATCAAATAAAAGTCTGGTGCATTTCACATTACGTTATCAACAATGAAAGACAATGGAAATGGCTTGGTTGGTTGTGCGTATATTGACTTAAAACTGTTCGATACGAAGACAGGATGACAGGATTAATCCAAGCATGTAACTTTATTAAAGTATTTTAATTGGAAATATCTAAGGTAATGCTTGCATAGAGGCATTACTCAGATCTTTGCATTGGTATTAATTAAATGTGTTGTGGATTTAAGTTGTGTTGTGTGTTGCCTGGAGATATTCATTCAATAAATTGATACTGATATTTTTGCTTCGGCCTCAGTGCCCGAGTAATCTTCGCAGCTCCGTCGTAGTTTTATTTATTGGATTATAACTTGTTTCGTACATGTTTATAGGAAGTTGATCTACTAAACATCTTTAAAATTTTGCGAGATGGAATATTCTATAAATGTGACCCTCAAGTATTTACTAGAATTTCGTTTCCATTTTTGGATATTTATAGGGTTAATCTTTAATGCTTATATGGACATATATTTTTTTTATAGGATAGTGTATTATATGCGTACATCTAAAACTGTATGTTTTACTTTTCTCCGTGCACTAAATGGAATCATAATTGTCTTGAAATTCATGTTCTCACACTACCAGGGACTCTTTAATTAATCTCGAAATAATCTAACACATTACACACATAGAATGAAGGATTTCTTTATATTATAGTATGGATACGGATTTCTATAGGGTATTTTACGCATCCCAATAAACAGTAGCTAACATAATGATTGGCTACTTACACAAATAACAAGAGTAACGAAAAAACAGACAAACATAACACCTCTCAATCACTCCATATTGGAAATAATAATGTTTAATCAAAAAGCACGTTTTAACACAAGATGAATCGTGGCTTCTGCTGACTTTTCATTCGTTGCATAAGCGTTAATTTAACCTCTAGAACATGGGTGTATGGACTATTCAGTAAGTTCAATTCACGCGGTTAAGCAGGCTGTCATTTGGGTGTTTTCAGGTTTAGCAATGCAACACGTTTAATTAATTTTCTTTTAGTTATATATAGTTAGATTAATATCCGAACCGAATAAAGCATTTAATAAATGTGTACGCGAATTCATCAAAAAGTGTAACTGATTATTTTATCGCAGATCGGGATCCTCGTCCGCAGCCTTTTTGATTCGCAGTAAGATGGTGGTATACCACTGATCCAACCTAGAGATGCTATCGTAGTCCTTGACGGCCTCTGTGAATCCCTCGATGTTCTGTTCCTCGAGATGTTCGCACAACACCTGCAATTAAATTATTACGCCATAAGTAATGTTAAATATGTTAAGTGATATACATATTTTAAAGAATAAAACCCCACCTTAATGAGCTTGAACTCCCGTGAGTCCTGGAATGCTGGATACTGCTGAGCATACTTCTCGATGGCATGCTGGGCGTTCAGAAGATCCACACTTAGGTGACAGAGGGCGGCCCTGAAGAAGTACTCCTTGGCACTGTACTTGAGCAGAGAGCTCTCCAACGAGGAGGCGGCCACCTGCTCGTATATGGATATTGCTTTTTCGTAGTCCTCCAGTTGGGCGGCATACTGGGCAACCTTCAGCATGCACTTGTTGGCCGAACTGACCGACTCCTCGCCCTTGAAGTAGTCAGCCGCCTGTTCGTAGTGCTGAATGGACTTTGCCTAAACATAAGGAAGAACAGAATAAAGTACTTATAGATTTATTGACATAGAGATAAACCCACCAAAGTATTGGGATCACTCTCGTACATCTCGGCGATGCTCTGGTGATGCTTGGCAGCCATTGTGAAGCGTCCCATGTCGGTGTAGATGTCGATGGACTTCATCAGGCAGTTGACAGCGCTCTCCACGTCCACCTTTTTGTAGCAGTTGGAGGCGTCCACATAGCAGGTTCCTGCATCGTGTCGACTTCCAGCACGGGCATGCAGCGTAGCCGCCTCGCAGAAGCACTCGCCGGCCTTTGTCCAGTTCTTGGACATCTTGAACATGTTGCCCGCTCGCTGGTAGCACTCGATGGCATCCTCCACCTTGTTGGAGCCCCTGAGAAAGACCATTTCGATTAGACTTATTTAATAAATAAAAAAGTGTGGTAAAAAATTCATGTTTGTTCTAAAATAATAATATGAACTGGTTTTCGTATGTTATAAAAAACTTAAACGCCTGACAATATCAGTTCACTCCAATTAACTTAACAGTACATTTTGGGAATAAGATTAATATCCCAGAATTAAGAATCGAAATTTAAAAGTTTTGCCAGATGCAGTAAGTTTTTTGCAAGCATGCTGATGACTATTTGAATTTAAATGTCTAATTTAAAACGCTTTTCTTAAAATTTAATCAAAAATGTTTGATAATGAAACTTTTGAAAACTATGATTCATCAATACCCATATAAATGTGGGCCCATTCATATATTTTCTATTAACATTAGCGAATAGAGGTGGAGCTGTGATGATTTGTTTATCTATGTTTTATATATTCCGTCTAATCCATACATATCTAAACCTTATCAAACAAAATTGGAAATTTGCGTTGTTGTGAGGGCGTTTTTAGATGGAGGCGCAGAGTTCACTTGTACGTATACGTATTATCGTAAGTAGGTACATAGAAAGTATAAAAAGTACTACGGTGTGAGGTGAACTATTGCGTACTTATATTATAGCCTTTAAATGTAGATGGCAACCTTTTATATGAAAATGGAAAGCTAGATCCTAGACAAAGCGATTTCCTCACACCCAATTGACCAATTTCGTATATACGCACCCGAAGAGCGATCCCAGAAAGCCCTTCTGCTGGGTCAACTTCTTCTCCGCCTCGGCCATCAGCTGGAGGGCCTTCTGTTCGTTGTCACCCATGTCGAGGATTTATGTTCGCCTCGGCACTAATTGCATCTAAATATCACGAATATTTCGGGCTTTCAGCGAGTGTGTACGTATTGGAATCTTTAATTTTCAAGAAAATAAAATCAATACTAGTGCTGCAACAAAAAGCAATCGATGATTGTTCGATGTTTTTCTGAAACGATTACATTCGCGACACCAGTAATAACAAAAAAAAAAAAAAAAAGACATAGCACAGACACAAACCGAAACAGATTTGAAAAGTGTGAAAAATGTAACGTTTCTTTTTTAAAGCAGGCCCTTATCAAGTTTGTTTATTTCCAAATCAAATATCTGTTTTTTTCAGGCTGCTTAAATTAGATAATTCATTTATAAATCAGAATCAATTGATAAAAATGTTTATTTCCAGTTATTTTATTAAATTATAAATACGCTTTGTCGTTTGAAAGCAATTACAAATTGTATCTTATCACGAACGTTGTTTCCGGCCAATGCGAATTAGGAAGCAGTGTTATGCTCCGCATTCAATCGAAAGTTTTTTATTTTGTTTAACGGCGCCGTAGCATATTACAAGCAATGAATACTATACTACAAGTTTTATTATGTATCCAGCATTTAAATTGAATTATCAGTCAGCTGGGATAGTTGGGATTTGGCAGAGCCATTCTCTGAGAACCATTTCTTAGTTTAAATACCTAATTTATCTCTTTGTAATTTTATTAAGTGATCGTGTGCAAAAAACAAACAGTTTCTAAAGAGCGGCCCAACATTGACGATGAACTTATTCAGTAAATGAAGGGGAAAGGCGAAAACAAATAAACTCTAACATCGAACAATCAAATAAATTTGAACAGAAACTACAATTTAAAAAACGCATGGCAGAGGATCTGTTTGGGGGCATAAATGTGAAGTTGGCCAGGGCATTCGTGGATTAACTTAAACTAACATTCGGCCTTAAATGATAGTTTGCCGATTTTTTTTTAGATAAACATCTTTTCCAGCATTTTCCTAAGTTTTTCCTGGGCATAGCGTATCTTCTGATACAAATCTTTAGACACGCCGTTCTCCACAATAGTCGAGAATCGGTAGGTGCGGAAATTCTTCTCGTGATCCATATAAGTGATGGCACTCATGCGTGGGCAAAGGATGAGCTTCATGTGATCCGAAAAGTTAAGCTGAAGCACAAGCAAGTTTATAAGAATACAATTTGTTTTTTAAATAGAAGTTATTAGATGTTACCTGCACGGATCCGTTGGTTAAATGCATGACCACGGCGCAAGTTGTGCGGAACCAAGAGTGCAAGTGCGGCATTCGCGAGATCTGATCGCTTTCGATGTTCACATTGTTGGCGCCTGCCTTCACCAAATGCTCGATCATGTAGCGCTTGAAATAGGATAGGAGTTTCATTTTTTTATCCAGCGTCTTGCAGTAATCTGTGGTGGTCATGTAGCTCTCCTTGCCGTCCTTGTCGATGAAGTGCACGTTGATCTGATTGGGCAGTAGGATCAGCTTAGTGGTGTCGTTGAACATCACGCCGATACCCTCATCGCAGAGCTGGTAGCCAAAACCATACTTGTCGCTGTAGTCCACCCACTTGGATATCCAGAAGAGTGGCTGTGCTGCAGGATCGGTGTTCTCGTCGCCCAGATTGCCTTGCAAAATACGCGGCTAAAAAGTCAAAAGGTCAAGAGTTTTAATTGCAAGATCAGAAGAAAATCTTTAAGTAAATTGTCACTTCACTGATTAAAAATAAATATGCATTTAAATTTATTATTACCTTGCCGTTGATGAGTTTGGTGAGCTGCTGGTGCAAGCTCTCGATATCGCTGCGATAGTCCTCGCTGTGGCGGCAAACCTGTGCCGAGGCGGTGATGGCGTCGTGTAAATTGGCCTTCAGGAACGTCGACTCCAGACGGGTGTCGTCGGGTCGGACGCCATTCATCTCCGTCAGCGGTTTGCGATGCATCATCGATTCTTCGATAATGTCGTTGTTGCCGATACGCGGTGCCATCGTCAGACAAGAGCTGGGCAAGAACATAGGCACCTTGGAGCCCTTGAGGAACTCAAAGTTCAGCAACTGGCCAATCACCGGGCGGCTCTCCGGATTTGGCTGCAACATGGCAATGACCATGTCTGCCGCCGGCTTCCTCAAGTAGCTGGGTACACGGTACTCACACTTCTTGATCTTCGAGTAAGTATCCTTCAGTGTCTTGGTCTCAAATGGTGGCTGGCCCACCAGCAGCGTGTACATAACGCAGCCAATCGACCAGATGTCCACCTCGAACGAGTGCCCCTTCTTGGTGAGGATCTCCGGAGCAATGTAGTTGGGCGTGCCACACAAGGTCTTCTTTCTTTCGCCCTCGTAATCAATGCGCGTGGCCAGGCCAAAGTCGCCGATCTTCACGTGCAGCAGATCGTTGAGAAAGAGGTTACCCAGCTTCAAATCGCGATGGATGATGCGGTTATCGTGTAGGTACTTTACGCCCTGAATGATCTGGTAAATGTAGTATCGGCACTCGAACTCTGTGATGCTTTTCCTGCGCTTATGCAACTCCATCATGGACTGATAATTAAAGGAGGTTAATAATAACTACACATTCAGGATCCCATCAAAACTCACTCTCTTTTTGCACAGCTCCAGTACAATGTAGATGTTCTGGACATCCTCAAAGTAGCTGTGGAACTTAACAATGTTCGGATGGTTAAGGCTGCGGTGTATGGTGATCTCCTGTGCGGTCTTCTCCTTTTGATTGTGCTTGATCATCAGCTTCTTAGACACAATCTTTCCAGCGAAGACGTCGTCGGTCTCCACATCGATGATCTCGTAGCATTTTGCAAAGCCGCCCTGCAAGGATTAAAAGTTAACAATAAATTGGATCGTTGAAATTGTACCAAGCAGATGCTTTGCGCGTTGAGAAATGTAAGAAAGCATGATACAATGCGAAAAATGTATTGAAATGTATAGTTAGGAGTGCATATGAAGGACAAATTCTAATACATTTTACAACATTATTTTCAGGTTCTTGGTTATTTTTAATATGAAATTGGATTTCCAAGAGGTAGTCTGGGCTAGTCTTCTTGCTTAACTTTTTTAAGCATATTTTGGATATCAACAAAAAGTCGCGCCAAAAAAAATTAACAATTGGCATGCCATTTGCCCACACACACACACCGGCACACACATTCCATCACATTGAATCTCCCCCTTTCACGATCTGACTTTTCAAAACAACAACAACAAGAGGAGCAACAAGAACAATGAAGTTTTAAAAGGGGAAAACTAAACTAATACCAGAATATGGATATGCAAGGGAAACACGCTAATGTCTGTGCTCCCTAGGACACATCCGCATGCGCACATGGACATCCCAGCGGGGAATCCTTGCATCGTCACTCACCTTGCCAAAGAAGCGCATGCGCTTGTAGGTTTTGCGCTGGTTGGAGTCGAACAAGCGTTCCGGAATATCCGTGCTCTTTTCCTCGGGCTTCGCGGCCATCTTGTTCTCCTTTCTTTCTTTTTTTGGGCTCCCTTTTGCACTGGCGTCGTTTCGCCTGGAGTTGCGAAAATTCCTTCTCGTTCTTAGCCTCGATTTCCCACAAACGAACGGCTGATTTGGCCACTTCAACGGAGATCCACACTATTTGCTAGAGAAACGGTGTTTAATTCTCGATTTTGCCCATCGAATGCACGAAAATCAAGCACAAAGCGGACAACGCGCCGGAACCGTTTGATATTTTTTAAATGCCAAAAGGAGTAGTGCTACAAGCGTCAGCTGAATAGGTGTGCCCCTTTCGCGGGGTATCGCACATTTTCTCGGTATATATCGATGGTATATGCGGTATTTTTGACGGCAGCACAATAAAACACTGTTTCTGACCGTTATTTTTTTGAAATTGCCTATGTTTTTTTGGTATTTTTCTGTTTCTTTAGTTTGACTGTTATTGATTTAAAATTCAGTTTAATAACTAACCAAAACCTAATTCGGTCATTTTGTACTTTTTCTAAGCCCAAAAATAAAATATAGGTATCTTTTTTTTGTGTTAGCTTAATATATTACTCCAGTTACAAGATAAGCTTAAAGTAAAAAAAAATTGGTTGCAATCTGTCAGATGAAAACACACTTCTCATGTACCAGAATATTCTTTAAAAATAAAACCATCCTGTTGCCAATTTTAAATCTTTGTCTATTTTGACTAAAATAATAAATCACGGTGCCACATCTTCACTTAATATTTTATTAAATAGTCCCCAAATGTTGTTTTTCTACATTGATTTAATAACGACTACGAATTCCCCAATATTGGTGTTGATTTTCGTTGAGATTTTGACTATGCATGCTGATATCTTGAAGGGGTCGCTTGAGTTCGATTGTATGTTCTAGATTAGGTCTATTGGGGGTCTCTTGGTTATTGCCTTCGTTTCATTTTCTGGGTTTACTTTTTACAAGCTGCCCCCATTTTGGCTCTTGTTGCTGTTCTTGTTTTGTTTTTTTTCTTTTGTGTTTCAAGGGAGGCCTTAAAAGTAGAAAAGTGTGGTTTTAGTTTTAGTTGTCGTTAATACATAAATTATTACATTAAATATATTATCAATAGTTTAGTTTCATAGTTGGTTGCTTTGCCAGTGTACGCAGTCTCTCCAAAATGCCTTGTGTTTCTGTGTGGGTGAGTGTGTGGCTGTGTTTGTGGGCGTCGGTGTGGGCGTGGACGTGGATGTGTCGTGTGCTTGTGTGAGTGAGTGTTCTATGGTTGTGTCTTATAGTTCCGTCGATCTCATCTCATCTGATCAGTACTCCCATCGCATCCCACCTCCTCCTCCGCACTGAGCTCCCAAAGTTGAACTAGAAATAGGCGAGTCGATTCAGCTTCTCTCAGCTGGATCCGGAGGTCGAGGTGACCTGGGTCCTCTGCAGGCGCAGCCATTCCACAAACTCATCCAACATGACGGGCCCTTCAATTTATATTCAATTAATACAGTAATAAAAACGTTTTAGCCAAGTTATAGTAACGACTTACATGCTCCATCAATATCGTAATTGGATAAATCAATGCAGATGGTGCGCGAGAACTCAAGAATATTACACCACTGATCCTTATTGATCGCCTTGTACTTTGATTGCTCTAGAAACTGTGCGAACTGCAGATACAGCGGCCAGTGTTTGCCCAGAAGGAGTTGAAGCATGGCTTTGGCAGTGAGAATATCCATACACCGTTGGTCCGAGTCCTGCCAAATAATCAAAAACCTTCTTAATCAAAGATCGTACTTTAGATAGAATAAAAACGAACCTTGGCAAAGTCGTAGGCATATCTGTAGATGCTTTTAAACGAGTTTGGATCGTTGAGTATGCTGCGCAGATAGTCCAGTTTCACAACCATTTTCGCTGCCGAATCGCAGTCCAGTTCTGTGAGGCCCTTTAGCCACTCCTGCTGACTGAAGAAACCCATCTGGGTGGCGCCCATTTTGTAGGCCAGCACCAGCATCACAATGTTCTCGGGCTCCACGCCGATATCCTCGCAGAATTTTTCCATTCCATCGGGACCTGAAGAATCAAAGAGTTACATCATTAGAACTTTGTAGGGCCAATAAATAGATAAGATGTCACACGAATATCTAGCGGTTGGTTGGCATATCTCAAAACCTTGAAAATCTGAAGGACATTAAAAGCTTCAAGATATTTTTAAATCAAACAAATGAAATTTCAAATAGAATTAATGCAGGCGCATCCCAAAATAATCTCAACTCACCCAATGTCTCTGGTTCATCTGGAGTGGTGTATTCCTGGAACCATGTCAAACAACGTTTTTGACTAAAGCCATCCTCTGCTCTGATATGGCGTCTGTGGAAGAGAAACAACAACGAGCATTTGAGTATATCGATCGCGTTCAATGATTCGGGCAAATTCACACACTCTGCCATCTAAATTGAATGGAATTAACTGCACTGTTTTTGCTTTCACCACGTATACACCAGAGTTTTAATCGAATCTGTCGCTAATGCCTTGTGGCCTCTTTTGTTTATTTTATTCGACTCGCCTCTCCTATGGGGTTTCGTTTTTGAGTATTGGCCCCTAAAAATAGCGATAGTAAACATGACAGAGCAGAGACGAGGCCAATGCCAAGAGCGAAGGCACCCAGGAAAGCAAAGAAAATAATGCCAACCCAGATATGACAAATCGAATTAGGAAAACCAAAAGGCTGTCGAACTTTTCCCAGTCTCAGGGAGACAGTTTGCATTGCCTTCATCAAGTGCAACTTGAAAGATCGTCGATTAGTATAAATTTAAGCAATTTAGTTTGCATTTACACATACTAATGAACTGTGATTGGACAAAAATATAAGTTTCTTGTTTGTTTTGATTGCCTCTTTTTACGAATTGGGTTTCAAATGGTTTTTCCTTTATATTTAGTCTTTAGCAATAACAAACGTTTAGTGGCATCATTTTGTTTGTCTTCTTAATATACATTTAAATTTGGAATAATATTTAATTTTATATTTAAAAATAAAGTCCCAATTAGAATTACTCGCAAACAAATAAAAAATGTGTTTCTATTGCAAGTTATATTTGTGTAGATAAACAAATCCTTCTAATGTCTTTTTCAAGACAAGTTGGTTCAAAGGTAAAATAAACTATTGTTAAACTCTTTATATATTACGAATAAAAAAAGCCTAATTGTAATCTTTTAACTAAAAATAAAAAATAAATAAAATAAATCTGTACAAAGTAGATTTTTGCTTAGTGCATTTACATACATACAAAACCTAATCTCCGCCAGCGTCCCATTACCAGCGACTGCGCAGGAGAAAAGCGAGAGTGAAGTCCTGTAGCAGGACAAGGGAAGAGTGGGTTGGGAGTGGGTGGATGTGGGAGTGGGTTGAAACGAGGAGACAACAGGACAGTGCGATTTTATTTGGGGCTCAGTTGTGCGCAGGAGCCGAATCAGGAAACACGTCGTAGTTGCGTCGAGCGGAGACAGCAGAGTTAAATAGTCATTGGAATTGCCCACAAAGTAACCAAGGATTTGCTAAAGAAGATGAAACTATCTGGTTTTCGGCAGTCCCTGTCCAGGATTCAAGGATTGGGCCATGGCCTAAACGCAACTCTGATTTGCTCGGCACTCCTGGCACTTTTGGGTGAGTTGTAGACTGATTTGGGGCAGGGGATTAGGGATTTGTAGGTGGTGGGAGCACCGAAAATCGATACTGTCGAGGACGGTTTTGTGACACACTGACTGAAAAATGAACCGAGCTAGCTGGACAACCTGTGAAGCCTTTGTGACCGCTCCTTTTTTTTCTTTTAGTAACTACTGCCCACGGATTGCAGCTGAGTGCCTTCACAACGAAGACGCCACGGGTCAGCAAGTACACCACCAAGTCGCCATCGGTAATCCAAGTTTGGTAATTAAATTTCCCTTTGCTAATCCTTGAGTCTGTTTGTAGGCCTCCTCTATGAACCATGATGCCACAACCTCGCTCTATCGATTCAATGCCACCAATGGCATCACCTGTATCCTGATGCAGGTGGATGGCCTAATCAGCATTAAGTACCGGAACAAACTGAACGAGGATGTGGAGGCCGATCTCTACATGCCGGATGATCCCCAGCTCAGTGGCGAGTGCGTGGAGTCCAACATGGAAATTCTTAATATGGACTTTAAAGGTTTCCGGCTCTCCATGACATTTAAAAAGGTGCGTAGGATTCAAAGGTTACCAGTGATGGCAAGGGTTTAACTTGGTGTTGTGGAACGAAAAAAAATAATATCTGAATTTAGTGTTAACAAATTTACTCCCTCATAAAAGCAACACGATTTCTCGTATATAAAACAGCTATCAAAGTATATAAGAAGTACAGTAATTTGAAATACCAAAAATCGATACTTGAGATCCTATCACTTAGGTAAATGGGTAAAATAATTAGCACCTAATTACTGACTAGGCAGGTCCAAGCATTGAGAATATATTGTGCCCAATTACGCTAGCAAGTTGAAAAGATAAGTACGTAGAAAACAGATACTATAGGTCATCCATCACTGGCAATCGCTATCGTTAAGGTCAAAGGTGGATTATTGACTAATATTTGAACTTTTGTCCACAGTCATCAGGCGGCGAGGGCTGGTATATCAACCTCTTCGAGCTGACCTACTCGTCCTCCAACTGGCTGTTCGAACACCCCGATCGCCCCAATTTGGATGTGAAGCTAACTTCGCCAGCACAAACGCCCATGTATTTTCCCACGCCGGTGGGCAAATCCTATGTGTGCGACAAGGAGCAAACTGTGATCATGTACGCCCCACACGATTCCGGCGACCAGTCGGGGCACATAGCCAAGTTGTTTTTGCGGGACATGCACATGCAGAGCTTCATGTTCAAGGACAGCGGCAAGTGGGGTCCGTCCTTCCACTGCAGCGCCACAGGATCCTATCGCGATGAGACGGCGCCCTTGGCTGTCGGCACTGCCCTTGCAATTGCCGTGCTGCTTACTATATCCGGATACGGCGGCTGGAGGTAATAGTTCCCTTCCATATTGCTACGCAACTTTCTAATGATTATTTTCCACGTAGGTATTTTAAAATCAAGAAGGTCCAATACGGTTCCATGGAGTGAGCTGCCAGTGAGTCCTGTGAAGCGTTCGTTTTCGTTCAACTATTCGATCATATCGTTGTCTACACATATCCCCCACGTTTGTTGGATCTATTGCAATCCTGTAGTCCTATTTTTAAACTTTAAGCGTCAAAATTAAGAGTTGTCCCGGCAGATAATGAGAATTAACATTTACGAGGTTATCGAAAGCAACTAAAGATACATATATGAGAAATGCAAATGTCTTCCATATTGTTAATGTATAAAATAATAGCACACCATATATGATTATTAAATGTTAATATATATCATTATTAACCAGAAACTATTATTTACCAGGCAAACTAATCTTAACGAAAGACCAAAGCTGGCATCGTGGACGTCATGAAAAATCTTATACTCATGCTTTGGCATTTTTAGCAAAGCATCTATACTATAAATATCCGTTTTTTATGACACATTGTTAAAGAAAATCTCCTGCACCTCCTATTAAACATTCATTATCTCTTAATCCATTCGAAAGTTTGCCAATTGATATATTGAAAGATTATGTGTGGAGAAACATATAGGAACTTTAAATGCTTTTTGTTTATAATTAGTCTTAATGAGTTTGATTAAAGTGAAAATAAATACTGATGCCTGCTGAATTAATCATGTCAAACTTCGTTATAAGGTTTTGCTATTTGCATCGGATAAATCTGACACATGGGAAAATTTAAATTTGCGTACGTTCAAAACATACATATTCCTACTGGAGAAGTCATCTGGAAACCACCACATTTAATATTGGCGTATTTCGTTGATAGGGTTAGTTCTTAATTTTTTTTTTCATCAATAATCTAGCTGTTTGTCATACAAAATGAATGATTCATGTTTTTTTTTGACTATTCAATGTGTTAAAACTTTTTTGTTTCTGACATAATAATTTACACTCAATTCGAATTACTTTTATTCTACCCTATTTGTCCTTTAATAAGCATGTTTTAGGGTGTAGGGAAGGTATTGCACATCACTCCTGGAAAACTACTCAATAGGAAAACTACATTCTCCCCCAAGTATAATTTTAGCAATGGCAGGTGTGAGCAATCTCATTTCGTTTTTTTTTGGTTATTTTATCCAAATCTAAAAGGCATCAATGAGTTGTGCACAGGAATCTCTACACCGGAAACCAGATGCTTTTTCTCGAAACAGATGATACAACACCGAAGGGCCTTTGTTCTCTTTTTTCCTGTTTTTCGCACTCACCTGCTGCTCTGTTGTGTGGGTATGCTTGTGTAGCTGGTTCGGGCCCTCTTCGGTTGACCATGATCCATGTTGTCGCTAATATCTGCAGCTCGGCGTTTTCCCCGTGGCATGACTTATTGTGATGTGATGATTTCCAAAGTCTGTCCCTTCCGTCCGACGAGGGCGAGCGTGTATGTGTGTTTGTGTGTGTGAGCTGTGGGTGTTACTTTTGGTTATAACCTTTGATACAGGTGATTTTCAGATGCACTCACCACTGTCTGTTGTTCCCGATAAGACCAGTACCCTATCGTTTCGAAGTGGTTAACTGTGGGGTAGAAGAGGTTCCGGTTAATATGGAATCTAATCACTCTTGCTTCGTTATTGCTATTTTTTAGGGGAGTTTTCCTGGCAGGACGACCGACCACCCCCGAATCGCGGATGCAGCGAAGGGGTTTCACGGGATGCACAGGACATCGGGGGATACACATATAGTGGCCATATAGTGGTTAATATATATATGTGTGTGGCTATAGAACGTTTGTACTCTCTGTACATATGTTTTTTTTACTACACCAGGCCACGAAATACCGGCTGCTGGAAGGTCCTCGGATTCGGTTCGGAACTGAGGATTACGGCATGAGGGTTTCGGGAGGGATATGGGGAGGATATATCCGTGGTCGGCCTCCGGGCTCCACAGTCAGCTGCTGATACGACCGACCGACCGTCTGGCCTGCGCGTGCTCGCTTTTCTGCGTCGAACGTCGCCACGCCGAATGGCTTAATTCACGGCTTTCCTTTTTATCGGCCAGCGGCTAACATGTCTCAAGTTAAGTGTCCTTTACTTGGCCGGTCTACCCGTAGGTTTTACAGAAAAAAAGGTTCAAATTTTTACCATATTTTTCAAAATCAATGTAAATTTCTTGGCGTCAATTAGAGCTGGGTTAACGACTCGCGATAGTATCGATACCCGCAATATTTGTAAGTTCAAAGCACTATCGGGTTTCACTTTCGATATTTGTTATGGTTCGGAAAAGTTAACAACACTACTGATAACATAGGGTTGTCCTTATCACAGGTTCCTATTTGTGAGTTATCATAGGTTATCAATTTTTCTACAAAGTTGTCAGTTTTAGCTAAGATTTTTAATGAAGGTTAGGGTAATACAAAAGGATATTGTTCTATTATATTTTTGGAATATTATTTAAAATTTATTTTGTATTAGTTAAATTTGAAATTTCTAAATTAAAATACAAGTAATTCAGTAATATTAAAACAGGTTCAAAATATTTGGAGTTTTTACTTTACTAAACCATTTCCTTTAATTTTACAAATCCGCTAGATTCTACTATCGCCTAGAAAAAAAATAATGGTGTCATCGCTAGCTAGATAGCTTTGTATGGCAAACTCCTGCAGAAAAATCAATTTTTCCAAATTGTAAACACGATGACAGACAAAAAGAGGATCCCTCATCGAAATTAAGAGATTCAACCATGCCCAGCTCATATTTGTTCGCCGCCAGCAGCGAGGGACGCGTCTACACGCTGTCCACCAGCTCAGGAGCCTGGCGCGAACTTCCCTACCTGGGTTTGGAGTTCAAGAAGATCTGCGCCGTGCCCAACTTTCTGTGGGCCATCGGCGGCGACCGCCAGGTTTACGTGCATGTCCACGGATTGGACGTGCCTATCCGGATTCGGGAGGAGTCATACGAAAACGAGCGCTGGCTGCCGATTGAGGGATTCTCGAAAACACTACTCCCAACGGATCGTTACAAGTATTCGTCCGCGGATGGAAGTGTGGAGCGTGGCGTGGACAAGATTCGGCTGCCCTCCATGGCCTGGCAGTGGGACGGTGATTGGCACCTAGACCTGGAGCTCGATGGACAGCCGCTGCCCGAGGATGGTTGGATGTACGCACTCGACTTTCCTGCCACGTATTCGGCAAAGAAGTCCTGGAATTCCTATGTGCGAAGACGCAAGTGGGTGAGGTATAGGAGGTACGCCGCCCTAAATAGTTGGTGTGCCGTGGCGCCACTTCACAAGGATCCTACCCAGGAACCCTTCATTGATGTGGCCATCGGTGGCACCTGTGTTCCCAACGCTCCCGCCGGAACTTTATGCGTCTGGGCCATCACTGCTCATGGCAGGGCAATGTTCCGCACGGGGGTGTCGAAAACGGCGCCAGAAGGACTGCGCTGGACAGCTGTGCCCACGCCAACGGGTAGCGAACTCTCACAGATTAGCGTGGGACCCACTGGATTGGTCTGGGCAGTTCTCTACAACGGACGGGTAATTGTCCGCACTGGAGTAACTCGCGATAACCTCGTTGGTGATTCCTGGCTGGATGTCAAGACCCCAGTGGCAAACGGAAGCCTGCGCATTGTTCATGTTTCCGTGGGTACGGATGCTGTGTGGTGTGTTACCAATGATCACCACGCCTGGTTTAGAAGAGGAATCAAGGGTGAGGCGGCCGGCATTAGCGAGGATTCGGCAATAGGCAAGGGCTGGGTGGAAATGGTGGGCAACATTTCCATGATCTCCGTGGCGGCCAATGATCAGGTAAGTCTACTCCATAACAATTATCCTCTTTTTTACATTTATACTTTTACTTTTATAGGTCTTTGCCGTCGGAGCTGCTGACCGTTGTTTGTACCTCCGCTCTGGTGTGACTTCCGCCGATCCCACAGGAAAAAAATGGCGCCTTATTCAGTGCCCCATGCAAATCAGCCGCACTTCCAGCTCACTCTCGATTGTTTCTCGCAAAAGTGGTGGCAGCAGCTCAACGCCTGGCTCAAAGCACCAAAGCTTCTCGAATCTGTACTCCAAGGAGAAGGAAAAGGGCGTGGTGGAGACCTGCGCCGTGATAGAAACCGTGCTTAACAGTTCCACCGGTTCCTTTTCCAGCAATGGAGGTCCACCTGGTCTTCTCAAGAACGAACGTTGGAAACTGAGTGCGGACTCACCTCCGACAATAGGAAGCTTGAACTTAAATGATCGTCACAAGCAGCGAACTGCAGCTCTGCGTGAGACCTCGCACGCTTCCAGTGCTCCCGCAGCGGATGTAGTGGAGATCACCGGAAAGTTTGAGACACAGTTGAGGAATCCCCGAGCCTGGTCGCCTGTCCGAAGTGTTGGCTCTGTTGTGGGAACTGAAGCGCATCCCGAGAGCGATTCAACAGTATTCGAGTCGGACTCTACGCACCACGGGTCGGATGTGTTTTTGGGCGAGGATGACGACCATACTGGTTCGCAGTTTTGGACCGAATGTGGCATACTTTGGAGCTGTGTTGCCCCAGGAGCGGTGACTGTGGACGTCGGCAATATGCCCAATTGGTTTAACGAGCAGTTGACGAGCGACAGTAAAGTTGATGTGAATGCCAATTGGCGAAAGGATATTCTAAGCAAGCTACAGCGGCGGCAGGAGAAACTCGCCAAGCTGCAGACGGTGGCCAAGTTCGAAAAGGCAGTGGAGCTTTCTTCGTGGGTGAAATCAGCAGATGCTCGCTACCAGCGACCGGGAGGCGAGTTCGAGGATTGCATTATCGAGCTTGAGTGGGTAAGCAGCGGCAGTGGAACGAGTGGAAGCGAGACCTCCCGATCCGGCGATTCTGGCACTTTTACGGTGCTCAGTCCGGATGGGGCAGCCACTAAGATTCAGTTCCCCCTATCGGACATCACATGTGTACAATGCTGCAGTGAAGCAGGCGCACCTCGAATTGCCATTCATGCACCCCACTTGCCTGTAAACTGCTCACCCGTTAGGCTGCAGTTCTCCAGCGACTCGGAGATGGAGGATTGGCTGTCCCATTTGTCGTCTGTGTGCAGCCAAATCAACACACTGGTGGGCAAACCGGCCAGTAATGCCATCTGGCTGACCAGCGAACTAGGCGATGTGTTTGTCTTCGATGCGGCCACCATGAAAGCGCAACAGACAACTGAACCTGGTGAGGGATATATGGAGAAGATGGACGTTTCCACATGCGAAACTCCCTACTACAATACACTTTACAACGGGTGAGTAGGAATATAACATACCTGCGAAAGTAGATTTTTATAGGTTGCAATGTTCCTTGTTAATTTGGATTTGTGTGTGCTAGAAAATGTTTTTTATAAACTATATTAGTATAGATAGTAAACTTATTACTGTGAACTGAATAATAAATAGTGACAGGAAAATGTAAGGTTTTATTGAGACTACCAAAGAACATATTTGCAATTTCTGAAGAAGATACAAAGTGAATTATTTAAAAACAAAATTATATTTTTGATTGGTTTGATCTTTTTATATTAATTATCACATTTGATTTACAGAATGCCCTGTGGTACTGAATTGGAGATTTCTGGTTGTGTGTACGACGATGCTGACCAGATTCGCTTCGACTTGCAATCACATTCCACCGTTAAAGTCCAGCCGCATCGTGTGGAGAAGCATCGAGTGATTGCTCTCCACCTGAATCCTCGTTTCAACGAACGCACCACGGTCCTCAATTCAATGAAGGAATCCGAATGGCTAGATGAAATCCGAAATGACAAAATGGCATTTGCGCCAGGAGCGACTTTTACGTTAAAGATAAGGTGAGAACATTAATGAGTGGTAAGAAACAAATTTAATGCTCTATATTTGAATATCCTTTCAGGGCTCTGCAGGATCACTACCTGATGATAGTTAACAATGCCGTTTACACCGATTATAAGTACCGCATCGATCCGGAGAGCGTGACTCGACTTTATGTTAGTGGTCGCATCAAGCTCTTCAGCGTGCTGTACCGCTGTCCATCGCTTATTGTGTCCATGGAGCGAATGCACTGGCGGCAAATGGGCGGTCACATAAAGCGCATTTTCAACAGCGGTGTGGATGTGGTCTGGGGCATTTCCTGTGACAACACCGGTTGGGTTTACAACGGCGGCTGGGGCGGCATGTTCCTAAAGGGTCTGGAGGGTTCCGGCAAGATAAACCCGATGATTGACACGCACACCTATTATGTGTACGAGAACCAGCGATGGAATCCCATTAGTGGCTTTACGGCAAAGAGTTTGCCCACGGACAGGCACATGTGGAGCGATGCCACTGGACGGCAGAAGCGCAGTAAGGAGCACACGAAGCTGCTGTCCACGCACTGCGAATGGATCTCCGATTGGGCAATTGACTACAACATTCCCGGAGGCGCGGACAAGGAGGGCTGGCAATATGCCATTGACTTTCCGGCCAACTATCATGCCCATAAAAAGCTCACGGATTGCGTACGCCGGCGCAGATGGATGAAGCGATGTCGTCTCACTAGCAGTGGACCTTGGCAGGAACTTAGCCAGTCTAAGATCCTCGATGCTGCCCTGCAGGTCGGAATATAAATTTAATAATTATTAACCAATGCCTAAGAAAATCTTTTACAGGTTTTGGACCAAGATGCGGATAGTGGCTTGGGTGAGGTAAACACAGCTGTGGCCGCCTGGGCAATCGCCTCCAATGGCGATGTCCTAATACGACACGGCGTGTGCAGCTTAAATCCTCGAGGAGAATCCTGGGAACACATAACGAGCGACCAGCCGCTCGTCGGGATCAGCGTAGGTCCTACTGGTCAAGTCTGGACTGTCGCGCGCAACGGCATGGTGTTCTTCCGTTACGGAATCAGCAGGCAGAATCCTTGCGGCGATGCCTGGCAGCAGGTGGAGGCTCCTGCGGGCGTGACCTTCAAGGCGATAAGCGTGGGACGCGCTGGAATTTGGGCGCTGGACAACCATCAGCGCTTGGCTGTGCGAAAGGAGATCTCAAGAACCTTCCCCGAAGGTTCTCACTGGCAGTTCCTGCCCAATGCCGCCAATGTGCCGCCGCACACGGAGCAGCACTGTGGCTTCCGGTCGGTGTCCGTCGGCTCCGAGGTGTGGGCCATATCCCTCAATGGCATCATTTGCAGGCGCAGCGGGATTACAAAGGAGAATCCTGCTGGAGTGGGATGGAACCTTGGCATTGCGGTAAATAATTTTTTAAATATTTAAGCCCTATCCGGGTTAACTTATATATTTTCATTTGGTTTTTTAATTGTCCACATTGTTCTTCCAGGGCCAGTGGCAAAATGTTTCGGTCGAAGGATACATGTAAAGGACTTTATTACATTTGCGGACATTCCAGTTTGTTGTATACACATTTATAATCTTTTTTGATTATGCCAACGCTATTCCAAAGTATTTGAAAAGAAGTTATTCCTATAAGCTATTTACATATTAAAAATGTATTTATTTCTACCTTGTAATAATTTATGTTTAATCAAATATTTATGCCATACGCTTAAGTTAAACAATTTGAACAGAAACAAGTGTGCAAGCTGTCGTGATTATATATTTATTAATAATCCCAAGAATAAAAGTATTTATGTGACAAAGGAATTTTTAAATTTAAAATAATTACATTTTTGCGGCAAAAAGGTCTTGGTATATTTCGATCTAAAATAGGTGGTATATTAATGACACTTTTGGGACTGCCAACTTGTTCTTTAAGATTTTATTCAAGACGATCTACGGGCACACTAATGTTTTCCCGAAAAAACCAAAACAACTTGTTTATTCCATGCTAAAGTCGTCTTAAATAAAAATTAAACACTTAAGAAGATAGTTAACTTTCTAAAACTATGTCTGACTATGACCACGCCCGTATTAAGAAATTAGTCTTGAAGGGCGAAAAGCACAAGTGAGTGAAGTATTATCTATTCTATAAGCAGCTATTAAAATTCTAACACTTTAGAAAAAGCAAAAAACGCAAGAAGGAAAAAGATGAGGCAGGATCTTCCAAGAAACCGAAGGTGTTGGTGGACGAGGATGCAGTGGAGCATGGGGGCTGGTGGACAGCAAAAACTGCTGCCGATATTACAGGAACAGTGTCCATTGAGTTCGGCGATCGTTGCTACCTGAAAGCCATGGATAATGGGTAATATTTGGTTATACACTCGAATCAAAAGTATTCTTAAGTCCCAGCCCATATCTAAATATCGTCATCCATCCTGTGATTCAAATTTTAACGAAAACATATTTGTGTCAGTCTGTTTACTTTGGGAGCACCACATAATGCTGGAGATGGCCCAGATCCAGAGGAGATATTCACCGCCTTTCCCATTAACGACCGAAAAGTAGCCTTCAAATCTGGATATGGAAAATATTTGAAAATTGAAAAAGATGGTATGGTAACAGGTCGATCTGAAGCGGTGGGCAGTATGGAGCAGTGGGAGCCAGTTTTTGAGGTAAACAATCTATACTTTAAGCAACTCTTATTAGTAGTACTTACTTATTTTAATTGAAGGAAAAGCGAATGGCCCTGTTATCCGAAACCGGACACTTTATGTCCATCGATCCTGAAGACGATGCCTGTGTGGCACTGCGAAAAAAGGTCGGCCAATATGAAATCTGTAAAGTGCGAAGTAATGCAACCAGGGATGTTGTCATCGACACGGAGCCCAAGGAAGAGAAAGGAGACTTGGGTGAAGTGGAAAAGAATTATGTGTAAGTTCTAACAAAATTATTACGCTAACAATAATGATTTCTAAAAGTTTATGGGCAAAATATTTATTAAAACCCCATCTTCTTTTATCCCGTTCTGCCTGCAGGAAAAAGTTCCAAAAGTTCCAAGACAAGAAAATGCGGATTAATCAAAACGACATAAAGGAACTTGAAGATGCCAAAGCTCAGGGATCCCTCCACGAAACTCTTTTGGACAGACGCAGTAAAATGAAGGCAGATCGGTATTGCAAGTAATTTAAATTAGTGTTCAATCATTAAAGTTTTAAGCTAAAAAAAATTGTTTGTTTTGGTTTGACTATTGAGAGCGTTACAAATACAAATTGTCTTTTGATAAATATATTTTTAATTCAAGTTATTACCGGCAGATAATACAACATTAATTGAGAGTCTTGACACAATATAGCTGCATATTTATTTATTTTAGTTATTTCCTGGCTTTGACATTTGCTAAACTATTGTGATATAAACAAATTGTAGTTATGAATAGTATTGGAGCAAGGTGAAATGTATTCTTTTATAGTTATTTATCTGGCAACTCACAATCCAAATTCAATATCAATCTGAGCTGCACACAGATTTAGGCATGCAGATTTGGGATTAATTTGCTCCGAATTGTTTGGCTGTCCGAGCGTTCAACTGTCCGCCGACATCCGTTTTCCACCCCCTTGCAACCGGCTGGCTGGCTGGATGGCTGGCTGGAAGGCTGGCTGGCTGTAGTAAAACTCGCAGCAGACGGCGTCACAACATGACATGGCGAGCTGGGTGTTCCTTGAACCACCCAACCGCCCAGCTACTTGAGCCACCCCCTCGACAGGCGGAAAATCAACCACCGAGCGTCCTTCGTTCGCTCTCCGCATTTCTCCCTCGTCTCTCTCTGCGCAGTCCTCACACCACAGATGGCGTGCGCCTCTCGCTTTTTGCACGAGGAGTCCTTGGTCCTTAGGAAGGCTGAATCCTGTTTATGTCCTGGCGCCTCGTGCTCGGCCGTGCGCTCGTGGCTTTATTTTGGCTCTGGCCGGTGGCTCAAAGTCGCGTGGCAGTCAGTTTGCTGCCGTCGCTGTTCGTGGGTGAAAGTCCACACCGCTCCGCTCCGCTCGGCTTCGATTTTATTTGCCGCATTTCGTAGATACTTGAAGCGGAAATCGCTCCTATCGGAGATGCAATTGTATCCCGTGGATGACTGTGCCCGCCGCCATCAAGTGTCACTTGAACGTTGTCAAAATTGAATTTACCGAGCGTTAGTAGTGAACAAAGGTCCTCCAAATGGCCATAACGAGTTTTGTTTCGGCCTTTGTCTGGTTTCGATTTTCGAACGAAACTCAAGTGTCCTGCAGTGTGTTTTCCGGAATCGACCAAAAGGTTTTGTAGAGATACTTAAGTGCTAAGTGAACTCATCAAAATCAACGTATAGTGAACTATATATCATCGGTCTGTTGGTAAGTGAAGTGATCTCGTTGCAGTTATGAGTTCGTTTTAATGATTGTCTGGCTGTTTTTGTTTCCCGCTCTCGTCCTTTTTTTCGGTGGTGTTTCAAAAATTGCATGCGGTTCGGGGTGTTTTTTCCAAACTGGCGACGACAGGTATGGGATAATCAATTCCAAGGAAAACTTAAATCAACAAGAAAATCTGCTGCATTTTGCTGTGGAGTGCAGGACCACAAGAACTCCTTTATGAAAATATAAATCTCATTCTTGAACATAAATCTAATTGTCCAAATTGATTTATCATTCAAGTAAGTTGCGTGTTAACAGCTCATATATTTAAATATATGTATGCGAAGGAAGTCCGAACTTACGATGTTGGGAGATCGATAATGGAATTGTCCATTATTCACTAACGTTTTCATAAAAAAGCTGAATCAGTTTTGTTTTCTTAAAAGGTTCCTAATGATTTACTGTGCGTGAAAAAGGAATTAAGTCAAGAAATCGTATTGTATTTGTATTTTATTCATTAACTAATGAATTCTCTTGCTCTTACATTGAATTATATCTGTTAATTCTATAAAACAGCATATCTACCATTTTTATTTTTCTTTTTTGTACAACATTTATTCAGAAAGTTTTTTTATTTTAGCTTAATAAAAGTTTGCTTGTTTTGAATATTGTACAAAATTTAATATGTATAGAAAAGTTATCCTCCCGAAAGTTAAACAAAATTGTGCACTTTGTGTTGCTTTAAGGATTTTCACCGACGTTCAACGGATTCACAGGGTATGTTTACCGGGCGGAGTAACCTGAACATTTAAAACCCATTAAATTGAGTTTCCTTTGTGGAGCATCTGCCCTTTGTTGGCTTGTCTCTCCTTTTTGTCAAGCACAAAAGTGGTCAATTGCGAGGCAGTCGAAGGGCGGAAAAGCCGACAATGGAAATCCGTCAGATTTCTTTTCATTTCCCTAGCATCCTTTGACTGTTAGGATGGTTCCGTTTTGGCCTGACATTAAATTTGGCTTAACGATAATTGCGAAGAAAGCTAGACATAAATATAAAGCCATGGGAGTTGCGGTGGATTTGTGTTATATCGAAAGTTAAAGGCTCCATTTGAAAATCGTTTTAGAGCTGAACCATATATCTACTTAAAAAAAAGGTTGTATTTAAATAAACAATTTTGGTACATCATTTCCGAAAATTCAGTTCTAGGTCTTGGCTGCAATATTTACCAGAAAGGTGCATCTTTAATTTTAAGAATAAACTCCCTTCTACTTCGCATCAATGTTGGTAACAAAAAGACTAATTTCATGTGACTTTCAGTTGGATTCACCAATTACTCTTTTTATACATTCGGTCTTCCTGGTGGCTCTAGATACAAACCCCTGTACACCGATGCTTTTCTAATTACATTCATGCACACAAGCCATGTAACATAAGTCTGATGTCACAGGTTTTCGTTGCATTCAATTTGACTCGCTTAGAAGTGCACCACCTCCTCGACACCGGAGAAACCGCCCAACTAACCCGCCCCATCCACCCACTCTATGCCCAAAACACATGTCATGGTATACGTATACCCTCTGGATACCTGGCAAAAAAGAAAACAGAACGAAGTGAGAGACCCAGACTAAATTAATCAGGGGCCAGGTAGAGTGAATCGAGAGCGCCGGAGTTCCTCGGGGGTTGGCGTCCATATCCGTAACATTCTGCCGCAACAAGCGAGAACCGGTGAAAACAACCCCATGCGGACTGTCTATATGGCCAGGGAGATCCCCATATGGTTCTACGAACCATCATAAATTTTTAAATAATATTTCTCACTACAAAGCATTGTAAGACAAAGAAAATACTGTTGTGAGAAGTAATGAGGGTTTTTTTCACTAAAATGGATAGCCTATAATACTATATACTTAACAGCTGACTGGTTCCTTAGGTTAAACCATATAAAAATACATTATTGACGGATATTTTATTATTGGTTAAAATGTATAAGTAAAATTAGTTGAATACAACATGGAATATTAAAAGAATTTCTGAATAAAACATCATAAATAACAAAACCAACTTTTATTAGGTTTCATCAATGCTTAATTAAAACAACTTTGTATAAAACACACATCCAAAAAAATCCATTCAGTTAGCTAACTTTTTCCTATTGGAAAATATTAACTACGATATTAACAGATTTGTAGAAAGCGCACTTCCATTAAAAGTTATAACTAACCACTTATTAGCACAAAACAGAATTCACAACAGGCGCCCACATTTTGCGCGAACTTTTCTAATAAATAGTAACTAAACTTCACTTTGTAAGGAAACGCTTTAAAAGGTAAAGTCAACCGGCTTTTTTCGGAGTTTGGTTAACTTTTTTTGACAGAGAACTGCGAACATTGGGGATGAAAGCCTGAACAGCTGATGGAGGTCCTTCGACCCCGTAAACCGAACTCCTTTCTCACGGGGCAATTTCCTTTTGCAACGCAAACATGCAAACATACAAATGCTTGCAAAAATATTTATTTGGTAATCTGACGACCCTGAGTTGTCTCCAGTTACCTAAGAAGATTTGTTGATTAACTTTAAATGGATTTATAATACTTGTGTATTTTACAATTTCCGCTTGGTTACTTTTTTCTTTTTTTTAATTTCCGCTAGGAGAAGGAAATCAATTTTGGTTACATTATGCGACTTCCAAAAGTCAAGTAGTTGCTTTTCTACTTTAACATACTTAATGCCATCTTAAATGCTTAATTTTGCTGAAATGATTGCTTAGCAAGAGGAGCCTTTTGCCAGCGCAAAGTTGAAATGCAAATAAATACTCAAGGACTACATGAAAGTGGGAAAAGAACGGCGGGGAAGTTTTCCGGATTGCGCCTGCTGCTGCGTAATTCCAGTTGCGCACACATTCCGCCTCCGGAAAAGTATTTGTAACAGTGTTTAAACTCACATTGCCTGTCGTGGTTTGCGAACTATTAAAAAGTGAGCTCTTTAGAGTCCTTGGGAGGCGGAGGTCGACCAACCGCTTGGCAAGAGTGGGCGGTGCGGTCGGAATGATTATCCAAGTTTTACCATTCTTTCTCGACTTGAGCCTTACTTTTCCAAGCCAGCCAGAGCGCACAGTTATGGGAAAATCTTTTAATTAATTTAAAACTAATTTCCCTGAAAGCCAAGCGAAATGACCTTTGAGTGAGTTGAAAGCACTCTCACACACTAGCAGCACAATTTAATTTAAATATTTCAACTCAGACGAAATTAATTCACAAACAAATCTGGAGCAACAACACCACACCTTTCGAAAGGAAACTCTGAGCTGAGCAAATGCAGAGAGATTAAATCACAAACTTCGGATTCACTTAATATGCATTTCAGTGTTATGGAAGTGCAACTTAATCATATCAGATAAATGCCGCAGCCGCCTTTGATGTAAAACATAAAAAGTTTTCCAAGAGGGGATTTTTCCGGGGCTATAAATTCGAATGGGTTGCGCAAGCGGCCCTCTGATTGCCAACAACTTTGAGGGTTCGAGAGGCATTCAAATGCATTCCCTCGCCCAATCCTCAGTCAGGCCCGGTGAAAGTGGATTAGCAATTTGTTAAGCCAACAGTTTACCCAGCTCCGTGGGGCTTCACTTCGTCGAGTTGTTTGCATTTGTCAGAGCAATGCTGCCCTTTTTCTGCAGTTTCTGCAGCTGAAGGATATCCGATGACCGTGCTGAATGCCGTCCAGGGATCCACATACAGACAACAAAATGGGATTGATAATCATAAATCATATTTCGAGTAATTTATTGTGTCAGAATTGTATTCCTTACAAATTAAATAGAAAAAAAAAGAATCATAAACAGCTAAGATTAATCAATTTTCATCTCACAAAATAAAAGTAATCATAAGTAGTTAATTTATTTATGTTTACTAACAATTTCTTTCGGTACGAAAGGTATCTCTTTCCACTTTAAATTACTGTATATTATCTGCTAAATAAATTATAATATATACATTAATTTACTGGAATACAATACTGAATTTGTTATTATTCAAAAACATTTAGAATTAAATAATTTCAATTTCATATTTTTTTTCTCTTTTAAACAATGTATAAACCAAAATACTTTGTCAACGCAATGTAATAGTAATATTTATGAAGGATAATAATTCAAATTGCAAGTCTGTCTAGTTATTTGACTTAAATTTTCTCATTGTGTCAGAAACCCCTTGAACGGCTTCTCGACTTCTCCGTCGCTCACTTTGTGTTTAATTGTAATTTTAACTTTTGTTATTTGAGTGTCTGTTGTGTGCCATCTGGAGCGACTTGGCTGCACCGCCGCTGGAGCCTTTTCCGCTTATTCTGTCACGCAGTGTTTGCCAGTCGTAAATGTTTTTAGTTCGGCTAAATGCAATTGTGGCCACTTCCTGCACTTTGCTGCCAACGCACTTGTCGCACTCGTCTGCCTCGAATTGCCAGCCAGACGTATACGCAATTTAAAGAGCTCTCCACGAGTGCGATAATTAACGCGTAAACACTATTAAAATGCTCTTTAACGCAGTCAACGAAATTTCTTAAACAGGGTCACAATAGTAAAGAACAGAAGAGGTTTTCCACATACTATGCTTCTTTAGTGCCTTTTGAAAACCTTAGCTGATAAAGCTCACAATAATGTTGAATTATAAATGTTATTTCTTTAGGATTTATGCAAGAAACGTATTCTGTTTAAAAAAAGGTAAATTATAAACGTAATCACCCCTCTTTGTGGCACCCAGCGACATTCGTAAGGAGGAAAATTTATGGCCATAACATACCAGTCATCTAGGACTTTAATTTTCTGCTAAACGCATGAAAAAGCGCACACACGCAATTACGCACACACCGGTATTTAGGTTTAATTTTGCAATGTGTGCGACAATGGAGCTCGTCTGTCGCGACGGAAACGGAATAATTTCCCATTTCCGGTGTGTGCCAACAAGAAAACTCAAAATCCACGCTCGTGTGATTGCGCGTGTCTTTGAACAAGGCG